CGGTGGTTTAGACCACAGCGCCACCTGCGTCCCAGGATTGCAGCCTTAGTTGCCTTTTTTCATGAGGAAAAAGCCCCAAACTCTTTAGCCTTCCTTTGTAGGGAAGGTGTTCCAATCCTGTGGTTGTTTTGGTTGCTCATTTCTGCTCTCCTTCCAGGTGTCCTTTCTAAGGTGAAGTGACCAGAACACAGTGTTCCAAAAGCTGTATCATTGATTTTTACAACAGCATTGTGATCCTAGCTTATGTTCAATCCACATCCCAAAAAGGCCAGCTTAAAATTACTATTATCCCTGCTGCTAACATTTTCATTGAGCAAAACATTTTCATTGAGCGATCCACTATAATCCAAAGACCTATTTCTGGGATAGTTGCAGTCAGTTCAAACGCAGTCAGTGAAATAGAGATATATGATATATATTTTTGTCACAGTATGCATTAGCTTACACTTGTATTGGCTTGGATCCAGTCTAGGTTAGTCACACTTCCGCTGTAAAAGTTACCACCCCATAAAACGACCTAACTTGTTATCTCATGACTGCTTTGTTTACTCATGAGACATTTTCTTGACAGACTTGTTTTGAAGCGCAAATTGGATCACCCTATCAGCCTGTTTGTACACACTCTCACTGAACCTCCAAAAAGTTGATGAGACAAGTCTTCCCTTTGCATAATACATGGTAATATTTCTTCATTAAGTCTTATTCCTCAATATATTTAATAACTCTAACTTGCCAATTTCCAGGAAGCCAGCCCCAAAGAGAAAGTGACAAGACCCATTTATTGTCACCTGCACCTCCTAACTAAAAATGTCCCAGTGTGTTATTAAAAGCTCATCTTTTAAAAGCTGATTCTTCTCCCAAATGGACTTGGGGGGGGGACTGTCCATTTAGGCTAACTACCACCCGGTCCAAAATGGGTACCTACCAGCAACAATGGACCACGATGGTTGGGCATTGGTGTTTGTGGCTTGGGGTAAGAACCTGCGCAGTTGGCCTGTTAATGAGAAAATGTTGCTCATTGTCGTTCAGAGGGAGTCTTATTGGCACAGAGCTGTCCCAAGTGTGAGATGGGAATTTGATGTGATCAGATTCAATTGAGATTTACGTGAATATTTGTATTCCACTTTTCCAGCGACAATGTTGGAACTCAAAGCAGCTCACAAGAACAACAGCATTAACAAACATTACAATCTCTATAATTATGTCCAAAACACTTCCCTGATGGGGTAATGGCTGGTTAACTTTGACTTTCTCTGTGAGAAGAAACAGAAAGAAAAATAAAGATTTTCACACAAGGAGTTCCCTCATCCCTTTAATCATTATTGTCGACCATAAATCAGACTTCTTGGACACCTTCGTGACAAGTTACCGTATTTTTCACACCATAGGACGCACTTTTTCTCTCCTAAAAAGCAAGGGAAAATGTGTGTGCGTCCTATGGAGCGAATGCAGGGGGGAGGCAGTCGGGAAAAGCCCCCAAGAGCTGCACACAAGCCCCGTGCGCTCTTGCGGGCTTTTCCCCAGGAGGGAGAAGGGACTGACTGGCCGCATCAGTTGCTTCTCCCACCTCCCAGAAAAGCCAGGAGAAGCCGCAATCTCTTTAAAGGGGTTGTGCAGCTTCTGCGGGCTTTTGCGAGAGGTGAGGGAATCCCCCCACCTCCCAGGAAAGCCAGAAGAAGCCATGCAGCCCTTTTAGAGTGTGCGCGGCTTCTGCCGGTTTTGCGAAAGGTGAGGGAATCCCCCCACCTCCCAGAAAAGCCAGGAAAGCCCTGCGCAGCGTCTCCCGGCAAGGAGAGGCTGCACAGGGCTATGGATTCTTTAGCCCCACGCAGCCTCTCCCCGGAGGGAGAGGATGCACGGGGCTAAAGGGGAAGCCAAAACAGCGAGCGGGATCCATCCTGCTCGCTGCCTTGGCTTGTGCCATAGCCCCTCTGGCAGGGAGAGGTTGTGCGCAGCCTGTACGCTGCTCTTTGGGGCTGGGGGGGGGATTTTTTTTTCTTGATTTCCCCCCCTAAAAACTGGGTGCACCCTATGGTCCGGTGCGCCCTATGGTGCGAAAAATACGGTATCTCTTTTTTCTTAGAGACAAAAAGTGGCTACTACAAGTTTTCCAGTTGTAGATTTTCACCAGCTGACAGATAAATCTCTCTAATTTGCCATTTTTCTTGTCCCATAAATATTTAAGAGAGGATGCAGATCTTTCTAACCACAAAGGGAGCTTACATGGTATTTGGGTGTGATATCAGCTCCTCAGCTTGCCAGCTTCCTCTAGTTCCTGTCCAAGCCCCCAGGCACAAACAGAAGAGAACAGCCTTGATCAAAGCCTTTGAGGTTTCTCCCTGATCACCCTTATCTCCGGAGAGATTGAATAGTCGGGCCATCTGCCAAACTTTCATCAATCAACACATAATTATCTTTTATCAGTATAGACATGTTCAATAGATGGTCAATTTGCCATTTCCATTCCCAGAAGTCACATTGATTAACGATAATCAAAGCCTTCAAGGGAGAAGCTCACAAAACAAATTCATGTCTCCACTTAAAGGCACTATGGACTGGTACCCATTAAGAGAGCATGCTACCCATCCCTCTCCCTGTCAAATGTAGATTGCAACATTTTCTGACTTCTTGTCATTGGATAATACAGAAGAGGGAGGACTTTAATCTTGTGACATGTACTATATTTTTTATGAGAAACCTAAAGGCTGCTCATCAGAGCTTGGTGCAAAATTGTGTGAGTGTAGACGAGTCAAGGAATTATGTGCCCCATAAGCCACACACTGTATTCTTCTTCTTCTTCTTCTTCTTATTATTATTATTATTATTATTTAAAAGGTCACCCAAAAATAATAGTGTAGAAATAGAAAAAGCTCAGAAAAAGTCAGTCAAAATGATCAAAGGGATGGATCAACTCTCCTACAAAGAAATGTTGCAGCTTTTGGGACTTTTTAGTTCAGAGAAAAGATGAGAAAGAGGTGTCACAATATAAGTTTATACAATTCTGCACAGCATGGAGAGAACTGGGAACCGCGGGAGGAAGAGAACAATGTACTTGGCTCCTGTTCACGTTCTTCCCACAAGCATCTGGTTAGCCCCTGTGAGAACAAGATGCTGGCCATGGGCCTGATCCAGGAGGCTGTTCCTATGTTCTTAAATACAAATTACCGCTGGGAAGAGCGCAGAGAGAAGAAACTGTCAGTTTTCATTTCTTAGTACAGAATGTATTGATCTGATGTGTAGAGATCTTTCCTATCCCGATTAGTTCAAGAGGGTTCTAGAAGGTTTCTCTTCTGTGTGAAAGAAGGTTTATTTCTATGTGAGAGAAACAGGAAGGAGGTTTTTGTTTGGGTTGTTTTCCTTCTGGGAAGCTGTGTACAGCTGGTTTAAACTGGTTCCGTTATCTTTCTATAAGGTCGTGCTGACTATAATAGCCTGGCTCTCACTCGCTTTCTCTTTTCTGTCTCTTTGTTCTAGTCTGATGTTCTGTATGCTTAGTGTTAGAGTTTAGCCTTATCAAAAGTTTGTAAATTTTATTGTTTTTGCTGCAACTGGAATTTTTATGGACTGTGCCAGTCCTGAACATTTTGGATTTGTGACCATTTATGCTCATTTGCCTTCAGTAGAAAGCAAAAGCTCTGCTGGATGAAGTACAATTGCCTCTGGTCTATTTTTTATTACTCTGCTACGTGTTTAAGTTTTTTCCTCCTCCGGCGCTGGCACAACAGAAACGCCATGGTGCATCTGCAGCAGCACAACCGGACGCCTTCATCTGCCCCAGCTGCAACAAAACATGTCTCTCCCATATCAGTCTCTGCAGCCACAGCAGGTGCTGTAACTCTCCAACAGTTTGACTTCACCCCTCCATTGTCTCCCGAGACAGATGGATGCCAACAACAGCAAAACGTAGGAAAATGCAGAACCACATACCCGGTTGGGAACGTTAGAAGAGCAAAATATCCACCGAAATTGAATATTATTTGCAAATTTGTCATTTCCCCAAATTCTTTGCAAAATGTGCTTCCTGATATTTGTCTTACCTGTTAGTTTGTGGTACTTATGGTTTCATAATAAAATTAATAATAAAGTAAAAATAAATTACCATATTCTAAAGAGACTCAAAAGACTAGCACAGGATGCCTAGCAATTGTTGGAAGCAAGCTTTGCACTGAGCTCTTTTTAGCACGGTGATTACTTGAGAAGTTTCCGTTTGCTTCAGATTACAATTGCATCACACAAAGGCTGCTATGTTTGGCATTCCAGGAACCTCTGTATTCAATATAACTTCATCATACCTTGAAGCAATTTAAGCTGTCAGGTGCTGCGTCGTGAATGATCTCTAGAAAACATTAGTCAAGCAACAACATGAGGCAAATGCCATACCTCCACTTATAGAAAGAAGAATATATTCTCATATTTATACCACACACACTATCAGATGAGTTTGTTTAATGAGTGGGATATATCACTATTTATCTTTATAGTGTTGTACGCTGAAAGAATTTAAAAAAAAAAATATGGGAGGAAATATTTTAAAATTAAAAAGAAGATAAAATGTGGGTGGGAAATTCCCTCTGACCTTCTAGAAAATCTTGAGATTATTGTTATCATTATATTTATTTATGCAGTGGTGCCTGGGTTACATACGCTTCAGGTTACAGACTCTGCTAACCCAGAAATATTACCTCGGGTTAAGAACTTTGCTTCAGGATGAGAACAGAAATCGTGTAGCGGTGGCGCAGCGGCAGCAGGAGGCCACATTAGCTAAAGTGGTGCTTCAGGTTAAGAACAGACCTCCCGAACGAATTAAGTTCTTAACCCGAGGTACCACTGTATCCCATTTCCTCCCCCCCCCCAATACGGATTCAATGAAGCTTGCTGATAAACTAGAAACCGCTAAAACACAGGGGGAAATCAATCATTAAAAAACAGTTGGACATTAACAGAAGTGTGTGTATGTGCTTTATTAAAACATTACAATAAAAACATCACCATTCCTTAAAGCCCATTCCTTAAAAAACAGTCAGTTCCCAGATCCTGTAAGAACAAATAAGTCTTCATCTGCCAGCTGAAAAAGCCAGTGTAATTTCTCTAGGAACTCAGAAGCTTCCCAAAGCCTATAAATTCCTAATCAAAATGGGGACCTGAGCTGCCTACCTGTTTCTCAAGGACTGGAGGTAAATGACGATTGTCCTCAGGCAATACAGGTGTGAGGCAGCCCAATTCCAGAAGTTGCCATGGACAAGCCCATAGAGAGGGCAAATGAAGATTGGCAGTGTTCATGGGAGGATTCCATAGGGCAAAAGCCGGAGCTCTGCTTGGCATGGAGAAGGAGGCCCCGATTCCTGGCATGGGGGGGGGATGGGGTTGGCATTTACAGCCCAACTCTCCATCAAGGGACTCAGTGTCCCCCAAGTCTGTCAGAGAAACATGAGTGGAGGCAGGAACCAGCAGAAATTTTAAAAGGAAGATCTTTAATTTTCTGTTGCAACAGAGTCCCTTGCAAGGATGTGAGGACCTGAACAAAGGAGCGTAATAACTTTTAAAGGCTTTAGATATTGCCCAGCCCCTTAGCTAAAGGCCACCCAAAAGCATCATACAAGCATCACAGAAAAAGGCGGTCAACAACAGAAATTTGAGAGTGTAGCTTGTCTCCTGTCTGTCAAGATAATATTTGCTGATTGTCTTTCCTTGCTAGTCTGGTCCATTCCTTTGAAATGGTAAATACCTATTTATAGACAGAAGATGCTCTTTCAGTCGGTCTGCTTTGGCTTTAACAAATACTTGCCAGACCAGTTTTGCAGAGGTTTATCTATTAACAGGATTTGAAGAATTTGTGAGTGAAACAACTATTGGGAAAAGTTTTCCAAAATGAGCCTAGATGGCTTGGGGATTGCTCTGTGTACTGAAATGAAGTATTTTTTTCTCAGGGATAGCACACACATGGAGAACCAGTGGCCTTCCATATGTTGTTGGACTCCCAATTCCCATCTTCCCTGACCATTAGGCAAGCTGGCTGGGGCTGATGGGAATTGGAGCCCAACAAGATCAGGCAGACCACAAGTTCCCCACCTCTGCTGCAGGTCTTGGAATAATGTTGGCTTCAACAGGTTTTTTAAGTGGCAAGAGTTGTGAGACTCAATAGCAGAGAATCTGCTCTGCATGCAGAAGGCCTCAGGTACAATCTTGAGGTGACTCTAACCCTGTCCCCAAATTAGTGGGACAACACACACTCAACTTATTGCCTCTGGATGTGATTAGGTGAAAACCCAGTGGGTTCAAAAGACAAATAACACATCATCCAGGTTCTGTACCAAAATCTGGACATGTTACTCCCCACAGGACCTCCCGAATCAAGATATCTGGCAACAGAGCAGGTGAGTCCAGACCAGAGTCTGCAGTGGCTGACTGACTGATGCCATGCCAGGTCCATGTGGGTAGTGCCAAGCCAGCTAGGACTACAAACACACCTCACACAATGCTGCTCCTGTTCATGCTCTCCCCTGTGCGCCCATTGTGGGAGGCAAAGGACTTCTGGGCTTGAGCTTTATCTGCCAGGAATTAACCCGGAGAGTCCTGCTGCCATGGCGGATCAAACAGGCGTACCTCCCTTCGCTGAACTCAGTGGCGACGACTCGCAGATCCTGGCTGGGCAGCAATTCGAAGCCTGGCAGCGAGTGAGAGAGAGGCTCTCCATCTTTATACCAGCTGGAAGTGGGAAAAGGCAGGAGTCAGAGGGAGGAGACTAGCTCAGCCCCACAATTTGCATCCTCACCAAAACCACATCTGTTATGTACTGAGTTGAATAGGATCCAAAATGCAGCAGTCTGATTGGTCCGCAGGAGCCACCCAATCCAGCTCCAGGTGGAAGTGAATCCGCAACCTGATTGGCCTACAGGAGAATCCCGGAATTAGCCAATCACGTGGGGCCCATTGTGTAAATAATGTATATAAAGCAGACGTTTTGGGGGAACTTCCATTCCTCGCTGAATAAATGAGCTGAATAAAGAGCATGAAATCCATTCTCGACTCCAAGTATATTTCAACATGCATTTGCTCCTCTGCATTTCACATGCTAGTATGGCAAACTTCCCTACTTCAGGCTAGGGAAATGTGGGATTACCCTCCCATATGTACTCTGTCACCTAACAGCGCCTTGTTTCATTAGGGACTTATCCACATGTGATAATGTTGAGGTCTGGTGCTCACTGCAGTAACTGGTAATTGCGAGTTAAATATTGTCTCCAGTTCTTGTGGGTTGGAGCGAACACTCCACCCTTTAGCTTGTGGCTACTCTCGTTTTCCTACATTGCTGTGTGTTCATCTATGAGCAGGCTAACAGTGTCCTGCTCTGGACCTGCAAAGTGAGTAACCTTGCCTTATATTAACCAATAACTTATTAAACAATAAGACCTTAACACTTGCCATAAGTGACAGCAAGCAAAGACCAGTTAGCTTAGTTCATGGGTAGGCAAACTAAGGCCCGGGGGCCAAATCTGGCCCAATCGCCTTCTAAATTCAGCCCGCGGACGGTCTGGGAATCAGTGTGTTTTTACATGAGTAGAATATGTGCTTTTATTTAAAATGCATCTCTGGGTTATTTGTGGGGCATAGGAATTCGTTCATTTTTCTTCTCCAAAACATAGTCCAGCCCCCCACAAGGTCTGAGGGACAGTGGACCGGCCCTCTGCTGAAAAAGTTTGCTGACCCCTGGGCTTAGTTGGTTAGAGTGTGGTGCTGATAAAGCCAAGGTTGCAGGTTCGATCTTCATACGGATTCATGTTCCAGCACTGCAGGGGGTTCGACAAGATGATCCTTGGAGTTCCTTACAAATCTTTGATTCTATGAATCCCATCATAAAGTTTGGCAGGGGTGTGAGAGTACCATCAATTTAAATCAGGGGTAGACAACCCGTGACCCAAGAACCACACGTGGCCGTTGACAAAATTCCATGTGGTCCTTGGCCTAATTCCATGCAAGTGTAGGGGGGACGGGGATGGCAGAGAGGGGGAAGGGGATGCCGTGGTCACTTCCTGTCTGGCCTCCTGCACTTTGGGGTTCAGTCCTGGCCACCGCCAGAATGTAGCCCCAGGGGAATGCCGCCCTGGGAACAAAGCGTTATAGGAAAAAACTGCTCTTTTTCCCTTCTGGGGTATCCAAGAGCCTATATAGAGTCCTTAAGTGGGTTCCCTATTGGTGGGAGAAAATAACAGAGGCCAACCAGAGAATGTTGAGAAGCAAAGCGGCTAGTAAGCCTGTTATTAAACTGTTTCAATAGGGTCCCCATTCACCACACACAGGAGGGAGAAGGGAACCCTGAACACTGGCATGCAAGCCCTTATATAGACTTTTGAAATTGCCCACCCTGTAGCTCAAGACCACCACCCCCTTAAACATCATACATACATCACAGAAGGAGGCAGTCTACAGCAGAAATCCTGTCTGCCAGGATACCTATTAATGGTCACTGATTGCTTTACCTGGGTAGTCTGGCCATTCTTTTGTGATGGTTAATACTTTTAGTTTTTGAATACAGGTCACAAGCTTACCCTGTTCATACACAAATATGCCCTTAAGACAGGATTTGTAAGCAAAAAGACAAAGGGAAGGCTTTCCCCATTTTCTCCCTCCTTCCAGAGAAATATATTGAGGACAATTTGGGAGTCAAAATGGTTTAAACAAAATTTAAAAATTCCTTCCAGTAGCACCTTAGAGACCAACTAAGTTTGTCATTGGTATAAGCTTTTGTGTGCATGCACACTTCTTCAGATACACAAAAGCTCATACCAATAACAAACTTAGTTGGTCTCTAAGGTGCTACTGGAAGGAATTTTTTTATTTTGTTTCGACTACAGCAGACCAACACAGCTACCTACCTGTAATCAAAATGGTTTGGGAGAGTCAAAATGGCTTCAGGATTGCTCTCCTGTACTATTTCAGACACCGTGGTTTATATTCTTACCGGTATGAATGTGCTTGCCTTGTACATTTATGAACATTTATTTTATATTTGGGACCTTAGAATTCTTATAACAAAAGGTTCCCATGCTTGCTTTAAATGTTTTGGAACATATTTTGGACTGTGCTCTTAGCATGCAGTGAAGGGAGATGTCTCTCCTATATCTTGCCTACAACCCTGCTGCCTACCACCCCAACCTCATGCCCACCATATTGTCCCACTGGCCACAGAGAGAAGTTGGGTTAGGGAGGTGGGCAGGTGGCTGGATTGCTGCAGCCTTTTGGGCAGGGTGGGAGAGAAATCACAGGGTTTCTTACTGTGGCGTTTGCCCCTAGGATGCATCAAGGAAAGAGTTAAAAATGGGTGTTATGTGATTGGCCAGTGAGAATGCAAGGGGGGAGTAAAAGATAGAGTGGGAGGTTTTGAAAAGACAGTTGAGGTTTGGGAGTTGGCAGTTGAGGTTTGGGAGTTGGGAGTTGAGGGTTGAGGGTTGTCAGTTGGGAGTTGAGGCTTGGGCTGGAGAAGGAAGAGGGTGGAATACGCAGTGGGTTGGTTGAGTTGTATTGTGAGAGAGTGAGAGGAATTGTTAGGGAGTTAGATAGATAGTTGGGAATAATTCAGTTTGAAGTTGTAGGAACTAAGATTTAAGAAACTGACAAGAGAAAAATAAACCGAAACCATACGCTTATTCCTGCATTTAAAAATAAACTTGATTATTTGTTTATGTTAACAACTGTCTGGACTCCGTGTGTCCCCGTGAGAAGCGGGGTGGTGGCAGCGAAGAAAGCAACCACAGTGGTGGCACAGGGTCAATAGACTGTGAAACGTCCGGGGGCCCTGTGTGATCACCACACTTACTTCTCCAGAGCTCTAAAAGAAACATGCACCGTGCTCAGGTCAGGAGGCAAATATTATTTACCGCACTGGCCAGTGTTGCAGAGTCTGCTTGAGAATACACACAGGGGTTCTCACCTGGCTTGCAAGTGCAACCTGGAAGAGTTGAGTCCACAGCGGAAGGTGATGACTTTGCCCTTGGAAATGTATCTGGTGTGAACGCGCGACGGACGAACAGGCAGGGAGGAGGCGGTGGTGGCCGCAAGGTGCTCTGTAAGAAAGAGACAGAAATGACTGTTGCTATTTTGGGGTGGGATTCAAATTCAGGTTACGCAATTGAAGCTGATTTGGAGCTCTTGCACAACAAACCGTCACTCCCCCCTTCAAAAAAAAAACAGAGAGCCCGCTGCAGAGCAAGAGCAGCAAGCAGCTCCCAGTCTCACCAAAGCAGGCATTACAGATCCTGGGGCAGTGCTTCTTCATGAAGGCTCGCCGTCGGTGTGTGCAGAAACCTTTTTTGGCCCACAGCTGGCACTGCCTCTTCTCATCCACACAGCCTGCAAATTGAGGAGGGGGGGAATCACACGTAAAGCAGCTGTGTCTAGACCCTGGTTGAAACAGATCTGGCTTCAGGGAGCAGAGGAGGTTTCAAGTTGCAAGGGTAGAGGAGCTGAATTAAAATATATGAAGAAATTCATTTCTGTCAATTCTGGCTTAAATAGCGATCACAGTTTTCCATCTCACTACAAATGTTGATTAACTCGCAGTTCTTATTTTTGCACACATTTAAGCTTTGATGAAATCCTTACATTTCATTTTCACTTGCCTTCACTGTTTGAGTTGTTTTTCTCTACACCTGTGTGTATATAACACCTGCCAGCTTAAGATAAGAAAATGAACCTTGCTTGATCAGACCAAAGGCCCATCAAGTCCTCCTGCATCCTGTTCTCACAGTGGCCAACCAGATGTCTCAATGCAAAGAACCTGAGTGCAACCATTCCTGACTCGAGATATCCAGCAACTGGTACTCAGAGGCTCTGACAGTGGAGAGAGAATGTAGCCGTCCTGGATTGGATGAAGTGGACTATGGTCTATAAAACCATAATAAACCTGTCTGGCTGTAAGGTGCCACAATATTTTTTGCTACAGCAGACTAGCATGACTGCTCCTCTGTGGTCATCCAAACTCACAAGTGCCGTCTTTTAGCTCTGGCCCAACAGGAGTTGTAGACATACTATTCAAAGCCTTCTTGCAACCTAGTCCAAAACAGGCCATCAACCTGCCCAGACCAGCTGTAGAGGCATTGCCCCTTCCTGCCTAAACTGGAGCTGAAAATCAGGCTCAGATTAAGGGCTGAGAGTTACATGGCTTTAGTAGAAACGTTATAAGGAATTAAGTATAAATAGATTAATAGAGCATTAAAGGAAAAAATAAGGTTAGAATGAGTTAAGATAATTATAGGATAGAAAACAGAGGAAGATGGAAAGGAATTGCTGAAATAATTAACAGAAGTGGAATACAAAAAGGGAGGTGTGAGGAGGTCGTGGAAATAAGTGAATGAAAGATGGGATAATGAAATTGTTTGATTTATTTTATTGTTTTTGTTTTGTTCTGTTAGTTTAATGTATTGTATAGTATTGTATTGTATTGTATTGTATTGTATTGTATTGTATTGTATTGTATTGTGTCTTTTTAGTGTTTAAATTTTTGGAAAAGTAATAAATATTATTTTTTAAAAAATGAGAGGGATGAAACAAGTTTGCATTTGGGTAGAAATCGAAACTGGAGTTTGGAGGTGGGCTGGGGAAGTTTGCTAAAAGGATTCTGATAACAGAAACAGCTGCATAAGACTGTGAGCTGGATTGCTGACTCTCTCTGCCTCTGGCCTACAGCTGCCTGCTTGTACAATTTAACAAATCCACTACAGAGCTAATCTAGGAGGGTTATATTATTACCACCAATAACAGCTGTTGTGAATTGTCCATGTGCTTATCCTACATATTGTATAGTGTACATATTGTGAAACTGGGGGCAGCCCATCCCGTTTCAGCACCCGAGAAAAGGTGAGGCATGAGCAAAGGAGTGACAATCTCCGCACAGTTGCCCCGTAGCAGTGCAGGTGCTCCCAAGCTGAACAGGGAAGTCTACTGGTACCAGATGTTGGAGCTTACTGGTTTGGAACCGCCTGCCAGGTGTGCTCCTCACCGTACAGCCGCTGTATGGCCCAGACGTCATCCTGGCCAATGCGCCACGTCCTACTGTAGGTGGCATTGGGGTGCATGAGGGCGCGGGCATCCCGGGAGTGCCAGAGCCCCAGGGCATGGCCAATCTCGTGAGCTGCTACTTGCACCAGGTCATTCAGCCAGACGCCTGCCAAAGAGAGAAGGCAAGAGAAAAAGAAGAAGAGGACCAGAATTCCTCTGCCACCTTTGCCTGGCATCTCCGCAGGCCAGCTCCAAATAAAAGCCCATGCAGAAAGTTATAGGAACCTCTGGAACAACATCCCACCAGTCTCACTCTCTTCTGAGAGGGATGGAGAACCTTTAGGCTTCCAAATGTGTTTATTGGAAGGCATTAATATACCACTTAATATTTCAAAATAGTGGTGTTGTTAGGTTCCAGCCCTCAACCCTCCCCTCAACAGATCTGCATGGGGTCAGCGGGTGGGCTGCGTGTCTGAGTGTCTGTGCAAGAGCCAGTGGCCACATTCACTGCTGGATGCAGCCCCTGTAGAGTTGACATGGGGTGAATGTGTCCCCTGCTTTGTACAGTAAGGTGCATTCAAGCCACACTAAAGTCAAGTGTTTCTACATACAGAGACTCCTTCCGTTCAGGTAAGTCAGAGGCAATATCACAGTTCAGACAGGCAAAGACATTTGAGACAGTTGGAGAGTTGTGGTCTGCAGAGAGGGGGCGTGGCCTCCTCTCCAAGGGCCAGCTAGAGAGGCCCGGGGGCCACATTTGGTTCCTCAACCCATAGCAAAAACCATCCACTCTCTTGCCCTCACCAAAACGTGTAGGCGCTACTTTGTGCACAGTACCTTGCTTCCAGCTGAAGCGGGAGCGTCCCAGAATCCAAAATTCATGATTGTCGAAGTGGATCTCGCCGCGGGGAGGGAGGAAGGCATGGGCCAGCTCCCCATTGAGCCCATCGAAGCAAGGGTGCAGCGGGGAGAACCAGCAGTCGGTGTGGTTGAACGTGTAGAAACCTGCTTGACGGCAGCCAAGACGACAGAGGGATTGGTTATTGCCAGCATTTGCTCCCATAACACAGTGCACAAAGTTTCCATCATATATCCCAACAATCCAGCAAGGTAAGATAAGGAGAGAGAGAGAGAGAGAAAGAGAGAGAGAGAGAGAGAGAGAGAGAGAGAGAGAGAGAGAGAGAGAGAACCTGGCAGTGGATTTGCCAACCTGGTGTGTTCTGAACAGCAGCTCCCAGCAGTCCTAGGCCAATCTAATGTTGTTGTTGTTTAGTCGTTTAGTCGTGTCCGGCTCTTCGTGACCCCATGGACCATAGCACACCAGGCACTCCTGTCTTCCACTGCCTCCCACAGTTTGGTCAAACTCATGCTGGTAGCTTCAAGAACACTGTCCAACCATCTTGCCCTCTGTCATCCCCTTCTCCTTGTGCCCTCCATCTTTCCCAACATCAGGGTCTTTTCCAGGGAGTCTTCTCTTCTCATGAGGTGGCCAAAGTCTTGGAGCCTCAGCTTCAGGATCTGTCCTTCCAGTGAGACTCAGGGCTGATTTCCTTAAGAATGGATGCATTTGATCTTCTTGCAGTCCATGGGACTCTCAAGAGTCTCCTCCAGCACCATAATTCAAAAGCATCGATTCTTTGGCGATCAGCCTTCTTTATGGTCCGGCTCTCACTTCCATACATCACTACTGGGAAAACGATAGCTTTAACTATACGGACCTTTGTTGGCAAGGTGATGTCTCTGCTTTTTAAGATGCTGTCTAGGTTTGTCATTGCTTTTCTCCCAAGAAGCAGGCGTCTTTTAATTTCGTGGCTGCTGTCACCATCTGCAGTGATCAGGCCAATCTAATACCATCTAGTAAACTGTGGAGGTGAGGACTCGAACCCATAGATTCAAGTTACAAGAAAGGAGATTCCAACTAAACATGAAGTATGCCAGAAAACAGCTTATCTCCTGAGTTTACGCCAATAAAACTCAGAAACGAGAGGAGTTAGGAGTCCAGCGTTGCTTACTGCAAAGCAATAGGTTACAATGGGATAGCTCTGCTAAGGTTGCAGTCCCTCCCAGTGGTTCGGGCAGTGGTATTTATAAAGTTTCAAAGAAAGCATTTCAATTTCCACCAATTATATACATCATTACCTCATTTAAGTTGTTAGGCTAATCATATGCGTAAGCATTGGCTGTTTCTGCTGACTAAGCTCTGATTCCCACAGTGTTCTGCTATGACCCTGCATGAATACATTGTGTTAGTGTGCACGTTGGGAACCTGTGTTACGTGTAGCCATTTGCATCATTTAGCAACGTATGTTCTAGCTTTATGCTGTATCTTTGTGATTTACATATTAGCTGTATTTCTGCCCCAATTGGGGGGGGGGGCAACTTGCAGAATCAGCAGTTTCTTAAAGTGACAGGCTACCATAACTTCTCTATCAGAAGCATACTCAAGGATTTACAGGGATACACATTATTGCATTGATTGTGGCCCTTTGGGCCACTGCCACAAACATAGAATTTGTAGAGTTGGAAGGGACCACAAGAGCATTGCAGGAGGTTGGACTACATGATTCTCCCACAGCCCACTGCCAAATCTCTGCTCATCAGCAGGGAGCTCTTGGTGGAAGAGACCGAATTTGCGCAGTCAGTCAGATTTTGCTTGGACTTGAGTTAGTTGTGAGTCTGCGATTGGTATGGTGGAATCCAACAGGTGGTGTTCAACTAAGTTTTACTCAGAGTAGACCCACTGAAATTAACAATCCTGGCTAAGTTTGAGGCATTATTTCCAATGAGTCTATTCGGAGTAAAATGTAGTTGATTACCACCCAAGATGTGTGAACATCTGAAGAGGACTTGGCCGACTTCTGTAACTTTTTCCTTTTCCTTCATGCCGAAATCCTATCCATTTGATATAAGCTTTAACAGGTATTGTGTCATGTCTTCCGACATCTGCATTGTAAACTGCATTGCAATGCATTTGGTGTGGGAAGTCTTCTCTCTGGTCCAGCAGAAGTTCGTTTAACTGTCACTTGGGGCCTTAACTGACAGCTGGTGTCAGAATTCTCATTACGAATAACAAGGTTTGAAGGGACTCATATTTCAATTGGTGGGTTCAGGTTTGGAATTTTCAGTTAGACAGTGTGATTGGCTGGAGCTGGACTAAGAGGGGCCAGAAGAATGGTATATATAGCCAGGAGCTGGGGAGAAAGGAGTTAGTTAGCTGGCGTCAGCCAGAAGAAAACAGCAGAGAATCAAAGGAAGCAGAGGAAGACCTGAGAGGCAGGTGGAGTGCCTTAGTGGCAGAAGACTTAGAATCATAGAATTGTACAGTGAGACAGGGGTTCTCCAAGGTCCATCTAGTCCAACCCCTTTCAATGCAGGAATCTTTTGCCTAATGTGGGGCTCAAACTCAGGACCCTGAGATTAAGAGTCTCGTGTTCTGCCAGATGAGCTATGGAGCTGCGTCACGAGACAGAGGCTGAAGAGACGGTGGGGGAACCCGTCTGCAGCACTTGAGGGGAGGCGTGAGAAGCAGCGTGGGACGTCAGCCTCTGGTGACTGGTAGGAAGAGGACCAGAGGGAAGACTTCCAGGGCAGGGCAGCAAGGCAAACCTGAGCTTCAGTACAGGTCAGTAAACACTTGGGAAAGGAGCTTTCCAGCGGAGGGCTCCGTTATCCCACTGGTGAGGTTTAACCAGGGGGTGGAGATAATAAAGCGGTAATTTGGCTAAAGGGTTTTTAATAGGGGGGATGAACTGCTTCCTTCAAGCTGTCCTGGGACAATAAGTAATTGCCATTTCAAGTGACAGTAACAAGTTTTTACGATTACGATATCTTTATTGTTATTGTCCCTTGCGGAACAATGAAATTGAAAAACTACATAAAACTACCACAAAACTACATAAAACTACATAAAAACTACATAAAACATTCAAAAACCCCTAAAAACTCTAAAACCCCATTTTAAAATACACTATACTACAGAGACCCCTTATGCTGCGTTTAGAACCAGAATTGCATTTGTGTAGAAACTGTTTCTCAGGCGGCTAGTCCTGGCCTTTATAACCCTATACCTTCTTCGGTTGACTCATCCAAAGAGCCAGTGCTATTTTAAAGGGACCAGATAAGCTTGGGCACAGAATAATCTTGTAATAAATAAATGCAAGTATTTCATTTATTCAATTTATTTATTCAAATACCTTTGTTAAATGTTGTATCTGTACCTGACTGGTTTAATATTACTCCTGTACCTCACAGCTGCCAGGTTACTGGGGGAATAAGTTAAACTGAACGGTGGTGGCAGAAGCAGTATAAGAGAACCACAGAGGTAGGTGTTAGGTTTTGTTTTTGTGGGGTAAGAGAATGCCGTGCTTCCCTGTTCTGCAGACCAGGAGCCAAGCAAATATGAGACGTTCAGAAATCTCCTTTTATTGAAGATTTCTGGACTGAATGTTTGCCCACACAAAAACAATTCCATTCCACCTGGCAAGCTAGCAAGTCAGGCAGAAAAGCCATCTCCTTGAGATTATTTATTTTCTGTGTGCTGGAACTTTTTCTGGAGGAGCATTCAGTCCTGTCATCCCCCCCCCCACCAGCAAACTGAAGTGGTACAGGCCAGAATCAGGTTTCCCTGCCTCACTGAGAACTAAGCCATAATTTAGGGGGGTCTCTGGGAGAAATTGTAGAACTATAGAATCGGAATGCAGGAAGAGAGAGAAGAAAGCAGCAGAAAGAACAAAAATTGTGCTTTCATTTTAAAGGTCTTATATCCGTTAACACCAAAGGAGCCTTTTCTCCTTTGCATTTTGAGGCTCTGAAGAAGAGTCTAACAACACGTGGGGTGTATGTGTGTTGTGAATAAATTTCTCCAGCCTCCCTACTAGTGATTGGCAAAAGTGCAAGAAGCCGAGTCTAAATGAATACAGACATGGTCTTTATCTTAGAGTAGGGGGTGTTCCAACATGGTGCCTGTAGAGGCCATTCCTGATGCCCTCAGGGGTTCCTCTCCCCTGCTGAAATTAGGATTATTTTATTTATTATGTTTATTTATTAAATTTACACATCGCCCTTCATCAACCACCCCTTAGGGCGGCTCACAGAATTGAAAGAAGCATTGTATTGTAGTCAAGAGAATAGGTTCTGAGCCCCTGTCCTATGATCCGGGTGCCCTGATGCAGCAGAAAATATCTGAGAAAAGGTGTGAATCCCACAATCATAGATGAGACAAAGATGTAGCATCACCAGACTCTAAACCAGGGGTAGCCAACGTTATGTATCAGACTCCCATCCGCTTCAGCCAGCATGGCCAGTGGCCAGTGGCCATGGGAATGGTTGCCCACAACATCTGGAAGGCAACATGTTGGCAACCTCTACAAACCATTTCCTTGAACCAAAGCAGGGCTAGGAATCCCCAACTTATTTTATGTTGGATATTTGTCGCTTACCAAATCTCCCTTCAGAAACACAAGACACAAGTCGTTCTCCTACAGCCCCTCTGTTTAAGTAACAATCACCCATTTAGACCAACATTTTCTCTTGTTCTCCCCCACACTCCTGCATCCAGGCGAAATAAATCCCACTCCTGCTGCCTCTCTCCATGTGTCTTCCATTCCCTCTGCTGCCTTTTTCATCTCTGCTGAGCTCCTTTGAACTTTCTCCAACTAGCCCAGATGTAATAAATCTGCCAGGGGAAGTCTCTCTTCCGCTCTTTGGGTTACGCCAGAAGCAGTTTGGAAGAGATGTTAAAACAGTAGCAGAAGGGAGGGGAAGGAGGTAGAGAAGCACCAGGGGTGGACTTTGGTCTTTCAAATTTCAGCGGTGCCCTGTGCAAGGTCAAAATTTGGTTGTGTCCCGTCCCGTCCCCCCCACCTCTCGCCTTCCATTCTGCACACGCCTTGTGTCATAGTTGCAAGGCCCTGTGGCACTTCCCTCAGCTCTACGCCCAGGGCAGGGGAACCAGTTGTGCTGAGCTAAATCCACGTCTGGGAGCACAAGGCAGACCAACCCACGGCATCTGGGCACCATCACAGGCACTTTCTAATATTTCCAGGGTAGTCCCAACCTTGAGCGTTTTCACATGTGGAATAAAAATCAAAATGGCACCACTACAGTCACATATGTGATATGCAGAATAGATCTTGGAGACAAGAAGATCGCAACCCCTTCTAAGATATACCTGCCCTATCAAAGGCAGTAAGGCTCTGAATGCTAGTTGCTGTTGCCCATGGGTCCTGCCTGGGGGCTTCCCATAGGCATCAGCCTGGATAGCTCACTTGGTTAGAGCATGGTGTCGATAATGCCAAGGTTGCAGGTTCGATCCATGTAGGGGACAGCTGCATATTCCTGCATTACCAGGGGTTGGACTAGATGATCCTCAGGGTCCCCCCTCCAACTCTACAGTTCTGTGATTTCTATTCAGCCACTGCAAGAGCAGGGATGCTGAACTAGATGGGCCTTTGTCTTGATGCAGCAGCTGGGAGCGCCTGAGGTTCTTACCTGCTCCTCAAAACTGTTTCTAGAAGCAACAGCTTCACTTGCCACTTGGAATATGAAAAGCGACTAGGAAACTGCTCTCTACAGTGACAGAGGAGCTGGTGGGAAAATGACTGACAGTAAGGGAATGGGGTGATGGGCAGAATTAGGGCAGTGGCCCCTCCAGACTGGTGTGCAATGGCAGGTGCCTTGGGCAACATATTCCTGACACAGTAATATTGCATTAGGGATGGGTTCATTATACAGCTCCTACCTATAGTGATGTCTGCCAGCTGGGTAGGGGCCAAGCGCCGGAAGCTGAGGGGAGAAACATCGCTCCACATGCGAAAGGCGCTCGCTATGGCTCGCTCGGTGTCCACCTTGTTGAGGGTGCTGGGGAACTGTACAATCCTGCAGCCAGAAAGAGGTAGAGAGAGCAAGCCAGGGGAAAAGCATAACCAGGAACATTATGAGCAGCGGAAGACTGGGGTGATTTCAAACTCTTGTGCTGGCAGGTTCTTCCACCAGGGGGTGCTGTAGGGAGGATACAATCCTCAAATGGTCAGTCTAGCCAGTATTTTTTGGGTGATGCTACTCACGTCTCTTTCTCTCTCTTTCGTGATGGCAACCTCACCACTTTCATTGAAATATGAATACTGTCACGTTACCACCACCCCACGTGCAAAAAACCACCAGGTCTAGCCATGCATACCAGTGGCAAAATCCACAGGGAGGGTGCCAGTACCAAGAAGGCCTTCTGTCTGGTTCCCTGTAACCTCACTTTTCGCAGTGAGGGAACCACCAGAAGGCCCTTGGAGGTGGACTTCAGTGTCTGGGTTGAACAACTGGAGTGGAGATACTCCTTCAGGTATACTGGGCTGAGGCCATTTAGGGCTTTAAAGGTCAGCACCAATACTTTTGAATTATGCTCAAAAACACACTAGGAGCCATTGAAATCCTTTAGGACCGGTGTTATATGGTCCCAGCAGCCACTCCTAGTCAACAGTCTAGCTGCCGCGTTCTGGATTAGTTGTAGCTTCCGAGTCACCTTCAAAGCTAGCCCCATGTAGAGCGCATTGCAGTTGTCCAAGCGGGACATAACCAGAGCATGCACCACTCTTGCAAGACAGTCTGCGGGCAAGTAGGGTCTTCCCAGCGTACCAGATGGAGCTGGTAGACAGCCGCCCTGGACACAGAATTAACCTGCGCCTCCATGGACAGCTGTGAGTGCAAAATGACTCCCAGGCTGCACACCTGGTCCTTCAGGAACACAGCTACCCCATTCAGGACCAGGGAGTCCTCCACACCTGCCCACCCCCTGTCCCCCCCCAAAAAACAATACTTCTGTCTTGCCAGGATTCAACCTTAATCTGTTAGCCGCCATCCATCCTCCAACCACCTCCAGACACTCACACAGGACCTTCACTGCCCTCACTGGTTCTGATTTAAAAGAGAGGTAGAACTGGGTATCATCCGCATACTGATGAACACCCAGCCCAAACCCCCTGATGATCTCTCCCAGCAGCTTCATAGATGTTAAAAAGCATGGAGGAGAGGATGGAGCGCTGAGGCACCCCACAAGTGAACACCCAGGGGTCTGAACACTCATCCCCCAACACCACTTTCTGGACATAGCCCAGGAGGAAGGAGCAGAACCACTGTATAACAGTGCCCCCAGCTCCCAACTCCTCTGGACGGTCCAGAAGTATGTCATGATCGATGGTATCAAAGGCCGCTGAGAGATCCAGCAGAACTAGGAAAGCTTTCACCTTGGTCCCTGGCCCACCAGAGATCATCAACCAGCGCAACCAAGGCAGTTTCAGTCACATGATGAGGCCTGAATCCCGACTGGAAGAGATCCAAGTGGTCTGCATCCTCCAAGTGTGTCTGAATTTGTTCAGCAACCATCCACTCAATCACCTTGCCCAAGAATGGAAGATTTAAGACTGGGCAATAGTTGGCCATATTGGCTGGGTGCAGCTTCTTTAAGCAGGTTTGGGAAGACTCCCTCACAGAGGGAGGCATTTGCCACCACACGGAGCCCATCGCCCAGCCCTTCCTGGCTCACTTTTTTTTCCGTACTCTGGCACACAAAAAATCCACTTTTGAAAAATTGAATTTTTGCAGTTAGGAAAGTGATGGAGAAATGGAATAAAAGAGGTGAAATAGTTTGATGATAAGATGTATAACTGCTGCAAAAGCAAATCACAACAAATGTTCGTTGTCATTTAACTTCCCTGAAAACCAATCAGAACAAATGCTTAGCGGACATTAAACCCCCATGGAAGCTTTGCACAAGCAAATCAGGGTGAATGCTCAAAAAACAGATTGTCTGGAGGACCTTACATGAGGTAACATGCACACCCACCGGGAGGTAGTCCAGTTGTCAAGCAGAGATGGAAAGCATCAAATCTAGTAGTACAGAGCAACACGACAGCTCCAAAAAAAAAAAATCTTATAACAATAAGTTGCCCTGTGACACTGTATTTAGTAAGCCTGCAATAAGCAGGCTATTGGTTCCCCACCCCAAATAAACATGCTTACTTGTAGGTCAGATTCACGTGGTCCCATTTGTAGCCTAGAGGGTTGATTGCATAGCGCCTCCTTCTGGTCAAGCCTTTGTTGGGTTGCCAAGTAGCAGAAGCCACAACAGATTGGGCTGCTTCGTCCCCCTGCAAAAAAGCAAGGGCAGGGGAGGCCATTCAGCAAATATTTTGAGCCATTCCAGCTGAAAGCCCCATTCTAGTCTTAAACTTGGAGGATCCCATGTTCTCCCCCCCCCCCCCACTCTCTCACACACATGCCACTCCCCTTAACCTCAAGCTATGCAAATGCTAGTCTTCCTGGCTGGCTGCCATGTGGAGAAATTCCTCAAGCACCTTTTGGGAGCCTCCAGCGAATTGAGGCTGTCAAGGAAAAGGGGTTTGTGAGAAGCTACCAGGGAGAGGGGCAGGGAGGTGTGCATGGAAGAAGGAATTCAAAGCTGCAGCCCTGTGCACACTCACCTGGGAGTAAGCCTCACGGAACTCAGTGAGACTTCCTTCTGAGTCGCAGGCATGCCTAGGATTGCCCTGCAAAGGTCTTACCTTTGACCAGTCCCCTTTGCAACCTCTCCTCCCTCCACCATGAACTTGAACGGAACTGGTATTGTTTAATTTGCATCCCCTTTCCAGGGACAAATGTTTCCTCTCTGTAGAAAGCTGCTCCCATCTAACAGCGAAGAGACCCCCCCTCTAAATTCCTCCCCCCCCTCAATTCCTGTCAACCACATTCCATCAGCTTCCCTTGCCAAGCACAGCCCCCCCAACTCACCTCTGCCTCCACATCTTGCAGAATCCAAGGAGCTGCAGGCAGCAGAACGAATACAACTGCTGCTCCAGCGGCTACTGCTGCTGCCCAGCCCCACTTTGACATTTTGGGGCACACAGGGGGCCTCGGAGCTGAAGGAAGTCCAGGACTCTGCATGGAGGCCACTCCTGCCAACGTCCTGGGCCTCTAGGATTCACCCATCGCTGCTGCCTACCCCATGAAGATGTGCAGCCTTGCAAAAAGGAGCTGCTGCCGCAAGACGGCCAGCCCCCAGCCTCGCCAGATTGGATCCATCTGTCCAAAATACACAGGAACAAAAGCAGGCGCCTGCTGGAACTTCCAGATGCAGACTCCCATCTCTTCCCTACGATCCAGAGAACCGCCGACATCCCAGTTCCTCAGCACCGCAACCACAAGGCGCAACGAATGTATGAAATTACACAGGAAGTTGCCACCCAGCCCAGGAGTGTTTGCTTGGACTGGCGATGGCTCTCTGTGGTTGCGGACGGGGAATCTTTGCCAGCCCTCCCTTGAGATGTTGGGGGTTGACCCTGGGGCCTTCTGCATGCCAAGCAGATGCTCAACCACCAGGCTGGGGCCACCCCGCAGTTTGCCACAGCCGGTGTGGTGACAGCCACTGCTGTATTTGTTCTTTCCTTGATAGATGCAGGCAAATTCAGAGAGGATGAGCCTACCCGCAAAAACCATTTGGAACCTCTGCAGCAGACAAGGTACTTTTGAATACCAGTTGTCAGGAACAAAAGAACAGAAAGCTGTTGGCTGTATTAGCTGAGCTTGCGAGATTCATCATGTGGCAGGTTGCAGAACTTGACGAACCTTCTGGCGGACCAAACATAGAGCTCTTTATTGCCTCCCTACACCCTTAAAGCTGCCAGCCTTTCTCATCTGTTGCTGCAATATTTTTGGTGCTGAAACACAGGAAGAGGGATAAAGAGGAGAGGGCTGTACAGCAAGGTCAGAAAGGGGGAAAGGATTTATTATATTTTGACTATTTTGTTGGAAGCTGCCCAAAGTAGCTGGGGAAACCCAGCCATATGGGCAGAGTATAAATAAAAAATTACTACCACTACTACTACTACTACTACTACTACGGCAGCTTTGGAAGGGTGAAGGTGCAAGAGGGCTGGAACAGGAGCACCACAAACAAAAGTGTTTGCAAAAAAGCAGAACATTCAATATGCAAAACTGATGTAGCTGTAACTCAGCTTACAGCCTTAATTCTGTTTCACTTCTGAATTAAGTGTTTTGGTCACCATCCTTCATGCAAAGAGTACATCTTACCCCACCCTCCCAGGCATGAGAAGCATCTTGTCCTGCAGCCCTGGTGATGCCCTCCTTAATCTTACCTGCTGCTGTTTCTGTCTGAAGGGAAAGGGAGAATCTGGCATGGCCTATCCACGCATCCATGTTGCCAGGCCTTCACCACTGGCAGTGCTCCAACTGTCACAAGACTCTCCAGACGTAGGTCTGGGGCTAAACCAAATGGAGTTACTGTTGGAAGACCCAGCAGTAGAGATTCAAGCATGCCAAAGAAAACATTAGAAGGGGAAGGAGAAGCAACTGTTAGCAGTTAGCAAGTATCGACGCTGCTGCAATCAGGACAGAAGGGGGCGCTGTCCTCCAGCAAACCTCAGTGGCGTGGAAGGAAAGGATTGTAGAGCTTAGTGTTAAGCTTGCAGAAGATCTCAATTGCATTGTTGACGACACTGACAGATGGATGAATTCCCTGGTACAATACAGGATAGCGTCCCATGTTCACATTTTTGGCCTGTGCAAGCACTTGCCACATGTAGGGCCTCAGGGCCTCTGTGTGGGCTGCAGTTGCAAGCAGAGTACCCAGCCAGCAGCTTTTGGAGAGTGCAACATATTCTTGGTGCAGCCCCTCTTGCTCAGCAAAGGCCTGCCGTTTCCTACTCCGAATTTGCACACTGCCTCTGTCCCAGAAAAGCTGCCCAGGCCAGAATCAACACTACAGACAAGCGAAGACTTGTGCTGCTTTGGCCTGCATGCAAAACTCTGGTTGAAATCTGCACTGAGATGGGGAGGGCATTATTTGCTATTTTTTCAAGCTCCTCTTGTTTCCTGCACTGTTTTAACCCCACCTCCTCTTCTTCCAGGCTCCTCTGTGACTGAGAACTCATCATGGTGGAGTTAGGACCAGAGCTAAAATATAGGAGCCATGGAGGAGCTGTGATAAATTGACATGTTTTGTTTTGCTTTTTAAGGAAGGAAGGAAGGAAAGAGTCCCATCTCCATCTGGTGCACCAGCCCTGCCAAATTTAAAGTTCCAAGTTTGCAAAAGTGCCTAAAAGTTGTTCTCTCACTCACGAGTAGCAGGAGATCTTGCTAGTGATACTGATGCTGAGCCATGGCAGGAACTTCCCAAAAAGGACCTTCCCAAAAGCTCAACAACTTCTGTGTCTGGATTTTCACTTCTTGAAATAATGGGAACCCTATATTAACTTTCTGGTGCTGAATATTAAAAACAGGTTTTTGATGGATGAAATTAGCCTGTTACTAGTTTGGCACTTAAGAAAGTTACTAAGGGTTCACTGCAAGCAGGGGACCGAGTCTGAAGTGGTTAGTTGTACTTGTTCAACTTCTTTCTGATGCTAACAGCTAATCAACATGGAAGTGTAAATAAAGCTACTTGAGCCTGAAGTGAGATTGCCAGAGTTTGTTGGTGAGGAAGTCATTGGATTCCATTTTTATTTAATTTATATATCCTGCCTTTCCTGGAAGGAACTCAAGCCAGAATACATCAATATACTCCCCTACCCTTTTATACTTACGGTCACTAGATTGGGCTAGTTACTCTTAGTCTAACTTAGCCTATGAGCTTCATGGAAGTGTGGGGAGTTGAATTTGGGTCTCCCGGCATAAGGCTCTATAATAGCCACTGTGAGCCTGATCTCTTGTCCTTCCATTGCTATCTGGCAGGAAATTTGGAAAAATAACCAGCTCCATCTGCCCCAAGGTGTCTAGCACCTTCCCACTTCCCCACCAAAGGTATCAACTGTGACACAGGCTCTGAATGACACCTGTCTCTTTTTGACCACTCAAACCAGTGTGCGAAAAAAAGCCCTTTAAATTTGAGTTGTTGCCTTATTCCCTACTCCTCACATCAGGGTCTGTTGATTCCCTCCCTACTACTGGGGTTCATCATCTGCCCTCAACCATCAGAACATGCCCATCTACATTATAATGCTTGTGAAGCCAGTTTTTATTAGGTCACGATAGGTAGCTTTCAGCCACAACACTCCTTAAAAAAAAACCCTGCCTGATCCCTTTGCCGCCTTCCCTTCCTTCTATTATTCATAAAACGTCTTGTACTTTGGCTACTGGGGTCTGCAGTGTGTGTTTGCCAAAATCTGGGAATCTAGTGATCTCCCATATGTCTAAGCCACTTGGGTTCATATAGGAGCGTAAGATTGCAGGTGTAAAAAAACAGTAAATGCTGTGATCTCTGGGAAAGACAGGGTGCAATAGGCTGGTTCTGTGAATAGCGAGAGGGATTTGGCTGGGAAACGCAGGGTGCATTGTCTCAGGATTTTAGTATTTCCTAGGGCTCCCCTGTATTCCTTCGTATCTGGGTGAGCTAGGAGTTGAGAGGGAAGTAGAGGCAGCTATTACTAGGTGGTAAAGACACAACTGGCCTACTCTCTGAGGCAGCTGTGCAATGAAAGATAAGGAGGCTCTAGTCTACTGAGCTTTCCACTTCCACTGCAATCCGCAAGCTGTCTGGACATTCATCCGGCACCTCTGACAACTAGCCAAAGGCAGCTATAGATTGTAGCCTGCTAGGCATTTGACAGGGTAAGCCAGGCTTCAAAATCAAGTGGCTTATGACGGCCCCCCCATAAACAGGCTGATGCATTCAGTGAGATGAATCACATTGTTTCTGTCCACTCTACCTGGCCCTGACCTGATACCCTGGATGATTATTCCCCTGTAATCTGCCAATCACCTATAATATGTCATATACCTTTCAGGCTAGATTCGCCGTGAGAGACTAAGAGAAGCATGTGCAACCACCCACTGCTCAAACCGTGCTGGCAGGCTTCACAGAGAATAAATCCCCCTGGTGGTGAAGTTCCTTCACAGCAAGCAAGATAACATTTTCAATTGGAGCCTTCTATGACGCTGCAGAATCCAGAATCCATTCATGACAGCAACGTAAGGAACACCTCCACGCCACAGCCTAATGTGTAGAGTGATAGCATCCACTTTCTGGCTTGCCTGGAAAAGCAGGGGAGGTGGACTGGCTCAGTGAACTGCCACTAAACCCAAAAATACTAATAGGAAGGTTGAGCTGGTAAAGCACTAAAGCAGCTACATCAGAGCCCAAAGGGCACCAGGTTGGAGATGGCTGCCCTATAGCAAAGTTATATGAAGAGTACCATTTTCCAAGTGCAAAGTGAGCTTTGACTAAAAATCCTCTTCAAGGTTTCGTTTTTTGCAGGGTCCAGGACTGCAATGTGGCACAGCAGAATTCACTCTGGCCATCTCCAGGCCATCTCCCTGCTGGCTGCCTGGTTTTTATAGGCAGTTTCTACTGTCTCAACAGTTACTGACCGATTTCCATAGTGAAGCAAAAACTAACATTTGAGCATAAGTTAATGCTTCCAAGGCTGATCCTCTCCAAAAAAACCTCAACATGCGCTGGATATGACTCCCGTCAGTGTGATAATAACTGAAACACTTTACTCAAAAGACCTCTTCTCCACCTCGACCAATCACTTGTTATGACACAGCCCTGAAGGGAGGGGTGGGCTGCAGTGTGGTGTTCATGCTGTTCTTATGAGCTACGATAAATCCCAACAGGTCTGGCTGGTTCCCTAACGGAACTGAGAGTGCATGGCAGAACACTTCCCAGAAACCTGCACCAGGCAAGAACTCCACAGCAGTCATGTGGGGACTGTTTAGCAGAGAAACCTCAGTACTTTAACACAATGACCTTTGTAGATGTGAGTTGTGTATCAGTAACAGAAATGTGCTTTTGTGGCAGTTCTGTGGCGGCGCTGAGTGCTAATGCTGTCAAGACTTTGCTCTCCCTCAATTGTAGGCAATGACTGCAAGGCTGAAAAATACAGCTTGATTGCTGACACTATAGGACAGAGCTTTCCAAACTATGTGTCACGACACATTAGTGTGTCAGCTGCAGTGTGTAGGTGCGTCGCGCTAACGCTCTCCATGCTCCTCCAGGGGCTGGAAAGCAATTAGTTTAACCTCTTGCTTGCTAGTAAAAACTGAATTACTGTGTCATGAAATGATACATGTCTAAAAAGCGTGTCACCAACCTGAGAAGTTTGGAAAGCTCTGCAGAAGGCCAACAACTGGCAAATGCACAGGGATGCAGCTTTGGTCCCTTCCCAGTTTTTAGAGCACAGGGTAGCCACTGTCTGGTGATGGATCCAACCCATGACTCCCCTAATAAGAGCACCACTTACAAACAAGCTGGTTCTACATACTTTTATTGGGTTTAGAACTGGACAAATCACAAGTGTACAAAATGGTAGACCACACTATCAGAAGCAGAGGACTGTGGGTTGCAGCAGCATTTCTATTGACCCAAAAGCATTTTGGGAAATGAAAGCATAAACTGATTGGGCAAAAAGAAAAAAGGGTGGGGGCAAGGGAGAGAGAAGAGAATGGAGGCAAGGAATTACGTAACTGGCCAGTTCCAAATTAAGAGGACAAAATCTGTAGATTTTGAAAGACAAGCTGACCTGCCCTCATGTGCCTGCTGGGTTTACTTTTTGGAGGAGGGTGTAGTTCTGATTGGGGGTGGGGAAGGGGAAGGTGCAGGGCCCCAAGGCTTTGAAATGTTGTGCTATGCCCACCCACCCCAGCCCAACAAGGAGCAGATGCCAACCCTCTGCCTTTTTGGTCACAAACCTTCCCAGAGCAGGGCTCCATATCAAGGACTCTACACAACAAAGAGGGAGGGGAAGTGTGAGCCCCACTCTGGCTGCACAGCAACAATCACAACAGCAATAGCAAGCACAGGAGCCAGAATCAACTCAAGGTTTGCCCAGCCTATGGTTTTCAGGCCTATTCTACAAGTACATATGCACAAGAACTTCCAAAAATACTAGGATATGATGCAAGTAGTGACACCAACAGAAGAGGAGGGTTTTATCACATGGTGGTGGATGTTCCCTAGAATGACCACAAGGGGGTGGTGGTTAGACTGGCCCATTTATACCCTGGGACAGAAGCAAGAGGTAAGCTGTGGCGGGGGGGCTCTCTAGCCGCCCAACGCCAGCTGCAAACTCCAACAGTGACTGAAGCCAGAGCAGGCACCAGTGTTCTTTTTCCAGAGAAGCTGCAGGAGTCTAGCTTCCAGCCTCTGTATGGAGGAGGGGCCAGAGAGATGCTCTTCAATTGTACTTTGAGACCAAGGGAGGCTGGGGAAGAGGGAGCCTGCTGGCTGCTGAGGGCTAGCATCTTGTCTCGTAGATTCCACTCCTGCCAATGTACCTCACCCATTTGATCACATCGTGGTCACTGTAGTTCAGCTTTGGCTCAAAGACTTTCAGGTAGCGCACCTTCAGCCCGGATGGTGCAAATGGGACCTGTGCAAAAGGAGAGCAAGGATGGAGAGCAGAAATAAGTCTACAGCCTGGATGCCGTTGGTAAAAGCTGCCCACCCCAACATACAGCACTGAAGAAACTGCTCATAGCAGGAGTCTTTTTTAGTTCTCTACCACCTCAGCAGTTCTGAAGATCTCCTTAAGTCAAAAGCCAAACTGCTGGCTACTCTTTAATAATTCCAGTAAGAAATCTGCAGCTGTTACCCAGAAGCACACAACTGGGAGACAGATTTAAATACACAAGTGGCTTGCAGGATCCTGTTCATTCCCCAGCAGGGACATACTTGAGATCTTCCTCAACCCCCCACTTCTATCCCATGTTCCAGAGTTACCCTGTAGTGTCCTTGTGGAATGCCAGTTAAGCAAACTACCTTGCCAATTACCGTGGCTTCTGGAAGCTAATGACTCTCTCATTCCAGCTTTTCAACTCTTAGGAAGACAGAAAGCATGGCAGTTCGGTTTGCAGGGGATTTCTTAAACTTGCATCATAATGGGAATCAGGATGAGAAGTCCTATAGTGACCTTTGGGGGCATACACACAAAAGCTATGACTTCTGTTAATGACTTCTGTTAAACAGGGGCATACAAGAAATTAATGCCTGTGCTCACTGCACCTTTGTTTTTGCAGTAATGCTGCCCCTTCCTGGAGCTGGAATAATTCATAGGTGACTTCAGCAGCCATCCAGGAAAAGACTCTGCCCTCGTACCTCAAAGTTCATGGAGATCGGTGGCCGAGCCCATTTCTTCTTGTCGTTGGTGGGAAGAAGTTCTATCTCTGCGCTGATCTGAGACTCCTTCATTCCAGCCATACGCTTAATTCTAAGAAACGAGAAAAGGGAATAAAGAGGAAGCTGTTCTCTAAATCAGGTAAGCCTGGAGGGGAGTATGAGAACCGCCAGTACCAATACCCTTATTAGGCTACAGTTGCCTAGAGCAAGAAGTGTGACAGGACTGACTTACTTCCAGACAATGGCATTCTCACTGGCCTTGTATTTTGCCTTCCCTTTCATGCAGATGACCTGAACGCCACTTGTATTAAGAGGTGTTGGGATTCGCACCTGGAAGACAGAAGTAGTTTGAATTCCATTTCAACAGAAATGTCATTTCTGTGGTCATTTCAACAGAACTTTTCCCGTTTGTCAACAAACAGTCCAGGACACATAAGGAGCAGCTGACTTTGCCATCGATAGTGAAATGTATGCCAAAAGACTGTAGCCATGCTCAGGTACTAGCAGTGTGGTTCTGTTGCAGTGCAAGCATATCCAGCCAAAACCTGCATCATATCCAAGGACAGTTACAGCACTCTGATCTTCAGAAAAAGCAAAGGCTTTGCAAAGGCCTGACAGCATCTATACTCAGGCACCAAGAGGGAAAAGCAGGGACAACAGCCCCTGCCCCCATCTTTCATAGGCTAACAAGTTGGAGGTGAAGTGACTCCTTCCACAGAAGCCCCCTCCCAACACCACTACAACATACTGCTGCATCTTATGCAAACCTGATGCCCTTGTTGCACTTACCTCTATCTTCTGAGCCAAGAGGGAAGGCTTAAAGTTGGATTTGATCACAACCTTCACCTCCAGCTTGGTGCGGCCCACCTCCCGCACCAGGGGGATCACACGGAAGGGCAGGATAATGTCCTTAGTGGTTCGATACCTGAGAGTCAAGATTTAATATCCTTTAGTGGATGGAGGGGAAGGCATCCCAGTGTCTCACCACTGGATGGTGACAAGAAGAGAAACAGATATGCTTTCGCTTACAGAAACAGAGGGTGGCCATGCCACAGTCTGCAAATCCGCTCCTTGAGAGGACACTTGATCTGAAAGGACAGCCTGATGCTAAACCACTTGTTAGTTTTTGAAAGGAAAGAGGACATAATGGACAGAGCAGGTGTTAAGTACAGTTAAGTTAAAAACTGCTCTCAGTCTACTTTGCAGAACAATTAAATGAAAATGCAATTTAAAAACCTGAAAAGGCAGCCACATCTATTTCCAGCAGGCAAAAAGGTGCTGAGAACAGTGGAGCTTATGTACATTTATTGGGGAGAGGGAAACAGAGTTTCCGTTCAAAGCCCAACTGCACCGGCTGCCAATTAGTTTCTGGGCCCAATTCAAAGTGCTGGTTTTGATCTATAAAGCCTTAGCCCGCTCAGGACCGCAATAACTCAAAGACTACCTCTCCACATATGAACAAACCCAGACCCTGCAATTGTCATCTGAGCCCCTTCTTCATGTGCCTCCTCCACAACAGGTCCAGAGAGCAGCAACACAAGAACGAGCCTTTTCCGCAGTGGCTCCCCATTTGTGGAATGCTCTCCCCAGGGAGGTTTACCTGGCGCCTTCATTATATATCTTTAGGCACCATTTGGCCTCCAATGTCTCAAGCAGAAAAGTGTCAATCATCACCACCTCACGATCAATGCAATAGTTATAAGCTCCACCCCTTGTGCCAGTTCTGTACTCAAAAATGCAAGTGACCAAGTGAAAAATACTTAGCTGTGACTTGCAGGGAGCCCCCCCCCCCCCAATGATTCCCCTATGGCAGCCAAGGCAGAGGCAAACCTGTGCAGCAGCCTATTCCCACCAGCCATACCTCATGAGTTCAAACTCGCCGTCTGGGGGTATGAAGCTGATGCTCCGCTCCGAGTCAAACTTGCTGAGCCTCACACACTGGTGGAAGGTGCAGTCATCAATAGCAATCGACTGCTTCCCGCTACGGCACAAGAACACAAGCAGAGTCACAATCAGAAGCACTTGCTGGCATGCATCTGAGGCTGCAGCAGTACTCAGGCTATCAGCTGCAATGAGACTACTCTACGGAGCACTTTGCCATCACAGAAGGAATTATGAAGTAAACGAGGCAGAGAGGAGAGCAACTGGAGCCAACCGATTCCCTCACAGGCAGTAGGGCTGTTTGGCTATCCATCAAGACTCAAGTAATAGGCTTTTCCCCAGCAGCCCACCAGTGATCGCTATACAAGGCTCACTCCTGCTCTGCCCATAACACTTCATCTGGCAGACTGGAGTCCAGTCTGCCCTGCCCAAGCCCTTTGGGTGGAAGAAGCAACATAACCCTACAAGAGGGATTTTGTTCAGACCATTAAGCAACACAAGGCGGAAGGAGCTCTTTGCCCTCCAACCTTTGCATTTCCATGTACCAGAAAGGACTTGGGGGCCAGAAAATTTCCTCTCTAGCAGGCTTAAAAGATCAGCAAAGTCACTGGAGTTTAGTGGTGACTTACAGCATCCAGTGAGGTCTCACTTTTTTGCATCTTTTGCTGAAAGAGGCAGGGGAGGCTCCCCGCAGCCACTTGTAGAAGAAAAACTCCAGGAACAATCCAACACCACCAAGATCTCATTGCAACTCTTGGCTAGTGCAAGTGTTGAATGGGATCAAGCGAATGACACTCGAGACACAGACGTCATTCAAGGAGGGTGTGCCAGAGTACAGAAGGGTTGCTTCCGGGCCACAGGGTACAGAAGGGGGTGCCCAAGACATGGAATGGGCATAGGAAACAGCTTGCTTCATATTTATATGGTTCAGGCTTTGTTTCAAGAGGGAGCTGGCTGAACAGCCTGACCAGTATCTTTTGCCGAAAGGGTTTGGTAAAGGCTTCACTTGGCAACTTGTCTCTTGCATTCTACTGGGAATATCTCTTTGAAATTCAGGCTCTCTCACACACACATATGATGCAGTGTTGAAGAAAAGTAATTTTCCCACAGCCCAATGAATTTACTTCTCTGCCCACTGTTATCACAATAAAACCATATTTAGATTCATCTTCCTATTCAAACTTCTCTCATGGGTTTCCCCACCTGCTTTCGTACCTGGGAGGAGGAAGGAGTTCCTGCGCCATCTGGCTACTCTGCTAAATGCAAGAAGCCAACCACAGCCTTCGCCAGGAGTAGTAACCCCTACTATAAAGCCTTATGAAACTCGCCCAGCTTGCGCAGGACTGTCCCCAGACCAGCCTGATGGGACAGCAACACTTTGTAGTGGGCTTTGTTCCCTAGAACAGGCAAGTGGCAGCTCAGCCTTCAATCACAGGCATGACCTGTGTGGAAGTGTCTAAAGATGGTGGCACATGCACAAGTCACACAAAGCAAAAAGATGGGGAAGGGGTGAGGAGTGCGTGCACACAGCAGTAAGCAGGTTATCTACCTTCCTGTTTCACTGGAGTCAGCAGAACACAAAAAGGAAAAAAAAAGAATTCATTAACAAAAGTGGTTATCAGGGAGTAAGGAGGGCCTCAGAGCCAGTCAGCCTGCACCACCCCAGGTGGTCCATTTGAAAACTGACAAGACCACGGACAGCTATGCTTTGGTTGAAGCTGACACGTGGAGGGAGAAGCAGACCAATGCTGGTTGTGGCATTATTCCACCCCACCACTCCCATTCATTCCACAGACTAGCTAGCCCAGCGGGAAGGGACGCAATTTCATGGCTCTTCATTTACAGGCTCATAACATATAATACACACTAGATTAGGATAGTTTGCTAATTGGCCAAGCCAACAATAGGGGAATGTTGAGTGGAATGAAAAATCAGCTTTGCTTGGTACCTCGTTAAATCAAGATTCGCTATTTATACCTTCTGCTGTTCTCACTCCCATTCAAAACATCATCGATTTGGAAGTAGCAGCAGCAAGTCTAGAGAACAATCGACTAGCTTACTGGAAATGGGTTATAAACAAAAGTGGTTCTGGTCTCAGCAGGGTGTAAAACAGGAACAATCACCCTCAAGAAAGCTAGAGTGGCTTCCCAAATGAGAAGGGAGCAAGACAGGGCAGAAAGACACACAAAGTTCAGCTGTGCCAACTGGGGCCCACAGTCAGCCCCCACCCCTACCTCTTCCCTGTTTCATCCGCAGTCCCTTTGCCTTGTTTCTCAATTACAATCTTGTCATTCATGCCAAACTTGCATTCTGGCATTCCGCTCAGGTAGCTCTTCATCACCACCCTGCCAGAGACATGGGCGCTCAATACCTGACCTGGAGAGAAACGCAGAAAGAACAACTGCTAAAGCAGGAGAGAAGAAAGTGTCATCACCCTCAACCTCCTTCCTTTATTTCACTAGAATAGGAGCCCCTTTGCTGCACTTACCTTGTGGTGACATCAGCAAGTTCACACTCTCCAGCACATCCAAAAAGAGTTCATTGCGACGATATTTGATCCCTTCACGCCTCCAGCCAATTTGACCAGTTACCTGGCTAGTAATCTGAGATTGCTCTTCCTTAGTCTGAAGGACAAAGAACATACATGCTTTTAGGAGCCCAATATGTCACGGGCAAACTCTACCAACAACAGAAGATTGCCCTGCATGACAATAAACTTGCTACAAATAGACATACCTGCAACCACTACCCATTTATTCTATGAACACCCAAGGGGCCAGTGGGCAGATCAGTGTGGAGAACATCAGTCACGTCAACTAGGAAAGGAGGTAAGTTCTTAGGTGCATCTGTTCTAAGGGTCAAGATTTCAAAGTTACACCCCCATTGGGTTTGGAAATGTTACAATTGAAAGTGCACTCTGCCCTCGTATGTGCTCTGGAAGCAGGCACTTGCAAGCCAGGAGTACGACAAGGAAACACAATTTGAATACTACAAGGAGGCTGAAGATGTAGTTATGCCAGAGCAAGGGTCACTGCCCACTCCGCCCAATCAACTGGTTTTTCATCCCAAAAAGACTCTACAATCATTCATGCAGTGCAAGGCCACTGGTCAGTCCCCGTTTCAGAACCGTCTCATAACTGGTGCCCCTTTGGAAGGACCTGGGAGGAATTGCAAATTTTCCTACCTGATGCTATAGGCAGGTCCACCAGTCACACGCAGAGTGAGAAAAACAGATGCATAGCAGCAAGCGCAGCACATACAGGGTTAGGAGCCAAGCAGGTCAGTGGGAGGGAAGGAGGAAGAGAGAAGAGTGTTATGCTCAGGACAATCTCAGGTTCTACAAAGCTGCTCATCTATTCGGTTAATAAGCCTGGCCGAGGGAGGAGTCTTCTAGTAGACCTGCCTTCTCAACTTGGTTTGAGCAGAGCTGGTAGGAGCTGCAGACCGAAACATGTGGAGGGCACCAGGTTGAGAAAGGCTGGACTAGACTAGGCTGAGAATGCCAGCAATGGGGAATAAATAATCTAACAGGCAGGACTGCAGGGCGAGACTCAAGGCCAGATTGCCTGGATGCCTCTGCAACTCAGGTGAGCTGGAGACAGAAAATGCTGTACTAAGCTAAGTATCTGCCCCTTGAGAGAAGCATCAGAAATAGAGGATGATTTCCTCTTAAATTTACAACCTATATATATATATAGAGAGAGAGAGAGACCATTTGTCCATTCACATGTGACTTGACACATGGCAATGGATCAATTCAGACCACAGGCTAGCTTCTTCTTCTTCTTCTTAATAATAATAATAATTTATTATTTATACCCCACCTATCTGATTGTGTATCCCCAGCCACTCTGGGCAGCTTCCATCAGAGTATTAAAAACAGAATAAAACTTCAAACATTAAAAACTTCCCTAAGCAGGGCTGCCTTCAGATGTCTTCTAAAAAGTAACATAGTTGCTTATTGCCTTGACATCTGATGGGAGGGTGTTCCACAGGGCGGGTGCCACTACCGAGAAGGCCCTCTGCCTGGTTTCCTCTAACTTCACTTCTCACAGTGAGGGAAGTGCCAGAAAGCCCTCGGTGCTGCACCTCAGTGTCCGGGCTAAACGATGGGGGTGGACATGGCAAGTATCTACATCCTGACCCAACTCCATGCCTATATCAATACCAGAACACACTCCACCTCTCAAAACTGGCTGGCATGTTGGCCACCCATGTCTTTGACAACATCTGGTATCCAGGAGGTGGGTAACATGCCAGTGGTGGGCAAACAAGGCGGAACAGCAAATGTCAAGTTTACCTCTGAACAGCAGGCTAGTTTCTAGAGAGACTCATACACCTCTCTTTATTCTCTAGGAAGGCTAGCAAGAGGCATTACGAGAGAGTTCAAGGACACATTCTAGCCAAGTAAAAAAAATTGAAGGCGGGTGCAAAGTAAGGCAGGTGAGGGGTGTGCCTGAGAAGGGGGTTTGTGGGGGGCAGAGTCCCTAGAAACAGACTGAGGCCAGCAGGGTTTGGCCCCCAGGCCTGAGTTTCCCCATCGCTGGCTTAATACTACATCCAAAACTGGCCACTGATTATCCCAAAGGTACCTGCCGAGCAGCAATATGAATCTGGTCTCCACTGCTCTTTCCCAGCACCAGACTGTTCATCCATATCAGCTGCCCACAGTGACAACTCTTCACTAGTCCCCCTGTTCTAGGGCAGCCTTTTATCTACACATCAACCACATTCCTGTTACCTCATGACAGCATGCCAAATTACTGTCCAGGACTCATTGCATGGAGGCTGTACAGGCACCACTAGTATTAGTGCAGGTCAAATCTTTTGGCCAATTTACAAGCCCTGTTTATCTATACTTAATCTGTCCCAGATTACTTACAGCATAAAACATGCCACTTTTCATGACTCCTTCCATATGCCACCTTGAACTAATTTCTGAAGCATCATTTGAATTACAGTGCTATAGTTCTGCTCCAGTCTTGTGCTTCTGACCATTTCCAACATCCTTCTCTTGCCCTCCACTCCAAAAATAGAATCACAGAATTGTAAAGTTGGAAGATACTCCCAAGGGTCATCTAGTCCAACCCCCTGCAATGCAGGAAACTCAACTAAAGCATCCATGACAGATGGCCATCCAACCTCTGCTGAAAAACCAAGGAAGGGGAGAGAGTCCACCACCTCCCAAGGGAGTCCCTTCTACTGTCAAACAGCTCTTAATGTCAGAGTTTTTCCTGATGTTTAGTTGGAAACTCCTTTCTTGTAACTTGAAGCCATATCTCATTCTTATCTTTCCACCTATACTAAGAGACCAAGGGCAGAAGATCTGTCGCTTTCTCACATAGGTTTATTACAACAGTGTTAGTCTTTAGTCAGCATCTCAGCTTATTTTGATACAATTGCTAACGCCAGAGAGTCATTACAGGGCATTCACAAAACAAGAACATATAAAACCACAATATATATAATCAAAATAAAAACAGCAACCAAATAACCCCCCCCAAAAAAGAACCACATTTTAAAAGGGCATAGTATGTTTTAAAAATAGCCATTTTCTGTCACAGTCATTGAGAGTCTGTGGTCACTCTAACTAATCATGTACAGAAAAGTGCACACCCCATATCCCAACTCTTCCTACCCTCTTTCCCATTTTTTACCTGGCTCTTGATTCCTTGCTGAGTTATGAAGGTTTTCAGGGCCCCCGTCTCGGAATTCTGAGGGTAACCAAAATCCAGGATTTCTACAGAAGGGGGTAAAGAGTTATCAGAGAAAAGGCAACCACCAGAAAGTTTGGTGCATCAACTGCAGCCTTTGCTCACGCTGACAAGCAACCACCCAATTCCCCACACCAACTGCAATCATGTTCGACATTGATCCCACGGAGCTGCCCTATAGTCTGCAGCAGTAAAGGTAAGACAGACAGTCCACTTAACAGGATGGAATCCAGACATCCAAGGGAACCTGCTCTGAAGCAGGATTATCCAACAGCAGCAGAATAATCTATCTTTGCAGCGTTTTCTTTAGGTTTTGATTTTCGCATGAGCATACCATAAAAATCAAAACCTAAAAAAATAACAGCAGAGTAGCAGGTGTCGCAGGGCAGGCCGACCAGCCAGGCTTGGGAAAAAGAAAACTGCCATTAGCTGCCCCCACCCAACCCCACCCTCTGAGCTGCCTCTCAGGATCCAGATCTGCAACACAAATAGGAAGTGACACTGTGCTTGAGGACCTGCTTCCTGCTACACTCCAGCAAGCTGAAGATCTAGAAAGCCTTCCCACTCTCTCTACCAGACAGGCTTGAATGAAGCTTTAGGAACCAGGCTCATAAATTCCAGCACACTGGTGCCATTCCTGGAATTCCACTATCTTTGTCACATTGATACAGCAGTAATTAAACCATGACCACAGAATTTGGGAACTAAGGAAGCTTAATTACATTCTTTGGATCACAGAAAGGCCAGCATTAAGAACTAAAGTGAACATCTGCCACTTTGTAAATGAAAGTACTGAACCTTTTGAGTAGTAGATAGCCTGTGGGAATAGAGTTGAACTGAAACATCTCTCAGTAGCAGCTGTTAAGAAGGTTTCTTTAAACCAAGGCTTACCAGACTGTTAAATGAGGGTCTATATTTTTCCCTGAATTAAAATTGCAAGCACACTTCACTTTTCACCTGAAAAGGTTTGCTTTTCGAACACATGGTTCACTTTTTAAAGCATGTAATATGAAGAATTACCTGCCCTCGCAAACCTAATCACATCTTTCTGTATGTGAAATGTTCCACGATGTGTCTAATCTGAGGGCAGGTAGTTCTGCAGAGTCCCTGCATCAGAATGGTCAAATAATGCAGCAGGAACAGAATTAGGGGTGCCAACCGGAAGGTTGCAGTTAGAGCAGCAAATTCAGATGCAGCCAATTGTCTCCTTGGTGCAAGTTAGGGACTAGTCAAGCCATGAGACTTTCATTAAAGCAGAATTTCTATAAGTACACTAGTGACAATTATGGAGTTAGTGTAAGCTAAGGCTGTTCAGCAGAGTTCTACCTCCCAAACAAGTGGTATTTGTACTACACACACCCTGCATTAAATAAAGTCTTCAGTCTGCAACTTAATTCTACAAACTCTACAAACAAAGCACACATTATGAGTTGAAATCTTGGTTACAAAGCTAGGATGACTGTGTCATCTCATTCACTTGATGGAAGAAGACAAGGTAACCTCCCCATCTTAAACTCTATGCAGAATTAAATACAAAGCAGAAGCAAACTACTGTACAGAGAAAATGAAGTGCTTGCGGTGGGCTACACCCAACTCAAAGTTTTCCCAGCTGCACCAGCTCGTTATAACTTTAGCATTTAGCATTAAATGGAAAGTTATTGCAAGGCTAATAATAACAATAATAATTTTATTATTTTATACCCCGCCCATCTGGCTAAGCACTTGGGAAACCTGAATGTTTACATCAACAACATGCCCAACACCTGCTAGCCCATACTGGCAACCCCAAATTTATAGTGAAAGTTCTGGGCATCTACTGCAAACAAGCCCCCCAGCATTGAGTCAGAACGGCTCATCCTCACCATCCAGTAGCTCATAGATGAGCACGAAGTTGTTCTTTATGTTCTCTTCACTGATCTTTCCAAAATAGGCTGTCATCACATCACACATCTTGTAGAGGAACTCAAAGACCATGGCAGCATTGACATTTTGCTTGGTGACAGCAGCCAGCCAGATGTTGGAACGCTTGACATGGAAGAAACTGGTGCGGGCAATGTTGGTAACAGGTGAGCGCACTTGCTGCCGTGCATGGATGACATTGACCCGGAAGGCATCCACTGCATTCCGCCTGGAGAATTGGAATGTGGCAGGAAGACAAGAGTGAGAGACCAAAAGCACCAGGCAGACAGGATACATACTATCCCACCAAGTTGTTTACCTATATCTCTGCTGAAGAAACCAAAGTGTTGTTGACAGACATAGGCATGCTGACCTATTCCTCCAACTTCAGAAGGCATGCTTCTTAAGGATTTAATCTGGTTTACATGTATAGTCTATACCAAGTTTATTATTAAATAGATGGAAAATTTAGCTCTTAATCAGCGCTTTTCAACTAATGACACTTGAACAGCCAGGCATATGGTGAAGTATCACAAGTTGAAAAGCACTGCTCTAAGCAACACTATGGACAGAACAACAGTATATTATATTGCACATGAAGCAACTGCTTGTCGGTGTAAGAGCAATTTCAGCAGTGGAACAAGCTGCCCAGGAGGGCAAGGAATCTCCACCCTGGGGAGATCGTCAATCAGGAAGCTCTGCAAGCATCTATGGGAATGTTAACAACAGGGAACTTCCCAGGGAACTTACTGGGTCCCTTTCAGCTATGGTAAGAAACTTCAAAGCAGTACCTTTTAGTTACCATTTAATGCTTTCAGGTACCAAAGCACATCATTCTTCATCATCCATGCATCTGCCAATGCATACTGAATATTTGTTGCAGTAGTGAATGAGAGTCTGTTGCAATATACATGCTCCACCAAACTCAAATCAAGTCTGTGTGGCATCATGGCTAGAGTGCCAAGTAAGACCAGGGAGATCCAGGCCCAAATTCCCACTCAGAAACCAAGCTTACTGGGAGACCTGGGGACAGTCACTCCTGCTTGGCTTAGCCTACCTCACAGGACTGCAAAGATAAAATGGGAGGTGAGAGAGAGACCTTCCAAACTACGTTGAGCACATTGGAGAAAGGGCAGGGTGTAATAAATAAAGCAAGGCAAGGATAGAGCACTATAAAATGTACAAGTTTATCTTCTCCAAAGCCTCCCAGATCTGCCTTTTGACAGGGAAGAATACTGAAGGAAAAACCAAGAGAGGTGAAGCCAGAAAGACAGAACACCTGATTTGTTGAAACTTTGGTGCTCAGCTGCCTGCTCTACTCAGAGCTCCAAACTGCCTTTAGTGCTGCAGACAGATGTTATATGTGTCTGCTTCACTCTTAAGAGAGAGCACTTTCCAAGCTTCTTTTGCATCGTTACTACGTGATGGATCTGCTCAAGTAATACTAGCTCTAAGAATAATGGGAGGAGACTCAGGTGTACATAGCTTCTCAATACACCAGTTTTCTTGAGGTCAGACAATGTGTTATACAAGCGACTTAAGAGTCTGTAGGTTTCAACCTCTTAAACTGGGAGGGTGCTGAGTTGCTTTGAAATGGGCCAGACTATTTGCATTAATGTTAACATATGCTTTTGATGTAATACTACAGTGACTTTGGCCATACTATTAAATTTGCTATATCAAATCAGTTCCCCCATACTGCAGTGCCCATTACATCCTGCCATACATCTCTTACCTATTGCTACAGCAGCCAATGAGATGGGATGAACAGAAATGGCGCCAGCGAAGAAAAAGGAGGAGTGACAGCAACAAGAGAAAGGTTAGAACACACACATACACACACAAAGCACAATGAATCTGAACAAAAAGAAAGAAAAGAAAGAAGAGACGACAGACAGCAACCCCCTCCCACTCCCAAGTTTCAAAGTGGTACTTAAATTCCCTAGGCAGCAGCAGCTGAAGCTCTTACAGGGGCAGCAAAACATACAGGTTTAACACTGTTCATGGAGAACCCAAGGTCAAGAGACAGCTACAGATCATGGCACTTGATGCCACTGATAAAATATGGGACAAGGAAGCCAAAGCTTGAATTAGCCTTTGGCCACACTTTTAATAGCCTGCTTTGCTTTGGCTTTAACTATTTCTAGTCCTCAGCTGCAGAAACTTGAATGCCAACATTCATGCTCAGAATGTTTTAGAGTTTGCATTATTAGCTAGCTTTCAAGTCCATCTTACAACTTTGGAGGCCAACTCGGCTGCTTTAGGAGATGGGAAGCATCAGCCTGCCAGTTCTCGAAAGTCCTTTGAGGCACAAAACCACCAACTGAAATAAATTACTCTGTTTCTATGAGTGCAGCCTCATCCTATTTATAACAAGTACTCCTGGAACAAATACTTCGAGTTTTGAAAGTCCCTGCCAAACACTTTTCTTTGCCCTTAGCCCCAGTTGACAATTTCTACATCAACTGAAGATTCAGAGGGATGGTTCCACTTTTCAAGCCATTCTGACTCTGCTATGCAAATGCAATATGAAGAAACACAAATTTTAAAAGAATTCAAGTAGCAAGTTGTAAAGCCTCACTTCCTTTGATGTTTAAGGCAGCAACTTTACATATGCAAGTTCAAGTTAGAATATGCTCAGATTCTGTTATTACCATTTAGAAGAAGACAGTGTGCTGTTGTGGACAGAGCAGCCTATATCTAGCCTACACATCCTTTGCCACATCCTTGTCCATCTAAAAGTGGTGGCTGCAATCAGATATTTCTATGTCCTTTCCTAAAGAATACTTCATTGAAGTAGTCAATGCACTGAAATATATCCTAATCTGAACAAGTGTGCTCTAACTGAGATAAACTGGTAGAAATACAAATACCTAAATGCTAGTTATGTTTTGGAACAGATTCTTGAAAGCTACTGAAGGGGCAAGTTCTCAAAATTCAGTATCTGGCAGCAATGCTAATGAGGAAATACAATGACGGATCGGTACCCAAACTTCATAGCTGCCTAATATGATTGTCTGTACTGCAATATTTTTTATTTTTTGCCAAGCCAACATGCAGCTAGAAGATCACTGCTGCACACTAGACAGACATGATCCATGCATACTACAAACCTGACCAGAGAAGTCTTGCATGAGCAGTATAGTAATTCAGGACATTGCTTTATCGAACTGTTATATAGGCATACTAGGTCAACATTCCAAAGCCACATGGCTCTGGTAATTTGTCCTCAATGCATGAAAACACATTTCATGGATAACAGAAGTTATGATTTGCCCAATAAAGCTTTCCTTCTGTAGAAACTAGGAAAGGCATGGCTAGCAGCAATAGATCCTTGCATGTTCTCTGCAAGACACCAGCACAGATAAATTCTGCTCCCCACACCTGCTTGTAATACTAAAATCTGCAAGTAGAAACTTAGTAGTGGCATCACTTTTGTTTAGAACTGCAGCCAATTCTGCATCAGTGGCTTCTGGAGTGTCACTTGGGACTTGCTGTTCCAAGAATGAAAATTATATCTCAGCAAAGAGATGGAGTTATCTAACAAATCTGTTGCCAAGTGAGGCTTATAACATTGTTACATTATTTTGCTGCCCTGGACAGAGTTATTAATAGTGTGGAATCTATTGGGAAATAACAACATTATCTGGACAAGTGTTGCAAGCATGCACATTCCTTCCCATCTCACTATCATTTGGCCCAATTGTGGCTTAGTCAGCAACCCTGCTTCCTTGCAGCTTCCGCTTTGACAAGCAGGCTGCTTAATAGCAAGATTCAATCATCTATTTTCTACTTGTAGCACTTCCATAATGCACCAGATGCACCCAAGAATAGCAGGTAGGGCTTATCTCCCATACTACATATCCTGGATTAGCTGTATTAGTTTTGTATCGATACATAATCGTGCAACAGGATCTGTGTAAATTACACCCCACTTCTCTATACATGCATAAGGTGTTTTTTTTTAAAGTGTTAACTGTGATATGTACAGTACAAAGCTCTCAGACAAAATCCAGAACTCTTAATTTGACTCACTAATTTTTACACTGTTTAAACCATGCGAAGTTCATGGAATTTACTTTCACATATTAGGCAGACACATGCTGTTCAATGAAAGCCAGAAGCTCCACTTGAGACTGGCCACAAGTGTTACAGGTTTTTAAAGCTCTGCCCCAATCCTTTGCAGCCAAGTGTGTTTAAAAATAGTTAAAGGGAAACATGTTTCAAAATAGTTAACTAGTTTCATATCACAGCCCTCCTATGAGAAGAGGATTGAGAGTCCTGTGATAGAAGATGCCAGCACAGATCAGCTGTAATAAGCTGTGCAGAAGTTCCAAGCTCATGCAGGCAGCTAGGCATGCTACTATTAGCCCTCTTTGTCTTTAGAAATTTGAGCTGTGACCAATCCACAGTCTACATTAGTCACCCTGATCATGTCTAGGCACCAGATAAAGGTGTCATTTGAAGTTTTATTCTGTGTGTCCATAGTGTACAGGTTTCAAACCCCTTCCCCTCCCCAAAACCAATAGTTTAATGTACCATTCAGGAGGCAGAAGGGGCACTTTGACAAGACAAAAAAAAAAATAATGCACCAACTTTCTGGCAAATAGGTAATAGTGAATGCTGGGCTCATCATAATAAATTTGATCCAGCTTTATCAGTCCACAAGAAGTAGGTGACCTCTTATCCCACATATACCAACAACTTTCTGCTTTAACAACTTTTGTAAGGACTCCTGGCAGGGATAAAATAGCCGCAGGTAATGGGTAAGTTGCTATTTACAAACCTGAATAGTGAGGCTTACATTATCTATACAAAAAGAGATGAGAACCAGTTTAGCATGAGCTCCTGGGGTAGAGCCATGCTTAAGCGTCAGGTGCCATGTTCCAAGCGTTAAAGCACAAATTTCCAAGGCTAGGAACAAAGTTAAGACACATTCACGCATAATGCATTATGCATTACACTGAGCTGATATGAGGAGTGATATTTTGGAGACTAGGTACAGTAGCTGAACATGCAGCTGCCCAGAAGATCCAGAATAAGACACTGCAGGCAAAATAAAAAACTCATTTGACAGTGTGGCCTTGGATGTAAGTTATAGTTGCACTCTTTTCATTAAAAATACAGTAACTCCCTGAGAAGTTATGTAGCTGTAGAATTTGACTTTTACTTTCCCTCATCTGGTGTGCAGAATGTTTTCTATTACGTCTCATCTGCCAGCTACTGGAGTGTGGCTATACTTCACAAATCTATAACTAGTAAAGAAGTATTTACCTTTCTTCTTTCTTTTGTATGTTTTAATGTATGGTTATGATTTTTTCTTGATTTTAAGAACCGGATTTTACCTTTCCTTAAGAGGAAAAACTCATCTTTAAGACTATAATTATGCACTTAAAGGCTACAGCTTCTGCCAGAACAGTGCTTAACAGTAACAGGTTATGAGACCAACAGACACCAAAGGGATCCAAGGTCCTGCTGCCTAAAGCATAACAGAAAAGATCAGACACCAAACACCATAGTAGGCCCAAGTCTGAAGCAGAGATATGGGAAACTATGCTAAACTTGTACTTCAGGGGCAGGGAACTCAGACCCCTAGGCCAAAACTGACCCACCATGCTTCCCAATTTGGCCCATGAGACCATTCTGAGGAAGCCATGCTCAGCTGCACTACACCAAGCATCATACATGCCATCAGATGTGCAGCAAGTTAGGGTAGGTCTTCAAGCGAACAATCAGGAGCTTCAGATTCCTCCTTTGCTGGAACAAGGGCTGTAACAGGGAAGGCAAAGCAGCCCTGACAAGCAGAACAGAGAGTAGGCCACTACTCTACAGCAATTGTAAGTCTCTGAGCCCTTGGTGGGTGAAAAGTGTGGAGTTGCTCTCAGCCAGTTGTGCCCACCCAGGTATGTGGCACAACATCAAGGCAGGCTTGAGGGCTGGGCTGGGGTTGTTGTTTTTTATGATTATTTTATTATGCTGTTTACTATTATGTAATAATAATAATAATAATAATAATAATAATAATAATAATAATTTATTATTTATACCCCGCCCATCTGGCTGGGCTTCCCCGGCCACTCTGGGCGGCTTCCAAAAGAATATTAAAATACTATAATACATCAAACATTAAAAGCTTCCCGAAACAGGGCTGCCTTCAGATGTCTTCTAAAAGCCTGGTAGTAGTTGTTCTCTTTGACATCTGGTGGGAGGGTGTTCCACAGGGAAGGCGCCACTACCGAGAAGGCCCTCTGCCTGGTTCCCTGTAACTTGGCTTCTCGCAGTGAGGGAACCGCCAGAAGGCCCTCAGTGCTGGACCTCAGTGTCCGGGTAGAACGATGGGGGTGGAGACGCTCCTTCAGTACTATATTATGTTTTTAATATTATACTGTGTAAGGTATGTTCTTAATGTTGTACACACCCTGGGATCTTTGGATAAAGGGTAGTATATAGACCAAATAAATAAATAAATCTTGAAGCGCATAATTATAGTAAATGCTTGCAAGGTTGACTCATTGGGCCAAGTTCTAGGATTCTACAAAGCATGCATCGGTTTCTTAAGCTGAAGGAAGGTAGGAGACAAAAAAGATACTAAAATCTAGTCCTGATCCAGAAGCCAGCTATACTTCTAGGGAGCTAGAATTAAACCATGCTCTAAACCCAACAGAGAAGCACTCAGGAATCTGAACCAAGACACCAAGGTGCTGCATTCAAGACAGGTCTGTGATGGTCACAGGAGTACAATGATTAAAGTGACACTGATCAGCATCTGAGCAGTTTCATAGGCTTTAAGTACTTTCCTATAGAAATTAAAGCCTATGAAACTGTTCAGACGATGATCAATGTCACATTGATGGCTGTAGCCCTGTAACCATCAGAGACCATCCTAAAGAAGTTCTCCTCATACTAGAATCAATACGGCATTTAAGGAGAGCTATTCCCAACTACGCTACCATGATGGACATTTGACTGGGAATGATTCAAGCCATGAGATACCCAGAGACGTAGCAGAATAGACACAGACTGGATGCAACACATAGCACACAATCTCTACATGCATACACAGTTAAAGCAGCAGCTCAGAAGCTACAAGAACTTGGATGCGGGTGCAGAATGAAAGCAGGGTGAAAATGTTGTTGAAGTACTTACCCAATGTCATCCCTGTAGACTCGAGAGATTAAAACCTCTCCCTTATGATTATAAATGAATAGGCCTCCAATCATGTTGAAATCTTAATCTTTCTTTTCCATGGTGCTTAAATCATATCTACAGATACAAGAGAGGAGATTATGAGACTTACAGTACAGAGCATAGGCTTAAGACAATTTAATAGCTTTGATAAATCGGCTAATTCACCAACTCCCATTTCACCAGATCAAGATTATTCTTGGACACTGGCCTGTTCCCATCAAGGAAGCGTATGCCTTGCACTTCTATTCCAAACAATCAGTATTTATGCATCCTAACAGAACATGCTGTCATCTTAATGCTTACATCATTTACCAACAATCCCTACTACACAGACAGTTCCATAATATGCAGTGCTCAAATTTATAAATCCAATTGCCAGAACAAGGTTCTGAGTCCTTTCAGGTTTTGGTAGAATACCAACTGACATCAGTGGACTTCTAGTCCCAAAACTACTCTTTGCCTAATAAGCAAACACTGGCTTGGAAGCTTGTCAAATTCCCCTAATTAGTCACATGGAACTGCAATATTTAAATGAGGTAGTCCAATAAGATATTTTGTTATGATCTCTGGTCAAGGCAAACTTCATATTGTGTTCCTTAGAGTCTAAGCTAGACTTATTTGCAAGGTGCAGCTAAAGAGTTAAGTAGCTGCTCGTCTGTACCTGCATAGGTCTAACTTCAGTATCGGCCTTGCAAAAGCAGCTCTTGAAAGCACACTTGCAAACAGTGCAAGTTACTTCACCACTCAATAGGCTCCTAGTTACATGAATCTGCATGCAGCCTGTCCCAACACTGCAGGAGAGATTTCTAGAGCCACCTGCTGGGTGATTTCTAATTGAAGCTTTAAAGTTCTGGGCTTCCCCAGGCTCTCCATGGAAACTTAGAGCTGATGAGAGCTCTCAAGTAGGAATAAGAAGTATTGATTTCATAGGGTCCACAATTCTCATGTTTCACCAACTCTTTATGTTGATAAGTGGCATGCTTTATAGGTTGGATGATGTCATGTTAGCTATGAAAGTGCTCTGCTAAGGGCTAAGAAGGCATGCCAGCCTGCCATAACCATTTTCAGAAGCTGCATAAGAGCAAAAATATGTTACAATTTTCACTTAGTGTTGCAGTGAGCTTTATGATTGTCACCTAAGCAGATACAAATGTGTACACTTGACTCAACTTTTTAAAACAGGAAGGTAGCATCCTTCCAGGAGCAAAGCATGAAGGAGATAGAAGCAAGAGAGTAGCAACAACTGCCTCTCCACAAGCCTTACAGTGGTGCCCCGCAAGACGAATGCCTCGCAAGACGGAAAACCCGCTAGACGAAAGGGTTTTCCATTTTTCAATGCGCTTCGCAGGACGAATTTCCCTATGGGCTTGCTTCGCAAGATGAAAATGTCTTGCGAGTCTTGAGATTTTTTTTCGCTCCCCCCCCCTTTTTCTAAGCCGCTAAGCCTTTAATAGCCTTTTAGCAGCTAAGCCGCTAAGCCTTTAATAGCCGCTAAACCGCTAATAGCGCTAATCCGCTAAGCGGGTTGCTTCGCAAGACGAAAAAAGATACTCGCGGAACGGATTAATTTCGTCTTGCGAGGCACCACTGTATTCTTATTTGCCAGGATGCACCTCAGCTCTCTGAGGAACTCTGACAGATGCCTACCTCCAGCCAGAGAAACCAGGAGCTCTAGACATCTTAAGGAAAGTGGGGTAGGATAGATGCTTTTAGATAAGAATTCAAGGATGTACCACCACAGTTCTGGGAACAACTGGGCCAGAAAACGTGTGTGCATTCAATTCTATAACAGAAAGGAAGTAGCTCAGGAGTAAGTGTCATAGATAGTGCTATGAGTATTCTGAACGAATCGTGTGGCTCCTTAATTAACAGACTGGCAACTCCAAAAACGGAACAGTCTTGTAAGACACAGAACTGGCAACATTAGATTGTAGTACATTACACAGCAGGATGACTCATTGCGGAAGGTTGCCAAGATTTGTTCCACATAAAGACAAAGTCATGTTCCAAGTAATTGTCCATAGCTGTTCTTTGGAAATAGAAGAGGAAGCTTTGTTCTCAGTTCTGCCTTGAACCAACAGCTCATGATATGTAGCAGGAATGTTTATATTTTAAACAATGTAAAGTAGGCTTGGGTACAGAATCCACCATTTGTACCAAATTATGGAATAGCACGGAAGTTGTTGTTTTTTTAATGGTTTAATGTGAATGAGCAGCCAAATTCTTACTCTGCTCCTCCCCAGTGCCTACTGCTGCCATGCAGCTGGGAAACAAGACACAATCTGGTTTATCATGACATCCAAGGTAGAGGCACACAGTTTGCTGCTTTCCAAATAAACCACAAAAAGTAAGCCAATAATTTATTATTTGTTTCATAAAATTTATATACCATCTGATCGTTAAAAAGAAAAAAGCCTCAACGTGACTTACAAAAATCTTGGCTAGTATTTATGGTTTGTTTGGAGAGACACAAACTATGAGCCCAGATTCAGATGTCACAATCAGTCACATTCTGTGTAGTTTCCCAGCAGTGCAGCTGAGAGTTTTTGGGGATGGGTGGGAGGGTTGAGTGAGAACTTTTCAGATGCATCAATACACTGGCCAGGCCTAATAAAGGTAAAAGTACAGTGGTGCCCCGCAAGACGAATGCCTTGGAAGACGAAAAACTCGCAAGACGAAAGGGTTTTGCGGTTTTTGAGGTGCTCGTAAGACGAATTTCTCTATGGGCTTGCTTCGCAAGACGGAACGTCTTGCGAGTTTGTTTCCTTTTGAAGTGGGAACTGGGCTGGCAGGGAGCGAGCAGGGGAGCGACCTACCTTTTCCAGAGGGATCCTCTTCTGGAGAGGGCACAGAGGAGGCAGGTGAGCTGGGATCCAGCGGATCTGGCTGGGTCTCTGTGCCGCCTCTGCCTCTGCCTCTCTCTCTCTCTCTCCCCCTCCCCACGTGGCTGCTCCATTTTGCTCTAACTGCGCGAAGGCAGGAAGAGGCGGGACAAAGGAGGAGGAGGAGGAGGCATCCACTGTGCTTGGGCGGCCGCGAAGGCGCCTTTGCGGGGGTGGGAAGAAGCCGGGAGCAGCTGCCGAGACTGTGGGGAGCCCGGCGGCGTGGCGCAAGGTAACGGGGGGAGCAAGGGAGAGTCCGCGCCGGGCGCTTCGTGCGTCCGCCCTCGGTTCCTGGGCTCAAACTTCCTTTGGCACCTCATGGAGAGAGAGGGAGAGGAGCGGGCTGGGGCTTTGATGTGGGACGCGGTTTGGCGGAGCGAAGACGCGGCAAGGCTTGGCGACAGAGGAAGGGGGGCTGTTTTCATGGGGAGGTGGGAGGGGGTGTCTTTGCCTCTTCCCGGCAACAGATCCTCCAGGCTGGGGAAACTCCTCCTGCTGGGGAGCGACCCGCTTTGTGCTTTGCCCGCTATCCCATTATAATACAGTACCAGGGTGCATCCGTGCTTCGCAAGACGAAAAAATCCGCAAGACGAAGAAACTCGCAGAACGGATTAATTTCGTCTTGCGAGGCACCACTGTAAAGGTACCCCTGCCCATATGGGCCAGTCTTGCCAGACTCTAAGGTTGTGCGCTCATCTCACTCTACAGGCCGGGAGCCAGCGCTGTCCGCAGACACTTCCAGGTCACGTGGCCAGCGTGACAAGCTGCATCTGGCGAGCCAGAGCAGCACACGGAACGCCGTTTACCTTCCCGCTGGTAAGCGGTCCCTATCTATCTACTTGCACCCGGAGGTGCTTTCGAACTGCTAGGTTGGCAGGCTCTGGGACCGAACGACGGGAGCGCACCCTGCCGCGGGGATTCGAACCGCCGACCTTTTGATCGGCAAGTCCTAGGCGCTGAGGTTTTACCCACAGCACCACCCGCATCCCTGGCCAGGCCTAATAGCCATCTTCAAATATCTTAAGGGTTGTCACATGAAAGAGAAAACTTGTTTCATAATCAATAACCTTAGGCTCTAAATTTGCATTTCCCCCCTCAATGTCATGCTCCAAGAGTACTAGGTGGAATAAGACACTACTGTACAGTGGTACCTCGGATTAAGAACTTAATTCGTTCTGGAGGTCCGTTCTTAACCTGAAGTTCTTAACCTGAGGTACCACTTTAGCTAATGAGGCCTCCCACTGCCGCCACCGCACGATTTCTGTTCTCATCCTGAAGCAAAGTTCTTAACCCAAGGTACTATTTCTGGGTTAGCGGAGTTTGTAACCTGAAGCGTCTGTAACCCAAGGTACCACTGTTCCTAGCTTCTTATACAATAATCCACAAGTATCAGCTTGGGCTACTAGCCAAGTCTCTACCTTTTTGGCTACTGATTCTGCAAACACAACAGGGTCTTGCTTCATTGGTTCAAGGACAAGGAAATTACAGCCATTTTCTTTTCTTATCCAAACTGCACAAGCGAACACCTGTTAGAGGCTGTTGCGAGTCGGAGGGAAAAGATAGTCTGCCCTGGCAAGCAGAATTGTGGGCATCCAAGTTGATATCAAATTGGGATTACCACTTTCACAAACTGCTCTGAGAGAAGCAAGCGGCTTTATCGTTGCTTGAAGGGTGTAGCACAAATTTGTCTTGTACACAAATCAGCACATCCATTTTAACAACGGCTCTTATCTTAGCTTCCTAACAGTACTGTGCAAGGGAGATTATAGACAGCAGACTTGCAGATATCCATTTTGAGCTGATGGCAATTACAGATCACAGCCAGCCATGCATATTTTGTTCCGTTCTCCAAATAATGCAGATAGCATCAGTACAGACTAGTATCTCTCTCAAATAACTTCATGCTCCTTAGAGCGCAATTCTTCAACCTTGCTTCCCCATCATCCTGAGCCGACATAGCCAATGGTCAGGGATGACAGGAGCTATAGCGCAACAACATGAGGGGAGACCCAAGGTTGAAGAACACCGTCTTAGAGCACTGCTGCTTTTCTCAACCCTATTGGGAAGACTTCCTCTCAACAAAGTGGAACGCTTTCTATTCCATGTATCAAATATTATTTACACCCCAACAAATTAGAGAAATTTATGTTGCTGACTAACTTTGTCACAAGGAGTTCCACAGCTCAGCTCAAGCTAAGTAGTCAGAGCTCAAATGAGCAGAATATGAACAGGCTCAGCAGAAAGAGAAAATATGATAGAGATTTACAAAAGTATGCATAGAGTGGAGTGAAAGGTTTCCCCCCACCTCTCATAATACTAAAGCCAATCATCATTCAATGAAAATGAGTGGTAGAACACCAAAGACAGTCAAAAGGAGCTTCTTCATACAGTGAGAAGTAAAGCTATGGAATTTGTAACAAGAAATGGCCACCAACTTAAAAGGGAGTTAGCCGTATCCTAATCTCAAAGAAACACTTTGTTGGAAGTAGGGTTGGGTGATAGCTGGTTTTCAACAATGTGATATATCACAATGTTTCAACATCGTGATGAATCATGATGTCTGAAATAAGGATGGAGTTATGTAGAGGCACTGGCTGGCTTCAGGGTTTTTGGCAGGTCAAAAATTATGAAACCAATATCATGATATGGACTTCAAACCGTTTTGCAACAATGTATCAATATAACACCCAGCCCCAGTTGGAAAATCCGAGATTTACAGTGGTACCTCTGGTTGCGAACAGGATCCATTCCGGAGGCCCGTCTGCAACATGAAAAGCCCGCAACATGAAGTGCCGTATCTGTGCATGTGCATGGCGCAATTTGGTGCTTGTGCGCATGCGGCTAAACCCAGAAGTAACCCTTTCCGGTACTTCCAAGTCGCCACAGGACACAACCTGAAAAAACGTATCATGAATCAAACGTAATATGAGGTATGACAGTATATGGCTCTCTGATCTCTGAGAGCCATCTGCTACACAGATTAATCAGCTCAAGTCACAATCACTTATAATGAATGCTGTTCCCCTTACCCAGTTAACTATAGTAGCATTTCTCAAACCTCTTAACAGAGAAGTCACACAGTATTTGAGATATGAAAGCAGGGAGTTAAATGGCACCTTAAACCTAGGTTATGGGCACAACAATGGAATGTCTTGGCCTGCTATTTATATAACAATACAAAGCTGAAAATGAATGAACTGCAGCTAAAATATTATGTTCATTTTTCCATGGTCTAGTCCTTCCCCTGCCCACCCTCCTAATATTATTAAGAGGGTCTCTTCTCCTTTCCTTCCACTCTGCAGTTTCAATCTGAAATTTTGGGTGCAGTACTGTGCCCAGAGCTCAGAAACAGCTCGCACTAATGAAATTCCCTGTGGCAAATTGTGCCTAGAACAATGGGAGTTTCGAACACTGAAGGCACACGTTTCAGTACTGAAAATGAGAAGCCACTGGACAAAAAGAAATGTGTGTTTCTGTGAGCCAAGGCATTTACTCAACTATGGAGGAGTCCACCATTGGCATTTCTGACTGACACTGTTCCAAGTCTGCCTCCTGTTTGGAAGCCTAGAGCAGTGACTATGCAAAAAAAGAAGAAGCTTCTCCTCAAAAAGAAAGGCCAAAAGCAAGTGGCAGTGCAAAAAAGTTCTGCCATTAGCCCTCTACCTTTCCCTTAAAGGCACCCCCTCAGCCCAGCTGCTGACAATTTACATTAGGTTCCCTATTAACTAGCAAAAACCTGAGGGGAAGGTGAAAGCCATTCCAGGAAAAAGGATGCTCTTTGAAGAGTTTGGACCTTGTCCTCCAGCAAGGATAGCTGATCTTTACTAGTGATCTCAATATAATTTTAGAAATGGGCAATTACACAAACACCCCAAGTCCCAGAAGGCCTCCTTGTAAACTTTTAGCAAGACTGTGAGGTGGTACTGCTACCATCAATCATTTCTAGTCTATCTATGCAATTGTTATACATATATAGCCAGTTCTTCAGCAGAAACCTTTGGATTTGTCCATGAGCATTAAAGCCAAAAATAAATTGAACAACTATATGACTTTTAGAAGACATCTGAAGGGATGTTTTTAATGTCTGAAGCTTTCTTGTGTTTTTAATATTTTGTTGGTGTCGCCCAGAATGGCTGGGGCAATCCAGGTTTAAAAAGGTACCGTATTTTTCGCTCTATAGGATGCACTTTTTCCTCTCCAAAAATTAAGGGGAAATGTGTGTGCGTCCTATGGAGCGAATGCAGGCTCCTTGGCTTCAGCAATAGCAACACAAAGCCTCCGAAGCGCAGAGGGAGCGCTCCCTCCGCACTCCGGAGGCTTTGCGCTGCTTTCACTGAAGCCTGGAGAGCGAGAGGGGTTGGTGCACACCGACCCCTCTCGCTCTCCAGGCTTCAGGGATAGCCGCCTGAAGCCTCCAGAACACAGCGGGAGGTCCCGCTGCGCTCCGAAGGCTTCAGGAATAGCTGCCAAGACACAAGTCAAGACAGCCAGCGGGATGGATCCTGCTTGCTGTCTTGGCTTCTTTGCTCTTTGAGGCTGGGGGGGGGGGCTTCCCCCAGCAGCCCCAAAAAGCTCTGGGAGAAGCAGACAGGCTACACATTGTTTTTTCTTGATTTTCCCCTCTAAAAATTAGGTGCGCCTTATGGAGTGAAAAATATGGTAAATGACCCCTAGATTGTTAAGTCCAGTCAAAGGCGACTATGGGGTGTGACGCTCATCTCACTTCAAGACGAGGGAACCAGTGTTTGTCCACAGACAGCTTTCCAGGTCATGTGGCCAGAATGATTAAACCGCTTCTGGTGCAACCTGACACTGTGGTGGAAGCCAGAGTGCAAGGAAACACCACTTACCTCCCCTGCCGCAGTGGTACCTAATTATCTATTTGCACTGGCATGCTTTTGAATTGCTAGGTTGACAGAAACTGGGACAGAGCAACGGGAGCTCACCCTGTCGCACGGATTCAAACCGCTGACCTTCCAATTGGCAAGCCCAAGAGGCCCAATGGTTTAGACCACAGAGTCACCCACGTCCTTTCATCCAGGTTTACCAGACCACTGAAACAATAAAGCAGCCTTAAAATTTAATGAGTTCTGGTGACCTTTGGCCAAGTCACAATCACCCTCAAGCAGCAAGATATCAACACTACTATTATAGTCAGGATTACAGCTATACTATTATAGCGGCAGTAGGAATAGTACCACCCATGCAGTTATCATGGTCCTGTGGAATATGAAGCACTATGAAACCTGTATAATTCATTCTTCCACCTACTTCTAAAAGAGATACTAGCACTTTAAGGCAAGAAGAGTCACAGCAGAATGCTATGCCGGCTACTAGTCCTGCCTTCCTTTCTGGAGGAAAGAAAAATAAGGTAGCCATCTGCACACTGGAAATTGGCTTAAGAGAAAAGGATTTATTGTGTATTTCAGCCAGCTATTTTTTTCAGTCACAATACTTATGTGCAACCATGGTTGGTATGATTGGTATTCCAGGCACATAGTGCATAGTTCCAGGCACATAGTTAATTAGCATGTCTAGAACACAACAAAAAATCACATCTTCTCAGCAATGTGATATTTCTACTGCTTTCCAAAATAAATGTGCACAGACTGCATACATCACTTGGTCCTTATAGCCTATTATATGCCGCTCTCCACCCAGAAACACTCCACAACCGAAAGAAACATACATGTTACCAACAAATGTTGGGAGGAAGGTGGGGGAGCTGAATTTTATGCTAACTCAAGCAAGTCGGCAATAACCTCCTGCACCCTCTGCCCCAACCCCCGCTTCACACTTGCAGAGACATTACTGGTACAGTGGTACCTCGGTTTACAAACTTAATCTGTTCTCGAAGTCCATTCTTAAACCAAAACCTTTCTTTAACCGAGGCACGCTTTCCCTAATGTGGTCTTCCGCCGCCGGCACCCTTCCACCGTTTGGATTCTGTTCTTAGACCAACGTAAAGTTCTATTTCTGGTTTTGCAGAGTTTGTAAACTGAATTGCTCTTAAACCGGACTGTTCTTAAACCAAGGTACCACTGTATTTCCTTTGGACATAAATTACTTAAAACTTTTGGATAGAGGACTAACAGCAATTCCAACTTCCTTCCCAAGGAAATGCCTCTTTTCACTGCCTTGGTCAACAACATGCAGCCAGCTCTGGATGAAGTCCGTTATTCCTGGCATCTAGCCAATTAAACTGAATACACTTCCAAATAAAAACCTTCCCTTATTCTTGCACTTGCCACATGCCTCATTCAAATGATAAAGTTACATCTTCAAAGCTTCTTACAACGGGGTGTGCAAGACACCACACCACAGGAATTTTGGGCTAGGTTGTGGGGGCAGGGAACAAAAGAGAAGAGCTACCAAGAAGCCAAAAGTCTCCTGCCCCATAAAGAATACCAGTAGTACCATCTTTGCTTGATCATGCTGACAGCATCCCCCCCTCAAATATTGAGTCACACTAACTTGGCCCTGATCCCACAAATGCTAGCCAAATTTGAAGCCCAACAATCCTGAGCTATTACATCAACAGGACCCCAAGTTGGGGGGGGGCGGCAAACATTTGTAGCTTTCCAATTCTGCATTAAGCTGCATAGAGCCTCAAACATTGGGACAGCCAGCACTGCCCTCAAAATACAATTTCTGACTTAATGCACTCAAAAGGTAAAGGACAAAAGCAAAGGGACTTCCTCATGGGGGAACCACGCAAGGCCTTTCTACCTCACGCTAAGGATTCGCTGCATGCCAGTTGAGTAATTTCAGAAGCATTATAAATAAGGGATGAAGAGAGTGATGAGGTCGGACCCGCTGCCTTTCCCCTGACCCAAGTTCAAAAACAACGGGCCTCACACACCCTGCAGGATTGATTTATTTAAATTTAATCATTTCTTGCATCTATTGCGCACCTTTTTCTCCAAGGACCTCAAGGCATCACACATGGATCTCCTCATTTAATCCCCGTCAGCCCTGTGAAGTAGGTTAGGCTGAGAGGCAGTAAATAGGCCAAGTTCGCCCAAAGAACGGGGATTTGAACTCTGGTCTCCCAGGCCCAACACTAACCACTACACCAGACTGTCTCTCTGTACAGAATCTCTCCCTTCTCACCCCGCCTCTGGGCCAAAGCTAACTGGTACACAGCCCGCGAAGCAGGAAGTCCCAGGTCAGGACCCCTGACCGCATCTCTAGGGAGGGCCAGCAAAAACCCCGGAGCGCCGCTGCCAGCCAGTGCCGCCAACACTGAGCTGGGTGGCCTCGGCATGAGGCAGCTTCCTGCGCTCCGCGTGTGCCAAGCCTAATGGGAGGCTCCTCACGAGCAACGGGCTCGTCCCGATCCCACCACGAGCACTCGGAGGAGACACATCCTTACCGAGGACGTGCGGTGGTGTTTTTGGTCATGGGAAGCTTCACGCCAGAACAGGGAGAAGGCAGCCCCGTTATTCGCACGCCCCGTTTGCTGAAGGGCGATTCTCTCCCTCAGAAACCCGCTTCCGGCGCCTCAGCCCGCTGCACGGCTGTCGCCACAGCAGGCCACATTAATTAAGAATAAATAATAATAAAATTATTTGTACCCCGCCCATCTGACTGGGTTGCTCCAGCCACTCTGGGAGACCCCCAACATATAGAAAAAACGTAATTAAACGCCATAAAGCTTCCCGGGAAAGGGCGCCCGACCACATCCCTCGAAGGGTGGAAGAGGCTTAGGAACAAGGGCGAAGAAGAAGCCCCTCGCGTCGGCGAGGCCCCCTTTCAGAAGAGGAGAAGGAGCCACAATGACAACCACCCTAACGACGAAAGAGCCGGCAAATGGGCCGCAAGAAGAAGAAGGCGACGACCACCGCCCGGCCGGACTCACCTAGTGGCGCCGTCGCTGAGGCGGCTGCCGCTGCCGGTCCTTCCAGCTGCGCCCCCTCCGGCACCGACTGGCAAGATGGCGGCCGCTCCCCCCTCCCCTATCACTGCAGAGCCGGCGTCTCTGCGCACGCGCGGGTCGCGCCCGGGCCTCAGGACGCATGCGCCGCCGCCCTCCTTAGAGAGGGCGAGGGCGAGTTCGGGATGGTGGTTAAGGACGAGCGGGTGCCGGGGAGGAGGGGCGGGGCCGCTTGCTGCTGCTGCTGAACCCAGAATGCAACGCGCAAGCTCGCGGATTCCATTCGAGGCGGAGGTGGCGTGCAGGGCACGATGGGAAGTGTAGTTTATATCCCTCCGTTCGATTACAGACACTGTTTACGGGATGATGAGGCTGCCGCCGTTGCATACTGGGGGGGGGGGGGTAGTTTGTTTTCTATTATTTTTATTTAGTGGGAAAAGTGGACGAGGCTCCTGCACTTTTAATAGGGTTGAGTTGGGGGTTGCCTTTTTTCTTTTTGTAGAGGGATTTCAGCAGGTGGAGGTTGCAGTGGGGCAGGCAGGGACATCTCCCCCCGCCCCACCCAACTGTGACATTTCGTAAAATTTCTTCTTTGGCGATCACTTGTAGCCGAGTAAGATTGCCTTCCATAAACACAGTTTTAATAATGAGTCCGTAAGTGACTGTGGAGGCCAATTCTGGATCCGCACGTCCTTCCACAGTGGGAACAATGGTTTCTGGGCAGGAGTTGATCACAGTGTGCATTTACCAAGCATGCCTTCCTCTTAGCACATTTCTCCCTTGCGTCCTGAGTTCGAGTGTCTTCAAAGTCCATGACACCTTTGGTAAAGGCTGTTCTGCAACTGGAGTGCTCGCAGGCCAGTGTTTCCCAGTTGTCAGTGTTTATACCACATTTTTTTAGATTTGCCTTCAGACAGTCCTTAAACCTCTTTCGTTGACCACCAACATTACGCTTTCCATTTTAAAGTTCAGAATAGAGTAGTTGCTTTGGAAGACGATCATTAGGTATGCGCACAATTTATTCACCACTTGACTGCAAATAAAAACCAACCCTCAAAGCCGTTTACAAAACAGTAAAAGAAGAATTTGCAACCCTACTTTGAACCATACAAAACATTTAACAGGGGAGAGGCTGGCTGAGCCTTTTCATGGATGCTCCTTCCAGTAATTTGTATAATTAACTTTTAGAAATGTATTATATATTTCTAAAAACAAAACTGCTCATTTGAAATGAGCTGCGCATCAAGCTGGAAAAACTCGCATTTTATTTCCTGTAATGATGGTGTTATTATTTGTGTTCTTCAGAGTATTGTTTTTTTTAAAAAAGGAATGACAAATTGGTTTTGTCCTAATAGGAATGCAGCGGTAATTGGCCGCAGGTGGGAGAAGGAAAAGTGTTAATTGTGTGATTCAGTAGTAAAGTAATACACATAGATGCTTAAAGGGAAGGGGGAGGGGAAGTTCCAGGCTCTAGTCTTAGATTACCTATCTGCACTACTAGTAGCTTATATGACAAGCTATACTTGCTGAAATTCCCTCTTCTTTACACTTGTTATAAAGGTAAAGGGACCCCTTACCATTAGGTCCAGTCGTGACTGACTCTGGGGTTGCGGCGCTCATCTCGTTTTACTGGCTGAGGGAGCCGGCGTACAGCTTCCGGGTCATGTGGCCAGCATGACTAAGCTGCTTCTGGCGAACCAGAGCAGTGCACAGAAACGGCGTTTACCTTCCCACCGGAGCGGTACCTATTTATCTACTTGCACTCTGACGTGCTTTCAAACTGCTAGGTTGGCAGGAGCAGGGACCGAGCAACGGGAGCTCATCCCGTCGCGGGGATTCAAACCGCCGACCTTCTGATCGGCAAGCCCTAGGCTCTGTGGTTTAACCCATAGCGCCACCTGTTACACCTGTTAGAGATGTATAAATTCCATCTTCTATATGCCCATTAAATAATCTGTTCTCTTTTAGACCTGGCCACTGTAATTCATTAAGATGTATACCCCACAGACAGCTAACAAACATAATCTAAAGGGCATTTATCACATGTATATTTTATAGCCATGCCATACTGTCATGTCTGACTGTAAATAGCACCAAGCAACTCAAGTAAATTGAACTTAAACAAAGGGAATTACAGGCAGCCAAAGAACACTGATCATTTTTGGGTTTCCCCCCACAAAACAAAGGCTTGTCCTGTCCGTTTTATTTTTAGAAATAGACACCTACGCTTCAAAAAGACTTGTACATTTAAAAAAAAAAAAAAGCTGACAGAGGGGTAGCAGTATTATGAAGTTTCTGCCCCCAAAATAGTGTTTAAGGAGCCACAAGACTTATTTTTGCCAACAGAGCAACGGCATAGCAGCTGAACAGACTGGCTCAAGAAGAAAAATCTCTCTTCAAGAAAAACGATCCACTGCCTGCATTCTGAAGTGGTCCATATAGTTCCAGAAGCATGTACTACATGTTTTTCTCAACATTTGTTTGTGTGTAGTTGATGGGTGGTATTATTCCGAGTACACTAGCTGAATTTAATGAACATGGCTAAGTCCATTAATTTCAGTGGATCTGCTCTGAGTAAAACTTAGTTGAATAAGACACCCCCACACCTATATATACACCCTTTCTTGTAACTTGAATCTATTGGTACGGGTCCTACCACCCAGAGGAGAAAACAAGCTCGCTCCATCTTTCATGTGGCAGCCCTTTAGATATCTGAAGATGGAAGTGCCGGTACCGAGTGTGCTTGAGTTCCCACAGAAAAAAAACAACACTGGCTAGATCTTCTTTCAGTCTCCTCTTTCCCAGGCTAAATATCCTCAGCTCCTTCAACCATTCCTCATAAGGCTTGTTTTTCAGACCGTTGATCATCTTATTTACCTTTGTCTGCCCATGTTCCAGCTTGTCAACAGCTTTCTTAAATGGTAGCACCCTGAACTGGACACAGTATTCCAGGTGCGGTCTGAGCAAGGCAGAATAGGTTCTGTTTTTATTCCCATTGACTTGAAGTGCACCAGTGCCATGTTATCTTGATGTCCCGTTTGCACAGATAATTGCCTGAAAATTCTCAATTTCCCAAGCTCGCTGTACTGTCAAAATACATTGTGAGGTTACAAATGCAACTAATCTGCTACTTGCTGGTAGAGCCTGCTGCATCTTTCCCTTCCTTCCAGTTCACTCTTCTGCTGAGGGATGGAAAATTGTAGACACCACTGAGACGGGGAGCTGACACAGGTGTTCTGTGTGCTTCTTTGTGCTGCTGCCGTTTTGTGCAGGGTGTTGCTCCACCTCCTCCTTCACATTTACCTGCCTTTTCAGAAGAGCCACCCCCCATTTTACCATTGCTTGTTTTCTCCACAACCTTTTCCTTATATTTTACACATCCCTTTCTTCCATTCTTTTATTGTCCACTTGGTATTTTATTCTCTATTCCATTCCCCCTGTTTTTAACATCTCAGCTTTCTGGTCCTCTTTCCCCTGCTTCCTATCTGTCCAATTGCTCCTTTTTGTACAATGGTCTTCCCTGGAAACCAGGCTTACATTTGAGCCACAGCTTCCCAAGACACTGCTCCAAAACCTCATTCAGTGCTTGGGCTCTACTCCAGAAGCAGGAGGGAGCCAAAAGGGGCATTTCCATAAGCATTAAAGTATGTGGGTGTGTAGACATTATAGCGAAATGAAAGCTGAAAATGTGAATGGGGCCGGAGCATCTCACTCAGCTGAGACGCTGAGATCCAGCGCCAGGGTCTTCTGGTGGTTCCCGAATTACAAGAGGGGAGGTTAGAGGGAACCCAGCAAAGGGGCTTTTCGGCAGTCATACCCCCCCTGCAGAACGCCCTCCCGGCAGATGCCAAACTGATAAAACAATTATGTGCTTTTCAAAAGACATCTGAAGGCAGCTCTGTTCAGGGAAGTTTTTAGTGTGTGTTGTAGTATTGCGTTTTTTACTATTTTTTGTCAAGAGCCGCCCACAGTGGCTGGGGCAACCCAGTCACATGGGTAGCACATACATAATAATAATTAATAATAATAAATACAGCCGTACCTTGGAAGTCAAACAGAATCCATTCTGGAAATCCGTTTGACTTCCAAAATGTTTGGAAACCAAAGTGCGGCTTCTGATTGGCTGCAGCCAATTGGAAGCCGCAGAAGCCCCGTTGGACATTCGGGTTCTGAAGAAAGTTCACAAACCGGAACACTCACTTTCGAATTTGCTGCGTTCAGGAGCCAAAACGTCCGAGTACCAAGGTGTTCAGGATCCAAGGTACGACTGTATATGATTATGATGGTGTCATGTGTACAAGGGGCAGGTTAAATTTTTTGGACACTGACAAAAATGAGCCACACACAGGCAAGGTGGAGTCCAATAAAACTATTTTATAAATAAAAACAAGTAGGGTGGTTTCAATTTATATAAAACCGAAGGGTGCGTGAGGGAAGGGGCAATATGTGTGACGAGAGAAAATAGCACCAAAGTGGGGGGAAAGGAGTTGAAAAGAGAGCAAGATGGCGACGTAGTACCAGGTGAGGAAGGGACTAGAGGAGGAGGAAGAGGGAAGACGGAATGGCAATATAGCACCAGGAGGATGAGAGAGGGAGGACTGGCAACTTGACACTTGAGATCACGGGCAATGCCCTGAAAGAGAGACTAATGGTAGGCAGAAAGGGGGCAAATGGTTCAATAGACCAAATGAGCAGAGCAGTGGCAAAGGTGTAGAAGAACTGGCATCACGGTGGTGGGCATAGGGGACTAGCAAAAAAGGGAGCCGATGCTGGACTGGAGAGAAAAGCAGGAGTGAAGGAACACTTCAATCTTAAAAACAACAAACCCCACAAGACATTCCAAAAAAGGTTGATATTTGGTGCAGAAGACAACTGTTGCATGGCAGGAAGGCCAAAGGTGGTTATGGGCCGCAAGGGGACTAGAATGTACCGTCTAATAGAGGGTGCTTCTCCCAACCAGGTCCTTGGCAAGAGCACAAAAGCAGTTTAGCTAAAGGTGGGCTGTGATAAATCGTACAAATTTTTCCATCGGTGTGGGATGGTCAAGGGCTCTGGAATTCTCCACTGAACAAATCCCTGCCATAGCAAGCAGAGTTAAGTATTGCTTCATGTGTGATGAGTTTCCTACAAGAACTTCTGTACGGGAAACTGCGTGAAAATTGTGCAAAGTCACGCATGACTGTATGTGTGCTTTGCAGTTTAGTATAACTCCTCTATTGCAAGTCTTCCCTGCCTGCAGTTGTAAGAAATTCTGCACATGGGTGGCTAAGAAGGATGGGCTAGGATTCACTGAGAAATGCAGGGAGTGGAGAGGGCAAGTATAGAAAAGGCAGGGGGATTAAACAGAATCCACAAGGAAGGACACAGTGCTACACTGGGTGAAGATGTCTCTGGACTTCCTAAATCCCTTCTTCAACCATTTGTATTTTCTATGATTTAGCAAACATGGCCACTGTGCTCCCTCTGCAAGTGTGAGGGCTAGGAATGTTTTGGAAACTGACATTCTGCCATGTGCGATTCTGGCATGTCTATGTTGCAGCACAGCAGCAAGCAATGCGGGTAAGCCAGAGGCCCTGCTTATATCCCAGACACCCAAGAAATACACAGTGTGCCCACAGAGCGGTCTGGGCTTGGTTGTGGGACTCTTTCCCCCTGCCTTCAAGCCCAAACCTTCCTGCACTTGTGTCCGAGAAGAAAAGGGAAGAAACCAGAAAGGCCTAACAGCTGCTAAGGAAAGGACGGCAAGGGAGACAAGAGTGAGCCCTTATTTTCTACACATGCCCTGCTCATTTGCTTTTCACTGGTGTGCTGGTGCTCGTTCAGAGGGTGGGGACAGCAGAAGCAAGCACTCAGCTTGGAGAGTACATTTTTAAAGCCCCCTCTTCGATACACAACAGTGAAAAGTTAGGCCTCATTTCCAAGCATGGCTCAGCATCAGTTTGGGATGGATAGTGGCATGACAGCTGGCATAAAATGTGCTGGTCTAAGTTAAGGGTGAGGCTTCAGCTAACCTTGGGCACGTTCAGAATAAAGGTGGTCATAGTTCATTGGTAAAATTACTACGTGTCCCTCAGCTATCAAAGGGAAGAGTCCATGATTACAGATCACCACAGCAGTCTTTAAAAAGTAGCAGAGGAAAAAGCTATGGACAGACAGCCACTCCCCACTGATCCTTAGCCTGGGTGATGGCGCTGCAGCAAAACAATTTGGCACTTGGGTAAATTAAGCACACCTCTAGTAGCAGCTATGGTTGAGAATAGTTATGGTTAAAAATACAGTTAAAATATTTACTGGACTTCTGCATCCAAGGGGGAGGAGGCTCAGCAATCTGATATTTGCTGGAGTACATAAAATACTTTTTTGGGGGGAGACCCTAAAAACAACCCAATAAAAATTTCAGTGTATTCTCAATGGCCAAGGAAAGATGAATGAATGTTTGGGGGAGCAGGGAAACGGACTGTAGCGTCATGGCAGAGGACAATGCTGAGTGACAGGAACAGTGAACAGGAGCACCGCATAAGTTTACTGTTTATTTTGCTGCTGGGAATCATAGTGCAGGGGTCCACTCGGGGGTACTCATCTGGCCCCTGGGACATAAGCCTAGTGCAGCAACTCTTCTGATTTTGCAGATCCACCCATGTTCACAACCATGGCGACCCCAAAAGTTGCTTTGTTAAAATCCTCATAGAATTGTAGAGGTGGAAGTTCATCCAGTCCAAGCCCCTGCAATGCAGGAATCGCAACTAGATCATACATGACAGGTGGCCTTCCAATCTCTGCTTAAAAACCTGAATCCCACAGAACTTATTTCATACTATTTGTGCTAATGAAATTATCTTTTTGATGATATTTGTCTATCTCCCCATCCCCCATCTCTTCCTCTCCCCCCCCCATCACTTTTTCAGTTTTGGGATTGTTAAAAAGAAAAGGAAGGATGAAAGAGAGGTAGGAGACAAAGAAGAGGGGGAGGTGGGCAGAGGGAATACCAAGGGATACTGCTGCCAGGGTTATGTAGTGTGGATGCACGGCATTTAAACGAAACAGTGGAGCAGGCTGAGGGGGACGGAGAGCATCTAAAAACAGATTGGCTTAAGAGACAACGGACTGATGGGCACAAGAGAGACCTGGGTGTGAAAAGGTGGCAGTAAAAAAGGCTCTACTAAACAGGCCACCGGACATCGAAGAGATACAGCAAGAAGATGGCTCACCATGAGTGCTCGGGAAGAGAAAGAAAGCATATTAGAAAGGGGGCACTTGTACCTGTAGTACCTTCAGGAACGTGAACTATGGATACTGGGGGTTGGCACACTCGCTATTAGCGCTAATCAAGACATGGGAGGCAAAGAATCAAGGAAGAGTGTGAGCCTCCTCGACGGCTTCTGGTTCTTATCACCATCTGAGAAGCTCTCAAGGGGAACTCTCACCTGCCTGGCAAGGTGGGAGCTCTCCTCTCAACCTCATGCCAATGGCCACCAAGCGGCTACATCTTATCAGAGGGAAGACTGAAGGCACAGCTGGATCTGAGCCCTGCTCCCTTCCAGGGGTTATGGTTAAGGTGGGGCACCTTCCACCAGGATGGAAAGAAGCCATCTTCAGCCCCCACATGGCCAAGTGCCTGCCTGCAGGGCTCTGCATCTTCCTCGGTTGTGGGGGAGCCAAACCACCACAGCACGCTGCGGCTCTCCCCAGCACGGGCGGCCAGCTCAGAGGAAGTCAAACACCCCGTAATTCTTGGCTGCTCGACAGAGAGGGACACAAAAAAGGGGCGAGAAGAAAGAGGGCATGTGTTTAGGGCAGGAGAAGTGAGCCGGCAGGGAAAACACAGGCGAGCAGCAGAGTCCCCAGGCAGATGCGGATTAATGGGTTAGAGAAGGGGTTATGGGGGGAGGGGTTGGCACAAGCAAGGGGGGGGGGGACGCGCTTCTGCAATCAAGTCCAGGGGTGGTTCAGGCGAGGCTGCCGGGCCCTCTTGCAGGCAGGGATTAGAATCAAAAACATTTAGTTCAGTTTATTTTCGGGGTTTTTTTCCCTTTTCATAATTGCCAAGACCAAAAAAAGAAAAGAAAAGGAATCCCCCGCAGGCCGGGCTGTTCCTAGGAGACAAAACCAACGGGGGCGGCAGGCAGGCGGAGGGAGGGGCGGCGTTTCACATTACATCCACAAAGAACTCACTGGGGTTGCCCATGGCCATTCGGAATGACTGTCTACTGGCCGTCAGTTCAGGGGGCACAGAGGCCAGGTCTCGGCCAGGGGGAGCCCCCGGGGGTCCCAGGGCGGAAGGCGGCGGAGGCATCAGCAGCATGGGAGGGCTGTAGAGAGGCGGCAGGCCGGGAGGCCCATAGGACTGCTGGCTGTGGTGGCTGCGGATGCTGTGAGCCATCGAGTGGTGGCTGCGCTGGCTGGCCGGCACCGAGCGCTCGCTGGCCGCTCGCTCCCTCCGCATGCTGCTGCGGCTGGTGTGGTCCGACTCACTGCCGCTGCCGCCCGACTTGGACTCCCCGGCCTTGGGCTCTCGCTCCTTCCTCCTCTCGCTGCCGCTGCGGTTGGAGCCGCTGCTCCGGCTTCCTGCACAAGAAATGGGGGGGGGGGGACAAGAGAATATTTGGGTCAGGCCCATCAGAATAGGTAGGAATAACCTCACATGAGCCTTCAACTGTCACTTTGCTGGATTGGACCCAAAGTCCATGGAAGTGCAGCACAAAAGTGGGAAGCCAGGCAAATTGGGGGGGGGGGGGAGAGAGAGCAGGAAGCAAAGCGGTGTTATACTAATTTTGTTGTTGTTGTTGTTGTTATATGATCTCCAGTAGAAGGAAAGTGGCAATCGTATAACAAAAGGCTATGGACATCCTCCAGTAAATGAAAACACAGTAGGACATCAAACATTACAAAACTTCCCTATAAACAGCTGCCTTCAGAAATAAAGAACGCCCACCAGGCAGCGTTAAAACACGGCCAGGGCAAGAGCCAAACAGATCTCCCAGGATATAATAATAATAATAATAATAATAATAATAAAGCGATAAAACATCAAACATTTAAAACTTCTCTAAACAGGGCTTCCTTCAGATGTCTTCTAAAAGTCAGATAGTTGTTTATTTCCTTGACATCTGATGGGAGGGCGTTCCAAACTGCAGGCACCACTACCGAGAAGGCCCTTTGGGTATCATTTGGGTGCTGCTACAGAGAAGGCTCTTAATATTTTCAGCAGATCTCTCTGCCCTAAATGAAATCCCCCCGCCCCCAAAGGTCTAAGCCAGTGGTTCCTAACCTTTTTTTTGGCCATGCCCCACCTAAGCATCTCTAAAATCCTGATGTCACACACACACACCCCGCCGTGACATATATTCTTATTATTCAAAAAGTGAACTCCTATTAATGTGGAGGAAGCCTAAAAGGCCATTCACTGTTAATAACTCATTCCCAAATTGCCCCCCTTAAAAATCAACCCCACCCCCCGTGGGGCATGTGCCCCACGTTGGGAACCACAGGGTCTCTAAGCAGATCTCACAACCTTGTGATCAGCCACTAAACCTCCTGACTTTGACAAAGAGATGCCAAAAGAGGTCCACAACTGAGCAAATTCAGGCTCTGGGACACTCACAAGAACTTGACCCTAACAAACACCTGCAATCCAAAGGAACGAATCCCCCCTCCCCAACCCACTTGGCCCATTTATCTCTGGGCAGAAGCGAGGTTGCGCCTCAAGAGGAAGCCCAGCTGTTCAGACTTAACAAGCCAAGTGCTTGCATGTGATACGATCTTTATGGCATGGGAGGAATTCCGCCCATGTCCCACACGGCTCACATTTACCTTCGCTGTGCTGGCTGCCCGCGCTTCCGCCTCCATAGCTGTAGCCTGGGTCAGGAAATCCAGGGTGGGGGTTGTATGGATGGGGTGGCGGGTACTGGTAGGGGAAGGCCATGGGCCATGGGGCAGCTCCTGGGTGAGGCAAAGGAGCCAAGGTGTCCTGATCGGAGGTGCCGCTGGACCCATCGTGGTCATGCAAGGACAGGCTGGCCATGTCTGTGAAATAGGGACAGAGAAAGGGCAAAGGTTACACCAGGAGCAAGGGCATAAGTGAGCTTATCCTCATTTCTTACCTATGAAATTCAGGTTGTAGTGCAAAGAGGGAAAGAGCGGCATGGAAGGATGCTTATCTCCTGGTGGGGAGTTTTTGATTGAAAGCTAAAGATCCCCACAGAGGAGGTGACTAGTCTGACTCCAAAATACAGGACAAAAGGGAAAGGACAATGTCAGGTTCAGCAATAAAGGAGACTCCAACTGAACTTTAGGAAGAACTTTCTGATGATAAGAGCTGTTTTGACAGTGGAGCAGACTCCCTCGGGAGGTGGTGGACTCTCCTTCACTGCAGATTTTAAAGCAGAGTTTGGGTGACTATCTGTTGTGGATTCTTCAGCTGTGATTCCTGCATTGTAGCGGGCTGGGCTAGAGGAGCTCGGGTTCCCTTCCAACTCTACAATTCTATGATTCTGTAAAGCCACATGGACTTGCTTTGAGGGCTCTCCTACTTCTGCTCTCCCAGGAAACAGATGGCCACGTTGAGAGCCTGCCAGAACCACCCACTACCTGTTCTTGCTCCCCAACCCCCTGCACAGTGCAAAGAAGGAGTCTTACTGCCGCAGAGGTCGCCAAAGATGTAGTAGCACTGCTCCGAGAACGTGATCTTGTTGACAGTGTGCCGGATGTAACCGGCCTTCAGGAGGTTGCTGGCATACTTGCGGGATTCTCGCCTGTCTGTGAAGCCTTCTACATGGTGGTAGAGCCAATCTACCACATCGGATCCTGCCAAGAGACAGCAGCAAAGAGGACTCAGCAAGGATGGAAGCAGACAGCACCCTGTTCTGCTCTGAGGAGAGGAAGGTGCTTGGAGGGAAGCTGGCTCCACCCTTCTTTTGCTGCCTTAGTGCAGCTTACTGGGCTATAAAGAAGATGATGTTCAGAAGTCATGATGGAGTCACAATGTACCTAGATGCTCCTCCTGACGTGCTCAATAACATCTTGCCAACCTCTGTGCTCGATCTGGTGCAACACAGTGGCTTAGAATGAAGGTTGTGAACCAGAAGTTTCTGACCCCTGAACTCACCCCTGAACTCAATTCTCACCCCTGAACTCAATTCAGGCAAGCTATTATGCTCTAAGCCTCAAGGACACCCCAGCCCCACTTCTGAAACAGGCATAGTAAGACCCATCTTACAGGACACATAAAACACTTAAGTGCACTGTGTAAATGCTAAGTATCCTCTTTGTTCTGCTGATCTTGAGGGCTAGAGAGTGAAAGCTGAGACTCTAAGGAATCCAATTCTGCAGCAGATGCCATGTATAATCCTGTTTTTAGAGACACTTCTCTTGCAAACAGGTTAGTATGTTTTCCCTCTGATACACATCTAACCTGTCCTCCTTATGAAGCTCCCATCGCTTATCTCAAATAGGGGCTTGAGACCGTTATCTGCTTGGGAGAGGCAAAGAGCAAGTGGTTCTCCCGTGGCCCTTCACCCATTTGCCCTATGGAAGGCCTGCGTCTTACCAATGAAGGCATTGGGGATGGTGATCTTCAGCCACATGCGGTCGCGCACCTCCAAGCCCGACTCTGGCGAAGCCATGGCTTTGACAATCGTGGCCATGTCGCTGTGGATGGACAGGTGAAAGTCATCGAGACCTGCGGGTCGGACGGAGGGAAGGGAGGCAGAGATGAGAGGGGATGGAAAGGCAGAGGAGCACATGAAGGTGCCACACACAGGAGGGTAGGGCAAGGGAACAATACATCACAGGCACACCCTAAGCTTCTGCAATCCTAAGCTTCTGCAATCCTTAGGGGGTCAGGATTCCCGCTAAGAACCACTGAAGGTGCAAAAAAAGAGAGCAGCAGGCCTCATAATGGGCTGCTCTTTGCCTTTTTCCTAGAAACAGTCAACTGCAGTCTAACCACAACGCCCTGAGCACACCCAGCCCAAGCAGGACAAATGGCCAGTGGTTTAATCCCTTACTGACAAAGCACAAATTTACAGTTGCCCCAGAGGTGCACTAAACACACACACACACACACTTCTGGTGACTAGGCAGCCAGAGCACCTCTCCGGGCTTATGCTCCGAGCTGGACTGCTGGCGCAATGGGTGGCCGCCCCAAACTTAAGTACCCTCATCTGACAGCCTGTGAGTCCTTCGACACGGAAGTTGTAGCTGTGCCTGCCTCTTCAAGCTGCTCCTAGTCCTGGGGAACAGTGGGGAGGGTATTCAGACACCGCATCTCCCTCCTCTCCTAGCACATCCTGTCCTTCCTCCCCCATCTCTGGCTGCTGCCTCGCAGGAGGCACAAAACCCCATAAATCATGACCCTCTTCCCCCAGGTCAGCTTCTGGCCCACTACACCTTCCATCTGCTCTGCAGAGCCCTGCCAGTCCCCGGCACGCAACCTCCATTACTACCCAGACTGTTTTATCCTTCAACAACAGCTTTTTTTAGAAAGCTCAGAGCAGCTTAAACACCTGATCTGTACACATCTGCTTAGTTTCAGTAACGCTGCAGCACCAGGTCTTGCCAGTCTTTTCAACGGGCCAACTTCATAGCCTCTGGCCAAAACCCACTCAGAGGCCAGCGCTATGAGGCAGCTGTCCCAAACGCACCTCTTTGCTGCACATTTCCTAACACATCCACCTTTCCTCTCTTGAGCTCCCTTTTGGAAGAGAGGGTAAGTTCTCCTGTGCTCAGCATCACATCTTCCAACTTCCTCACCATTTGCCTAACAGGAAGCCAGCACTGCGTCCACCTGAATAACCCATGTTCCCTGAAGTTGTTCTGGGACTGTTCAGGGTTTTCAGCAAGCGACTGCTTAACTTCAATCCATTTACAAGGGACTCTGCAGTGTTTAAGCCCCAAACATTTATCTCAAGCAATTCAGTCAATGCTGCTTCACTGAGAAGGATATTGCTCCACCAGAAAAATCACTGCACACTGCTACTTGTTTATGTGATGTCTTTTGTTATTTTTATTTTCAACGTGTAAGTCGCTTTGAGGCATGGATGTAAAAATGCTACCAATACATACAATAAATAAAAATAGATGGCCCTGTAAAGTTGTCAGGGTTCTCCTCCCTCCTTTTTGCAACCCTCTTGATTCTCCCACCAAACACAAACAAACCGGAACTGCTCATTATCCTAGAAGAAGCAACTAAGTGAAGAAATCTGTGGCCTTCTGTTTCACCTAGCCTCACACAGGTCCCTCATCCTGCTCATCCTCCAATCTTTGGTTTAAAATATTTAGCTTCTAAAAGCATCCCTGTTGCTTTAGCAAAAGATGGAGCAAACACCTCTTTCCATGCAGCTCAAGATCTATTGAGGGAAACCATCCTCTTTCCAGGCCTCAAATCTGGGTTTTGCCCCTGTGCATGTATTGCTCCTATCAGGTTACGGCGTGCAGGTGACCAGAAGCCGAGCAGGGGTGGGGGACACACAGGCACGAGGACTTACGTTCGGTTTCTGGGATGGAGCTGGTGATGGAGGAGCTGGTGGAAGTGATTGTGCTCATGGATGGGCTCATACCGTACGCTGGGTAGGTGCCGGTCATCGCTGCGGTGTGGGAAACCCAGGCTGCTGGGTCAATGGGCCTGATGGGCTCACCTAAAGGGAACACACAGGGAACGTGAGGAGGCCCCTCCTCAAGAGTCATCCCCTCTCGCCAAACCTGCCACCTCTGAGCAAGCCCTGTCCTCCCCCAGCATCAGCCGGGACTCACCCGGATCGGAGCATGGAGAGTCTGGCCCAGCCCAGATCCGCTGGGGAGCAACTGGGGGAGAAAGAAGAGAGGGAGGATCAACATGAGGGGTGCGGGGAGGGAGCTCCCCCTAGGCGGAGGCAGGCATGGGGCAGGGGGGCACGGGGGGGTATGCGGGGCATGGGCTGCATGCAGGGAATTGGCCTGCTAACTTGGTAGCTTGTCTTGGGTGTGATGTGGAATAGGGGACTGATTAGGCATGGGGTGATGGAGAGGGGCAGGAGACAGGCAGATAGAGAGAGCGCAGCACAGAGGGCCAGAAAAAAAGGGTTTGAAACCTCCATCGCACCCTTAGGGCCGATTTATACATTCAACAGAAAGAAGCAGTCAGGTGTTTCCAAGATAGCCAGATAGGTTGTGTATAAGTAATACATCATCAGCATCATCATCATTATTATTATTATTGATGCAGGTGAGGGATCACGCCTACAAAATATTTATTTGTTGTTACATTTTTATGCCACCTTTCTCCAAGGTACTCAAGGTGGCAAAACATGCTTCTCCCCCCCTCCACCCCGTTTTGCCCTCCCAACAACCATGTGCTGTAAGTTAGGCTGAGACTGGCACCCCAGGTCTCCCAGGGTGCTTCATGGCTGAGTGGGGATTTGAACCCCGGCCCCCCAAATCCCAGTCCAGCACTCTAACCGCTAGACCACACTGGGTCTCATGTATGTAAAATCTCCCTGTGTGTAGAAAAACTAGCAGGGTGAAGGGCCTAGCTTTCTCTCCCATACGCTGTTTTTCTGGGTACAAGGAGCCCCCACTCCGTCCCAGTAAAGGAGCATTCAAACATGCAACTCCCTTGGCCACTTGCATACTGCAACAAGGCAATATTGGGGTGGGGCACGTTATTAACTGTTGGTTCTATAGAACACCAGTCCTCATGCACACTACTAAGCAAACCAAGAAATGAAGCAAAAACCACTTACTCCTGGGTAGTGAGAAGCAGCCCCTGGGGCTGGGATCCCAGCACTTGGCAACAGTCAGAGTGATGGGCCTGGAAGAGAAACATAATGGCTGTCACTGCTACCAGATCTGGTCAGCTCAGTTCGCAGAAAAGCCACCCACATACACACATCTAGACATGCAGAAGAAACAAGAATAAATCTTCCCCTATAAACTGAGTGGGTGAGTTTTACATCCCTAAAGCTCAGTACTGGGGTATTATGATGGAACAAGACAGGGAAACATGTGAGAAGCTCTCGCTTGCTTTGAACACTGGCCCCCTGACACTTTGTTTTCCTCTTTCTGCTATATCAAAGTAAATAACATAATATAATAGAAAGGGGAAAACAAAGTGTCAGGGGCCAGAAAGGCTGTCCTTTTGCCTAAACAGAATTCCACTGCCACCAAACCCAAATGCAGCAACTAGAATAGATGAAGGCTGGTGCCACTATCTGTCTTTTGCTCACACACAATGAACCTGTAAGCCTTGGGCTATCTTTCCTTGAAAATTTTTATTTTTACTGATCTGCGGGACTTAACTGTCCTCTAGGCTCACTTGGAACAGTCAGCAGTCCAAGATGGCCATGGATCTTCTGCAGGGCACCAGGGGGCACTGCTAGAAACTGAGCGCCAGCCCTGCATTACCAGACGCCACCAAGCCCACACTCCCAAGAACAGTTGTAGGTTTAGAGAGTGAGCTGCCTTGGAGCTGCAGGGGGAGAAAAGGCTACCTACCCTGGCTTGTGCACAATCTCCCTCAGCACTCGCACAGCGTCGTCGTTGCTCATGTTTTCAAAATTGATGTCATTCACCTGCACAGAAAGATGAAAATGTAAGAGCCCCACAAAAGTGTATGGATCTTAAATGAACATGTGGAGATGCCCAACAGCAGTACTGGGATAGATCAGGGATCCCCAAACTAAGGCCTGCGGGCTGGATAAGGCCCAAGGGACTCATTTATCCAGCCCACAGCGACCCCCACTGCTGCCGCCCGCTCTTACCGGCACTGCGCTGCGCGGCTGCCCACTTCCGAAGCACTGGAAATAGTTTGTGCACATGTGCGTTATTTGCGCATGTGCAAGTTATTTCCAGTGCACATCCAGGTCAGAGGAGGCCCGTGCACATGTGCACAAGCTATTTACAATGCTCCTCTGACCCGGAAGTGCGCCGGAAATAGCGTGTGTGCACACACGTATGGGCACGCGCTCCCCCGCCCTCCAGCCCACTGCACGATTGGCGCTGGAGACACCAGCCCGAGGTGCAGTAAGTCTGCTGACCCCTGGGATAGATGGATCAATCTGGTCGCCATCAGGTAGAAGTATTTCCCAGCCCTACCACCTTTTCTAGGTAGAGATGTGCTGGAGAGGGCAGTGGCTGCTCCACATCAGATAGTCTTCTAAGAAACTGATTGCCTTGACCCTTTCCAGTCTGGGTTCAGTCCTGTACTTCAGGCTGAAACAGCCTTGGCTCCCCTGACTGAGGACCTGTATCAGGAGCACGACAGCAGGAGTGTGACTGTTGCTTCTCCTGATCTCTTGGTGGCTTTAGATGCCATTGACCAAGGCATCTTCCTGGACCAGCTCCGTGGGTTAGGAAGCCTACAGTGATCTGGGGGTTCCACTACTACCTGCAGGGCCAGTTTCAGAAGGGAGCTATTGCTCAACCTTGTGGCACACTTTGTGCTGCGGGGATTTGCAAGGTTCCATTGTATCCCTCATGCTATTTAGCATCACGGAGCAAAGTGGCACCCAGCCATGTTTCTCCTTCCCATCTGAATCAGGTGAGGCTGGACACATCTTGGAACAATGCCTAAACACAGTGGTGGACTGGAGGAGGGTCACAAAACTGAAACCAAACTAGACAGAGGCGCTGTGCATGGGCTGTTATCAGATCTGAGAAGTAGATTGCTGGCCTGTTCCAAGTGGGGTTGCCCTTTCCTTGGACAATGAGATGGCTAGCATGGAGCACCTTCTGTCAGCTATGGCTGGTTCATCAGGTAAAGCAGTTCCTGGACACGGAGTGCCTGATTACAGTGACCAATGAAGTGGTGACTTCCCGGCTGGACTATTATAATGTGCTGGGGGGGGGGGGGCGCTACCCTTGATGAAGATCCAGAAGCTGCAGCGAGTGCAGAATGTGACAGCTAGGCTTCTAAGTGGCTTAACCCATTGGGGGCATGGAACGTCTACCCTGAAAGATTTCCATTTGCTCAGAATATGCTGTTTGGGCAAAATTCAAGGGGCTAGGGGTGATTTATGAAGCCCTACAGAACATGGGGCCTAAATACTTGAAAAAATCTGCTCATATATATGAAACTGCCTCTGCATTAAGATCAGCAGGGCAGACTTTCCCGGCTGTGCTGCAGGCATTTGAGATCTGCTATGCAGTTATCTCAGTGGTGGTCCCCTGGTGCCAATTCCTCTGCGATAGAAAACTCTCTATCTGAAACAGAAATCACCTAGCAGTTTCTGCCACCACCTGAAGACCTATTTTTCACCCAAGCATTTGTGGGGTATGGTTGCGTTGATGTATTATCGGCTCTAGTGTTTGTACTGCGGAATACTAATTGCTTTGTTGTTCTCTGCCCTGGGGTTCCTTGTCAGTGAAGGGCTGACTAAAGAGGTTTTAAACAAATGCTATGGACTGAGCTTTGGGCTTGTACATGCAAAGTGTGTGCTCTGCCCCCCTCCTATGGCCTCTTTCCTAGATCTGACGGTTCTTGCCTAGTAACAGGCAGGTTTTAAACTTTCAAAGCCTTAGGTACACAGCCCAGAGGGTTTATCATGGCCCCAGGGTTCCCTTGAGATAAGAACCACATCATTTACACAAACAAGACATTCTAAATCAGCCATCCTGATTTTATCTCTGTCCTGGGTCGCTGTGCTTCTCTACAGAAATGTGAACTCCACCTTCCACAGATAGCAAGTACACTCTCTGGTATAGAATCACAAAATTGTAGAGTTGCAAGGGACCAGGAGGATCATCTAAGCCCAGCCTCCTTTTGCCCAACATGTGACTCGAACCCACAACCCTGAGATTAAGAGTCTCATGCTCTGCCAACTGAGCCATAACTGAAATCTCTGTCGTGATCACAGGATAACAGATTCTGTAGAAAGAGGCCTGGTTCTCACTTCATGCTCAGCCAAACCCTAGGCTCACTGTTCAACTGTGTGGGCTCCTGGACAGAAACCTGCAGCTGCTTTGCTCCTCCCCAGCCCTTTGCGCGTCGCATCACATTGAGCTTCGCGTATTGTGAGTATAGCATGAAACCAAGGCCTCTTGGACATTTGGCCCTCAAAGTTTTTTAAAAATTAAAAAGCACCTGCAGCAGCATGTCTCCGGGCTCAATTCTTCCATCGGCTGCCACAGCCCCTCCCTTCATGATGGAGCCAATGTAGATGCCGCCGTCACCACGCTCGTTGCTCTGCCCGACGATGGAGATGCCCAGGAAGTTGTACTTCTCTGTACAAACATAGAATCATAGAGTTGGAAGGGACCTGAAGGGGAGATATCTGTGCAGTTAGAACAGCACACAACCAATGGCCAGCATTTCATTAATCTAGTCAGGCCATTAACTAGCTACAAGGAATGCCTGTTAGGTATTTTTAGACAGAACAACAAACCCCTGTGTTGCAAACTTAACACTACAAACAACACAAGCAACACAATGACCAGTATACTAGCTAGCACTGCAATTCTTATTGCATAATATACATAATTTGGTACAACAAAACCAAAACCAAAAAACAAAAACACTATTTTGTTTTTGTTGTACCAAATTATGTATATTATGCAATAAGAATTGCAGTGCTATCTAGTATACTGGTCATCGTGTTGCTTGTGTTGTTTGTAGTGTTGAGGTATTTTTAGACAACAGAGACAGGCTGAAAATGTTGGGGGGGGGATTGGATGACCAAATCTAAATCATCTTGTTTTATTGGTAAGCAAAAAAGGAAACTGCTTTTTAAAAAAAAAAAAAGAAAAAGGGGGGAAAAGGAGGGGAACACACAGAGATAGGCATTACCTGTGTGGTAGCACATACTAGAGACTGTGGACAAATGGAAAATGATATAAACATGTAGCACTTAGTAAAAAATAAATAAATGGCACAGGCCATTTAACATTACATTATGAAATAACATTTTGTCTATGGTAGAAGAAATCCAGCACAGTGGTACCTCGGAAGTCAAATGAGATCCGTTCCAGAAGTCTATTAGACTTCCAAAATGTTCAGAAACCAAGGTGCAGCTTCCAATTGGTTACAGGAAGCTCCTGCGGCCAATTGGAAGCCGTGTCAGCCGTGTTCGGGTTCCAAAGAACGTTCGCAAACTGGAACACTCACTTCCGGGTTTGCAGCATTCAGGAGCCAAAACGTTCTGTGTTTGGGATCCAAAGTACGACTGTAGTTTGCTCTTCAGCAATCAGGCCTGAGATGCAAAATATCCGTTTGCCCACTTCCTTCCCGCCATCCTAGTCTGGGTTATGTGGGCCAAATGGCTTCAAGCAACTACCTGTACTCACCCATGTTGAGGGTAACTGTGATAATGTTCAACGACATGGTAGAATCTGTGATGCTGCTGAAGGATGAGGACTACAACAGAAAGGAAGAGGATGAGACCCAAAACATAACCTACATGCCACTTACAAGACCTGTGGAGAGGGTGGGGTAACAATGCCCTCAGAGGTTCTCTCCCTTTTCCCCTTAATTTTTAAATTGTGCCCAACCACTCGTGAGGTCACTTGCAGCACTCCCGCCACTCCCAGACACCCTCCCAGGCATCTCACCCGTTCAATGCGCGGTACTTTCTGCTTCCGCCTGCGTCGCTTGTGCCTTCTCATCAGCCGGGAGGCGCTACTCTGCTCTGTTGAGCTGCTGAACCTACAGTATGGAGGCAAAGGCAAGGCTCACAAGCTGGCCACCAGGAAAACCACAGAAAAAGGGAGCAAGGAGGCAAAAAAAAAAAAACCCCAACCCCTCTGGGTAACTAGGAACATAATTAGAAGATGTCAGGGAGCCACCTTGGCCAATCCCTTGCACAAGAGAGGACCTCCTCTTCCATCCATTTCTTGTCCCCAAGCACACACAAAAACAAAGCAGCAAATGAACAGATACATCACAAAAATGTGTTCCAAGAGATTAGAACAGGCTAGGCCACATGCTGCAGAGGCACTCCGTACCAGGCTTTGCCAACATGTTGCCCTTCAGATTTGGACCACAATTCTCATCAGCCTCTACAAGCACAGCCGTGGCTGATGGAAGTTGTCGTTCAAAACATCTGGGGGCCACCAGTTCGGCAAAGACTGATTTACACTGTGGGAGAAATATGACTCCGTGGGGAACCTGGAGAACCATTAAAAAGTTTCATTTATTGCTTCTTGCATAAAGCAGGGAGGGGGAGCCTGTGTTGTTGGACTACAACTCCCATCTTCCCTGACCACTGACTGGAGCAGGTGGGCGTTGGGAGTCCCAACAACATCTGGATCATAGGTATCCCATTCCTGGTGTTAAGGGAACTGGGGAGGAACTGGAATACACACTGTCCTCCTTTGAACATGTTTGGTGGGCAACTTTCTAACAAAAGCCGGTGGTGAACAAAACATACCTACAGAGTATTTTGGGGGCAGGGGAGGTGTTCACATCACTCAACAGTCTGTTTCTGGTTGCAGCTGTTCCTAACTGTGGCAGAGCAATGTTCAGGACAGAGGGAAAACTGCCTAAACCAGCTTGGCAATGTGAGCAATTGGAAGATGAAAGATATCCTGCACGCAGTCTACCAAACTCCAGGCTAATACTGAAGCTATGGTTCTTCTTTAGAAGAAAAACGATACACAGGTAAATACTGCACTGTGTGCAAATAAGACAAGCACAGTTGAACAAAGTGTCTCCTACATGTACAGTCAAGAGAGTCAGGGTCAGGTCCCTGGCAAGTCCACACACTTTTGCAAACCCTGGCTGACTGCCACAATGTGAAGAAAGGCCAAATCTCTGGAACTCAAATCAGTTCTTTGCTTCCGCAACTGTTCCAGGGAGACTAGAATCTGGAGGAAGAAATGACTGGGGCGAGTCAAGGGAGAAGCATTAGATTGGAAAGAGGAACTGAGGAGTTTTTATTTGGGATCCTTCACCAGACTCCAGTCATAGCAGGTCATTTTGGCCCAAGCCATGAATATCCCTTTACCTGCTTGTAGAATCATCTTCATCTGAGTCAAAGAAGCTGGTGGTTTCGAGTTCACTGCTCATGAGGGTGGAGGAGCTTTCATAGCCCCCTAGTTCCCGCCGCCGTTCTGCCTTGGCTGTCCCATTCACCCTGGGGGCTGGAGTAAAAGGAGGAGAGGGTCAACGGCCATGGGGAGCAATTCAGAAGAGAAGGCCTTCAAAGAGCCAAACAAATATATAATCCCACCTGGGAAAGGATCACCAGTTGCCTTTCTAGCAATGGGGAAGCAAAAATATAGGGGGGCCTACAAATAATGGTGCCTTCATAACACACTGTGCAAACTAGGCAATCCTACAGAACAACAACCCTGAAGGAGGTTGGCAGGGTTGAGTGGGAAAGGGTTATATCAACATAGCAGCCCTCGTTGGCAAACTCTTTCCATTGGCAGAAAACTAAAAATCTGAACCCAGTTTTCACTCTGTGAGAAGGAGCAGTATGGGAAGGGGAAGGTCTTCCTGAGTCCCAAGCAATCTTTGAGCAGGGTCCCTCTCTCCACAACTTGTCAGATCATTTTTTCTTCTCTGTTTTAAAGTCTGCCCATTTGGTCAGATGGGCAGCTGGGTCCATGGAGGAGCCAGGCCCTGAGTGGGTACAGGGCTGCTGGGGCCCTGAATTGCAAGGGAATTTCAAAAATTGTTGGCTTGGGATGGCGGCAGAGAAGGTGGACCTCCCAAGGCCCCGGGGATGGGGACGAACCTGACCCATGCACACAGCAGCAGAGTCAAGGGCACAGCCTGCAGAGCAGACTTAGAGGTGGGGTAGGGACTACTACTATAGCCAGTTGAACTCTAGGAAATAAACTTCACCATGTTCAGGTCCATCTTTCCTGCGCGGCCTTTCCCTCTGAATCGATACCACTGAGTCAGTCTCCGTCTCATTATCCAGGTTCTCTCGACTTCCTCCAGTATTGGGACTGCAGAGTAAAAAACAAACGAACACACACACATAGTAGAAAACTGCGCAGAAGCACCTCCTTCAAATTTGCTCACAGAAGTGTGAGGCTTAAAAGAAAAGACTGAGGGCAGAACTTAAAACATGCAAAAGGTGTGCTGTGCAATCCTTTCTGGACTGTACCATGTCAGGCGGCAGGATGGGGGCCTGAATATTTGGCATTCCCTGTGCTTTCTTTTTTTAAAAACCAAATGCACACTCTTCTTTGTATATGTCTGACATTCCTACATACAGCAGGGGTGGGTGCCAGAGCAGTGTCCATAAGCCACTGCGTCAAGTTTAAGTGTTAAAAGAGGAAAGAAGCCCAGTAGGTTCAACAGTGGTCTCAGTTTCCTTTGCGGATCCCATGCTGAGAGCACTCCAGGCACAAGGCTGGTCATGAGGCCACCATGCTCAGGAATTGGGTCTCTCTAGTGTTAACTTTTATCCCTGCCACTTGAAACAGGCAGAGACTAAGCTTCCCTTTCGTCAGAAGAGAATGGAACCTTGAACACGCTTCCTGCAAAGAAACTGCTCAACCTTCTCCCTGCTCAAGGTAAGGCTGCTCCTTATACACATACACAGCCACACAACTTACTGAAAAGAAGGAGGCCTGGAGTCTCCTATCCCTCCAGTACGCTCAATGGAGGGTGGCAGCTCTGGCTGATTGTCGGCGCAGACAGACCCGGCGTCCGAATGAGACCCCTCAGCAGACACCAGCTGAAAGGAGAAAACAAGCTGAAGGTAAGCTAGCCTAGGCAGATAAAAATATTCTTCCATTTTGAAGGGTAGGTTCAAAGTATTGCAATATAACAAAGCAGCCTATTGGTCTAGTTAGGTACATCTGTTTAGTGACACTATAAGAAATAAGGATGTCACTCTGAGGTTGTGCAGCTGGGATGGGAGCCAAGATCTAACTTCTAACTGCAGGGATAAAGGACAAACCACAGCACTTACAGAGGCACCTGCAAAAAGTGGCTTCAGAGGAAGACTAAAAATCAGCTTTGGAGGCTAAAAATAATAATACTAACAAACAAAGCTACAAAAGATGGGGAGGGGACACCCTAAGGTAAAAAAAGTAAAGCACCCCTGGATAATTAAGTCCAGTCAAAGGCGACTACGGGGTTGCGGGACTCATCTTGCTTTCAGGCCAAGGGAGCCGGCATTTATCCACAGACAGCTTTCCGGGTCATGCAGCCAACACGACTAAACCACTTCTGGCACAACGGGACACCGTGACAGAAGCCAGAGTGCACAGAAATGCCATTTACCTTCCCACCAAAGTGGTACCTATTTATCTACTTGCACTGGTGTGCTTTCGAATTGCTAGGTTTGCAGGAGCTGGGACAGAGCAACGGGAGCTCACACCGTCGCGGGGATTTGAACCGCTGACCTTTCAACTGGCAAGCCCAAGAGGCTCAGTGGTTTAGACACAGCACCATCCACGTCCCTAACAGTTTACTGACACTAAAACAGAGATGCAAGGATAGCCCACTGAATATTTGATGTTCTTTAATTGTTGCCGGTGCTGCTGCAACCATTTCCCCTGCATCAAGTACTTCCTAAAAGTACTAAACCATCATTTAATAGTAACTTCCTCCTGCTAAAATGAATGCATATGTTTAAAGAAACCTATGTAGAGAAGAAGGATGCGGGTGGCGCTGTGGTCTAAACCACAGAGCCTAGGGCTTGCCGATCGGCAGTTCGAATCTCCGCGACGGAGTGAGTTCCCATTGTTCGGTCCCAGCTCCTGCCTACCTAGCAGTTCAAAAGCACGTCAAAGTGCAAGTAGATAAATAGGTACCGCTCCAGCGGAAAGGTAAACAGCATTTCCGTGCACTGCTTTGGTTCGCCAGAAGTGGCTTAGTCATGCTGGCCACATGACCCGGAAGCTGTCTGCAGACAAATGCCGGCTCCCTTGGCATATAGAGCGAGATGAGCACCGCAACCCCAGAGTTGTCCGTGACTGGACCTAACGGTCAAGGGTACCTTTACCTTTATGTAGAGAAGAGCCTTGAGAGCCAACTTGGCAGCTACAGGAAGTAGGTGGATTCTTTCTCCCAGGAGCGACAGGCTGGGAATCCGTCTACCAACATGCCTGAAGACAGGATTCCTTGGATGAACAATCCTGCCTAATCCCTGGCCTCTTGAGCTGTCTGGACGGACTCTGGCTGAACTCCCCCACCCCATCTTCCTAAAATTAGAGTCACACTCCTGAAATAGCTCCTCAGTGTCTGGACCCAGCAACACACACACACCCTCACCCCACCCCACAGTCATGGGGGATATGAGAGCAGGAGGCGACAGGCACAATGCACAAAGGAAGAGGCCACTCTTCACTCAAAGGGCCCAGCTGTCCTGCTAGGAAACAGATGGCATACAAAGCCAAAAGGCTGTGCCTAAAAATCTCAAAATTCTGTGCCCGGAATAAACCCTGCCAGTTAGGAAACCTGATTATTCTAATTGGATAATATTCAGGGGTTGCAGAATGTGGGATCATTGCAAAAGGAAGGAAAGGATAGTGGAGGGAGGCGGGCCAGGACCTTGCCAAGAGACAGGTGAATAAATGCAGAGGTCTCACACCTGGCTATTCAAAAGTCCTACAACACTCTGTCTAGCACAGATTGTTAACACAGTAATAGGTTTAGAGTATTTCCCGATTTGCAGGTAAATGGGCTAGAAGCTTCGTTTATTCTTCAAAATGAAGTTTTCAGGATTGTGTGCTAGAAGCCATATTTGTGGAATAATAATGACTATTCTAGGACTGGGTGCTACTAAGCATTGGTAATCTATATAGTTCAGCAGGATATTCTACAGCAAATAGCTGTTTCTGAGGTCATCTATTTCTAAAAGGGGGCAGGTTTTGCCCCTCACCTCTCCGCTACCCCAACCTTCCCAGCTGCTGCTCTGTCAATGTCTCCCATGGCGATTGACGGCAGCCACTGACATCTATCAGAGGGGAGGGGAAAGAAGCTGCAGTGTCAGCTGCAGCTAACTTTTGGTCCGATTATATCTATGAGACTTGTTTCTCCCCTACCTCAGTTTCTGTTTCTGACTGCCCCTCAACTTTTATCCAAACAAAAACACAGCTGATGCTGTGGAAATATGTGTCTCTTCACCCCCTCCCAAATCCCAGGTAAGTGATAACTGATACCAGTGTCAGATAATCAAGACAGGTTGTCCACCCCATCAAACATCTTCCTACTGCAGCCTCATTCATTTTTCGTTACAGGTCAATGAGGACTACTGGGTTCTATGAGAAAGAGAAGATGGGTCAAAATCTGTAATGGAGGGTGGTGGAGTAGGGATGGGGGGGGTAGCGAGGCAGCAGGGAGGACAGATGTCTGCTCATAGTGTGTATATATCTCCTCCTCTTCCATCCTCTGGATTCCTCCTGCGTGTGGGTGGGTGGCCCCCTTCCAGAAGTGGGTGACACAGTGCAACAGAAGGTGGAAGCAGTGGCTATGCATGATGTATGAACACATACATTATCACTGTCCCTGCATTACAGGAATAGGACTGAGCCCCAAAGAAGGCCTTGCTGAAGTTCAACCATTTACAACAGCCTTTCCCAACTGGTGCCTTCCAGATGTTTTGGACTACAATTCCCATCACCACCAGCCAGCGCAGCAATTTTTGGAGCATCTGGCAATATTAATATGGCATCAGCAGTTCTGTGACTAACTGCCCTGAGAGAGAAGCTAAGAAGGACTTTTTCCACAGTAAAGCGACCGTGCAAACTGTTGCACCCTAGAACAGGCCAGCACAATGTGTTACCCATAAAACCAACACATTGCACCAGTCATGAGTTGCGGGCTTTCAGTGGTGAACCACCCCTTGGTTTTTCCAGCCTCGGGCAGGCACCCAAAACATGAGGTCTACTCAACCTGGTAGAGCACAACTTGTGCAGGATTTCCTTAAAATCATAGGGACAAGAGCAGTCTTGATATTATTCATGTCATAAAAGGGGTAACTGATGGTAAAGCATTCAGAATCCAAATCTAGCATAAGCGTCAACCTAAATCTGGGCCTCTAAGCTCACAGAGCTAACACTCCACTGGGACCTGTGGTATTAGAAGACGACATCTAGCTTGTGCAGCCAGTACTGGGCTAAGACATTTGCTTCCTGAAGCAAAACACACTATGGCAGCCCAGCCCAGCCCATTCTATGGCTGCTGTAAAAGCAAGCTCACAGAAGTTATCTGGATGTGTCTGAAAATAAATACAAAAAGAGGCTGCTAAAGACACTGCTTCATTACACAGCAGCTGTTTTACAGCATATCCAACAGTCAGAAATCAGTTTTACACATTCACTCCTATTGAACCTACCAAGCAGCCTGTGACTTTAGAGGTTTTAATTTAGATTGTCTTGATTTGTTTAGCAGATTGCTAGTTTAGCATTAGACCTAACTAGGGTAGATGTTTACATTCCACTGGCAAACACTGAAAGAGACTTTAAAGGAGCTGGGAGCTTAGCAGTGGTACGAGATCTTTCCCACTATGAAAACGTGTACTGACCTAGTTTCAGCATTTTAATCTACGTTAGTGTTGGTTAATGAACCAGGAAAATTAGCCAGGATCCTTTCTTCTAATGGTTTATAAAATGAGGAATAATTGTCTGAACCAAGGTTTCCCAAACTTGGATCTGCAGTTGTTTTGGGACTACAGTTCCCATCATTCCGGAGCACTAGTCCTGCTAGCTAGGGATGATGGGAGTTATAGTCCAACAACAGCTGCAAACCCAAGTTTGGGAAACACTGGTGCACTTACATATTACTAAGGTCTTGATTAATTTTAATTCAAATTGATTAAAGCATGTCCCCAAACACAATAACTTGCCCAACTTTTCTATCAGTGGCATAAAACTGAATTGTTTTGATGACTACATACCAAAGATCCATCTACTTCCAGCAACAATCAGTTAGTTCATGAGGATGCACTGGAGCTTATCCAATATCCAGCCATGGAAGGAAAAGAAGAGGTTGTCACTTACCAATGAGTCTCTCCCTGCTTCCTTCCTCTTTCATGCCAAGGCTGCCATCCCATGCACCCTTGCTTCAGTGTATGTTCCACTGAACGGAAGGGGACTTACCTTTGAGTAGATATGCTTAAGAAAGTTTTACATTGCTAGGTTCTTACCCACTGGGTTAAGAGTCCAAAGGAATCCAAAAATGGGTTTTATGGATTGCGTCCTGCTTGATGAAGTGCTCCAGAGCCTAGAATGTGAACCCCCACCCTCCTTACTCTGAGGTGGTCCACCTGGTTTCAGCTGAACATGCGCAAAATTAAGGCATTCACTGGAAGGAACTACCTTGCAAAAACCTCTTAAGGGATAAAGGGGGGGGGGGGATAAAAAGCCCTGGCTCCTCTCACATCAAAGTATAAGCAGGGCAAGTGAAGACAGAACAGGGAATTGCTTCAGCTTAGGACTACCGGGAAGACTTGCACATGCACACAGCCGCTAACTCTCACATTCTTTCACCTTCCAAGTTTTAAGGCTTCTGCTGCCTTCCTCTCCAAAGGTTGAGCTGAACTCCTAGCCCAGTGTGGTATAAAGTGCTCAAACCGGCATGTGAGCCTGCCAGCTGACCAGCAAGTAGACAAGCCGTGTTTGCCTTTCTTTTTCCTAGGCAAGGCTGCTGCTGCTGCTCCTTTGCGGCCAGTTGGGCAAGGTGGAATAGAGCATGCTCAGTTTTAAATGGAAAAGGAGGTGCTGGGTGGGTAGAGGCCAGAGAACCAAAGATGAGGAGGCCACACAGGCACAGTAAACCTGAGAATTAGGCATTGCAGTTACAGGCCCTGTGAGGAGGGGCACTTCAGCTAATTAGATTCCAATATGTCACTTGAAGCAGCTGCTTAACCTGCCCACATGGTAAAGCCACTCCTGTACACGGATGCCTGGAAAAAGACCCAGTCAAGAATCCAGCTTACCCAAGACACCACGCGGCCGTTGAAACAGGGAAGCTTTGCATTGTCGTCTGAGATTTCTTCCTTCACAACGCTGCAAAAAGAAGAGAGAGACAGATGTCAAAGTACAGGCCAGCACATGAGGTCAAAAAATAACAGAGCTGGCAGCCTGATTCTAGGGCAAAAAACCCCAGAAGAACCTGGACTGCCATGATAATAAAACCTGAGGATGTTTCTTAAGAGGCAGAGATTGGGCATGATACATTAATGCATCTCAATTCCACATCCTAAGCCCTACCTACCCAATCAAGACAGCTCAAATCCAACCAGAAACATCTATAATTCCTAATCTGCTTATTTCTCAGGTCATATTTGTGGATCTGTCAACTTGCAGCTAAGCCCTCTCAAATTTCTGCTTCTTATTTATGATTTCTATAAAAGGAAGTGTGTGTGTATAACAGTTCATTTGTCCCTTAGAGAGCCCTGTGAAGCGAAGCAAGATTGAGATGTAGAGACGTGTCTAGGCTGCCCGGAAAACTACATGACTAAGCACGAATCTGCATGGGAATCCTTAAAAGAAAGATGGGGGGAGAACAAGGCTGTTTTGCACAATGACAGGTGAAAACATTGTTCACTTTAAAATGATAAATCAAAGTAAGCCACATTATCCTGTCAGGTCTCAATATTTCAATTGATGTTTTATTCTGAGGAAGAGAACTGATCCCCTTTCTATTGCTGGCTCCTAGACTACACACAACATCTTACCACAAGGGTATTTTAAGATATGAAAGGCAGACTATAACGTAACATATCCGGAAGACAGAAGTCAAAGGGGACATGGTGGGATGGTCCCAATCCTGTACAAAGGAAAACTGGGTTCTGTAACCTGCATAAACTATGGGGAGCCTATATTATATGCATTGCCAAGACTAATGTTTCCTTTAAAAAAAAATAGCAGAGATTCCTTAGAATGCAAGCCTACTTGGAGCAAATGATATGAAAGAAAATCTATAGTTGCTGGCTAAGTGAAGTGAACCTATAGATTAGGGGTCAGTAAAGTTTTTCAGCAGGGGGCCGGTCCACTGTCTCTCAGACCTTGTGGGGGGCCAGACTATATTTTGGCGGGGGGGAAATGATGCAAGAGCACTACGAGCCCCTGTGGCTGCTTACCTGTGTCTTACAAGCAGCAGGGGCTGGTGGCAGCAGTGGAGGGACGAAGAGCAGCGTGCAAAAGGGCTGCGGAGAGGGGCTGCTCAAAATGGCGGCCACTCGAGCGCTGCTGCTGCTGGCACCAACAAAACCCAGCCCCCTTCCTCCTCTAGGCAGGGCAGGGAGAAGCCAGGAGGAGGGAGGGAGGAGGCGCAGCCGCCATATGAGGGATCCGCGTGCAGGCGATCCACGTGGCGATTCCCGGACCATCTGCAGGCCGGATCCAGAAGGCAATTGGGCCTGATCTGGCCCACAGGCCTTAGTTTGCTGAGCCATGCTACAGATGCAACATTTGTGAACAAGAAGGGACTGTTGTCTTCTGTTCCGCAAGTGTATCAATGCCTCCAGATCAGAGTGGCAGGGATTCTGGGGCACTCAAGCTCTCAGAGGCCCCTTTGAGGACAGAAGGGAACAGGTGTGAGCAACATCTGGCCTTGAATTTGGAAGCAGCAAAAGGTCTTTGGACTGGCCAGGCATAACTTAAAGACAAGGAGCCTGACCGTCTGCTGTTGCCTGGCCAACAGAGTGGAGCTGTCTGATTGCTGGCCCCTTTGCCCTCCTTTAGTCCTCCAGCAACTGGCCTCAGGCATCCTTGGCTGGTGAAGATGATTTAGAGGCACATGGGCTTAACCTTCCCCTGGCACACAGCAAAACAAGAGCTATTTGACAAAAGGCCTTTAAAAGCTTAAGATTGAAATCTTCAGCTGACTCTTATTTAAATCGCTTTATTTCCATCCCAGCAAAGAACATGTAGCAACATGTTTGAGCATCCTGGGGCATAAGACAAGACACAAATATGGCCTTTTCTCCTCAATATACACAGTGTCTAAGCTCCATAAATGAAAGCAATTGTGCATGTAGGCTGAACAGAGGCTGAGATATCCCCACCGCAAAACCCTCCTCACTTATGGAAGGCCATATGTTCCTGCCAAAATGAGACAGACTTTGAAGTCGCTTCACCAGATGGAACCATGCAAGAAAGTACAATCGTTTGGGTCAACGCCTTGGCGGGGTGGAGGGTGCAGAGAAGGCAGCCCACAGGGTTCAGCTCAGACGCTGTGTTACTGTTAGGAGAGGCCCCATCTTTTTAAAAAGGGGAGTCAATCACTTTCATATTTTGGAAATCCTATGTTCTTCAGGCAAGATACCTCTGAATGTGCCATGATCAACCAAGCCCACTTCTGCTGAGAAAAATGTATTCACTCCAACAAAATCCTCAGAAGCTCAGCTTTCTGAATGTTGGGTTTCTAGTCCTCATGGTTGCCTAAAAAGCTGAGAAACTTGACTGAGGCACAATGTGGCTTCTACTGGTTGGGGTGGTGACTAGTCCCACCCTTCATAAATCTACTGGCTATTCTGGTCACACAAGAATCCTTGGCTTTCTGGCCTGAACTTGAGTTCTGTAATAAAACGGACTCAAGTAACTTCATGCACAAGATGAAGATTACAATCTGTACAGCACAAATATTATTTGAAAAATGGCCACCTATATGGCCTCAATAATCTTCAGCTTTCCCAGTGCTCCAAGGATCCATACATCAAAATGGGTTTGGAAGATGTGCAAGCTGAGCTTTAAAGGCCCGTCAGTCTACAGCACCGGAGGGAAGGAGGGTTAGAAATTATGTGCGGACACAGAGTAAGTCTGGACAGGCTATTACCATCATATAACTATAGTGTTTAAAAGCAAGAAGATAAGGCCAAGGAGTAAACCCTACACAAATCCAAAGTGGAGCCCCTAAGATGGTTGAATGGCGCCTAGTACACTGTCTCCTTCCGGCAACACCTGCAGCCAAGCTGGTGCCAAACGTATTGCTTTCCTTTCCTTTGGACCAAATCAGTGAGCCCGTGTGTATTTGTGTTGTCGTTCTGGCAGCCTAGGGCCTCCATACACTCTGCCCAGGCTTGCATCCCAGGGAGGTCACTTTGGTGCTCCCAGTGCAGCCGTTTGGCTTCACCCCCACAAGCACACTCCATTGTCTCTCGAGGTAGACAGATGCCAACAACAACTAGTTCCTACTGAGCCAAATTCAAGGTTCTTGTATTAATTTACAAGGCCCTTAACGACTTGGGTTCAAGGATACCTTAGGGACTGATGGATGCCTTATATCCCTGCCCAATCACAGAGCTCCTGAGAGGAATTACTGTGAGTAGTCTTACACGACTCAGATCCACCAGGAGTGTTCAATATTGTGGGCTCAATTCAGTGTCACTCAGTCCCAGCTGAGATCGGACAGGCCCCTTTCAGGCACTTGGTGAAGACATGTTTGTTTCGGCGGGCATGTTAAGTACGTTTTCTCATTTTATGATTAGCTTTGGAGGTGCACCCCTCTTGCATGCCTCCTGTATCCGCTTAGGAACTGGGATAATAAGATGAAGTCAGAAACTCCTGGTGCTTCTTCCAGTTGTGGAACTCCTCTGCAGGCAGGATTTTTCTGCCCGTTTCAAAACATGGACAGAAAATTGCAGGAGGCAAATAGGGTTTTCCATCCTAATTAACTCTGCCCCACCCAGACGACGCCTTCTGTCCCTACTTTATACATCAAAGGAACCTGCTCCTTGTAGCCCTGAAGGCTCAGATGCACTCATTTAATCTGAATGGAGTCTTTTAAAGTGACACCATTTCCCACATCTTCTGCACCAACCAACCAGCTAGCTGTGTCTTACTGAGATGCAGTCAGAAGAGGTTCAAAGAGCTCCAGAAGGCTCTGTGCCAAGAATCTGAACTGCAAGCCGGTGGGCAACCCCTTACTCACAAAACCAGGAGTGCAATCTGCAGAGCACCAAGGGACCACCTTGACACAGGATCATAACTCTAGGTGAAAGAGGCTTATTATGGATGCTCAGGTTTTTAAAATTTATCACCTGCATGCAGGTCCTTTTGTGGAAAGGGCCATAGCTCAGTGGTACAGCACCTGCTATGCTTGCAGAACATCTCAGGTGCAATCACCAGCATCCCCAGGTAGGGCTGGGAAGACCCCCTGCCTGACACCCAAGAGGGCTGCTGCCAGTCAGTAAAATCAATACTGAACGAGACAGACTAACAGTCTGACTCAAAATACATTTTGGTGGCAGGCACTATGTCAACAGAGTCAGAACAGAATTTATTGAAGACGCTGGCAACCCAAGGATTGTCATTTTCATTTGCAGGGGCATCTAGTCCTCATGGGGAAATGGAATAAAAACATGTGGGTTATATCTGTCAAACTGCAATGCATGAACTGCTTAATTTTTAGTCTCATTATGCTGAACATGTTGCTTCTACATTAACTGCAATTCATGGAAGCATTCCGGATGCTCAGGTTTTTTCCGTTTCTTTCTCCCACACACTTGGATCACATGCACCCAGAGTCAGATCACCCTCACTGTGTTCAATGGGATCTACTTGAAGGTTAAATATACATATGGCCTGCGACTTACATTTTTCAAGAGAGATGTATCAATGCTGGAAGCCCTTCCCATCTGTCATGAGTCCCCTGGAAGAGTGGTCAGACCCCAAGGAAAAATGGGAGTTAGACCTGGAGGAGAGTCCCAGGGGGTCGGGGTAAATGATGCTGACCCCCCCCCAAAGATGTCTGATCCCAGGGAGCATCCCAGAAGGGGGGGGGTGGAGACCCACCCCCCAAACAAGGTTCAGGAAAATTCTGAGAAGTGTTTCCCATCACCTGCCTTCCAGATATGTCTCTCTCATCTTCTCCAGTCAAGGAACCATCCTGTTACACAAGAGCCCTCCCCCTTTAATGGAGGGAGCTGAGAGCAAATCTGATGCCAAGGCTGGCATCCACTCCACTTCTGACACCCAGGACACGGAGGCTGCAGTGCGCACAAACCTTGACCAGGCAACATACTGGAAGGGATTCCAGGCGCTTGTTGAGCCAAATGCTGCCCATCCCACCCTGAATGTTGTTAGCTATTAGAAATTATTACTGATTATATTTCAAGAGCAGTGCCCATAATAAGACAGGCAACTTAACACACACCAGGATTATCAAACCTGTGTTTGTCATAAGCGGTTTCTCACTGGGAACGCCATCCCAATGAGCAACGGCAAAATTTCACAGGAACGGCAAATTGCACAAGATGAATTTGCTACTTTGACTGAATCTAGCGATGTGTCCTCTGTTCATATAACACAATCTACACCACTGTCAACACAAGTCACTTGATGCTGTGCTGCCAGCTACAAAAGTGTTATTTTGTTTGCTGTATCCTAGCTTGGCAGTAAATCCACAGAAATGGCTAACCTCCAAATATTCTTACTTGTCTGCACACACACCTAACTATATTTAATTACTTGTAGCCTGTAAGAAAAAACAAATAATGGGGAGAAGAACGACCTTTTGTAAAGCTTGACTGCCTAGAAGTGTGTTTTACTCACACTGAAAGCTGAAATTGCTCTGAGGATAATAAGAGGCTACAATGACCATTAGGGAACACATTAGTGACATGTTTTCTACCTCTGCATGTAGTAATTAAGATAGTTAAAATGTTGTGACTAGACATGATTATATTGTGGCTGCAATAAGCCTTTCACCACCCTCTGTATCTTACCCCACAAATATGGCTGCAAAGTGAACTCTTGTTCAAATCCAGCCCCAGAAAATGGCCTGAAGGTGCTTGCTGTCGTTCCATCACAGATGCTAAGCAGATCTGAGGCTGGCCTATAACAGAGTGGGAGACCAGGAGTTCATTACCTTTACACTGAGATCCATAAAGGGGAAAAGGGCAATGCAGGAATGCAATAAATCTGTGGGTAGGTGTTGGTGCTTTAACTAAGCCCTGCACACACTCAGTTTCTTTCCATGTAAATGCTGACAGCTTCTAGAACAGCTCTGACTGGCTGGCTAAAGATGAGGGGAGCCAATGGGTCTCAAACCCTCAGTGAATTAGGGACTTTCCCTGCATGCAAAGACAGGCTCTGATGGATTGAACAGATGAGACCAGTAGTGGGTCCAACGGTCAAGAAGGCAGTTTCTACATGTGGTCTAGAGGGATATGGGGGCAGATGGAGCTTGTGTACCTAGGAGAAGGAAAACTCTGATCCTAAACCTCTGCTACCTTGCAGGATTTCTTCGGGAGAAGAAAAGTCTAAAGTGTAAACCCCTACACAAATCCAGAGTCCCTAAGATGGTGGGACGGCGCCTTGTACGCCACCTTCCGACAACGCCTGCAGCCAAGCTGGTGCCAAAGGTATTGCTCTACTTTCGTTTGGATCACACCAGCGAGGCCAAGAGGGGGGTCTTGCCTTCCAGGCAGCCCAGAATTTACATACACACTGCCCAGGCCTGCACCCTGGGGAAGTCATTTCAGTGCTGCTAACACAGATTTGACTTCACCACTGGAGACGTACTCCATTGTCTCTTGAGACAGACGTATGCCAACAAAGTTCAATTAATTCACAGGAGACGGTGTAGTAAAATGGATTTCAGACTGCCCCATGCAAGTTTGTCTGGCCAGAATGCGGGGCGGGAGGGGGGGAGGGTAGTAGCCGTGTGTGCTCCTCAGACACCGAGGGCTTAGCAGGTATCAAGGCAGAACCAACCCTCAAGCAGGCAGCTAAATAGAGTACCTCTGCACCCCTCTCTTTGCTTTGCACCCCTCTAGCCCCAGCCTTAGAAAAAGGGTTGACAAGCTGGGCCTGGCTCTGGTTTAATAGCAGGCAAATGCTCTTGCCAAAAAGGAACTGAGGCTATGGAATGTGCTTTGTGAGCAAAACTGCTCATTCCTGGAAAAGCCTCAACTCAGCAGGAGGGCAGGAAGGGCCGAGGAGGAGAGAGAAAAGAGAAAAGTACAGAGTTGAGCTTCTTCAACCCCACACCTAGAAGCATTATCACAAAAAGCTGCCTAACCACTAGCCCCATAATGCCAACAATACTGCAATTTCAGAAGAAGGAAAAATAGAAACAACTGGTTTAGAAATAACATTCAACTGGTTATCAGCAAATGGGGTGGTTTTTAAGTTTTATTCAAAGTAGACACACCAAAACATAGCTAAGTTAGATCCATTATTTTCAGTAAGTCTACTTTGAGTAAAACTTTGAATACCACCAACTTGCTTATTTCCATTGTTTCTCCAGAGCGCAAAACTCAGACTTTCTTCATGCAAAACGGCACAGACAATAATTCCTTTAATGTGGCAGCCCCAGCGTTCTGGAATTCCCTATCCACTAGCACTAGGCAGATGACATCCTAACACTGTGACGCCTGCTGAAACTTTCCTGATTCAGTGGGCATATCCAGACACATGATTTAGTCATATCTCTTTTAACATTTGTTTAATGCTTTGCTATGTTTACTGTATTTAAATGTTCCAAACATGATTTTATTTTTAATGGTAATGTTCTATCACAGATTTAGGAGGAATGGTAGGATATGACTTTAACAAATAAAACAAAACAAAAGATTAGACTAGATAGGTGACCATTGTGGTCCCTTCCAACTCTACAATTCGATGATTCTAGCAGGTATCAACTCGCCAGAAAGATATTGGCTGGCCTTGGTTATCCGCTGCGACCAGCTTCAAAGCCTCATTCCTGGATCTTGCCAAGTGTTTTTGTGAAGGGACATCAAGAGTTTTCAGACCCAGCCTAAGAATTCCACTCCAGATCTCCCTTGACCATTCAGCTACAGCTTTGTTTCCTCTTTGTCTTACAAAGTCATTTATTTCACTGGTCAACGAGTAACAGCTGTGGCAGACTGCACCGTCCTTGCCTCCATCAACAGAAACAACAAATTGCAATGACATCCACACCAGTTGCATCTTTCAGTGGATGCTCTCCCCCAAAAAGCTGCTACAGCTGTGTGCCACATCATGCGATCCTCGAACTATTCCCCACTCCCCTTTAGCTCCCATCACAGGGCCAGGCCACAGAACATCAAAAGCTTGTGCACTGGCCATCTTGGTTACAGGATGCCAACAGAATGATAAAGCAGAAAAACAGGTCCATATATATATTTAACTCACAGAGACATGTGTCCCCACCCCTCAAGGGAGACCTCCCTTTGCAGCCTATGAGGATATGCAGCCAAACATACACTGTAGTACACATCTGGTTTGATGGGTGTCCCTGATCCATTCAAAGAGATGCATGACCCTACCTAGGAAAACCACTATATGCAATATAAAGCACAATTCAAGCTAATGGAGGCTGTTATGCTGAAATGTATATATTACTTCAATGAATCATAGAATCATAGAGTTGGAAGAGACCACAAGGGCCATCGAGTCCAACCCCCTGCCAAGCAGGAAACACCATCAGAGCACTCCTGACATATGGTTGTCAAGCCTCTGCTTAAAGACCTTCAAAGAAGGAGACTCCACCACACTCCTTGGCAGCAAATTCCACTGTCAAACAGCTCTTACTGTCAGGAAGTTCTTCCTAATGTTTAGGTGGAATCTTCTTTCTTGTAGTTTGGATCCATTGCTCCGTGTCCGCTTCTCTGGAGCAGCAGAAAACAACCTTTCTCCCTCCTCTATGTGACATCCTTTGATATATTTGAACATGGCTATCATATCACCCCTTAACCTCCTCTTCTCCAGGCTAAACATGCCCAGCTCCCTTAGCCGTTCCTCATAAGGCATCGTTTCCAGGCCTTTGACCATTTTGGTTGCCCTCCTCTGGACACGTTCCAGTTTGTCAGTGTCCTTCTTGAACTGTGGTGCCCAGAACTGGACACAGTACTCCAGGTGAGGTCTGACCAGAGCAGAATACAGTGGCACTATTACTTCCCTTGATCTAGATGCTATACTCCTATTGATGCAGCCCAGAATTGCATTGGCTTTTTCAGCTGCCACGTCACACTGTTGGCTCATGTCAAGTTTGTGGTCAACCAAGACTCCTAGATCCTTTTCACATGTACTGCTCTCAAGTCAGGTGTCACCCATCTTGTATTTGTGCCTCTCATTTTTTTTGCCCAAGTGAAATACTTTACATTTCTCCCTGTTAAAATTCATCTTGTTTGTTTTTGTCCAGTTCTCTAATCTGTCAATGTCATTTTGAAGTGTGATCCTGTCCTCTGGGGTGTTAGCCACCCCTCCCAGTTTGGTGTCATCTGCAAATTTGATCAGGATGCCCTTGAGTCCATCATCCAAGTCGTTGATAAAGATGTTGAATAAGACTGGGCCCAAGACAGAACCCTGTGGCACCCCACTAGTCACTCTTCTCCAGGATGAAGAGGAACCATTGATGAGCACCCTTTGGGTTCGGTCAGTCAGCCAGTTACAAATCCACCGAGTGGTAGCATAGTCAAGACCGCATTTTACCAGCTTCTTTACAAGAATATCATGGGGCACCTTGTCAAATGCCTTGCTGAAATCAAGGTAGGCTACATCCACTGCATTCCCTTCATCTACCAGCCTTGTAATTCTGTCAAAAAAACGAGATCAGGTTAGTCTGACATGACTTATTTTTCAGAAATCCATGCTGACTATTGGTGATCACAGCATTCCTTTCTAGGTGCTCACAGACTGTTTGCTTAATGATCTGCTCCAGAATCTTCCCTGGTATTGATGTCAGACTGACTGGGCGGTAATTATTTGGGTCCTCTCTTTTCCCCTTTTTGAAAATAGGGACAACATTTGCCCTCCTCCAGTCTGCCGGGACTTCGCCTGTTCTCCAGGAATTCTCAAAGATGACTGCCAGTGGTTCTGAGATCACATCTGCCAGTTCTTTTAATACTCTTGGATGCAGTTCATCTGGCCCTGGAGACTTGAATACATCTAAACTAGCCAAGTATTCTTGTACTATCTCCTTAGTTATTCTGGGCTGTGTTTCCTCTGCTGAATCATTTGCTCCAAATTCTTCAGGTCGGGCATTGTTTTCTTTATCGGAGAAGACTGAGGCAAAGAAGGCATTGAGGAGTTCAGCCCTTTCTGTGTCCCCTGTTTGCATTTCACCATCTTCTCCTCTGAGTGACCCCACTGTTTCTTTGTTCTTCCTTTTGCTACGAACATACCCATAAAAGCCTTTTTGTTGCTTTTAACCTCTCTAGCAAGCCTGAGTTCATTCTGTGCTTTAGCTTTTCTGACTTTGTGTCTACATGTGCTGGCTATTTGTTTGAATTCCTCTTTGGTGGTTTCCCCCCTTTTCCATTTTTTGTACACATCCTTTTTAATCTTAACTCAGTTAAAAGTTCTTTAGATAGCCACCCTGGCTTCTTTAGGCACCTTCCATGTTTCCGTCTCATTGGTATTGCCTGACGTTGTGCTTTTACTATCTCCCTCTTAACAAACTCCCAGCCATCATGAACTCCCTTTCCTTTTAGTATTACTGTCCATGGGATCTCACCCAGCACTTCCCTAAGTTTTATGAAGTCGGCTTTCTTAAAGTCAAGCAATTGAGTCCTAGTATGCTTGGCTGCTCCTTTCCGCTGTATAGTAAACTTTAGAAGAGCATGATCACTCGCGCCTAATGATCCTTCCACTTCTACCCCACTAACCAGGTCATCAACATTGGTTAGGACCAGATCTAAAATGGCTGTTCCTCTTGTTGCTTCTCCCACTTTCTGGACAATGAAGTTGTCTGCAAGGCCAGTGAGGAATCTGTTTGACCTTATGCTCTTGGCTGAGTTTGACATCCAACAAATATCCGGGTAATTGAAGTTCCCCATTACTACTATCTCCCTTCCTTTTGCATGCTTGGCCATCTGTTCCAGGAAGGCATCATCTATGTCCTCCGTTTGGCTTGGGGATCTATAGTAAACTCCCAATGAATTTAAACAGTTTTGTTATTATGCTAACCTATGCAAATGTAATTGTATTTATAACTGATTATTTTTAATACAAGGCAGCTGGTTAAAAGTATTCTAGCCAGTTGCCAACCAATGGTACTTGAGAGACCACTGTGGTGTGGCTGCTCACAGGCACATGGTTATCAAACCTGAAGGTGAAAGGTTCCATCAACTGAAAGTGACATCTTCTGTATCAAACCTCATCTCTCAAGTTGTTAGGCTCCTACTAAAACTCAATTCTTTCAGGCCAGGGCAAGCAATCAATGACACAGGCATGCTCCTCTACAAAACTGCTAGTATCCACTTCTAAATGGATCTTCTAAGCCAACTATCAAGCAACAAAAAGAAGCAACAAGTAGGAGAAGCCAATGAGGCCAAGAAGCTCATTGGACAGATGGATGGTCGTCTGTCAAGTAAGATTTAGTTGAGATTCCTGCACTGCAGGGGGCTGCACTAGAGGGCCCTCAGGGTCTCTTCCAACTCTACGATTCTATGAGTCTATGCAATCCTCCTCTGAAGAACAAGGTATGTTTCTTTTTTTTTTTTCAGAGAAATTTCTTTTTTATTAATGTAATATTTATTGGTTTTACAAAAATTTCAAAACATACAAAAATACAGAATTTCAAAGACAAAAAACAACAATAACAGTGACAAAAGGAAAACAAAAAATAACAGTAACTATAAAAGAGGAAAACAAAAGAGAAAAAGAAAAAGAAACAGAAAAATTTAAAAATTTATACTTTCATTTAACCTTCTTATCTTTCCTTGGTTTTTTGACTTCCCCGCACCTCCCCGCTTGTATTTCCTTTTAAAAGCTCCTTTCAGCAAATCCTTACCCTCCTTCCTTTATCTTAACTCAAGAAACTTAATCTATTTATATATAGATATTTTTACAACCTTATCAATCAAATATTCCATGCTCTTAAACGCGAGGTTTTTGCCAATACCAATTATTTTCAATCAGACCTCAATTTAACATTCATTAATTTTATAGTATTTCTGTAAATAGTCTTTAAATTTCTTCCAATCTTCTTCCACCGACTCTTCTCCCTGGTCACGGATTCTGCCAGTCATTTCCGCCAATTCCATATAATCGATTACCTTCATCTGCCATTCTTCCAGAGTGGGTAAGTCTTGTGTCTTCCAATACTTTGCGATAAGTATCCTTGCTGCTGCTGTTGCATACATAAAGAAAGTTCTATCTTTCTTTGGCACCAATTGGCCAACAATGCCCAGGAGAAAGGCCTCTGGTTTCTTTAAGAAGGTATACTTAAATACCTTTTTCAACTCATTATATATCCTTTCCCAGAAGGCCTTAATCTTTGGGCACGTCCACCAAAGGTGAAAGAATGTACCTTCAGTTTCTTTACATTTCCAACATTTATTATCGGGCAAATGGTAGATTTTTGCAAGCTTGACTGGGGTCATGTACCACCTGTACACCATTTTCATTATATTCTCTTTTAAAGCATTACATGCTGTAAACTTCGTACCTGTGGTCCATAACCATTCCCAGTCAGCAAACATGATGTTATGTCCAACATCCTGTGCCCATTTAATCATAACAGATTTTACCGTTTCATCCTGAGTATTCCATTTTAGCAGCAAGTTATACATTCTTGAAAGTGTTTTAGTTTTGGGATCTAACAGTTCTGTTTCCAACTTTGATTTTTCCACCTGGAAGCCAATTTTTCTATCCAAATTATAAACCTCTCTTATTTGGTAATAATGCAACCAGTCTCGCACTCTATCTTTTAGTTTTTCAAAACTCTGCAATTTGAATTTATCTCCTTCTTGTTCCAAGATCTCCCAATATTTTGGCCACTTGGCCTCCATATTGGACTTTTTCAGGGCCTTTGCCTCCATTGGTGATAGCCACCTTGGGGTTTTATTCTCCAATAAGTCTTTATATCTTATCCAGACATTGAACAATGCTTTCCTGACAATATGGTTTTTAAATATTTTGTGAGCTTTAACCTTGTCATACCACAAATATGCATGCCACCCAAACACATTATTGAAACCTTCTAAGTCCAACACATCAGTATTTTCCAGAAGTAACCAATCCTTCAACCAGCAGAAAGCTGCTGATTCATAATAAAGTTTAAGGTCTGGCAGGGCAAATCCCCCTCTTTCTTTAGCATCAGTCAATATTTTAAATTTTATCCTGGGCCTCTTGCCCTGCCAGACAAACTTAGAGATATCTCTCTGCCACTTCTTAAAACAATCCATTTTGTCTATTATTTGTATCGATTGAAACAGAAACAACATTCTTGGCAATACATTCATCTTGATGACAGCAATTCGACCTAACAAGGAAAGCTTCAAATTTGTCCATATTTCTAAATCCTTTTTAATGTCCGACCAACACTTTTCATAATTGTCTTTAAATAAATTCCCATTTTTAGCTGTCATATGAATCCCCAAGTATTTCACTTTTTTTTACCACTGTTAAGCCTGTCTCATTCTGAAACCTCTCTTTGTTCACTCGGGGGTAAATTCTTCTCAAGTACTTTAGTTTTAAACTTATTCAGCTTAAAACCTGCCACCTGACCAAACTCTTGAATCAGTTCTAATGCTCTTTTCGTACTAGATTCTGGCTCCTGTAATGTCAATACAAGGTCATCTGCAAATGCTTTCAGTTTGTATTGTTTCGCTCCGACCGTTATACCCTTAATCAAATGGTCCCTTCTTATCATATTTAACAAAACCTCCAGGACAGAAATAAAAAGCAATGGGGAAATTGGGCAGCCTTGTCGTGTCCCTTTCTCTATCTTAATTTCCTCTGTTATCACATTATTAACTATTAATTTAGCTTTTTGTTCCGAATAAATTGCATTTATACCATTTTCAAACTCTTGGCCTACCCCCATCCCCTGGAGATTTTTCTTCATAAAGCTCCAAGAAATATTATCAAAGGCTTTCTCTGCGTCCACAAAAATCAAAACTGCTTTAGTATTAATCTCCTCTTGCAGCTTCTCCAGAATATCAATTATATTCCTTGTATTGTCAGAAAGATGTCTATCTGGAAGAAAGCCAGCTTGGTCCTTATGAATCACTCCTTTTAGCACTTTTTTAAGCCTTTTTGCTAAAATATCAGCAAAGATTTTGTAATCAGAACAAGGTATGTTTCAGCAAAGAAACAAAGGCAAGCTAAAATAGGACAGAGAAGTTTCCCAGCACAGGCAATATGGCCTTCTGGCAGCTATCCTCTCTCTGCAACAGGATTTTTCTTGCGTGGCACCTTGGCCTATCAAGCTCATCCCAAAGCCTGCAAGGACCACAGAAGCCCTCTCCCTGCTACAACTAGAAAAGTGACAACAGCTATGAGCTACTGAAATTCTCCAATAAAATATATTAAATTTTCTCCTTTTCTTGGGGGCTACCTCTCTACTTGAACTGGGGCTTCACTGAAGCTTGAAGTGCAGCTGGAGAAAGGTCCTGCTCTGTTGACCGGACCAGGACAGAAGGATCCTAGCATTTATACACATTCCGGCCCAATCTGAATGCTTTATCCTGCCTGCTAATAGCAGAGTGTCATGTTGCATATGGCCATTCCCTTCTGCTCCTGAACAGGGCTCTGAGGACTAAGTACACACACAGCCTTATTATCTCCCTCCATACTACATCTCATCCAACTTCACAGTCAGAGGCTCCCAGCTCTTGTTCTCACACACACACACCCTCAAGAAATAGGGTGTTGCCCTTCTTCCTCTCCAAAATATTGAACCAGCTAGAAGTTGAAATCAACCCTGAATCATAGAAATGCAAGCTGACAAAAGCATAGCATACACAGCATTCGCTTGGACTCTTCCTTCCCTCTAAAGATTTTTTTGGACGAGAAGTTGGCCACATTTCAGCTTTCAGAAGGGTAGATGTTTCTTACAAAGTCAATAAGCAGCAGCTAATTTGGAGGCTCCAAACCCCACAGGACAGCATAGTGCCAGATCAAGAATGTGAAATGAATTTGCAGGCGTCTCAAAATAGTAACTGCAGCTCGAGAGTAAAAACTGACAAGTTATGAGTGAAAACTCTTTTGCCAAATGTGCGTGCCCTGGTGTGCTACATTGCTTGGGGCTTTGCCACTCCAAATATAGGCCCCACACATGACATTCAAATTTCATTGCCGAGTGCAGTGTGGATGAAGTTTGCCTATGAAGTGGGTAGGACCCACTGGGGCTACACAGAATATTTAATTTTTAGACAGACCCACTTAATTTTGATGCCAAGCCCTATCTACACTGCTCAAAGGGGACCTACAGCAGCAAAGGCTAAGATAAAATGTCAGAAGTAAATTCTGAGAAGCTAGTTATCATCGCACACCCCTCCCCTGCCCAGCTACTTAGCTCCCTGGGCTGGGGCGTGTGGCTTAAGACAACTGGCAATTAGTCTTAAGGCCTCAAGCCAAGCTCTTGCAATTGCCAAAGTGACTTGCTGCTCACAAGCAGCCAGTGGGGGTTTTCCATATGTTGCTATAGCTCCATCACACATCTGGACTCAATTTAAGGGGGAAAGCTGTGGCTTAATGCAAGGCCAACATGTTGCTTCTCTGCTAAGGCTTGCACAGATCATTGCCAAAAGGGCAATGCACTCATCCTATCTCCTGTAGGCACAATAGCCTGAATACATGAAGTAATGGAAGTTAATATCTAGGCTCTTATGTATATGGACTTGTAGAACCATGATGTATGAAAAAACTAAAATTTCACACACATCAAGAGAAACTTGCCTTCTGCTTGTTAATTTATTACAATGCCTCCCTTTTGTTCAGCAGTTGGTACTGAGCCTACGTGCATTTGGGGCACTGCAGGCATGCTGCCATCATGTGGACAGTGTGGTAGTAGAGCTGCCAGGGGGCACAACAACAGGGGCAGCAAGTGAAGGGACCCCCCCCCCAATTCACTCTTAATTGCAGGAGTGAGTAATGACTATAGGGGTTTAAAGAGAACATTTGATATGCCAACTACAGGGTTTTGAAGGAAGTAGACGAGTAAGTTCAGGAAAACAAATCTGACAAGAACTTTTGGCCAGAAATTGACACGGTAGAGAGTAAAGTGCTCCGTGCTACAGATACCTAAAAATGAAGGCAAGTCCAGGCTCCATTGAAAGCTTTAAAGGTAAAGGTAAAGGGGCCCCTGACCCTTAGGTCCAGTTGCGGACGACTCTGGGGTTGTGGCGCTCATCTCGCTTTATTGCCCGAGGGAGCCAGCCGGTCATGTGGCCAGCATGACTAAGCCACTTCTGGTGAACCAGAGCAGCGCAAGAAAATGCCGTTTCCCTTCCCGCCTGGAGTGGTACCTATTTATCTACTTGCACTTTGACGTGCTTTCGAACTGCTAGTTTGGCAGGAGCAGGGACTGAGCAACAGGAGCTCACCCCGTCACAGGGATTCGAACCGCCAACCTTCTGATTGGCAAGTCCTAGGCTCTGTGGTTTAACCCACAGTGCTACCTGCGTCCCCATTGAAAGCTTTAGGGATGGGCAAATAGCACTACCTGGAGTAGCATCATCCCAAGCATCAGAAGTGAGCGGAAGTTGGCAGAAACTGGTAAATGTGGGAATGCTTTAGCATGCAGACAGTGCTCTGTGAATATGGGGTCACTCTGCATGCTTACCCTAAAAGACAATCTGCAAACGGAGCCAGAGGCCAAGTAGCCAGACCATGCTTCTCACAACTAGATTATCTAGTACACAGGACTTGCAAGCAGCTAGCAAGATCTGAGGGCCGTGGAAAGTCACACCTGGAAGACTGTGGGAGTTAAGCACTGGAATCTAAGGGGTGTTACCTAGTCTAGCCAGGCTTTTCCCTTGCTTGTGGGAGAAGATGCTGCTACCAGAGGTAAGCAACAGGCAGGATGAGTCAGCTGACACACAATGACAAACACTCAATTCAACATGCTTTTTCTGCCCCCACCCCAGTCCAAGTGATGATCTCACCCAGCACAAAGGAAGCACCGTGTGCTGCATCATTTTGCGCATTGTCAGCTATTTCCTTAATTACGAGGGAATTAGGCCGTGAACAGCAATGGGGCAGCTCAGAAGCTGCCTTGAATCACAGGGTCCATTGTGCGGAAGACACAGCAGACATATTGTTGGCTGAGGAGAGAACAGTTTGATGCTGCACAGCTGCAGGACTTTAGTCTTTGGTCAGCAATCGCCCAAGGGACGCGGGTGGCGCTGTGGGTAAAACCTCAGTGCCTAGGACTTGCCGATCGTATGGTCGGCGGTTCGAATCCCCGCGGCGGGGTGAGCTCCCGTCTTTCGGTCCCAGCTCCTGCCCACCTAGCAGTTCGAAAGCACCCCTAAGTGCAAGTAGATAAATAGGTACCGCGTTATAGCGGGAAGGTAAACGGCGTTTCCTTGTGCTGCGCTGGTGCTGGCACGCCAGAGCAGCTTCGTCACGCTGGCCACGTGACCCGGAAGTGTCTCCGGACAGCGCTGGCCCCCAGCCTCTTAAGTGAGATGGGCGCACAACCCTAGAGTCGGACATGACCGGCCCGTATGGGCAGGGGTACCTTTACCTTTACAGCAATCGCCCAGGCACCGGAAATATTCTGAGAAAAAGCAGGAGTACTGTAATAGGTTTAAGGAAAAGGAAACCTTTGGTAAGATATGTTGAGGAAGAGAGGTGGCAGAGGAAATACTTGCCAGAAAGGAGTACATCCATATAAAAGTTTGATTAGAAGAAAAAGAAGAAGAGTTTGGATTTGATATCCCGCCTTTCACTCCCATTAAGGAATCTCAAAGCGGCTAACATTCTCCTTTCCCTTCCTCCCCCACAACAAACACTCTGTGAGGTGAGTGGGGCTGAGAGACTTCAGAGAAGTGTGACTGGCCCAAGGTCACCCAGCAGCTGCATGTGGAGGAGCGGAGACGCGAACCCGGTTCACCAGATTACGAGACTACCGCTCTTAACCACTACACCACACTCAAAAGGATGGATTCACAACCCAAGCCATGGTTTGAACATCCAATCGTTCAGAGATGCTCGCATGCTTTCTTTTTCCATCAGCTCAGCACTCGAGGCAATTGCCCTAACTACTGTTCGTCAACTCAGACATCACACCAACCCATAGTTTACAGGAAGACTTTAAACCATGATTCCTAGTTTCGGTTTCTTGGCCAGTCACAAGGCTTATCGGCAGTTAAACTCAATTGTCTCATTATGAGAAAATTCCAAGCCTTGTGTATTATACTTCAATAAAGCTCTTTGAATAAGGTTACCAGATTTTTTCAGTAAGTCTGGGGACACTATAAATAAATATTTTTTTAAAATAAAAAAGAGGGGAGAAGTTATTAAAAAAAGAAAGACGTAATCTCTTCTGTGGTCTCCTCTGGGTCCCGGCCTTTCTTGGAGAACTAGCCATGCTTCCCCCCTCCCTCCCTCTCCCTCCTTGCACTGCGATCCCCTACAGGCTTACTCAGGAGCAAGCGTAAGCAAAAACCCCCTCCTCCTGCTGCTGCCCTGCCCCTCTGTCTGGGTGTCTCCTGCTCAGGAATCGTCCGGCGGCCGCCTACCTGCGCCACGGCATGCCCAGTTAGCGGGTCCGGGGCAGAGCCGGCAAGGAGCAAGCGGAAGGAGGCGCGCTTGGGCCGGATCAGCTCGTCGCCTGCTCGCCTCTCGTCCACAATGGCCAAAGATGAGCTGGCCAACAAGCTGAGCCGCCGCTTGCAAGTCGAGGAGCACAATGGCGAGGCCGAGCAGCAGCCGCAGCTGCCCAAGCACCACCCGGAGGCCGAGTCGGAGCCCAAGCTGCTGGTCTTGGACAGTGGTACCGACAGCAAGCTGAGCACCAAGTCACAGTGGCGCACCTAGATCAACAACCCCGAGCAGCTCTTGCCCGCCGGTGGTGCCCAGCACCGCATCTTCAGCCCCTACACAGAGTCCCCATATGATGTGTCTTGTGCGCAACACATCATATGGGGACTTCCAGCAAGGCAAAATGGCGGGCGCCATGGCAGCTGGCAGCTCCTGAAGCCAGCCAGAGCCAACTGAGCTACCAGGCTGGTCCGGGCTACTGAGACTACCGCTGCTGCTGCCACGTTTCCCGGGGACATTCAATGAAATCCGGGGACATTCCAGGGATGGAATTTGTCCGGGGACAAATTTGCAAATCCAGGGACTGTCCCCGGGAAACGGGGACATCTAGTGACCCTATCTTTGACACAATAATGCTGACAGAGAAGCCCTCTCAGCAGTGAATAACAGAGGCCCTCAAAGAGGTGCCGGGTGTGTCCTTCTGGGAAGCTGAAATTTACTCTCCATTTGCAGCAGGTGTTCGCATTCTAAATGGCAACCGGATCTGAACAAAGTCCTAAGAAATAAATCTTAAAAGATGCATCAGCAGATCAAACAAATTGCTGCTATAGCTTCGTTGTTAGCCTAAGACAGGCGAGTTCAGGCTAAACCAGAAAACCACGCAAGTCCTCTTCTCCAAGTAGCCAGAGGGGGAGGATGACTCACTGTTTTAACAAGACCTGACCTGGCACGGGGTCTTCTGGCAATTCTTCATAGGTTAAGATGCTGCCAACTGTGCAGATTTGGTCTAGATGGTTCCCTCAAAAACCACCAAAATGTACAGAATCTGAGGCCATTCTTTTCAGAAATGGAAAATGCCCTGCATCAATAAAACACAGTAAAGCACTGTGCTCCTCAAGTTAAACGTGAATGTCCGTTATTCAGGGAACAGCCATTACATTGCATCACAGAGACCTCTGAGCGACTTTGCAGCTCACTAGTTTTTTAACCTGGTGTTAAGTGTTGCACTGAAAGCGGCATTAAAAAAAAAAACACATTAAAACAACCTTCCACTACTCTCTTCCATAAGAGCTTTACAAGTGTTGCACAGTCCATGCATTTAAATAATAATAAAAGCAGCAACGGCAACAAGCTATCTACCAGTTTACAGAAACCTATCTAAACAAGAGGTGTGTTATAAGCCTATGGTGCTGAAATAGGTATGAAAAGAAGGAGAACGAGCTTTTGATAGTGGAACTCTAGGAAGTGTACTACAAAATGGTCCAGGGAAACTTGGGGACTGTATTGATTTATTTGCAATGGCTGCAAAAATTTCCCAAATAAAACTATAGGCTTCCTTTCCCCCAAGTAAAGGTAGATGAATTCTTTCAGGTATTACTTGCCATCAAGTCCCACGGGGTGGGGATGGGGATCAGTAGTTATTTACACAGTGCCAAAGTTCACCCCATTTCATAAGCAAAACAGCAGGTCCTTGCTCCAAGGAAGCTACACACTAATTTTGTTGGGGGCAGGGGTTGAGACCACAGAAGGGAGAGGCAAGGGTAACAATGGACAAATGTGCACATAAGGTAAAGGTAAAGGTACCCCTGACCATTAGGTCCAGTCGTGACTGACTCTGGGGTTGCGGTGCTCATCTCGCTTTATTGGCCGAGGGAGCCGGTGTACAGCTTCCGGGTCATGTGGCCAGAATGACTAAGCCGCTTCTGGTGAACCACAGCAGTGCACGGAAACGCCGTTTACCTTCCCGCCAGAGCAGTACCTATTTATCTACTTGCACTTTGACGTGCTTTCGAACTGCTAGGTTGGCAGGAGCAGGGACCGAGCAACGGGAGCTCACCCCATCGCAGGGATTCGAACCGCCGAACTTCTGATCGGCAAGTCCTAGGCTCTGTGGTTTAACCCACAGCACCACATACTCAGGGTTAAATTCAGTTGGGAGGACAAAATGGTTTTAGGGAGAAAGTGGAGTTGTGGGAATATTTTGAAAGGACAGAGAAAAAACATGGTATCACATCATTCTGCACCAAAAGAACAGCAAAATGCGCCTCAGTGGACAATAGGTGAACCAAGGTAATTCAAGGGCAGAACATTCCCGGCTCTTTTAAGGAGCCAGACGACAATATCTGGGTGGAGCCAGCAAGTCAGTGCCTGGAGCTCAGAAGCAAGGCAGCCCTGCCACTCAACCAGATGAGCAACAATGGAAATTAATAAAGCAAACAAGCCACACAGCACATCCAAAGCTTGCAAATAGTGTCCTCACATTCTCTCTTGGCCCTCCACAAAACCCACTTCAAGTGACAGAGGAAGCCATCATCAGCCAGCGGCATGACACAGCCAAGGGGCTCCTGCAAACTGTCAACAATAGCAAGAAATGTCAACTTGGGATACAAATGGCTAGCAGTTCACAAGGCAAGGGAAGGTGGAACATCATTTGAGGACTGCAATTTATTAGGAGATCCATCCTCTATTTGGAAAATGTCTCTGCTAGGAGGACAGGGGTTCCTGGCACTGATTTCAAACAGGACATACAATAAAAATAAATCAATTTGCTGCTCTGCCCACGTCAACACATTTCCCCCATGCACATGTGTGCGAGAGGAGGCTGCCAAATACCAGCAGCGTCTGGCTGACACACTGGGAATTCCAGCAGCGCTTTCTTTGTTCTCTCCTCTGCGAAGTCCCGCAAAGCTCAGCCTTGAACCCATCCCGTGAAAGATGGGTGATAATTAAGCAGCCCTGGCTTAGTCATCAGACCAGCAATTACTTGGGATACTAATTTTCACTCACCAGCTGAGACCAGGGAATCTCTCGGAACTTAAAATTGGAAACACCAGCTGCAAAAAGAGGCGCAAGAATCAGGAGGGGAAAGCAGCTATCTCATCGCCAGAAAGACCGCTTGCTTCTCTGTTAGGGGAAGGGTTGCAGCTAGCAGTAGAGTGTTTACTTTGCAAGTAAATCCCTAGCCAGGCATTCTCAAATAGGAGTAAAGGGGGGGCAGTTAGGGCCATACCTGTTTTAGACCTGAGATGGTGAGCTTGCAACACAGGGTTCCTGTTGTCCTTTGCTGAAACTGGAGCCAGGTGTGCAGCAGTTAGAAGGTGCCGCTTTGTTGAACAGGTACGGGCAAGAAGACCAGGCTCCTGGCATTTATACCAGGCCTAGCGACCCAGAGGCTTCAGACTGCCTGCCAGCTGCCAGGCTGATGTTTACTTTACAAAATAGCAGTGGCACAATGTTGTTCTTTCATTTTTCCCATCCTTCCGCCACATATTGTTCCCTCTGCTCCCACATTTTATTCTCATTTTATGGTAGAGACAGTGATGGTCCCAAATGAGTTCAGCGAGCCTCAGGGCTCAGTGGAGACAAACCTAAGCCTTCCTGGTTGAAATTTCATACTCTGGCTGTTACAACTCACTCTACTCCTATCCTTAATTCACAAGGTTCCTCTTCAAACTCCAGAGTCCTCATCTTTTTTGATCCGGGCATCATGATGGGAGTAGAGCACAGACAGAGAGCAGGGGTGACTGAGGGGGCCCCCAATGGAGTACTACTGATGGGCGGTAAGGGAGATGGACCCTGAACAACCAAGTCTGGGGTGAAGTGGGTATCAACTATGGCCCCTCATACAAGTTGATGGAAAGAATCCTACACCATTTACTTTCATGGAGAAGACAAATGGTCTCCATCCCAATGCCTTACCTGGCATCCCAAGGCAATGTGTTCATAAGTGAGGGCCACATTCAGCACACACATCTACCTGGAGAACTGGAATTCCAAGATGATCTCTCCAGGTTAGATTAATGTGCAACAGCACGTCAAGTAAGTCAACAGGAAGACTTTGGGCTGAGTGGATGTTTCCCCTCTGAAGATGATGGTGATTTGTTATTTATTGTATTTCTATACAACCCTTCATCCGAGGATCACAGGGTGGTTTACAGTATAAAACCACAAACATACATAATATAATAACAAGCAACTCCTGTTTTTCTGTTGCTGTGATTTTCTTTAGCATTGTGGTTTTAATGTATGGTTTCAATGAATTGAACATTCTTTTAAAATGTGACTGCTTATGTAACCCTCTCTGGGACCATAAAGTGAGGGGCAGGTTATATTTATAAACACTTTGAGGTGTTTTCTTGCAATCAAGCGGTATACTGCATAAATTTTAAGAAATAAATTCAAGAAATAAATGAAGTGGCATACATTGGAGAGGTGAAATTCTAACTTCTAACTATGTAATTCCCATCAAAAATATTTTCCAGCAACAAGTCAGGCTGCCATAGCTAGAAGGCAGGATAAGCAAGGAATCCAAATCTGCCTGTGAGTTGACCTACCCAAGATGATATCTGAATGGCTACCTTTATTATCCTGATAGGTATCTCTCACATTCGTAGTCTCCTCACCACTGCACACAAAAGTATCTGTCCACTCTCCACCCATCACTTGCCAGACTCCAAAATTTATCCAGAAAAATGGCCAAAAGCAATCAAACTTCATAATTCTGGTGTGGGTGTGAAGTGTCTAACTGTAGATGCAACCAACTGTCAGCAGAGCAAGATATTGCAAACTTGGTATTCAGGAATCTGATGGCTTGGGGGAAGCTGTCCAACACCTAGGAAGAAAAAACCCTTTTGCTTTCACAGGATAGGGCAATGCTAGAACCCTTGCTTTGCAGCAGCTGAGTACAGGCCTACAGCTGTCCCGACCTTGCACCGCCTGCCAGCTGGCAGGATAATGAACACATTCCCCTGCCTGGAGACCTTCAACAGCTTAAGGGGGTGTCACTATCTCTCTATTAACACATACCTTCTGCTCCAATCGCCAAATTGATAGGTTTTGAGCAGGTCTTCACACCCTTGTGATGCAAAATTATATATTTTAACCCTACAGGACCTCAACATACCTTCCAATTGACACAGTGCACAGCCATCTCTCAAGGGCAAATTAAGCTCAACCCTGCACTAACTGAAATTGTAAAGCCTCTCTCACACCTAGAGGAAAAGCTTTCGGAGAAATTGGAGGAACCGTTTTGGCACAGCACTACTACTAACCTACTGCTGAACTTCAGGCACAACCTTGTCACCACTAGCCAATCACCCTAGAGCTGCGATACGTTAACATGCTTCCTGAACTTCTATATAGGGGATACTCAGTCGGTAGAGCATGAGACTCTTAATCTCAGGACTGTGGGTTTGAGCCCCATGTTGGGCAAGAGATTCCTGCACTGCAGGGGGTTGGACCAGATGACCCTCGTGGTCCCTTCCAACTCTACAGTTCTATGATTCTATGAAAGCTGCCACAATTTCCTAGTAATGAAGAGGGGGTGTCATACTAGCCCCAAAAGTCTGTGGTAAAGCGCTGTATGCTTGGCACAGGCAACCAGAGTGCCAAACACAGAAATGTTATGTAGGAAAGACCAGAAGGATCAGCTTCTGTTGGTAATCATGCTCTTCATCAATGGCCACAACAGAAACATCTGTTTGATGGAAAGAGTGAGAATGCAAACTTGACCAAAGAGATTGAGATCAAATCAGCAACACACTGAGAGACTGTCACAGTATGAATCCGCAGACCAGTAAAATATGTTTTGGAGTATATGATTTCTGGAGGCTTGCCTAGTACTGTTGTATTTTCTGCACCAGGAGAAGGCTCACTGCCCAGGCGTTTAGTATGTTTTACCTTTACTGATAGTTTTATCTGGCTTTTATGAGAAGTGTCAGGGTGCCCATCCCAAACACTGCGAGAGAGGCTGTTATGTGCAGTTAGGAAGAAAGCAGTTAGGAAGACACCTGCTGGACTTCTGACTCCTAAAAACAGTGCTGTGCAAAACAGGACAGAACCACAAGAACAAGCAGAGTAACAACTGTACAAAACACTAATTGGCATTTAAAAAAAAACCTGGAGAAGCCAGTCATCATAACAAGATAACAAGATGCCAACATGCCATTCATGTTCCTGTGTGAGTGAGTGAGGAATGTAGTGGGAAGGGCTTTAAAAAAACCATATAAAAGGTGACCGCCATTCACTTTAACCCAAGCACACAGCAGTTACAAGACACCACACAACCTGAAGCAAAAGGCAAATTGTCTGGAACAGTGAGAAGGCAGTTAAAGACAGTACTTCAGCTCACAACGAAATGCATGTTGCTGAACAAACAGGACCTTAGAACAAACAGGAGGTGGAAAACTCTTCACAGAAGATCGGCAGCCAATCCATCACTCAGGGATCCAATACAAAATGGTTCACTCTTGCCCACAGTCTGGCATGCTTCCAACTGTAGGTGTTCTTAGGGTTCAGTAGTTTGTTTTTTTATTCTCTCCACCAAGGGGCTTCCTTGCCATCTCTGCATTCATCCATCACATCAGTGTCACACCCTCCCTCATGGAACTCGGGATTCTATATGTTAGAGGTGGCTGGCCTGTGGCCCTCCAGGTGTTGTTGGACTACATTTCCCATCTTCCCTGACTTCTGGCCATGCTGGCTGGGGCAGATGGGAGTTTGAGTCCAGCAACATCCGGAGCACCACAGGCAAACCACCCCTGCTCTAGCCTCTCCCCACCATCACATTCCACTTCTTGTGACAGGAGCAAATAATACTTGCAAAGACTAGGAATCTTCATTTGTAAAACAGGAATATTGTTGACTCGCAGGATTAATGCAACTATAAAAGAGGGAAGGGAAAACAGCTGCCCACCCCTGAGCCTTTGGAGAAATTCAATGCATTTACAGAGTTGCAGCTTCCCCCCTCCCAAACTGCCCGCTGTCTTTATGCTAATCTCAAGTAGACACATCAGTAAGCTCTTCTCCAAATTAGCAGTTCTTCATTCCTCTTGTTTGAGAAGCCTAGGGCTGAGCACAACAACATTCCAGGCCTGGTGTTCCTATTGTCTTGCAGAGAAAGAGATTCTCTTCTGAATAGAAGTGGGGCCCAGGCCCAGGCAGACTGGGCCACATTACATAACTGCCCATTATTACACACACAGTGGCTTTTATTAAGTTGACATCTTGTAAAATTTGCATTGCTTTGCAAGCAACCCAGTTCTCAAGAGGATGAGGGTGTAGGATGAATTTCCTCCACAGCTGTTTTAGCTGCTTTGGGGCCCAAGTGAGTCAAGGTTTACTGCCCATTCCTGAGCATTCCGCATTTGTTCTTTCAGCCCTTGCTGGGATCTAAAAGACATCCCATTTGTGACCTGCGAGATTAAACCCTGCCCTTCTCTCTCTGTGGAACCATTTATGAAACCAAGGCAACTGCTCCTAACACAAACCACTCTCCAAAATTCACTACTGTCTACCATTTATATAGGACCTTTTCCATTTGAACCTTAGAACCTTTGCTTAAATAACATTAGTGATACCTGAACAGCAAAACATATGGAAATTCGCAAAAAAAAAACCTTGATTTGCTTACTGATGTAACTCAATATTCCCACCGTTAAAAGAAAAACATCTGTAGCAAGAACAGCAAAGAGTCTTGTGGCACCTTAAAGGCTAACAAATGTATTACAGCACGAGCTTTTGTGGACTCAAGCCCACTTTGTTAGGTGTAACAAGAACTTGTGAAAGAGAGTTGGCCTTGGAACTGGGGGAGCTGGGCTCCAAAGACAGATCTGTCACAGATTCCTGGCAAGGCCTTGAGCAAGTCATCTCCTCTCCACTTCAGCTCCTCAGTCTGCAAATCTGGGAATAATACTGGCTTACCTCACAGCAGTTTTCAAAAGTAAAAGGTAAAAAAGGCATGAAGTACTTCACAAATTACAGTACATGTTTTTAATGAAGCTATTGAGATGTCGGGTCTGTTCCCACATGCTGACTAACTATGTCTACTAAGTTAACCCCACTGTTTTCTAGAGCCATCACAGTTTAGTGACACAATTCTTTGTCATGCCTATTCCAGCCGTTGTTGATACAATGATAATGGCTTCTATAATGGTTTCCTATGGAAGTCTTTCAAGTAAAGTAACAAAATTAATGGAAATGATATCCAACATTCAACTGTTTTATTTCTTAAATGATATATTTGTTATATTTCTCCAGTACTGTTTAAATTTTAGAACATGCTCACGCGAAGTGGAAATCTTCATTATGTAAAAATGTACACTGGCAAAGGATTTGGGAGCTGTGTAATCCACTTTCGGCTGCAATCCTAGGCCATTTAACTAGGAAGCCCCACTGAACTCATAGGACTTAATTCTAAGTACGCTTATATAGGAATGCACTTCTCAAGTTATTTTGAGGAATCTTTTGTTCCATTACTATATAGATATTCACAGGGCCCTTAAATGCAAAATGTATGATGATCTCTGCCAACAGTTTCTAGACTATGTATTCCAACGTGGAAACCAGAGACTGAGGTCATGCACTTCTTATTACAAGGGAAAGACCAGGAGCTCACCAAGACAGTAGCTAAGTTCCTCTATCTGATTTTTTGTCCCCGAAGTATGCTACAGGATCCTGCCCTTGCTGGAAACCCACAGAGATGAGGCGGATTGCTCGCCTCTTCTGCCCTTTGGCGGGTGACTGTGCCGTTGGGGTGGCAACGAGATCGCACTGGCCTATCTATTCTGAATGTATTCTGAATGTTCTTATGTGATGCCAATAAAGGTTACTTGACTTGACTATATAGATATAAATGTCCTTATTTATCTCCTAGTCCTGTTTTCATTTACTCTTAAACATCCTATCTCCTTTTTGCATATTAAAGAAAACTGGCCCTGTCCACACATCCTGTTAGCCAAGGGTGGAAACTTGTAGCCTGCCAGGTATTGTTGAACTTCAACTCCCATCAGTCCCAGCCAGTATGACCTATGGTCAGGGATGATGGGAGCCGTAATCCAACAACCTCTGGAGGTCCAGAGGTGTCCCACCCCTGCTTTAACCCACAGCTTAAAGCAAGCTATGATTTAATGTGATTGAGCAGTGTGTCTGTGAACACTGCTCAGGATTTCCCCACAAAGCACTTCCCCAACTCCTGCTTTTGCCGTGCTGCAGATTACAAAAGCCAGAGTCTCCGCTGTGTTTTCTCCAACTCAGGCCCATGGTTGGCTTCTCTAGCACTAAGCCAAGAGTAAACCCTGGTTCCTGATTGCGGTTTGTTTTGAGGAGCCCAGGTTCAGATAACACAACAAGCCAGACTCCCGCTTTCTTGTCTCTGGCATGGCAACAGCAGGAACAGGAAAGGAGCCCCCTAGGAACTTTTGAGCAGCATGGACGCATTAACCATAGTATGTTTAAACTTTAGTGTAACACGCAAACCAGGCCACTGAGTAATATTTTGCTAGAAGCCCTTTCCCCCTCTTTTACTCACAATGTATCCTTGCAAAGGTAGTACTTAAATGCAGGTCTAAGGCCTGGCTTAACATGCTATCCACACTATTTGTCTTTTAAAAAAAGCAGACGTTTTGCAAACGTGCAATACACAAACTGAGCTGATGTACACCTTTACATACTCTTGCCGAAAACCAGTGTTCTTAACTCCCATTGTTCTAGGCGCGTTTTGCGACAGGGAATTTCATTAATGCGAGCAGTTCCTGAGCTCTGGGTGCAGTACGGCACCTAAGATTTCAGATTAAAACTGCCACTGCTGGAAGGAAAGACCTTTTTCTGCCTCCCCACTTCCAGCCACTCTTAAGACTGGAGAAGGAGCCCTCATAAGAATATTAGGGAGGGAAGGCAGGGGAAGTATGGGTTGTTGTTTTTCAGTCTTCAGATGAAACCTAGATTCAGGTAGGTAGCCGTGTTGGTCTGACACAGTAGAAATATTATTTTTTTAAAAAAATTGTCCAGTAGCACCTTAGAGACCAACTAAGTTTGTTCTTGGTATGAGCTTTCGTGTGCATGCACACTTCTTAAGCTCATACCAAGATGAAAACTAGACCATGTGAAAAATGAACATAAGATTGTAACTGCAGTTCATTCATTTCCAGCTTTGCATTCTTGTTATAAAAACCGCCTAGACACCCTGTTGTGGCACCCATAACCTAGGTTTAATGCGCCATTTAGTTCCTAGCTTCCACATCTTAGTTTCTAACATTGCCGACAATCACTGCTTGTGTGAGATGACCTTCCCATCCGATGTCTCCTCCCTACCACCTTCAACCCTCTGGGGAAAAAATCAAGTGGGGTTGCAGGCAGAATCTATTTTGCCAGTGATGTCCATTTGACTGGTGGACAGGCATGTGGTGTTCACCCTATTTATTTAAAGAGTTTCTTCTGCATAAATAATTTGAATCTTTGTCACCAAATAAAGTATTTTATCATTGTGTCACATTTTTTATCCCACCAATCCTCTGAGAACTTAGAGGAGGGGTGCGCAGTATTCTTATTTTATCCTCACAAAAACCCTACAAAGCAGCTTAAACTGAGATATTGATACTGGCCAAGCAAAGCTTCATACGCAAGTCTCCATGGTCACGTTCTGATCCACTAGTCACTATCCTACCATAGTGCTGGATATGAACAGCCTGACTTTTCCCATATGTTTCATTTACCACTATACAATTTCAGTCCATATGGCAAGATTGCAACAGACCTGCACCAATTATTTTCCAGTGTAAGATTTCAAAGATCCTAATGTGCTGGTTTATAAACATTATATCCACAGCATTTCCTCCACCAAGGAAAGGGCAGGCCCTCTCTGCCTGGGAGGCAACAGCTGTTTAGCAACACACAGCAGACTCAGCTAAAATATTAGGGCTTAGGGACCAAGATACAATATACTGAAATCAAGAATGGCAAACACAGAGCCAGCAAATATGCGAGCCAAAAAAACTCAAAATCCCTGGAACTTTTCATATGCCAGGAAAACCAGCAAATCATGGCCTGTGCTTTATATGGGGGGAAATGCCTCCTATTGATTTACTCCCTACATTTTCCACAAGCTTTGTACAGACTTCTGAGCCAAACATGCATTGTTAGGTCAAAACCAGCCTTTGCAGTCATCTGCAAATTCAGGAGGATGGGGGTGGGGAGAGCTATGGGACTGTACTATATCAGAATGCAGTTGGGGAAAGTCACAGAATCAAATGTGCCACACATTAAATGCTTCCTACCCATGGAAAGAGAGATTCTACCTTAGCTTTCTTGCTGAAATGTTTTGTGTATGGGGGAGCATGCACACAAATACCGATTTCTACTGTGAATTGCTACAGTACCAAAAAGGCTGGTCCATGTACTTGTGCTGCAGTTGTAGATCAGCTTTTATAACAAGAGCTCTGAGCAGGATACAACCCCAGGGTAGGTGGCCACAAGCAGAATGTCTTTGTAGGACTACAAAGCTCTAACAAAACTTGCTGTCCAGTTCTCACAAGCAAACACCAAAGGAACACTTCAATCTTGTGAATGCTACTGGAGCCCTAGGAGCAGCAGGAAACCAGGAAAGATTCACAGAGATAGGATGTTAAAGACAGCAAGGTGTGAAGTGTGTGTGTGTGTGTGTGTGTGTGTGTGTATGTATTTGCAAGAGACAGAAAGATCCTAGGAAGAAGGAAAGAGAGTGTCACAGAAATATAAGGAGGAGGAAAGGAGCAGCAGCCTTACATAGCCAATTCCTTAAAGAGGAATTTCTTTGTGTCTTAGGACATACAATCAGAGTCTGGAAAATTACACGGCCTTCAGAGGATTGTGGGAGAGGCTCACAAAACTGAGCAGAACACAATCAGAGCAGAGGGCAGGGTTTTACAAGGAATAGGTTTTGGGAAGCTAAACCAGCCCAAAAGAAAACAACCTCTCCTGCATTTTACTCAGAGACACCACCTTGTCCTGCAAAAGGAAGCATCAAAACAGGGAGGGGGGCACAGTGACAGGAGAGAGACCATGGTTAATTTCCCTTGGGATGTCAGTGTCCCCAACACACCAAAGATTTGGATGTTGGGGAGCGCTGAGGTTTCGTGAAAGAGCAGGACTCTACAGTAGCTGCTTCTTCTGGGCAGTTTTAGATAGTAACTGCATACAAAAGGCCTTTCAGGGGTCTGCACTGCACAAGCTAAGAAGTGCACTGCAGAGGATGCTGGGGAAAGAAAGGGTAACTATTGAACCCATCCTCTTGACCCGGCAAGAGATTCTTGGGGCACATCTCTTACAACCGCACTTAAGTCACCAGCGGCCCCATTCTCTCCTCGCTTGGGCTGCATGCAGGCAGTAAGGCTGGTGCTGGAAGACTCCTCCGTTCCCACAAACAACAATCTCCTTCCTCAAGGAAGAATGAAATTTATCAGGAGTGGGAACTTATGAAGTGCCTTGCTCTAATGCATTCGAGGGAAGAGAGCCTGCAAGGGAGGTCTGGGGAATCAGGCAATGCTGGAACCCAGCTCCCAGCCTCCCTGGCTATGTTAGCTGGGTGTGATGGGGGGGGTTTCCAACAACATCTGGAAGGCCACAAGTCCTCCATCCCCAATGCAAAGAACCACCAACGTGACATGGGGAGAAATGTGTGTGAGAGGCAGCCAGAAAGAGACACAGACCTCGATTCTGGCACAGGTTGGCCATTGGAAGATCTTCCTAGCAGAGAAGAGCATTTAAGGTTCACTCCACATTTAACCTCTTTGGGGTGAACGGGGCTTTGCTCAGGTGGGTTTATGTCTCCCCAAGCCCCTTCTTTCCCCTTCCCTCGGCTCTTCTGCAAAGGCTTGAGAATCTATCAGCTTGAGAAGGAAATGGGACAACCTCGGGAGGTGGTGGGCTCCCCCTTCTTTGGAGGTTTTTAAGCAAAACACGGGTGGCCATCTGCCATGGATGCTTGTGTTGAGATCCCTGCATTGCGGGGGGGGGGTTGGAGTACATGACCCTGGGGGGATGGGGTCCCCTCCTATGAAAGGAGAAGCTCTTGCCTGCCTGTTGGGGGTCCCACTAGAGATGAGCCAGGGCAGGGGGCTGTGCTCGCCCCGCACTACTCGCGAGGAGCAGAGGGAGAGGAGGTCAGCAACACAGGTCGGGCATTGCGGCAGGATCCCGAGGGCTTCGGCCGCCGCCGCCGCTGCTGCTGCTGCAGACGTGTCCGTGGCGAGGCGTTGATTTTGAAAGGGGGGGAAAGAAGATAAAGGAAGGAGGGAGGAAGAGGAGGAGAGCGGGGCCTCCGTCTCACCCGAAATCATCGTCCATAGACTTGAAGTAGAACTTGTAGTTGGGCCGGTTGAGCAGCGCCTTGAAGTCGCCCAGCGTCACCCGCTCGGCCGGGATGGGCAGCTTCACCAGGTACGGCGTCTCCTGGTCGTCCAGGTGGTAGATGATCTTGGTCTCCGCCGCCGCCATGGCCGCCGCCGCCGCCGCTCCTCCTCGCCGGGACCTCGGGAGCAAAGCCAGGCGCGGCCTAGTAGCAGCCCAAGCCGAGCGTCCCGCCGGCCGCGGCGGCCTCTCCAGAAGCCGGAGGGGGGCGGCTTGGGCGGGCCACGCAGGCCTCGCGCTCTCCGGGCCGGGTCCCCTCGGCCGCCGCCTCACCGCGCAAACTCCCGCCTCCGCCTCAGCGCCTCCTGGGGCGGCGGCGGCTCCTCCCTCCGCGGCCGCCGGGCCCCGCCAGCGCCGCCTCTCCAGCCCCGCCTCACGCGGGCGCCGGCCTCGGCCCCGTCCCCACCACGGCAGCCCGCGCCCCTCGCCTCGTCCTCGGGGCTGCCCTTCAGGGAATAGCAGCAGACTGGAGCCTCCGTGGCCAGGGGCAGCCGCGCCTCAGGGAGAAGCTTCTTCGCAGGGGGAGGCCGGGTATTGGGGGGGGGGGTTTCTTCATTTATTTATTTTGCCCCGAGGGAGGTGGTACCCAGACCGCTTTAAGGACTCCCAAGCGCGCCACAGAGAAGTAGGAAACAGGTACTAAAATATTGCCATGATAGAAATTCATGCCATCATGGGGGGGGGGGGCAGCCAAAGATGTTGAGCTTTTTGGGGGAAATCATGGGTGTATATATGTGTATGTACACACACACCACCAAAAAGCAGGTCATTTTGGGGGGCGGGGAACAGAACCTCAGTTGAGTACTTCCAATGCTTTTTAGTATTTTTTATGTGCATGGCATTATGCACAGCTTGCGGAGAAGTTGAAAGACAGAAGCTTCTCTTCCCTAAAACTGGAAGTCATGGACATCCAGCGAGGCTGAATATTGGAAGATTCAGGACAGATAAGCAGAGTTAAACTATGGAACTCCCTCCCACAGGAGACAGGGACGGCCACCAGCTTGGATGGCTTTAAGAGAGCAGCTGTTCCTCTTTATTGAATTTCTGCCCCACCTTTCATCCGAAGATCACGGGGCGGTTTGGAATACAAAAATACATGCCATAATAACAAATGGAAACAAGTCCGGCCCGCACAGTATTCTTTTGATCTCCTAGCAGGAAAAGGGAAGATATAAATTCAGTTTTGTGTAATAAACTGATCATTCATTCCTCTGGTATGTGCAAAGTGTATATGGGTTAAGGACAGAAACAAAATATCACAATTCATGGAGGAGAGGGCTATCCTACTCAGTTGGTTATAGAGTGTGGTGCTGATAACGCCAAGGTTGCAGGTTCAGTCCCCATACGGGACAGCTGCATATTCCTGCACTGCAGGGGGTTGGAATAGATGACCCTTGGGGTCCCTTCCAACTCTCTGATTCTATATTTCCGTGGATGGAGGCAGCAATTCTTCTTGCTGGAAACTACAGTAAGAGAGAAGGGCCTTGTGCTCACGTCTTGCTGAAGGGTTTCCCATAGGCATCTGGTCGGCCACTGTAAGAACAGGATGCTGGACTAGATGGGCCATGGCCTGATCCGTAAGATGTTTCAGGGCTAAACTTGCAGCGTGAGGGGAAGTAATCAGCACCAGAAAACATTCCATAGGAAGCCCAGGCCAAGCCCCGTTAAAACAAAAACAAGCATATATGCACAAACGTATTACTATCTCTCTTTGGCTCAGAAGCAAAAATGTTCACTTAGGCTTGTTTTGTTGTTTTCAAAGACAGGTGCTCAGTATGCATTGTTGGGACTAGCCAACAGGCCCTGCTTCCTTGGAGCTAGTGGTTTCCCATCTCTCTTGCAGGTACCATATGCACATGAGTGGAGGCAGAGCGTCTGTTGACTTTAAAATAAATTGTGGTTGCTCAAGTCGCTACAGACAATAAAGCTACTTTAAGTAAGCATTAGGTCACTGATAAGCTTTAAATTAATTGGTGATGCAGTGAATGAAGGGTGCTTAATGTTTTTCTGTTATAGCCATGTTGGTTCTGGAGCTTAAATACAGTCTGAGAACTGATAAAAAGGCAGTTTTAAAGCAACCACATTCCAATCGTTATTCTGCTGCAGCAGAAGCTACAAGGAATCCTAAGGCACCTTAGAAACTAGCGCATTTATTTTGGAGATAGCTCTTGTGGGGGGCAGAGCATGACGTCAAGCTGCTGGGTCGGAATTTATATGGAGTCTGTCCTATCGGAGTTGGGCTGAATAGACTGGGAGTAGCTAGTTCTGAATGGACACCAGTGGTCCCTTCTCTCTTAGGTGTCCATGCACACTGTTGAGTCTTTGCCACTTCTTTTCCAGATGGTAGGTTGCAACCATCCTGATTTGATTTTTCACCCTGACCTTGTTTATATTTATGCAATAACGGCAGAATAGGGCCAGCCCAAAACATTTTGGCACCTGAAGCAAACTGCAAAATGGTGCCTCCCACACCAGAGAAGGGGTGAGTGAAAATCTACATCAAGAACAAGGAAGATCAGGATCTGCTGCCCCTATGGATCCTGCCGCCTGAAGCGATCCTCACTTTGCCTTATGGATGGGGTGGGCCGGCCCTGTAGCAGATGCTACTTCCTAATAACATTTCCCCTCTCCTTTTGTGAGGTGGGAAGCTAAATTTTATGTCAGCTATTAGGTAGGTGATTATTCTGAAGTAGGTAGCACAATGTTCAATAAGGCTAGTGGTTGTGCATGGTTGCCGCCTTAACCTTTCAGGTGGCAAAGGCCTCTTACCTAGGTGCCCCTCTGGAATGCCTGAGACCAATTCTCTCACATGAAGACTTGTCAGACTGCTTCTGCTTCTCCTTTCGTTTGCAGAAGGGCTTACACTTGTACCTGATCCTGTCAACAGCTAGGGGCTTGCTGATTGCCTAGTGATCGGATCTTAATGTGAACTGATTTCTATCTATACAGGAACTCCAAAATCCATTGTTGAACAACCAAAATATGCAAATGCTTGAGCCTCCCAGAACACTTAATCAGGAAAGATGGTACGCAAATAAGGCTGGTTTTTAGACTTCATTCCAAGGTGAAAGTTGCAGACTGAATAAGTTTGTGCTAGGTGTTCACATATAAGGTTACAAAACAAGGATAAAGAAGCAATAGCTGCACCCTCTTTTTGAAAATGGGGCAATCTAAATGCTGACTGTATGGCTACAACAAACAGTTTTGCACTTCCCTCCGGTTCCTACCTTTTAGAACCTCTTACCTGATGAATTCTGGATAACTTGAAAGCTTGCAACAGTTTGTGACATTGTGGTTGGTCCCAGTAAGAGGTATAATCTAACTACGGATTTTGGAATTTTATTTTAATGGATCAAATTGCCACCTTCACTTTTTAATATATTTATTTTAATGGATCAAATTGCCACCAGGCAGTTTAAACAGATCACCTGGCAAAACAGATGCAGTGTACAACACTATGTACTGCTTGGTTTACTGTGGAAAAGCAGCATATAAAAAACCCCAAATGTTTTATTTTTATTGTTGATTTCCCCTTCTCAAGTGATGTGTGTTAAAGACATTTCTTTTTTCTAAGCTGTCTTGCATTTATTTATACAGAATTTATAGAGATTTAAAATAAAAAAACACAAAATAAATTAAAATGATGCAGCAAGAAAAGGCAAGTTCTGGAGCCTTTTTAATTATGCAAATTAGGTACAGTTGCATAATTTCTTCTGAATTATTCATTCTGCTACTATTAGTCATGGAAAGGGCCAAAAAGATATGCAAGTCTTAAGCCCCACCTCTTCCTTGAACAAATCTTACTTAGCAATCCCTGTGGCTAAGGTTTCTTCAGCCTTTGCATGAGCTTTCAAGCATATCTTCACACCCGTGAAGGCTAAACATTATTTTAAAGCAAAGATTTTCAGGAATGCAGAATTCAGTGCCCAATGCCACTCTCACAATTCCTTCTCCGAACTTGTGTGGAATTGGTTTGCACATAGCCTCAAGCACAGGGGTGGTTGTGTTTTGCACTGTGGTTTGTTATTCCCATTGCTGCACTCAGGCTAGTTTCCCACCCTCTCAAGTGGAACCGTGCCAATCCAAACAGGCAAGATTCTACCCCCTAGTCCAAATTCCATTGTTGACCAAAGAGATTTATCAGCAACTAGCCCAACACTGTCTTTCTGTTTGTACCTTGGCAACTGCATGAGCAGGATCAGAGAAGCAGGCACATCCTCTCCATTTCATATAAAGGGTCATGCTGATGGACATTTAAAGATTGTGATATATTCTACGGAGTGATTCGCATCCAACATTATTCATTTTTATACCAGCAAAATGCTTGATAGGCCCCAGCACATAATTATTTCAGGGAATCGTGTAACTGCTCAACACAAACCACATGCATATAGGCTAGGCCTAGGTTGGGGGGGAGCTGTTTCTTTTCCTCTTATCAAGTAGGAATATATAAAGGGTTGTTCAGCTACAACTGAGAGTCTACCTTGAAATCAGGTTTTCAGGCTTGGCTACTCTTCAAAAGAAAGGTTCTTAAAAGTAACATCACTGGACATCATCTAGAACACAAGTTTCCCAAACTTTGGGTCTCCAGCTGTTTTTAGACTACAATTCCCATCACCCCTGACCACTGGTCCTGCTAGCTAGGGATGATGGGAATTATAGTCGAAAAACACCTGGAGACCCAAGTTTGGAAAACCTTGGTCTGGACGGTGCAAATGTTTTTCAGATGGTTGCTTCTGGTATATCATTTGTAACAGCTTCATTTTCATACTCTCAAGCCTGCTGCGTAAAACACACTTTGGGAGTAAATCCTGGTGAGCCTAGTAGGATTTCCCGCCCCCCTCCAAACAGATATGCATAGGATGCCACTGCTGGATTCTTTTGTTCAACAAATCTAGAGAATGCTTCAATTCCAGTATGACTGAATGTTAGCAATCAATGCACACAATAAAAATTGGTACTTTCAGAGCACAGGATTTGAGCAAAACATAGATTTGTTACGTGGCACAAAGTATTCTCTGCCTCTAGTCAAAAAACCCCCCATCAGATATGGAATTACAAGGCAAACCCATTTTAAAGCCACCTTTGAACTGTTAAAAGAGAAAACCTCAGGCATCCAGCGAGATTTTTAAACGTCTGCATTTTATACAGCTTGTAAACACTTGGAGAGCTCACAGTAGGCTAGAGCATGTGGAGTGTTATATCTGCATTCATAAACAGTTATAGTGTGCAGGGCGGGGGAGTTAAGGAAGGCTTCATATACAGAATTTATCACTGCAGGAAGAGCAAAATTTTTACAAAGTCTCAAATAGGGACTCTTTTCAATTTAATGCTCCATAAAACCAGGCACATTTCCAAGAGCCAAGAGAGGAGATTAAAAAAACAACAAATCCTTCCCTGATTTCAAAATTGCCAGCCATTACCCTCCATTTCTCAAGGGACCAGGTTAATATTAAAAAGGAGAGGTAAATTTTACCCATAGCAAAAGTAAGTAAGATGTGTGCATCGCATGACACCAGGATTGAAAGAAACACATTCTGCTACGATTTACTATCTCAGGAAATAAGTAGTGAAATCACTGGATTACAGTTCATCAGGGAAGTGCAATCCTATCACTTGTGAACTGGGACAAAGGTGTTGTTTTTTAAATCACATGTGAATTGGATTACCAATGCTGGAGTGCCCATTTTCAACTGTGTGTGTGTGTCTGTGTGTGTGTGTGTGACTGGTTACCATAAATACATTATCACCACCAACTTCCCAATCCTGCCAACCTTGCCGTGGTTCAGGTCAGAAGCTCATCCAAGAGTCGTTTTCCATTGCTGATTGTGTTATAGCCACCCCATCAGTCACGTTACCCAAAATAAGACAGCTACTAGTATTTCTCTGATTTCTCAGAATGGCATGTATCTCTTAATTGAAAAGGTTACCAGTCCCATTAATCCACTTAAAATCCCTACTAAGTCACTCAGTGGAATCCAGTCACGACAAGGATTTTGGAACTGCTGTTCAGCACACAAAACAAGGAATGGACCTTAAGCTCCCCATTCGACATGCCTTTAATTGCTACATTTGCCACTACCTCTGTGGTTGTTCGTTCCCCTCCATGCAGGTATGGAGAGGCAGAACGGCTTCCGCTCACCTAGTCTGGCTTCCTAACAGATTTGCAAACCATGCATTAGTGGCGGGCCGCCCAAGGATCCAGACATCATTTGTGCGGTTTGTAAACATAACAAGAAAATGAACCACACGGGCAGAACTCATTCCAGGTACACATATTGCTGCAGGAGCTATGGCAACCACACCAATTGAGCAACATGTAAATGGGATTTAAGAGCCTTGGGCCAATGAGGCCTACCCAAACTTTTGCTCGAATACCAACATATTACAGAACAGAAAGCCCATTCTTTGCGGAAGGGATGTTTAATTACTCCCCAAATTAAATAATGGCAGACACAGAAAAAGCACATCTTCTTTCCCGACATTTACAAGAGGATGTGGCGACAAGAAGAACCCAACACCACCGCCAATGTTCAAGAGCTTCCATCCCAGCAGGCAATGCTCCCCCAGAGGCTTCTGGCAGTCCACATGTGCCAGCATGGCACAGCAGCACCAATGGTTACAGCCACCTCCAGACTGGCAAAGCTCGGGTTCCCTTCCTCTAGATAGACTGCAGCCCTTTCCCGGAAGGAACAAGATCAACAAGTCAGACTGACTGATAGACGCAGGCAACTGCCTGCTGTGCCTCATGTTCCCTTTTAGCAGAAGGATGCATGCTGACCTGCAACTCAAGAGAAGGTGGCTGCTTGAGGACTCTGTGAATTATGAGAATGGTGCCAGGGCAGGAAGAACGTGCTACCACACACTCCTAGGCCAAACGCAGAACCACAGGCCTTCTGATGTCAGTATTTAAGAGGAAACATAAGTGTTTCTTATATAAAACAGGGCTAGCCAATGCATTCCTCTCCAGATGCTGCTTTGACTACAACTCCCATCATCCTTGATCACTGGTCACAGTGGCTGGGGCTGGTGGGAGTTCTAGTCCCACAACATCTAGAAGGAACCATCTTGGTTAGGCCCTATACAAAGCATGGCTGGAAAATCTCTAGAATTATGTGGAGCATGTGTGATTGACCTAACTTGCATCTATGCTGTCTGAGTGTCCCCAAGGGCCAAAACAGAACTCCCAAAGGGTTCTGAAGCAACCTCTGTCAAATGCTGCAGAGGACAGACTCCAGCAGCGTCTTGGTAAGATACCAAGAACATCTGTTCTGCTGCAGCTGGGTGTGGATCTGTTGTTCCAGATCCAAAGGGTTAAGACTGGTCAGTAAGCAGGCTTGATGCAGACAAAAGACTCCCACCATCAGGGGCGTAAGACGCTTGCTACAGATTTTTCATTTATGAATGAACTCCTGGTGAGGTAGGTGAACGTTTCCCCGTTTTGTATGAACAGAAGTTGAAACAGAAAAGGCTCTGTGATTCTGGCAAAGGCTGCATTGCCAAGTGGACCTCCAAGCTAAAACGGAAGCTAAGCCACCTCTCTTCTGAATCTCTCCGGATCCAGGAACAACTCCACCTCCATCTGCAGCAGAGGCTTCGGGTATCGGCCCTGACTTTGGGCTGCTGAACTCTCTTCCTGCCTCATGTTGCTTTACCAGCTGTTCCCTTCAATGAAACTGGGGGGACGCCCACTGCACGTGCAGCACTACAGGAAAGGCAGGGGCTCCTGGGGCATCTGGTCTTACAGGACTGTCTTCTACACAAATGGCTCAAAGCCCCCAAGGGTTAAGGTTGACATGAAAATCGGTCTGGATCTGCCTCTGTCACCACCTCCAGCAGCAGCAAAGCCCCCGTCCCAGTGGACAGCTTCCTTATACAGCACCATAGATGTTTGTGTGTATACATATACATGTTTGTGTGTTTGTATACACACATACATACACGCACCCTCACACATACATGTCTCAGAAAAATCTTTTAACATTACACATGTCTCTGGCTTTTCCTTCTGACTGCTCTCTCACTGTCCTGCGTGCGGTGCCTTTTCAGGGGAAGATGCTAAGTACATAAACAGCAATGGGATTGTCAGCCAGCTTTGATTTTCAGGTCCCCCACGTACACACCATGCACCGGGTCTCGCTCTTGCTCGCTCCGCCGCTTCGCCAGGCAAAGCCTGGCACTGCGGCCCTCTCCCTCTTGGAAGCAGGGAGAGGGGGCATCTCTTTCTGAGAGAGGCTGCCAGGTCAGTTCTGCTCCCCTTCGGACGACTCCTCTTCGGCCTCCTCTAGCCACTGGATAAACTTCTGAAGCTGAGGAAGAAAAGAAGAAGCTGTAACAGGACGTGACAAAATCGGCAAAGGCAACTCCCCAGTGGAACACCAACAGCTTCAGACAACTGAGCTCACTTGTATAGGCTGATCCACACATACACAGAAGCTTGCTCGCTTCATCCTTGGTTTACCACACACTGCGTGGGGCTTACAGGTACAGAATGAGGTGGCAGAATGGCCTGTACCATTTCAGGCTCCAGCAGGGGTGTGTTGGCACATTATTGAATGTTACCCCGCTTAATTAGGCTGGAGCGCAGCAGTAGAGCACCTGTAATGTATGCAGAAGGTCCTTGGTTCATTCCCCCATCCCCAAGTAGGGCTGGCAGTTCCCTCTGCCTGAAACCCTGGAGAGAGACTGCCAAAAGGTGCCATGTGTGCACTTGCTGGTCTCAACAGAAAGTGTCAACACAGCTGCCGATAAAGGCTTCCTCTCACCCTGGAGACTCACCCGCTGGTTTTTACGAAGCTGCCTGCCTTTATCCGATGTGTCCCGTTGAGAAAACCAGGAGAGAATCATCTCTTCTGCTAAGATTTCCAGCTGGTAGAAAGTCATCAACACCTGCAACAAGAGCCCTGGGCACTTAAGTGGGCAGTTTATTCTGGATCAGTTGCTTACTCAGGGGCCAGAAGGGCAAAGCAAACCAATGTCAGAAGCTTGCTTGCTTGGTTGGTAGGAGGGGCCCTGGGATGCAAGATGAGGAGGCTGAGGACAGGGAACTGCGCAGAGCAGGCAAGGCTCCCACAGCCCTCTTTCAGTTCCTGAGGCTTCATAGAAATGCCAGCACTTTTAAATAAAAACCTTCTCTTCCTGAGGCTTGCATGGAAAACAGCTGGTGACAAAAGTCAAACCTGTACAATGCAGCCCCACCACACTGCCAAACCCCAGTTATGTCTGCCTGGCACCTTCATTATATATATTTAGGCACCAGGCAAAAATGTTCCTTCATCACAAGATCTCAGGGTGGCTCACAGAATAAAATACAAGATAGTTAAAACAAAGACACCAAAACTATTAACACCCGCCTTCCCACAAACAAATTTAAAATGCTGTGGAATATTAATCAGCTGAAGGCCTGGTTGAAGAGGAACGTTTGGCAAAGAGGCACACACGCCCTCCAAGGTCCCTGGCAGTCTCAGCAGCGCAGGTGATGCAGGAGACTTGTATGCCTCCACCAGCTCAGGGGAGAAGAAAGACTTCTGCGATTCAGGAGCCGGAGCAAAATCTCAAAGGTCTCCATTTTCACTTAACACCCCTCCTTCAAACTCAACAATGCTACAGAGGAAAAGTCTGAAAAGGTGGCATCTCTTGCCAAAAACAGAAGATTTTGTGCGGACCCCTGTGGTTTGAGTAGCTTAGGCTTCTGAGCCTTTGCAAAAACTTGCTTTCTAAACTGGGATCTGATCTGAGGGTTAGTGTCTTCTTGCTACATAGCAGGCACTTGGTGTTTGTGCGTCTTGGACATTTGCCTTTAACAAGGGGCACACAGCAGTGTGTTCTGCGCCAACCGTGTTGGCTGCACAAACAAGTCCCTTTCAACGATCGGAAAGCAGATTCTTAATCAACTCCTGCTGACAGGCACATGAACCCTTCCCTTCCTGATAAGGGACAACTCTAAGTGCTGGTGCAGAAAACAAGGCATAATTCAAGCAGACACGTTGGAAAGAACAAGCTTTCTCTCTCACACACACACACCCTTCCCATTGGCATAAAAACTCACTTTGGCCATGGACATGCATAGGTTTTCGTGCTCCAGGAAGAACTCCTCGATGGCGTGCAAGGCATCCAAGTGATCTGACGCCCGCTTTATGTAGTTCTTGAAGACTGGAGCCCAGTTCTTCAGCAACTGTTAAGAGGGGTAAAGTGGGCAAAAGAGAGACAAAGAGGTGACCACTTAGAGGTATCATATACAGACGTGCCATTACCTCAGTGTTTCCCAAATTTGGGTCTCCAGCTGTTGTTGTTTTTTACTACAATTCCCATCGTCCCTAGCTAGCAAGACCAGTAGTCAGGGATGATGGGAATTGTAGTCCAAAAGCAGCTGGAGAGTCAAGTTTTGAGAAACATTGCGTTACGTTATACAAATATAGGGCCCTCTGGGGAGGGCTATAACTCAGTGGCAGAGCACAGGCAGAGCATGCAGGAGGTCCTGGGGTCAATCTCAAGCATCTCCAGGTAGGTATGGGAAGGAGTTCAGCCTGAAACCCTGGACAAACCACTACCGGCCAAGGCAGGCAGTACCCATCTGGATGGGCCAATGCCCTGATTCAGTATAAGGCTTCCTTTGTTCATCCTCTTATCACTAGAGAATTTGACCCTGACATGCTGACAGCAGTTCACAGCCCTGACATTGTCTAAATAAGCCTTTCTCAACCTTGGGTCCCTTGTTGCTGCTGCACTGCAGCTCCCATCATTGCTTACTACCAGAACCAGTGGTCAGGGATGTTGGGAGTTGTAGTCCAAGAAAAGCTGGGGGCCCAAAGTTTGAGAAAAGACGGCCTAAATTAATGGAAAACAATAAGGCAGCCTTTGGCCACCTGGTACCCTCCAAGGTGATACTCCCTGGGGTTGGCAAAGTCTGCTTTAAGGCTAAATTACAATCACATTAAACACATTTAGAGCTAGCGCCTTTCTGGAATCATAGAATGATAGAATTGTAGAGCTGAAAGGGCCCCCGTGGGTCACTGAGTGCAACCCCCTTTCCAGATGTTTGAAAACAAGGCCTTAAGAGTTGGCAACAGAACGACAGGATGCTTTATTAGCACCTGTAGCAACATCTGATTGTGATACTAATTAAAACTCATGCAACTGGAGATGGTGCATTGTCTCTGCTTGGCAGTTCAGGATGGATGAGGGCCTTACAACGCAGCTCCATCACATACACTGCAGCATGGTGGGAATTTATTACAGCTTACAAATAAACAAGAATCACTTGTACTTGAGGCTTAGCCCTTCTGTTGATTTTGCTCCACAGCAACCAGTTACAGGTTGCAGATTTGGGCGAAGCCGAAATAAATTAAACTCCTTTCACATTATCTATTACTGTATACCGTATTTTTCGCCATATAGGACACACTTTTCCCCCTCCAAAAATGAAGGGGAAATGTGTGTGCATCCTATGGGGCGAATGCAGGCTTTCGCTGAAGCCTGGAGAGCGAGAGGGGTCGGTGCGCACCGACCCTCTCGCTCTCCAGGCTTCGCGCAGCTCTCCGCAAGCCGTGGGAGCCCGCGGTGGGCTCCCGCGGCTTGCGGTGAGTTGCCTGCATGCTGAAGCCTGGGCACGCTGAGCTCAGCGCGCCCAGACTTCGCGCAGCTCTCCGCAAGGTGCGGGAGCCCGGCGCCGGGCTCCCACGGCTTGCAGAAAGTTGCCTGTTCTGGGGGCTGGGGTCGGGGGAAGCTCGGGCTTCCCCCGCCCCAGCCCCGCACCTGGGGGGGGGGGATAAAAAAAATTTCCTTTATTTCCCCTCCCAAAAAAACCCCTAGGTGCACCTTATGGGACGGTGCGCCCTATAGGGCGAAAAATACGGTAACTATGTGCGTTATCTGTGTGCTCTTCAAAGGCCACCCAGAAGTTCTTGGACTACAACTCCCATCAGCCCCAGCCAGAATGGCCAAAGGTCAGAGAATATGGGAGCTGAGGAGCCAAAAACTTGCTCTAAAGGCAGTCAGCATTCCCACTAATAGCTCACATTCTCACAAGGACCAGAGCTGCTTGCTTAGTAACAGAGAGCTTGTATTAAAAAAAAAAGTAATTTCCATTTGTTCTAGAAATTGGGTTGATTTTTTAAAAAGTATCTTGATCATGTAGCGGATTATTATTTATTCCGTAAATTAAAATAAAGATGCAAGGGGCGGGGGCTATATATACTGTGTGTGTGTGTGTGTGTGTGTGTGTGTGGAGTTAATTTTGGGGGCAGCTTGCATGACATGGAAACGCAGAATTAATTTGCAAGCTTTGTTTACACTCAAGAGGACGTGAGTGACATCCTGGCAGAGCCCTCCGCATAACAGGAATGAACGGCAAGTTTTGCATGTACCATGAAAAAGGCATTAAAAAAAAAAAGAATTTATTTACTCATGTTTCACCTTTTGTAAGCACCCAAGGCAACACACAAGGAGTAAAACAAAACCAGTTAAATATGGAAAACATTTAGCCGAAAGAAAAAACCCCCTGCAATATTCATTATGAAAACCACTGGATTGGATCCAGCAGGGTCTGCCTGCTGATGGAAGGCTCTCTAATCCAGCAGAGGCTTCTGTCCGTGGGACAGGGAAGAAGGTAGTTTCTGCCCAGTTTCCCCTCCCTCTTGCAGCCACCCACACACCTTCCCCAGATTTGCTCCAGAAGACTGGAGAAAAGGGAGGGTGGTGCAGGAGGAGAGGAGAGCCTTCAATGGAAGGGACAAGATTCCAACCCAAAGCAATGTATGAGCCTAGAACACTGGTCTTCACCTGGTGGGCTGCAGCCTGATCCAAGGTGAGTCTCAACCGGAGCACTGCCAGCATGCAAACATATGGTGAAAGGTTAAGAAATGAATCCCTGCTGCATTAAAAGTGGGTCCTGGGTCTGGAAAGGGTAGAGGTGCCTAGTTTAGAGAAATAAACACGGGGTGGGGGAGAATGGAGAGGGGATTCCAATCAAAAGAACCCTTCCAGTTCTTTTGTCTGGCTGCAATATGCCCTTCAGCTGTGTTAATGCCTGGATGGAGAGAGATGCCTCTATAGAAAACACCGATTTTTGCATGGATGAGCTATAGCCCACTACACAAAGAGCCATATCCATTGCCCTACCTGCAATGTGCAGGTGGCCCCAGGAAGGTTGACCATGAGCAAATACGGCCCTCATGATGAGAAACAAACAAACAAGCCCACTAAGAACATGGAATCATAGAATTGTAGAGTTGGAAGGGACCCCAGGGGTCATCTAGTCCAACCCCCTGCAATGCAGGAATCTCAGCTAAAACTTCCATGACAGGTGGCCTTGGTGGATCAGGCCAATGGCCCATCTAGTCCAGCATCCTGTTCTCACACACAGGCCAACCAGATGTCTGTGGGAAACCTGCAAGCAGGATGTGACCACAACAGCCCTCTCCCCTCCTGTGGTTTCCAGCAACTGGTACTCAGCAACATTGCTGCCTTCAAAAATGTGGAGGCAGAGAACAGCCATTATGGCTAGTAGCCACCAAAAGCCCCCTCCTCCATGAATTTGTCCAATCCTCTTTTTAAAAGGTTTCCCACTTCTGGTGTAGACAATTCTGAGCAAGAGTGCACCAGGCAGTTTCCTTGGACACAACAGCTTGGAAGAAAGGAGCAATTAAGTTGGGCTCCAGTGGAGCCCCCCATGTATCCTCTGGGGGAGGCTAGTTGTCAAATGCACCCCTCGCTTAAGAAGCCTTCCTGAAGCTCCGTTTGCGCTCGCCCGAGACAAGTCAGGGCACTGCAAGGATTATCAGCACAGACTGCCAGAAACAGGAGAAAGGATGAAAGACAGGAAGCCCTTTGCATTCCTGGCCAATCCTCTCCTGCACCATTTAATTAGCACTCTGGAAGCAGCAAAACAGCCCCACTAAGTATAGCACTTCGGCCAGAGCCTGTTAACAGCTTCTTACTATTTTATACTTACAGGAAAGAGGAGTTACTAAAGAAAACTATTAAAGCATTTAAGAGGCAGCGGCACCATGACAGAGGAAAGGGGAGGGGGAAGCAAGAACAAAAAGATGCAGCTACGTTAGGGATTTTGACTTGTTGGGTTTTCTTATGCTTGCTTTGTTGGCTTTTAATATATGCTGCGTGAATTGATCCTATTTACACTTTCGTATGCTGCCCTTTTCGTGAAGGGTGCATAAGAAGTACTTTTTTAAAAAGAAAAGAAAAGAAAGAAAAGATAGATAATAAGCTTTCCAGACCACAGATGAGCAGGAAATTGCAAACACAGCGAGCACTTTCTCTGTAGATAATGCTTTTACAGTTCACAAAATCCAACACAGGAAACAATGGCCCAGGGAGCATCTAGCAGTATCTCATCGGAGGAGAGACCTGTGTCTCTGGAACAGCAAATACTGCCCTTTCTCCAAACAGAGGGGAGTTCCTGAAGAAGTAAAGACAGACACTGCATCCAGTGAGAGAGCAGGGAAACTCACAGGGACTACCAGCATGCAGTAATGTTGAGGGTCCTTTTCCGCATTTAGCTGCTGCAGTGGGAACTCCAGAACCACTTTACTGAGCACCTCCATCACCTCTTTCAGGCCAATATTATAGGCATATCTGAATGGGGAAGAGAGAGATAGCAAGGTATTATGGGACATGGATGGGGAACTCATCAATCTCCCCTATCTGATCTGCTACCCACTACCAAATGCACAGCTTAAAGAAAATGCACAATGCTTTCAACAACACTCTGTAATTGCTAGTGTAAAATTGCACGGTGGGTTGGCTCAAATGAGTAAGGAAGAATATCCAAAATAAATTAAGTAATTTGAAAGAGTTTCCTGCTGTGATCCTTTGTCTGACATTTTTAAAACAATGGCGGAAGTCTGACCATGTGGTTTTCATTTACAACTAAGTAGGGTGGTTTTTTTGTTCTTTGTTTGTTTACACTTTTTCATTCCAACCAGACCTGGCACCTCTGCGTATTTTACATGATTTCTTTTTTTACTTACAAAGATAACATCTTTGAAATATTGCCATATAGGCTTTTTCTTACAGCCAGCACTCATGGTAGTTTTTGAAGTTAAAGCTGCACACTGGAAAAATTTGTATTTTCTTCTCCTTCCCTCTTCTCAGGGCTGCTCCTTTCTGCCTTTGCCTATCCCTGCCTTCCCCTCACAAAAACAAATTAGCAGGCAAAAATGAAATTCCCATGACTGGAGGGTGGAAGCAAGGTCAAAGAGCTACTGGAGAGACTTGAACAACTTACTTTCATCAGGAGAAAATGAAATACCTCGTGTTTGGTAGGCAGACTATCAGCACTTCTCCCATAACTCACTTATCTTTGGTAGAGGCACTTATCTAGTTTAGAGATTCACTTTACGGCTATCATGCTTATATTAAGATTCTGTGTTAACATAGCTGTCATTTGAAAAAAACATTCTATTCACTACTTTGTTTTTAACAATCTTGATCTGCTCTGTACTACTGCATGCTCAGCCACAGTCCCCAGTGTCCAGACCCAGCCCTAAAAATTTAAGAGTGCCAGCAAAGCCTACGACCAGAACTTTACTGCCACAAAAATAATCTTATATAAATAGCATGCTGAGAAAAGTAACATGCCAATTTGACAAGAAGTTTACAGATTATGTTCTCAGTTGATTTATTACTACTACTACGCCTACTATTAGCAGTAAAGAAACTCAAACTGTAACTCACACTACAAGTGTTAATAATCATAGAATCCAGTCCAACCCCTGCAATGAAATAATCTTTCACCCATTGTGGGGCTTGAACCCATGACCCTAAGATTAAAAGTCTCTTGCTCTACCCACTGAGCTATCGCAGAGGCATCTGGGAGTTGGGGCCCTGCAGCTCAGAAGTAGAGCCCATGCGCTTGTTCACAGAAGACCCCAGAGGAGAACATGAAGATGTGTCAGATTCTTTGCTTCAGTGGTTCTCAAACAGCGGGAAGCTCTTGAACATCGATGTTAGAGGAGCCTGGACCAGGTCAATGATCCACAGCATCCATCTCTGCATCCTTCCTGCAGTTCCCAGCAGTTGGTGCTCAAAGGCATCCTGCCTCTGACCGTGGAGGCAGAGCATAGCCTTATCCTCCATGGGTGTAAAGTTACAGAGTGGGAAAGGATCCTGTAGCAGACAAACCTAGAGCAGGGAAACTAGCCCCAGGCAGCGTGGTCAATGGTCAGGGAGGACTGGAAAGAGAGTCCAACAACATATGGAGCACCAAAACCAGGCCTAGAGAAGTTTCCTAACTTAGAGATTTAGCACTGCAACCACCCAAAATGTCTCTGCTATTGTGGAAGAGGTGGAGAGACAGGGAACATACAGACACGCCTGGTCAGAGCATCCTCTTCCTCCTCCTGCTCACCTCCGTGACTGGCTTTAGAAATAAGCCTGAGATGCAAGAGGAACAGAACAGGGAATTGACCTGAATTCTGCTTTATCTCCTGCTGTTCAAAAATCAAATTTGACAGAAAATAGAGCTTTGTACATGTAACTGTGGGCCTCACACGTGCAATTGTGGCTCTGCATAATTGTCTTGTCTCTGAACTGAGGGACTGAGAAGACCACCCTCAAACAACAACCTCCTGCAAGTTCAAAACGTATATTTTTTGGTTGGGGGACATTGTCATACTTGAGAGAGTTGATCTCCAGAACCAGGTTGTCACAGGATATGTTTTCCTCTTCGCCCCTCTGCAGGGTACCCAGCACCTCATTCTGGAAAACTGCAAGCCAAGGCAACAGCAGATTGTTAGATCAGAAGCAACAAACACCAACACTCCCTGAGAAAGAGCCAATAGCAGGAGGCATCAGTTCCCAAATCTGCAAAGTCCAGTGGCCAAACTTGGATTCTCTTTATTGCACAAGTGGTTTTCTACACAGTACACAACAGGGAAGAGGATGCATGCAAAGCTAACTCCTTACCTTGAAAGCCAAATGGCTCTTACCTTTGATATCATCCAACAGAGGAGAAGCTGTCCGGCTGTCTGCTCCTTCAGACCCCAGACTCATATCACTTTCTGACTCGCTTTCTTCTTCTGCATTTAAAATGGGACCTATTGAAGATGGAAAGAGAAAGTGACCGGCTGCGGAAGTTCCCCCCAAAATCAATTTGGCCAAGCACCCCAGCCCAGAGGATGATATTCCACCTGCTGGGTGTTTATGCAAAGCTATGAAGCCACTCAAGAATGGCTTTCTAAAGGGCAGGGTTCACCTATAAGAAGACTAGAAGAGTTTGGATTTGATATCCCGCTTTATCACTACCCGAAGGGGTCTCAAAGCGGCTAACATTCTCCTTTTCCTTCCTCCCCCACAACAAACACTCTGTGAGGTGAGTGGGGCTGAGAGACTTCAGAAGTGTGACTAGCCCAAGGTCACCCAGCAGCTGCATGTGGAGGAGCGGGGACGCGAACCCGGTTCCCCAGATTACGAGACTACCGCTCTTAACCACTACACCACACTGGCTCTCACACTGGCCTAACCAGCCCCTTGAGCACAAACCCTGAGCAAGGACTTATACTTGCACAACAAGGTTTTCCCCCTCCCTCACCTCCCTCCACACCCCTGAAATTGGCTCTGGGGGCATCCGGAGAACCTCAGGAACAGCGCATGTGGGGAGGGGGGGTCGTTCCATCTGGCAAGCTGAAATGCTTGTGGAGATGAACAATTGGAAGAACGCAGTGCTGAACCCCACCCCACCCTTGCTCAGCCTTCCAAGGACTATGTACTGCAAGATGCTCTCAGCTGATCTTTGGACACCACAGCAAGTATTAGGAAAGGAAACTGTCACCCGGGAGTGCAGGATCCTGCCTATGGAAGGCATCAGCATGCCCTCCCAAGTAGTACATGTTCCTAGGAGGCCTTCTCGGTGGCTGCCCCCAGCCGTTGGAACTCCCTCCCTAGAGAAGCTAGATTGGCTTCCTCCTTGTTGTTCTTCCACCAGCAGGTGAAGACTTTCCTGTTCCCACCGGCTTTTGGGGACTGCCTGCTTTAAATTAAAGGGCTGGTGCCATGCTGTTTTATTGTGATTATCTGTATGGTTTTAATAGATTTTATATGTGTATATAGTTTTAAATGCATCAATGTTTAGGTGCTCCTTAATAATAGTCCCCCCCCCATATTTTTAGCAGTTCTTATTTTTCTCTCTAAAATAAGATACCCCTGCCTCGATTCCCATCATGGGAAAAGGTGTATAAATATATACTGTATTTTTCGCTCCATTGGACGCAGCGGACCATAGGACGCACTGGATCATAGGAGGGGGAGAACAGGGGAAATTTTTTTTCTTGTTCTCCCCCTCTAAAACAAGGTGCGTTCAAGGTACATTCACCAGAGCTTGTGGGGCTGGCGGTGGGGGGAAGCGCTGCTTTCCCCCACCGCCAGCCTCAAAGATCCCTGAAGCCTTTGGAGCGCAGCGCCCGCTGCCCCGCACAGGTTTGCGCGCAGCCGTCCCCAAGCTAGAGCAGCGAAACGGAGCCCTCCGTCTCGCTGTTCTGGCTTGGGAACAGCCTTGCTAGCTTCTGCAGGACAGCGGGGTGAAGGCACCCCGCTGCCCTGGAGAGGCTGTGCGCGCAGCCGTCCCCCAGCTAGAGCAACGAGACGGAGCCCTGCGTCTCGCTGTTCTGGCTTGGGAACAGCCTTGCTAGCTTCTGCAGGACAGCGGGGTGAAGGCACCCCGCTGCCCTGGAGAGGCTGAGCGCGCAGCCGCCCCCAAGCTAGAGCAGCAAGATGGAGCCCTCCGTCTCGCTGTTCTGGCTTGGGAACAGCCTTGCTAGCTTCTGCAGGACAGCGGGGTGAAGGCACCCCGCTGCCCTGGAGAGGCTGTGCGCGCAGCCGTCCCCAAGCTAGAGCAACGAGACGGAGCCCTCCGTCTCGCTGTTCTGGCTTGGGAACAGCCTTGCTAGCTTCTGCAGGACAGCGGGGTGAAGGCACCCCACTGCCCTGGAGAGGCTGTGCGCGCAGCCATCCCCAAGCTAGAGCAGCGAGACGGAGCCCTCCGTCTCGCTGTTCTGGCTTGGGAACAGCCTTGCTAGCTTCTGCAGGACAGCGGGGTGAAGGCACCCCACTGCCCTGGAGAGGCTGTGCGCGCAGCCGTCCCCAAGCTAGAGCAGCGAGACAGAGCGCTCCGCAGTGCTCCGTCTTCCTGTTCTGGCTTTGGGCTTAGCGGCGCAGCCTGCATTCGCTCTATAGGATGCACACACATTTCCCCTTAATTTTTGGAGGGGGAAATGTGCGTCCTATAGAACGAAAAATACGGTATATAACTATAAATAAAATAGTAAGAATAAGAATCCTGTATCTGGCTGCTGGCTGTGCCATATGGAGGAAGCCTGAACACGGAACAAGTCAATCATATGCAAGGCTAAGGGAAGCTGCTGCCTCTTCTGCCTTCTTGCCCAGCTCCTGATCATTCCAAGGCCATCTGTACAGGACAAGAAGCTGGTGGGGAGGGCCCACAATCAACAGCCCACTTTTCTGTGGCTGTGACATTCCACCAACAGTCGCCTGTTCAAACCCACTATGTCCAAGTGCCGTTTGTTCTTACCCCAAAGACTCTGCCTTTGCTCCACTTGGTCTACGTCATTCTCATCATCTGCTTTCCAGAGATAGCCTTTCCCCTGTGAGCCAACGTCCGCTATATTGTAGCCTAGAGTAGGGGGAAAGGAAGCAACGTTGGCTTGATTTCAACCACTTCTCAAGAAGCAGGCTGGGTTAAGAAAAAGAGGCGGCCAGCATGACCACACACACACACACACACACACACACACACACCCTCCGATAGGTGTGGCCCAAACAGTGCGTGATGACCTCTAGATCAAGGCTGGCAGCCTATGTTCAATATTGAAAATGGTACTGTATATGTTTAGCATGGTATTTCCCCGTCTGTACCTCTTCCCTGGACAGTCATCTTTCTTTTCAAATCGTTCTCTAAAACACAGCATCAGATTATTTCCATGTTATCAAAAACGAACCAACCAACAACGCAGAGTTAACAGTGGGCTCTCCCTTTTAAGAAGGTTCAAGTTATTGCTTCATGTAGCTCACAGTTAAACCAATGGAACGTAGCCCACAGGAGGTAGTGATGGTTACCAGCTTGGGTGGATTTAAAAGATTAGGCGCATTCCTGAAGGATAAGACTATCTGTGGCTACTAGCCATGATGGCTACACTCTGCCTCCATGGTCATGGTCAGAGGCAGTAACGCTTCTGAATACCAGTTGCTGGAAGCCACAGGAGGGGAGACAGCTCTTGTGCTTGGGTCTTGCTTGGTCCAGCAGTTTCTTCTTATGTTCTCCAGCAGTTATGCCCCAATTGCAATTTTCAAGATGCAGAAATTAAGGCTGGCAAAACCATGGCTGAGCTTGGATTTGAACCTAAGATCAGCTTGATATGCTGAACGTTGCACCACCCTAACAGGAGGAGCTGAAGGCTCTGTACTCTCCTGCATCTCCTCCCTACTGCTCCCCTAGGGACAGGTCCCTCGGCCACTTGCTTAACCATCAGTACTTGCACATTATCCAATTTTCCAAACTGAACAAGCACAAGGCTCTGTAAAAGCCACCATGAATACAAGGCATGGGGGGGGGGGGAGGTAGGTGACCCCACATTGTTTGCCAGCAATTCCAGACAGAATTGCTCACACACCTTTTAGCTTCACGTTGCTCTCTTCTTTGTTCACACCCGAATCATCACTGAACTGGTCGTCATCCTCCTCCTCTTCATCCGTGGGATGCAGAGAGATGACGGTGCCTTCTTTGAGGACCATGTCAGGTCCCACCACCACCTGGAAATGAAGCAATGTTTCCATCTATGCCAGGAATACCTGGTGCTTTGACTCCTCCGGGAGGAAAAAGCACCTGCAAACCCCAGTCCCAGAATTACAGGGCGTTCATGCAGGCAGATGGTCCAAGGAACAAATCCAAGCGCCTGCGGAAGGATCAGTGGTCAAAGCCACCAGCAATTCTCATCTTGGCCATCACACTCCTGCTTTAAAGCAAAGCTAACAGCTGCTCAAAATGCCTTGCGATCTTTATGTCGCAAGGACTCCCACAAAGCAGGTCATCATTATCCCCACTTCACAGATTGGAAACAGAGGCTGGGTCAGTGACTAGCCTAGGGCATTCATCAAGCTGCCCAGAGTGACTGGGGCAACCTAGTCAGATGGGCGGAGTACAAATAATAAAATATTATTATTATTATTATTATTATTATTATTATTATTATTATTAAAACAAGTCTTCAGCCAGATTGTTAATTCTGAAAGGGGTGTTTTGGGGACAAAGGGCCAGAAATCTGTCCACTGACATATCACGTAAGAAACCTAGTCCAAGGGCAGAGCAGCAGCTCCTCGAACTCACCTGGGAAGTGAGAACGCAGCGAGGATTCAAGGTTACCCCCTTCTTCACTTCGGCCTCGTCGCACACTATAGATTGTTGGATTCGTACATGGTCCCCTACACGGACGCCGTTCCACAGGAACGCCCTGTCCAAAATGACCTCATCCCCTGCCAATCACAAACAAAAGGAAGTGAAACAGAACTGTCATCTTACACTACACAGTTACCCATCATGCAGCAGAAACACTCGATGCTGCTAGCTAACCCTACAGACACTCCATGCAAGAACCTGGGATTGCCAATATATACCCTGACTCATCCTAGCCCTAACTTTACCTGCTTCTCCCTTGTCACAGCTCCCCCAATTTCCTACCTCTCCTGCTCACCCACCCTTCTCTTGCAGATGGTAAGATGTGCCACCTTCCATGTTCTGAGCAGAACCTAGCATGCTGTGACAGCTCTGAGCCTGTCCCCAGTGTTGGGATGCTGGCGCTCAAAGACAAGAGGTAGCAGCAGGTCTTTTATGTAGGGCAAACGCAAGGAGCAAAAGAAGAAAGACTCAAGCATAACCCAATGGGTCAACCCCATGAAGTCTGAGCCTGAACCAGCCCAGGCCCTGCAATGCACTTCAACCCAGCTGTGACAGCTTGCAATCCAGAACAGATTGTCAAAGCCTATGCTACACTGTCTGAGTAGCAGAACCAATTCCCTGAGACAGAGATGGATAATTCTGCCCCTTCCAATGTAACTTCACCTCCCCCATTTGTCTCTTGGTGGCTATTTATCATTTCTTCTATCAGAACTCCTGCTCCTTCAACCACAAAACGGTGCGGACTTCTCCACCAACCCATGCACCCTCACTTAGGGAAGAACTTGCCTATTTTGCAGTTGGGGCCAATAACGCTGTTGGTTATGGAGCATTTCCTGCCAACGGATGTTCCCTGCCCGATGAGGACGTTCTCTTCTAAGACGCTGCCATGGCCCAGGCTCACCCCCGCACCCCGGTAGATGTTGTGCCGCGAATGTGTGCAACTCTGCGTCTTGTCGTCGGTGAAGTTCATCTCCGGAGTCAACGGGTAAACCCAGCGCTGCAGGACGTCAAAGGACACGGACTCGTACATCAACAAGTTGGACACAGGGGCGCCATACTCTTCGGATGTCACATGCATATGGATCTGGTTGCCCAGGACCTGGAGAAGGGAGAATCACAGAATTGTAGAGTTGGAAGGTGCACCCAAAGGTCATCTAATCCAACCCGCTGCAATGCAGGAATCTCAACTAAAGTGTCCAGGAGAGAGGCACTGTTCAGAGATGCTATTCAAAAAGCCAAAACAGCAAGGACAGGCCACGGTCCCCAATTCCCAAGCAAAGCAGCTGATAGTTTGACTCCTTTCCGTGAGGAAGCTGGAATTTGACTCGGATTTTGGATTCTCGAAGACTTCAGCTGCTTGTTGGATTTCTACCCTTCCAGGGGTTTCATTGCACACAGCTATGGCACCCCTGCAAAACTACTTTCATAGGTCACTCAGTAATTAGGCCACATACCAAGCTGAGCATAAGACAACACGTACGTTAAAAAGAGATAAAGAAAAGGTCAGAGATTGACCTGTGAGCCCTGGAAGACCTGCTCCCTGCCTTGCAGGCCTTTTCCACTTAGTCTGGGAGGGCCCTAACTGACTCCAGCTACAAAGCTAAGGCTGCCAAACAGACTCCTGAGCTGGGGTGTTGTTGGGGAATTTTTGTTGGAGGATGTGGTTACTGTTGGCTTTTTTGTATCTTTATTTTAGATTTTGTTGTGATTCATATGGAAACATTTCAGTTTGGTTTTGTACTTTTAAATGCTTTATTTATTGTTTAGAACTACTTTTGCTATGTCCATATATTTTTTTCTCATGTTGTTAACTCACCTTCAGCGTGGTGGCATATGAAAAGGTGGCATATAAATAAAATTATGTATGTATGTATGTATGTCCGAATAGGCTTGTGCAAAGAAAAACATTTTAAGTGGCTGCCGAAAAGAATACAGTGAAGGTGTGTTCCTGATGTCAAAATGCAGTGGATGTGCCTCAGCAACCAGCCTGGGACAACCATCTGCCACATTCAGCCAAAACATTGCTCAAATATGACACTAAAGATTGAGGCCCCCAGCTCCCTGTACTTCCTCCACCCACAAACCCCTTCATCAGTCCTTGACGTTAGCACTGTGCAGCCTCTGGCTCTTCATCCTCTCAGAGCAGCCTCCCATCACACAAACTTACTTCTTCGTTCACTAGAAGCCCACGCACCAAGTCATCCCGAGTTTGATAATCAAAGTTATCCGTGAATAACTCTGCCACCTGCGAGAAGAGAAGAAGCGCGACATAAGGGTAAACAAGCCAGAACAGGAAGTCACAGTTCCAAATAATCCTCTTAAGAAAGCTTTGCATCAAGATGAAGAAAATGCAGTGAATTTCTAACACCCCCTCCCATTAAGTGTAACACAAAAGAGATTTAATGCATCCAAGTAGCCATTGACAGCCTTAACCTCCATAGCCTTATGGTTACAACCCTTGGGGGATTTCCAGTTTAGAGAAAAGGCAAGTAAGAGGGGGCATGGCAAAAGTCATATAAAATCATGCATTGTGTGGAAAGAGCAGAGAGAAATATTTTTCTCACTCTCCAATAATACTCAGGGCCATGCAATGACGGATGGAAGATTCAGTTTGTTTCACTGCAAAGCAGTCGTTCCTCTAGGCTGAAGAAATCCTTCTGCATAAACTATTTCCCTAAACAGCAAACACCAGCCAGCCCTCAGCGTCCAGCTAACACATTTTGCCTTAATGTTGCTAAACACAAAACAACACTTGAGATGGAGGCCTCTCCAGCGGCAACACTGAGTCTGCTTCTGACACCCACCTGTGGAGAGCAGATGCTGATGTGGCAGTCCAACAAATCATGTCGTATTTGTACTTCTTCAACGTTGCCCTGGAACAGGCTCTAAAAAGGTAAGGACACAGCAAAGGCCTAGTGAGCCTCGCACAACAAATTTGATACCAACATCTCTCCGTGCTAACCTAGAGAATCGACAGCAAGAATCTGGCAGGAGGAGTGTCTTGAATGGACCACGTGTGTATGGTGTCACATGAGCCAAGCCCAACAACCAGCTCAGACTAAACCACCTGCAGCAGAAACATTTAGTGCCTGCAGAAACAGTACACAGAATTGAAATCAGGAGCAAACTCCAATACGTTTTCAGCATTTAATACTTTAATCAATGGATGTTTGAATGTTAATGGCATAACCGTTACCTGCTTTTCTTCTAAGTTTCCTGATAAAGAATGCTAACATTTCTTTTAAAATCAGTGGTTTTCTGCTTGTGAATGGCCTGTGTGTTTTTCACAACACTACACAGGGAATCTAGAGAGCTCTGCAACACTCCCCTGCGACCCCACTGGTAGGGTGAAATGAGATGCAGAACAATAAGCTTCCCAGTGTTTCCAGACAGTATCACAAGTTAGGCGGAGGTGCTCACAAAGGAAAACACATCCTCTATATGAACATATGAAATTGCTTCACACCAAGAGAGCCCAGTTTTCTCTGCTCCAAGAGCCAGCAGCTCTGAAGGTTTCAGGCAGAGGTGTCTTTTCAAATTTTATCAGAACCCAAGACCCTTTGACTTGAAACACCACTGACTCAGGCTAGGACGAGTCCCACCAAAGCTGGGGACGAACCTATTTTCCCCGGTTGTATGAGCTTGCCTAGGATTTGAACTGAAAGTGAGGATCATGCACCTAGTTTAAGACTTTCCACACTTTTAAGGCAACGTGTGGGGTTCCTTCACAGAAGGAAGTGTAGAACTGAAACTAGGGTGCAGCAAGTTGCCCTTTGCTACAGGGGGAGATGCTCAACTTCCTCACTCATGTCCCCACAATGAGCTCAGGAAGAAGAAGAAGAGTTTGGATTTGATATCCCGCTTTATCACTACCCGAAGGAGTCTCAAAGCGGCTAACATTCTCCTTTCCCTTTCTCCCCCACAACAAACACTCTGTGAGGTGAGTGGGGCTGAGAGACTTCAAAGAAGTGTGACTGGCCCAAGGTCACCCAGCAGCTGCATGTGGAGGAGCGGGGACGCGAACCCGGTTCACCAGATTACGAATCTACCGCTCTTAACCACTACACCACACTGGCTCTCAAGAGGCTGCACTATTGAATGTCACTTGCATATCTGCCCACACTTGTGCATAAAACATGAAGCTGCCCCAAGGTGTTAGAGGGAGTGCCAGAAACGAGTGGAACGAAAATGGCATCAATTCACAAGCATCCACAGCATTCAATTAATAATAATATTAATCATCATCATCATCATCATCATCTAAACTTCCCCTTCTCTTATCTCACTCTTCTGTCCTCTCCATCCCCCCTTCTTTCTCCTATTATCTGAACGCAACAGCACTCTACCCAACCGTGATTCCCAACCGTCTGAACTGGTAATCCAAGACACACTGCCTCAGACCATTGAGGCAGAGCCTCATTGTTCCTTTGAGAGGGAGAACCCAAAGGCTCTGTGGGTTGCAGCCAGGCGCAAGGTTCCCTACTCCTGTTTCAGGCATGCATACAACATTATCTTATTCAACCATCAACCAACCCTGCAAGATAAGACGGGAGGTGCACTGAACTGTCTGTGCTCAAAAGCAAGCCCAAGCCGAACCCCGGGTCTTGGAAGGGAACCAGTGATGGATTATCAGGAGAAGAACATAACTGGATGAGGAATTCAATGTCACATTATTAGGACTGTTCCATCACTGCAAGCAATTCTCTCCTCTCCTCCCCCATATGAATTCCCAACACCTCAAAGCTAGTTGGGAAGGGAGACCCCTATTGCACCAACAGGACTCGCTGCGCTGGCTCCCACTCGCGCAACTGTTTAGTCCAATCTGATCCTCAGGTTCCTGACAGTTGCTCCCCTATTAACACACCGTAGGGAACCGGAAGCGTTTCAGCCCTTGAGTTCTCTGGTAGTGCAGCACTTGCTTTGTTGCGCTGTCCATGGCAAGGATGACGTCATCCTCTTGGCACCTGGAACGGTGGCCTGGTGTGGATTCCTTGAAAATCATTGTCATCACAGACACGTTCTTCTCCAGCTTCCGCCGTAGCCTGTAAAGAGGTGGTCAGGGTGTGGTGAAGGAAGAGAGATTTTAATTTAAGTGACACACACCAGGAGAAAACAGTCAGAGACTCAAGAAAGGCTGCTTCATCTTCCTCCCAGATACCCACCGGTGCTCCTGCAAAGCTGTGGAAATGTTAATATTGGACACCACATCTCCAGAGACAAGGATGAAGTCAGAGCGAACGAGTGACTTGGCATCAACATCCCTCAGCACATCACCAAGTGAGCGGTAGAGGTCTGAAGTCACAAACCGTACAGTATTTGGAGAGGCTGGACGGCACCACTTAGATTTCCTGGCAAAGAAGGCAGATAGAATGGAATTAAAGGGGACATATGCACACTGTGTACAGCAGATGACGACTCAATGATGTTTTTTTCTGGCATTAGAAGAAACAAAAACCATATTACAAATCAAACGGCTTGAAATGTCTTGAGGGAGCAACAAGGAAATAACCCTAACACCCCCTCCCCCATTGCTTTTAATGAAAATAAGCGTTTCTTTCTTGCCACTTTTGTTTTTGTTTTCTGTAAAGATGCCTTGAGCAGCATGTGGCAAGAGAAGGCATCTAATAAATTTAATTAATAATAAAAATGCGGAGGATCAGGCTAAAAGATTTCTCCATGCATGGGGGAGATTTCAAAAAAAACACAGAATACTAAAATGCTACTAGTCATTCTAAGAATTCAGAATAAGGAGTGATATAAATCCAAAGACATACATACTTAAAAACCCCCAAAACCAGCATTATGAACCGAAATCACCAAATGAGTCTACCTGAGCAGAGCATAAAGCTACAAGACTGCTTAGCCCACATTTATTATTCTTTATTAGCACTGCTATAAATTTGGAGATCAGGAACTATTCCAGATTATCTTGGAAAACAGAGATATTGACTTGTGTATGAAGTATAAAAGAAACCGTCTACAGGAAACCTCTCATATGTGGGTGTCACCTAACAAAAGAAAGCTGGAAAGAATGAGTTGATTTTAAGGTATCTTTGATATCTTAACTATTCTGTCACCCTACTGTTTGTATAAAGAGTGTGTACTACAGACTTTGAGGAAAGCAGGGGCTGGTTTAAAATCCCGTTTTCTCTCTTGCTAACATTCCCTCTCCCCCCAACACCTCTCTCTGCCTCAGTTCCACCACTTAGCACACACTCATACATGGCGCCCAATTCCTAGCAAAGCACAGCATCATCTTGTAGCATATCTGCCCTTGGATGCCACAAACCTATATGCCACTTGAAGCATGAGGTTATGGGGGCTGACCACCTCCGGCCTACAAAAGCCATCAGCAGGAATAGCTGACCTGAGATAAAGCTAAGGAGGACCAAAAGCAACAAAAATGTGTCTGCTCTTACAGTAAATGTTCCTTGATCTCTGCTGACTTCCAGCAGCAGAAGACGAAGGTTTCCTCCACTCCAGTTGCAGTTAGGAATTCCAGGGTGTAGTCTATCATGGCTACATTTGCCAATGGAATCAGAGCCTACAGGATAAAGAAAAGTCAGCGTCTCCACAAAAAAAGTTATAATACATTATATTCTATAATTCTGCTAGCAGGAACACACCCTAACGTCTTTTTCAATGTGTGATTGTATTCAATGAAACAGTTTGTGTGGTGTTGTTTTTAAATAGCAGCCATGTGGGGGAATAGGATCAGGACCACAGCAAGGAGGGTTAAGCCCTGCCCTCCCCAGCACACCTGACAAAAATCAGCCCCCAAGCTGCTACTGGTGCTAAAAGTGTCTTCTCCCCAATGGCAAACTTCAAGGGGTGATATTCATCTGGACAGGGATGTCCAGTACAGGGACACTCCCTGCATGGTCCCAATCCACAGCCACTAGGTTTTTAAAAAAACCAACCAGACATATTGAATGCAAGCATGCATTTAGCATAATGTGTAATTTGACCTTGAAATTAACAACCCCATACCCTGGGTTTATAGAATTCATGCCCCTGAAACTTGTTAGAATAAGTTTTTGATCCTCTTTAACCGCACTGCCGAGTTTGAAAGTTTTATGTTCTTCGGGGACTTAGTCCTGCACGCCATTCCATCTTCCTTCTAGCATTAGCCAATTAAAATTTTAAATTGTGTATGGTACCAAATCTCACCACAAGTGGCCTTCTGAAGATATTAAAACGACAAGCTAAGTTAACAATGAGTTGCAGCTTTTATCAATAGGCCATCTTAATATTTCCATGCCTTAGTCCAGCAATACAACAGAGCCAGCATGACATCCAAATGAGCACATCTTCCATCTCATGTAAAAGGAAGGTGACACGCATCACAGCATAGCAACAGCTATATTGAACCAGGCACTGGGGTACAGCTTCACCCATGGCCTCTAATTTTCCATTCTTTTTCAGTCTCGGCTCCACTAATTTAACCCTCCTTAGTTGGTTGGTCTATCAAAGAAATTAAGGCAGCAATCCTATGCACATTTTCCTAGAAGTAAGCCCCAATTAACACAATGGGACAATCAACACAAGTACGCGTGCCTAGGATTGCTCTGTAAGGCTGCAAATCTAGGCACATTTATTAGGCACATTCCCACGTAACTTGGTGGGAATTGGACCCAAGCAGAAATGCAAAGGATTGCATCACAAAGTATGCTCTCCTGCTTTAAAGTTCCACAAGCTTTTATCACTGCACGCAGGCTCCATTTAACCTGACTCTTCAACAAACATACTAACAGCCAATAATACACGGCCTGGTATGAATTCCTGCTGTGTCATGCTCTCCTATCTCCTATTGCTGATGCAGCAGCCAGCAAATCACATCTTTTTATCTCCCGTTCTGTCCTCAACCAGTCGCCCAAAATAAGTGGCAAGATGATCATTGTATTTATATGCTGCCCATCTAACTTGGGTTGCTCCAGCCACTCTTGGTAGCTCCCAAGAGAATATTAAAAACACAATAAAACATCAAAGGTTAAAAACATTGCATGTCCAGTTGCCAAAGTCATCATTTATTTATATACTGCCATTTATCTACTACAGTATCAGGGTGGTATACAAAGATAAAATGGGAAAGAGCTGCGCAAAACAATGATTAAAACAACTGGCCACTCAAAAAACAAAAAACCTTCAAGTTGCTACATAGGCCTGTTGGCATGGGAAAGTCTTCAAAAGTGAGGGTGCCTGCTGAATTTCTGCTGGAAAAGTGTTCCAAGGCATGGGACCACTGACACTAAATGTCTGACTTCTGTTTGAGGCCAGTAAGGCCTCTGTAGCAGTGGGTACAATGAACAGCGTTCCTCCAGGTTATCCCAGTGAACAAGCTGGGATATAAGGACTTGGGCAATCCTTATGGTACCCTGGACCCAAGTTGTTCATCGGACAACACTAAAGCTACACATCCTCCCAGGCTACGACAACCTCAAATTTTAGGTAGTAAAAGTACTTTCTTACAAGACTGGCTGGCTAATTCAATGCAGGGAAGGAATGCAGTTTTGTGTGGTGGTTTTGCCTCTTTAGCCTCCAGCAAAGCCACAACTCCCTCAAAGCGACACATTACGACAGCAGCTTCCACGTCAGCAAGGTAAAAAGCAAAGCAGCCTCCAAAATACTTGCTGGAGTTCCTTTTTCACTAACCACGGTCCAGGTATGTGTTTTATTTTTCCTCACCGTAAAACCTGTTTGAATAATTTCTGTGTATAAACCAATTAACAAGTCAACCTTCCAAAAAACAAAAAAACCCACAAGTCAGCCTTCTCACACATTCCCTGCCTCATGGCTTCATTCCACAGAGTCTAGACAGGCGAACCAACAGAACTTTTGCTAGAAACCTCTGCCTGTAATTTCGTTTCAGCCCAAATTCAGTCTTTCATTCACAGGAAGTACAGGAAACAAGATAGCACAGCCATACTTCAGCTGTTATAATCCCTGATCCCTCCTATTTCCCTTTCCCCCTGGCTGTTACCTTGTGGTGGGAGGGTTCTTGACATATGGCCACATCCTCAAATTTCAGGGAATAAAAGTGCTCTCTTATCACACTGATCAGCCATCTTTCCTTTCTTACACAATGGCACACATTGTTTCCAGGCACACATGACAACAGTAGCTCCAACAGCCGGAACGTTAAACTGGTGCAGATTGTTTCCTAATTAACCACAGCATGGATTTGTAGTTTATTTTTCTTCACTGTAAACTAGTGAATGATGGGAAGTTCCCACATTAAAGTTTTAAGACCTAAGGGGACCTGCATGTCTGAGGTGTACACGTGCCTATACATTAGGTGTCTGGCTTGTGCATTTTGCCGAAAGCCAGCTAACTCAATGAACCATACAGCTTCCAGGAAAACTTCAAAGTGCTAATTGTTAAAACCCTTAATCGTCTGGACTCAGTAACTTTTAGAAATGCATCTGCCCACACACTCTCCCTTTAAATCAAAGATTGCTGGGCGGGGGGAAATCCTTCTCCTGCTTCTCAAGTTAAGACAGGTGACTATATTTAACTGGGCCTTCTCAGTCGTGGCACCCTTCTGTTTGTTCCTGCTCATAGCCTACAAGTTCATCTATGAGAGTTTCTTAAGAGCAATGCTATTGTCTCCATCAGCCCTTGCAAAAAAATTAGTTCAGTTCCCTTCCCCCCATCGTGCCACAAAAACTTGGCAGCAACTTGAGTCTAATCAATTCACTCGCAGCTTGCTGCATATGGTATTCTTCACTTAAAGTTTCTTGTTGGAAATGAGTCCCAAGTTCTCTTTGTGTGTTCTTTAACATGCACTCTGTTGAAACTGTTTTAGCAAACTGTTGCATGTGTTCATTCCAAAACAAGCATGCAATCAAGTAAATGCTGCACATAACTCCTCAGATGACTGCAGGTGCCTCAAAACTGGATAATATTTTTATCAGCCACCAGTAGCCATCACTGTGGACTCCTCTTGCAAGAAAACATGATGAATTCTCCAGCCTACCAAGGAATCTGCTCAAGAGCTGACTGATTCTCTTTTCTTGAACTATGACAGGGCTCAGCTGCTATTTTCACAATAATAGGTGTCTCTTTTTAATAAGTTTTGCCAGCTGTAAACTGAAAAACTATCCAGCAAAGCCTGCTTAACAACCAGCAATGACACAGATTACAAGGGCTTCCTAAATACTGGATTCCCCCCCCCCCTTTTAAAGGCAAGATCAAAGGATGACACATCTTCCACAACAACTGGTAATTTCAGTGGAAGGCATGCTGTTGTTCATGGATCATATGAATTATCCCAGAGAAGTTACCTTCTCCATCAACTGACAATATCTAGAAAGGCTTAAGTCTTAGTACTAACCCTTCTATTGCACTGAATATAAGGGATCATGACTTTCCTTACTTTAAAAGATGCGAGCTAATGTTCTGACAGGTGGAAAGATGACTTAATCTGGCTCACTTTCAGAAAAAAGAACATCTTTCCAGCCCTCAGAAATTATCCCTAAAACTTCCCAATACAGAGATTTTTCATTGGCATTTGTGTGTACACAAAATGCTTGCAGTGTTGGGTGCATGGCTCAGAGGCTGGAGGTGAACATCTTAAATATGTCCCTACAATGAGATTCTTGGAACTATCAGTTAAGAAAGGAGTGTGCTATGAATGGAGTCTAAAGATACAATGGAAGTCATCTCTCCAAGAATGGAAGACACAAAGGGTGGAATTCGACATAGCACTAAAGAAAATGTTGTGTCACTGCTAGGATTTCTCCTTACGCAATAAAACATTCTCCCCCTCTTCTCCCCATACACCCCCTAAATCTTTTATGAAGTTCCCCCAACCTTCTGCAGCACATTTGGGGACAATGGGGTGTGTGCATGGGGGCAGGGGGCAAGGAGAAAACAAAAGGTCCATTGCACAAGGGGCTCATTCGGCTTCTGCAATTGTTTAGTTGAAGGTCAGCCATTCTTTTTTATAAGAAAAGAAATAACTTCTGCTGCTGTAACAGCAAGCTGTCATGCAACAGGAGAGATGAAGCTTTTTCCAAAGATGAGCAAAGATCAGTGTTGGAAGAAAGGAGGATGAATTTCAACCACTGAATGACAGCACAATCCAAACTGTGACCAACCACAGGGAAGCTCTATTGAATCCAATGGGGCTTACTCATAGGGTACACATAGGAAGCTGCCTTATACCAAGTCAGACTATTGGTCCATCTAGCTCAGTATTGTCTGCAGTGACTGGTGGTGGATCTCTAGGGTTTCAGAAAGGGAACCTCTCCAAACCCTACCTGGAGATGCCACCAGGGATCAGACCTGAGACCTTCTGCTTGCAAGGCAGACACTTTAACTCTCTGGGCTGTGGCTCCTCCCCAAAATGAGCCAGACAACTGGGGTCCACCCAGCTCAATACTGCCAACACTGGCCAGCAGCAGCTCTCCAGGATTTCAGTCAGGAGTCTCTCTCAACTCAGCTGGAGATGACACTGAAGACTGAATCAGGCCAACGCAGACAGGAGCTGCAGTCCTTCCACAAACATCAGAGGATGCTGCCTTAGGCCGAGCCAGACCTCAAGGCACTGCAATCACCTGCAAGGGATTCCCACACAGCAGGGTTGATGTTGCCATCCTTCATGTAATGTTTGCAGACACCTTTGTAAACACAGAGCTGAGTCAGCTTCAGGGACCAAGGCTGCTGGCAGACCAATTCTGCGTTACGAAGATGTCTAGATTTGTGACATGAAGGCTGGCAACATCAACCCGGCTGTGTGGGAATCCCTTGCAAATGGTCACAGTGCCTGGAGACAGGGTATGCATCCACAGCAGTGACCAGTGGAGAAACAAGAGGAGGAGCGCAGAGAGAATAAATGCCACGGTACACCTGCAGCAGTACAACCGGAGGACGCCTTCATCCACCCCAGCTGCAACAAAACATGTCTCTCCCGCTTCGGTCGCTACAGCCGCCGCGGCAGCCGCTGCAACCTTCCTGAGACAGATGCCAGCAGCGCTTTCCCAACCTCCCTGGCTGCTGGCTAGAAGTGCCGGCAGCTGTAGTCCAGAGATCTCCTTCCTTGGAGGTTTTAATGTGGAGGTCGGGGGGGGGGGCATCTGTCAGGGATCCTTTAGCCAGGATCCGTGCCTTGCAAGGGGTTGGAGTAGATGACCCTCGGGGTCCCTTCCAACACTACGGCTCTAAAACACCTGGGCACCCAAGGCTGGTCCACTCAGCTCAGAATTATCCTAGCTAGCGGGTCTCTCCCAGACCTGCCCGGAGATGCCTCTGAGGGTCGAACCTGGGACACGCCCCCCCCGACCCTCAGGCAAGGCAGAAGCTCCGGGCGCTTCGCTCCGTGAGGGAGACAAGGCCACGCCGCCACCCCTGGCCGCCTCACCCGGGGCCGGTCCTTGGAGACGGGGCAGAAGCGGCGGTTGAAGCTGTCGGCGACCAGCACGGCCTGGAGAGGCGGCGGCGGCTCTTCTTGAGGTTCAGCTCCCCGGGAGCCCCCGGACCCGGCTCCACGCTTCCCTGAGGAGGAGCCGCCGGCGCGGGCAGCCATCACGCCTCGCTCTCACTCGCTCTCGCTCGCGGCCTCCGTCGGCCCGCCTCTTCCGCTTCCGGAAAGAGCGGGGAAAGGGGTAGGTGGACGGTGCATCAGAATGGACAAAAGACGGAGAGCAAAGACCAGCGCGAGGGGGGGGAGGAGGCGAGGAGTGAGGGACCCGCGCGGCGCATGCGCACGCTCGAGTTCGTGCGGCGGCGCGTGGCTACGGCGCCTTTTTTTTCTTTAGCGGCTTGTTTTATGCACAGAAGTTGGGAAGCGATCCTGCACCCAAATAAAATTTTTATTATTATTACAGTACTATTATTATTATTCCCCACCCGTCTTTCTACCACGCTGGGCTACTTCCAACACATATACTGTAAAAAGATAATAAAGCATCAGTCCTTAAAAACGTCCCGATACAGGGCTGCCTTAAGATGCCTTCCAAAAGTTAAGTAGTTCTTTATCTCCTTGACATCTGATGGGAAGGCATTCCCCAGGGAACCCCCCCACACAATTTTTATTTTTATTCTTTTAAATAAGGATAAATGCATAAAATTTTGCCTGCTTGCCTCTCCCCAGACTTGGAGCAGGTCCTGCGTGAGTGCTTTGGTTTGCAATAATTTATATGCAGAATTCATCATGTGAAAGGCTGGGCTGGATGAATCCCAAGCCAGAATTAAGCTTACCGGAAGAAATAACAACCTCAGATATGCAGATGATACAACCTTGATGGCAGAAAGTGAGGAGGAATTAAAGAACCTTTTAATGAGGGTGAAAGAGGAGAGCGCAAAATATGGTCTGAAGCTCAACATAAAAAAAACGAAGATCATGGCCACTGGGCCCATCACCTCCTGGCAGATAGAAGGGAAGAAATGGAGGCAGTGAGAGATTTTAGCTTCTTGGGCTCCATGATCACTGCAGATGGTGACAGCAGTCACAAAATTAAAAGACGCCTGCTTGGGAGTAAAGCAATGACAAACCTAGACAGCATCTTAAAAAGCAGAGACACCACCTTGCCGACAAAGGTCCATATAATTCAAGCTATGGTTTTCCCAGTAGTGATGGATGGAAGTGAGAGCTGGACCATCAAGAAGGCTGATCGCCAAAGAATTGATGCTTTTGAATTATGGTGCTGGAGGAGACTCTTGAGAGTCTCATAGACTGCAAGAAGATTAAACCTATCCATCCTTAAGGAAATCAGCTCACTGGGTGCTCACTGGAAGGACAGATTGTGAAGCTGAGGCTCCAATACTTTGGCCACCTCATGAGATGAGAAGACTCCCTGGAAAAGACCCTGATGTTGGGAATGATTGAAGGCACAAGGAGACGGGAACGACAGAGGACGAGATGGTTGGACAGTGTTCTCGAAGCTACCAGCATGAGTTTTACCAAACTACGGGAGGCGGTGGAAGACAGGAGTGCCTGGCATGCTCTGGTCCATGGGGTCATGAAGAGTCAGACACAACTAAATGACTAAACAACAACAACAATGCCTCTCTCAGGGTGTAGGACAGTCCTGAGCCCACTACTCTCAGGGAGGGAACCGCCAGAAGACCCTCGGAGCTGGACCTCAGTGTCTGGGCTGAACTGTGCGGGTGGAGACGCTCCTTCAGGTATACTGGACCAAGGCCATACCAGTACCCCTGGATCTGTAGTAATCTAGGAAAAGACAGCATATTTGTAACCTGATGCGAAATATAAACAAGATCTTGACCCATTTATCTTTTTTTCCAAGGCGGGGGGAAGCTAATGAGTGTATTATTTAGATAATAGGCTTGGCAAGGATTTTTAGACTAAAGGTTTACAGCATCACTGAAGGCAAGGCTGGGTTTGAAGAGGAGAAACTGTGCTGGTTGGCAGGAATAAAACAGCTAGATTAGACTTCTGCTGAGAAACAGATGCTGCATCAGAGACCAGCTGCCCTGGGGAAATAAAGCAGCCCAAAATGGTGGGAGAGGATTAGCTGGCATGTCAGCGCAAGAGAGCGTCTGCCTGGGATAAAGGACGCTGCGTCAGCAAAGGAGCTCCTCTTTGTACAAACGGTGCTGCCGGCAATACTAGCCTTGACACCATGACGCTGAGCAGTAGAAGAGTTCAGGTAGGCCACTTGCAGATTGTTTGAAAACCACTTGAGGAGATTAGATTGGTTAGCCGCCTATTCTGGATGGGGTTACACTCCCTCTGAAAGAACAGGCTAATAGTTTGGGGATCCATCTTTGTCATTGAAGGTGACACAGGCAGCCTCAGTGGCTAGGAATTTTATCGCCGAATGCTTTGAAGGTGACTCAGAACCTAAAACTAGTCCAGAATGCAGCAGCTAGACTGGTGACTGGGAGCTGCCAAAGGGAGCATATAACACCGGTCCTAAAGGATCTTCACTGGCTCCCAATACGTTCCTGAGCACAATTCGAAGTTTTGGTACTGACCTATAAAGACCTAAATGGCCTCGGCCCAGTAGACCTGAAGGAGCATCTCCACCCCCATCTGAGGTCCAGCTCCAACAGGGAACCAGGCAGAGCGCCTTTTCGGTAGTGGCGCCCGCCCTGTGGAATGCCCTCCCATCAGATGTCAAGGAGATAAATAACTATACAGCTTTTAGAAGACATCTGAAGGCTGCCCTGTGTAGGGAAGTTTTTAATGCTTGATGTTTTATTGTGCTTTTATATTTGTTGGAAGCCATCCAGAGTGGCTGGGGCAAACCAGTCAAATTGTTGTTGTTATGCCAGCGATGTCTTGGACAGGGATAGTTTGGCCACCATGATTCATGCTCTGGTAACCCAAAGGCTTGATTACTGCAATGCACACCATGTGGGGCTACCCTTGGAGGCCTGGTATGGATGCTCCAGCTGGTGCAAAATGCTGCAGCTAGATGTTGGTAGAGGCAAACTACCACCAGCACATAACTCCTGTGCTTAAAAACCTTGCACTGTTTGATCATAAGTTACTGGGCCAAGTTCAAGGCCATTGTATTAATGTGCAAGGCCCTTAATGACTTGGGTCCAGGATACTTTAAGGGCTGCTTGATTCCTTCTAACCCTTCTGAAGGTCAGTGGTAGAACATCTACGGTAATTTGCATGCACAAATCCCCAGGTTTAATCCCTGGCAGCATCTCCAGTAGCAAATATATTCAGTAATCTGAAATACAACCTTTACCTTTTAATTAGAAATAATAATAATAATCTTGAAAGGAAGTATTACCATTTCAACTGCTGGGGTAAAGTAGGAACCCCATCAAAGAAAAGGAAAGATGTATCCAGCATCTGCTTCCTTGTTTCCCTCATTCTCTGTGCTAATAAGAAACTTAAAGACCAAATACATCAAAAGTGTCAAGGGAGACACCAAGAGCATTGGAAACCTTACTTGTTTTGTATCTGAAGGTTCAAGGGAGGGGGGTGGCCAGGTTGGAAGAGGATTCACAAATGAATCATAGAATCATAGAGTTGGAAGAGACCACAAGGGCCATTGAGTCCAACCCCCTGCCAAGCAGGAAACACCATCAGAGCACTCCTGACATATGGTTGTCAAGCCTCTGCTTAAAGACCTCCAAAGAAGGAGACTCCACCACACTCCTTGGCAGCAAATTCCACTGTCGAACAGCTCTTACTGTCAGGAAGTTCTTCCTAATGTTGAGGTGGAATCTTCTTTCTTCTTTCTTGTAGTTTGGATCCATTGCTCCGTGTCCGCTTCTCTGGAGCAGCAGAAAACAACCTTTCTCCCTCCTCTATGTGACATCCTTTTATATATTTGAACATGGCTATCATATCACCCCTTAACCTCCTCTTCTCCAGGCTAAACATGCCCAGCTCCCTTAGCCGTTCCTCATAAGGCATCGTTTCCAGGCCTTTGAGGGAAATGAAGGAAATGAAGGGAAGCTACTCTCCTTATTTGTTTCATAAAATTTACACACCACTTGATTGTTAAAAAAAAACCAAAAGACCAACAACTTCAAAGCGTTTTATGAAAGGTAAAACAGCCAAATCAAGAAAAATTCACAACCCTACTTGAAAGCATACAAAAGTTCAGATGCTGAAGCAGATAAAAATTACCTTGACTTTCTCAGCATCTGGGTAGGCTTGTTTAAACAAGAATGTTTTTAGCAGGCGTTCTTTGCGGACATCACACCCAAAGTACTATCGCGTGGGGGGTGGGAGGAGGGATAGCATTTGCCAACAGCACAGTGAAGACAAGAGCTGTGAATCTATTCCTGGTGTTTCCTGTCAGATGGAGATGGGGGAAATGTCACTTTGGATGTTGTGGGAATACTTCACCATCCCTCCAACAACTGGGGAGCAAATGTTAGAACTGGCTGAAGCCAGTCAGCAGGTCTTGGTGACAAAGCAAGGAAGTGGTTCCTAAGTTTATAGTCTTATGCCTTACCTTCATAAGAAATAGTAAAATGTTCAGTTTGGAATCAGAAGTCCAGCAATCTTAAATGAAGCAAAATCACACAGTCATGACATTCTCTCTCTCTTGGTTAATGGGACTGACGGTTTCTGAGGGAATGCTGATTCGGGCAGAAAGGAGTTGTAGGCCAAAAAAAAAAAAAAGTGATTTCTAGGCACCAGGTTATGGAAGGCTGATTTAGGGATCTGGAAGCAGGAGGACAGCTCACTGGCCCAGCTTCAACCTTTAATAGCAGTCTCTTAACACAGAGAGATAACCAGAGGTTGCCTTCTGTTTGTCTCAGGAGACAGTGGAGGAATGTGCCTTTGCGGGTGAGAGCAAACTGTTGGCTTGTTTCAGCATTTGCTGTGGCTGTAGAGACCCATGCGGGAGAGACATGTTTTGTTGCAGCTGGGACAGATGAAGGTGCCCAGTTGTGCTGCTGCAGATGCACCATGGCATTTCTTCTGTAATAAATGAAAATCTGCCCTTATTCCCTTTTGGGGGACACAAGAGCCCTTATAGAATCCTTTGCAGGTTCTCCATCGGTCGGAGAAAATAACAGAGGCCAACCAGAGAACACTGAGAAGCAAAGCAGCTAGTAAGCCTTTATTGAAATGTTGCAACAGGGTGCTCCTTTCACACGCAGGAGAAGGAGGAGGACCTCAAACAAACGTGTGCCCGCCCTTATATAGACATTTTAAATTGCCCGCTCTGCAGTTCAAGACCACCCCCAGAAACACCATACATACATCACAGAAGGGGTGTAGCTCAAGACCACCCCCCAGACACATCATACCTACATCACAGAAGGGGCGGTCTACAACAGAAATTTGAGTGCATTGTTTATCTCCTGTCATTGTTTATCTCCTGTCTGGCAGGTTACCTGTTAATGCTTACTTGATTGGATACCATGGGGAGCCTGGCCAGTCTTTTGTAGTGACAGATACTTAGTTCCTGAGCCAGGTCACAGGCTCTCCCTATTCATACACAGACATACCCTTAAGACAGGTTTTGTGAATGAAAAGACAATGGGGAGGCTTTTCCATTTTCCTTTGACCTTGCAGAGAAAACATTTGGTCAGTTTGGGAGCCAAAATGGCTCCAGGACTGACCTCCTGTGCTGCCTCAGATATGTGGCCCATACATTTCTGTACGTGTTTGCCTGGCACATCCATGAACATTTATTATATATATAAGACCTTATTTTTTTATTATTTCACTTCTCTCTGCGCTCCTCCCAGCTGTCATTCCTCCCCTGGTCACTGCTACAGATATAGATTCTGTCTGGCCCTTGAGACTCTTCCCAGGCAACACCTCCTCCCCAGGGCTCCCCTATGTTGCCCCCTCTTTCTTGCCTGGATAGAGAGCTGTGTCTCTGTGTGTGGAAACCAGCCTTTTTTAGGAAGGTTGAATTTGTATTCATTGCTTTGCCCACTTTTGTCCTAGCATTGGCACATGGCCCCTGGAAGGTGACCCAGAATGGATTGTGGCCCTCTGGCTGAAATAAGGTTCCCCAACCCTGTGCTAAAAGCATTCCTTTCCAGTCTCCAGGCTGCTGTTGAAAAGGTGTGGGAGCTTTTCCCAAAGCCAGTGCATTCCCTGGTTTCCCCCAGAGATGGTTCACTTTGTAGCCACCAGCTGGAGCTCTTGCTCTGCTTCAGTCCCTGTTTGCAAATCAAGAGAGGAACACAGTTGTTGGCATCTGTCTCGAGAGAGAATGGAGTGTGCCTCTGGGGGTCAAACCACTGCATACTATCAGCATAATATATTGTCAAGCCACTTTGAAAGTTTTTCTTCCATACAAAGTGACAGAAAATTTAATAAAGATAGTGAAGTTGAAGAATGGGTGTTTTCCTTTCACCCAAGTGTTTCCACCCCTTGCAACCACCACCAGAAGCCCACTCCCCCCCCCAAAAAAACCCCCTTCCTGGTCTATTCTTGTAAATGTTTTGTTCAAGCGGACTTGAGAAACCTTTTTTTGCTCTGCTCAGGGCAACTTGGGACTTGTGCCGTGTGGATCCTGGCACAGGAAGAAAGGCACAAGTTTCCCCTTGGTGCTTTAACTGATCACACAGGTCTTGGCTTGCATGCCTCCATGCCTCAAGCTTTTATCTACAGCAACACGTGTATATTCCTTTGGTACGAGCCGCTGACGTGACATCCAAACAAAACATAGGAAGATCGATTCATTTCTCAGGCTATTTGCACAAACAGTTGCTACAGACGTCAAGCTACAGCGAGCTCTTGCACAGTCCTTGTTCCCCTCTCCGACCTTGAGACAAGGGCAATCAGTTCTTAAGGCTGCAAGCGATTAATATCAGTTAGAAAGTTGATGGGGCATCCAGCTCCCACCTCTCTTTTCTCTCCAGGAGACTGAACTGTTTGCTTTCCTCCAATTCTCCCCAGACACGAATGTGTGGCGGGAGCCCAGACGTTCAAGGCAGTGTTGGAAGGACACAGCCTCCCACAAGCTGTCACAAATGCACATAAACTCCAGCAGCAATTATGAAGAGAGCAAAAGGGAGAAGGAAAGGAAACAAACATTTCTATCTCTGCTCTACACAGCTACCTACAAATAGGCTTCTGGTTCCCTCTGGGCGGTCAGATGGATTCCATTTATAAGGTCTGCTTGACGCAGGTGGGATTCTGATTGATGAGTGGCTGCAACCAGTCAATCCCAGGACGGACATAATGCTTCAGAGAAATGGGCATAACACTGTTATTTGGTGGGGGGGGGAGTTCCTGGACCACCTAATTCCTGAAATAGCTAGCTAGCTTCCTGGTGATGTGATGGGCCATGAAGGGGAACAAAGGAAGTGGCTCTGTGCAAGGTGACAAATGGGTGGTGCCACCTCCCTCAACTCATGGGTAGTGAGAAGGGAAAAGGCAAAGTTGAGAGCAGATAGTTTGGAGTGATGTGAGTTGGAGCAGCAATCTGGGAAAAGAGGAAGACAGTGATGTTTGAATCCAGGGCTGTGGCTATGGGAGAAACAAGACCCTCTTGGGGTGTCCATGCTGTGAACCCCTTCATCGTAGGCTCGGGTTGTATATATGTGTAAATAAACCATATATCATAAAGACACCACAGTCTCTGCTGGTGCATATGAATCTTGGGCAAGCGCTTGGAATCTCTGGAAACTCATGTCACTTGGAGATTAGGGTGGCGTGCAGCAATATCTTTGGGAAACTGGGAAAGGGGACTGTCAGAGTGTTATCTGCTGTCTGCGCCCTGCTAGAGAGCAAGCTTTCATCAGCTTGTGTGTTGGAGGGGAAGCGTGACTTCACCTGCAGAAGGGGATGGAGTGCTCCACCAGCGTCTCTTGGTCATTCCAGAGATGTAGTGCGGCTCCAGAAGATAACAGCCCCTCATCCAGGAAAACTCCTGTGTAGGACTGTGCCTTTAAGATACATTTCCTGCTCCATTGCTCCACCACAAATGTTTTGTAATGTTATCCTTAGTCTCATGGTCATAGATGTTTATCTTGAAAGGCTGGGCTCTGGGAATTGTGTCAACGTTGAGAAGTCTTTGCTGTTTACGCACTCAGTTCAGAAACCACAAATACTTTACACATTCACCCCCTCCTCTAAACGGCACTGGGTCTTCACCTCTGGGGGAAGCCGGTAGGAAGGGGGTAAACGTCCTAAATGTTTAACAGCAGCAAGAACAAAAAGTCCCCCGCTCACAGATTAGGCCAACCAGAGTTAAATGGCTCGGGAGCCTGACTCACACACTGGGAATGAAGAGTCAGGGTGCCTCTGAGGACATGCTCAAGGAATCCTCTCCTGAGCCACCCAAGTACCAGAACTGAGCTCACAAGCCGTTTGCACAAAACTCCACTCCTGGATTTCCTCCAAAATCAAAGGAATAAAGGCTCCTGAGCCACAATTTTGTGCCTGAATCTGTTTGGTGGAATGCATCTTTCCGCAGGGCCTGCAAGACAGAGCTGTTCCGCCTGGCCTTTGGTTTAGACTCAGCCTGACCCTTATGTTTCCCTCCCCTTATGGTTTTGATCTATGGGCTACTTTTAAAATGAGGCTGCATTTTAAATTGCATTTTAACCTGTATTTTAAATTGGGGGTTTTCCCCCCCTATTATGTTTTTACTCTAATTTAACTGGTGTTAGCCGCCCTGAGCCTAGCTCTGGTCGGGGAAGGTGGGGTATAAATAAAATTATTATTAATATTATTATTAATATGTCTCCAGTGTGGGCAACAGCCCATGTAGTGAAGAAGCGTCTCCACCCCCATCATTCAGCCCAGACACTGAGGTCCAACTCCAAGGGCCTTCTGGTGGTTTCCTCACTGCAAGAAGTGAAGTTACAGGGAACCAGGCAGAGGGTCTTCTTGGTGGTGGCACCCGCCCTGTGGAACGCCCTCCCATCATATGTCAAGGAAATAAACAACTATCTGACTTTTAGAAGACATCTGAATGCAGCCCTGTTTAGGGAATGTTTGATGCTTTATCATGCTTTTAATATTCTGTTGGGAGCCGCCCAGAGTGGCTTGGGAAACCAGAGTGTTGGGCTAGGGCTTAGAAGACCTGGGTTCAGATCCCCACTTGGCCATGAAGCTCACTGGGTGACCCCTGTTGTGAAGGTACCAGCATCTCCGGTGTGTTGCCTGGAGAGCAGACCTCCAGGATTGGGCTGCAAACAGAGCAAGGAGCAAAAAGGGTTTTCTTGTGTGTGTGTGTTTCTTTGTGGCTGATTAGCTGCTCTCCCTGTGCAAAGGTCAGAGGAAGGGTGCGCACAGTTTGATCCATCTTTTAGATTTAGGGGAGCTAGTCTCAAACGTTTGTTGGGGGAGACCTAGGTTTTTTTGTGGGGGGAGTTATTTGTCCTGTCTTCACGCTTTTTATGATGGAGGACCGCTGTAGACACCCCCAACGACACGTTCTCAAGATGGAGGGGGAGGGAACAGCTGCAGTCGCCTGCGGTTCCTGCGCAATGTTTGCCATCTTGCCAAAGGTTGCAGGCAGCTTTACCTGCAGCAATTGCATGTTGATTGCCCTCTTAAAAGACAAAGTCCAGCAACTGGAGGAACGTGTAGCTACGCTCCAAAGAATTAGAGAGCTGGAGCTCTTCTTGGAAGCAACAGAGCACACCGTCTCCACCAAGGAGGAGACAGGGGACTCCCCTGAGAAGGAGGCTAGTTCACCAACACAGGAGCCAGATATATGGAGAAACGTGACTCAAAGAAGTAGGAGGCCCAGGGTTCGCTCTGATTGTTTAGAAATACACAATCGCTTTGAGGTCCTCTCCCCTAGCATGGAAGACGAAGAGCAGACTCCATTTGAGGATCTCTCCTCATTACAGTCGATCAGGTATATGAAGACAAGCAGCAAAGTCAGTCCTCAGGGAATGTGCAGGCGACCTTGGAACGGACAGCTCACGGAAGAACCCCGACCAAACCTAAGAGGAGGCGTGTAGTGGTGATAGGGGATTTCCTACTGAGGGGAACAGAAGCAGTGATCTGTGGGCCTGACAAGATGTCTGGGAAGTGTGCTGTCTCCCGGGCTAAGATCCAAGATGTAACTGAACGACTGCAAGGAATCATAAAACCCACTGACAAATACCCCTTCCTCTTGGTTCATGTGGGAACCAATGACACTGCAAGCAATAGCCTCCAGAAGATCAAAAGAGACTACAAGGCTCTGGGCAGGAAATTGAAGCAATTAAATGCACAAATTGTCATCTCATCTGTCCTCCCAGTTGAACGACGTGGCCCAGGGAGAGAGGGAAAAATAGTGGAAGTGAACAGCTGGCTTCGCAAATGGTGTAAACAGGAACGGTTTGGATTCTTAGATCACGGACTGCAGTTTCTTGAAGATGGACTTCTGGCAAGCGATGGGCTGCACCTCACAACGGTTGGGAGAAATGTTTTTGCCAAAAATCTCAGAAACCTCATCAGGAGGGCTTTAAACTGACTAATGTGGGGGAGGGAGACAGTGCTCCTGAAGGTAGGAGTCTATCAATTGATGAAGATGATCATCCAAATGTCATAGACCAAATGGAGCAAACAGCACGCTGACCTAGTGGTGGGAGGAAAAAATCCTTAAATAAGAGACAAGGGGGAATGATTAATGGACTTCAATGTCTGTACACTAATGCGCAAAGCATGGGAAATAAACAAGATGAGCTTGAGCTCTTGGTACAGCAAACTAAATATGACATAATAGGCATCACTGAAACCTGGTGGGATAAGTCCCACGATTGGAATGTAATAATGGGGGATACAATCTATTTCAGAGAAACAGACCAGACAAGAAAGGAGGAGGAGTGGCGTTATATGTCAGGGATGTGTATACCTGTGAAGAGATCCAAGATTTAGAACCTCAAAGCCAAAGTGAGAGCATTTGGGTCAAAATTAAGGGAGAGAAGAATAACAGTGACCTCACTGTGGGAGTTTACTATAGATCCCCAAGCCAAACGGAGGACATAGATGATGCCTTCCTGGAACAGATGGCCAAGCATGCAAAAGGAAGGGAGATAGTAGTAATGGGGACTTCAATTACCCGGATATTTGTTGGATGTCAAACTCAGCCAAGAGCATAAGGTCAAACAGATTCCTCACTGGCCTTGCAGACAACTTCATTGTCCAGAAAGTGGGAGAAGCAACAAGAGGAACAGCCATTTTAGATCTGGTCCTAACCAATGTTGACGACCTGGTTAGTGGGGTAGAAGTGGAAGGATCATTAGGCGCGAGTGATCATGCTCTTCTGAAGTTTACTATACAGCGGAAAGGAGCAGCCAAGCATACTAGGACTCAATTTCTTGACTTTAAGAAAGCCGACTTCATAAAACTTAGGGAAGTTCTGGGTGAGATCCCATGGACAGTAATACTAAAAGGAAAGGGAGTTCATGATGGCTGGGAGTTTGTTAAGAGGGAGATAGTAAAAGCACAACGTCAGGCAATACCAATGAGACGGAAACATGGAAGGTGCCTAAAGAAGCCAGGGTGGCTATCTAAAGAACTTTTAACTGAGTTAAGATTAAAAAGGATGTGTACAAAAATGGAAAAGGGGGAAACCACCAAAGAGGAATTCAAACAAATAGCCAGCACGTGTAGACACAAAGTCAGAAAAGCTAAAGCACAGAATGAACTCAGGCTTGCTAGAGAGGTTAAAAGCAACAAAAAGGCTTTTATGGGTATGTTCGTAGCAAAAGGAAGAACAAAGAAACAGTGGGGTCACTCAGAGGAGAAGATGGTGAAATGCAAACAGGGGACACAGAAAGGGCTGAACTCCTCAATGCCTTCTTTGCCTCAGTCTTCTCCGATAAAGAAAACAATGCCCGACCTGAAGAATTTGGAGCAAATGATTCAGCAGAGGAAACACAGCCCAGAATAACTAAGGAGATAGTACAAGAATACTTGGCTAGTTTAGATGTATTCAAGTCTCCAGGGCCAGATGAACTGCATCCAAGAGTATTAAAAGAACTGGCAGATGTGATCTCAGAACCACTGGCAGTCATCTTTGAGAATTCCTGGAGAACAGGCGAAGTCCCGGCAGACTGGAGGAGGGCAAATGTTGTCCCTATTTTCAAAAAGGGGAAAAGAGAGGACCCAAATAATTACCGCCCAGTCAGTCTGACATCAATACCAGGGAAGATTCTGGAGCAGATCATTAAGCAAACAGTCTGTGAGCACCTAGAAAGGAATGCTGTGATCACCAATAGTCAGCATGGATTTCTGAAAAATAAGTCATGTCAGACTACCCTGATCTCGTTTTTTTGTCAGAATTACATGGCTGGTAGATGAAGGGAACGCAGTGGATGTAGCCTACCTTGATTTCAGCAAGGCATTTGACAAGGTGCCCCATGATATTCTTGTAAAGAAGCTGGTAAAATGCAGTCTTGACTATGCTACCACTCAGTGGATTTGTAACTGGCTGACTGACCGAACCCAAAGGTGCTCATCAATGGTTCCTCTTCATCCTGGAGAAGAGTGACTAATGGGGTGCCACAGGGTTCTGTCTTGGGCCCGGTCTTATTCAACATCTTTATCAACGACTTGGATGATGGACTCAAGGGCATCCTGATCAAATTTGCAGATGACACCAAACTGGGAGGGGTGGCTAACACCCCAGAGGACAGGATCACACTTCAAAATGACCTTGACAGATTAGAGAACTGGGCAAAAACAAACAAGATGAATTTTAACAGGGAGAAATGTAAAGTATTGCACTTGGGCAAAAAAATGAGAGGCACAAATACAAGATGGGGGACACCTGGCTTGAGAGCAGTACATGTGAAAAGGATCTAGGAGTCTTGGTTGACCACAAACTTGACATGAGCCAACAGTGTGACGCGGCAGCTAAAAGCCAATGCAATTCTGGGCTGCATCAATAGGAGTATAGCATCTAGATCAAGGGAAGTAATAGTGCCACTGTATTCTGCTCTGGTCAGACCTCACCTGGAGTACTGTGTCCAGTTCTGGGCACCACAGTTCAAGAAGGACACTGACAAACTGGAACGTGTCCAGAGGAGGGCAACCAAAATGGTCAAAGGCCTGGAAACGATGCCTTATGAGGAACGGCTAAGGGAGCTGGGCATGTTTAGCCTGGAGAAGAGGAGGTTAAGGGGTGATATGATAGCCATGTTCAAATATATAAACGGATGTCACATAGAGGAGGGAGAAAGGTTGTTTTCTGCTGCTCCAGAGAAGCGGACACGGAGCAATGGATCCAAACTACAAGAAAGAAGATTCCACCTAAACATTAGGAAGAACTTACTGACAGTAAGAGCTGTTTGACAGTGGAATTTGCTGCCAAGGAGTGTGGTGGAGTCTCCTTCTTTGGAGGTCTTTAAGCAGAGGCTTGACAACCATATGTCAGGAGTGCTCTGATGGTGTTTCCTGCTTGGCAGGGGTTGGACTCGATGGCCCTTGTGGTCTCTTCCAACTCTATGATTCTATGATTCTATGATTCTAGGTAGTTAATCACACCCAAGGCACATTACACCTAGATGTAGTTATGGCAGCCTCTAACGCCTCACAGGAATTTGTGTGGTGGATGGAAACTAGTGGCTTGATAAATCTAAAGTTATATTTGACATTTCCAACATAATGTGTGCTGGCTTAATGCTGTTTGGTTTACAGCTGCAGTTTCTCAAACACTTCATTCCTTGGTAAATCTTTCCTCTGTATTTGCTAGATTTTCACGGAGAGAGCAAAGCACTCCCACGCACTCCAGGCTGACTTTATTGGAGAGTCTCAATTGTTACTCTTGCCTTCGTAGCACTAGGAACATTGTATGGTGATGTCCTTATTCTGGTTTCCAGTTCACATGACCTATTAGTTTTCCAGTGGAAATCCCCTGTGCTTTAGAGAGTGCAATGACTTCCACACCTTCAGAAAGACGTTGGAAGCCTATAGTGTCTAAAAGATTTTTACAAAACAACAAACCCATACCAACACAAGAGATTCAAGACAAACTAGGGGAGACTCAAATACCTTGGCTAACACACCATCAACTACACGCCTTCTTAAACAATCCAGCAGTAAAATCAGCAGCCACTAGGCCCTTGACCACATTTGAAATTCTCCTGAGGGACACGGCAAAGGGATGGCATGCACAATATACAAAATATTGCTCCAACATCCCACAAACCCCCTTGACACAATCAAAGAACAATGGGAGCACAGTTTAGGCTATGAAATTAACTCCACCTAATGGACTAAAATGTGGTCTAAACTTCCCTTTAAGTCCATATTGGCCAAAAGAAGGAAACTCACTCTGAAACTCACCTGCAGGTGGTACTTAACACCATGGAAACTGGCACCGATACGCCCAGGAACCTCACCAAGATGTTGGAGAGGCTGCACCTCCACAGGCACATATCTCCACATGTGGTGGGAATGCCCTAAAATCCAACCATTCTGAACAGCAGTCCTACAAGAGATATGCAAAATAACTGAACAGGTATTAGAACTCACCCCAGAACTGGCACTACTGAAAATCTTTAAGATCACATAATGACCACTCACATTATACAGAGCTTATAACCCACCTACTCTCAGCAGCCAGAAGCCTCATAGCAGGCACTGGAGAGACCTATCAGGAGTAAACATGGACCAATGGTATCAAATTGTATGGGAAACAGCCTTACTAGAAAAGCTAAGCAATAAACTGAAACTGACACGGGGACAAATAGAAGAGGATGCCTTCACCCCAGTATGGCTCCCCTTTATCACATACACAGCCCAACAAGACAATGACAAGAACTCACCAACAGCATACGAATCAATCTGATTTACCTGACCCAACAAGCTCCCCTCACAAATGCAAACAAACCCCTCTGCAGCCAACCAACCACACCTGCCCCCCAATACCTCTCACTACTAAGGAAATGTAATAAACGAATAAAAAGACAGCCTACCCAGGTGACGCTGACACAAAACCCCACATGTACACTATACAAAATAATATAAGCCTCACCACACCATGCCTCCTCTCCCCCCACTTCTTCCCCAACACTAATGTCTCATAACAAATGTAACTTATTTGTAAGAAAGTCTGTACAACCTGAAAAAAGAAACAAGGCATGTACTTTTATAAACCAATAAAATCTTTAATAAAAATAAATTTAAAATAAAATAAAACAAAGAAGCTTGCAGGTGTAATTTCAGAGCCTGTGTCTCTATGAGAATTCTTGGAGAACAGGTGAGGTCCCTGTAGACTGGAGGCATATAATGAAGTCTGTGAGCACTTAGAAAAGGATACTGTGATTATTAAGACCCAGCATGGGTTTTCATAAGCAAGTCATGCCAGATGAATCATTTCTTTTTTATGGAGTTACAAGCTTGCTGATCGGAAGGTCGGCGCTTCAAATGGTGCAAATGGTTCGAACGGTGAGCTCCCGTTGCTTGGTCCCTGCTCCTGCCAACCTAGCAGTTCAAAAGCATGCCAGTGCAAGTAGATAAATAGGTACCACTCCAGCAGGAAGGTAAACGGCGTTTCCATGCGCTGCTCTGGTTCGCCAGAAGCGGCTTAGTCGTGCTGGCCACATGACCCGGATGCCAGTAAAGCAAGATGAGCACCGCAACCCTAACAGTCAGGGGTCCCTTTACCTTTACCTTTACAAGCTTGGTGGATCAGGGAAATGCTGTTGTCATAGTATATCTTGATTTCAGTAAGGCTTTTGACAAAGTCCCCCTTGATGTTCTTATGCAAAATGTCATCGCTGGAGAGCCGTTGTTATAGAACCATATTGTACTGTGCTAAAATGACAGAAGTAACTTTTCCTTTCCTGGAAAGAAAGAAATGAGGCCTCTTAGGTGTTAGCGATGTGTGAAATCTAAGCCTGATATTTCCATAAAGCCCAAATTATGCAGAGATGAGAAATGACACCCAAGCTACTAACCCTGTGCTCTGTAACTTGTGCAAAGATTGCTCTCTTATGCAAATGATTTTGTTTAGCCTATATTTTGAAACCCGGTACTGGGAGCCAGCATGGTTCTGTGAGTGACAGGTCCGGGGAGTCCGAGCAAGTCCTAAATCTTCCATGCAAGTCTTGCATGGCCGATGGCAAGTCACAATCTTCACTGCAGTTCATCATCTTTACAGAAAGAATCATAGTGACATAGGTTGTTGAGGGAAAAGCTATACTGAGATGGCAAAACGGCATCAAAGTTAGCATGTACAAGTGTTTCATAAGCCAGAAAATAACAGCACACACCCTATAATGGTAGCTGAGCCTGGGATTTTATTAGGTAAGTGTGGGTGTGTAAGCAGGTAGGAGGTCAGCAGAACAAATGGACACTCAGATTTACGTAATCTTGGGATTAGCAAAATGCTGAGTTACTTTGATAGGCGAGTTGCACATGAAAGGGTGGTGTGTTGCAGCCCCTGCTGAGGATGTGTGCTCAATGAGCCTACACATTTTTTGCATTGCATCTTCTCTGCAATCAGTGCTGGTCTTTCAATAGTGGGCACATACAACCCCATGGCAACACTGTCCTCAATACTTTTCCACGCAGAAGTAAGTGGTAGCCATGTGCTTTTGCGGGGTCTCTGCATGCAAAAATGTGTGTGCACCCAAGAAGACATCACTGGGGGCCCCTGGTGACCTCACTGTATGAGGTGGGGACAGATGCAACCCCCTCTCATTCGGCCTGATCCAATATCGTCATGTAGAACTGTTCCGCAGGATCCACTGAGAACCAAAGCCTTGTAAGAATCAAAAGCAGTGGTTCTCAAAGGGTGTGGCATGCCACACTGGTGTAGCAGGAGAGGATGGCAAGTGTGGCAGGAAGATTCAAGGACAATCAATATTGTGTTCTGGGAATCAGCCATGTTCTTATGTGGCTGCATTGTTTTATGCTTTTTGGATTCCCTATGATGTCAAGGAAATAAACAACTACAGTGGTACCTTGGGTTAAGAACTTAATTCGTTCTGGAGGACCGTTCTTAACCTGAAACTGTCCTTACCCTGAGGTACCACTTTAGCTAATGGGGCCTCCTGCTGCCACTGCGCCACTGGAGCACGATTTCTGTTCTCATCCTGAAGCAAAGTTCTTAACCCGAGGTACTATTTCTGGGTTAGCAGAGTCTGTAACCAGAAGTGTCTGTAACCTGAAGCGTATTGTTACGGTAAAATCTGGGTGCGGGGCTACTCTGCCACCCAGCTCGTCGGACTAAGTCCGCGGGTCCCTGCGGAAGAAAAATGAGCTCAGCCGGAGACAGGAGCAAACTGCAGAAGATCCAAGTTTATTGCGCAACAGGTTCAAGGCGAGATTGAACCGCGAGAAAGGGGTGACATGAATTTTTGAAACTTCCCTCCATGTCCCAGAATACAGTGCAAAATACATCCCAGTTACATCATGAATACATTAAGAAGAGGTTGGGTTACACAGATTACATCACGAATACATTAGGAAGAGGTTGGGTTACACAGATTACATCACGAATATATTAGGAAGAGGTTGGGTTACACCGGATTAACATATGGAGGAGGGAGGGGGGAATATGCAGAGCTGGAGATATGTGCAGATAAGCACATCCTGAGTACAGGTGATGGGAAGACAATGGTCCATGTATGCATAGTCTGCCACCTGGCACTGCCCGGAGGAAAGGCTTGGCAGAGCGATTTGACAGGATTAGGGTCTTGACACCTTGCTTGAGGAATTATGGAGGACAGGGGAGGTGTCATGGAGTCCTAGAGAAATTGAGCAAATTGGCACGTTGATTTTCTATGAATTTTATAGATTTTAGTCCCTTTTGACATTGGCAATTGGAAATAAATGGATATATTGTAGCGAAGAAGAAGGTGAAGAAGACATGCCCCCCCCCTTCCGTATCAGTATGTAACCTGAGGTACCACTGTATCTGACTTTTAGAAGACATCTGTAAGCAGCCCTGTATAGGGAAGTTTTTAATGTTTGATGTTTTACTGTGCTTAATAGGTGTGAGGGTTTGTGTATGCTCTTCGCAATAAGCACCCTCTGCTCACTCAGAGAGATATTTACAGTTCTTTATTTTACATATGTACAAGCAGCACAGTACAATCATGCATCCGAATCGTCCAGTTCAGATTCGGGGAGTGGTCTTCTCCTGCTTCTCCTCCAACAGAAAAGGTGGGGAAGCTTCATGGGACATCTCTGATTCCTGCTCTTTAACCCTCTCCTTTCCTGTGCCAAAGGCACAGGCATAGACTCTCTGTTCCTGAACTCCCTGTGCGGTGCTGGAGCTCTGCTTCAGCATCAGAGAGCCTTCCCGCCTCCTGGCTCTCTCCCTCTTCCCCTTCCGTCACTTCCTCTCTGTCTCGTTCTGATTGTTCCCACTCTGACTCTTCTCCTCCCCCCCCTGCCCCCGACTCAAAGACATTCCTTGGCAGTCCCGTGACAATAGGTTTAATTTCTTTAATTTGTTGTAAGCTGCCCTCAGTGGCTGGGGTAGACCAGTCAGATGGGAGGCATCTAGATAAATAAATTGATGATGTTGATGATATTATAAAGTAGTTGTATTCTTTGTTATTAACCAAGCACTGTTGGAGGAGGTGTTTCTTCTCCCACCTTCCAAATGTATTTCTTATCAATAAAAAAATTGGTGTGGCACAAGCAGATTTTTATTCTGAAAGTGTGGCCCAGGAAAAAAAAATTGAGAACCACTCAATTCTAAGGAACCAGCATGCATGTCTACAGTGCTCCCCGGCAGAAAATAGTTGCATTTGCTTACAAGGGACTCATGGTGCCAAAGTGGTACTCTCCGTACGTTGCTGGCTCTACCAGGAGGCAGAGTGAGGAAGCTGCCTCAGGCGGCAAATGCTGAAAGGCAGGAGGTGAACAGAGCTGTGTGAATTTCCAACCATGCTTACAAAACAAAAATACACCACTCAGAATAAAATAACCCCAAACAGCAGTAAAATTCCAACCCAACCAGTTTATATTTGCAAGCTCAAAGCTCCCAGTGGAATATTCTACAGGAAGATACTGTATCTGATTAACTGTGGCCAAACCAGCACATTCAGTTAAAGTTCAAGCCATTATTCTAGTTTACAATAATAACTATGCTTAAATTTGCACCAACAATCAAACAAAAAACACTTTGCATGGCTCATTATGTGTGGCGCTGAAAAGAAGCAAGCAGAGGACACGATAGAAAGGATTTTGCATCAAGAAAGTTTTGAAGATTTGGGCGGGCAATAATAGACAGAAGCCCTTAGAAGGGAAGGAAGAAAAGTTGTTACTATTATCATTTATATAGCAGTCTCTCAGCAAATATTCCCTGGGCTGCTTGCCACAAATCAATCTTTAAAAAGCAGCATTAAAAAGTTTATTAAAATGTTTGTAGTTGATACTGTTTTAAAATAGGTTTTTGTTTTATTTTCAGTTGCATTGTTTTTCTACTTGGTTCTCTGCCACAAAAATTACCCTTTATTTTATAGCCACTTTCCTCCATTTCACCTGCTATATTCCTCAGAAAGGAAGCTTAGACTGTATTTTTCAACTTGCCTGGAATCTTGCCCTCCAGCAACTCCTGCAGCCAAGCTGGTGCCAAATGTCTTACTCTGCTTAGGACCACATCAGTGAGGCTGAGAGGGAGTCTTGTTGGGTTTGGGGTCTCCCCAAATTATAACAATACTTAACCCTGGGCAGCACATCCTGTTATATCAAAATTATTGTTCTTCATCTTAAAGAAAGCAAAGACAGTGATGAAGAAGGTTAACTGAGAGAAGAAGAAGAATTTATTTCCAACCCAGCCACTCCATTAAATGTGCTCTTGAGCTAAGACAGAATTCGAAAAGAAACATAAGATATCGGCTGAACTGTGTGTTAAAAACACCAGGCGAGTCCATGCTTAAGGCTATTTATTACAAGTTTCCCACTGTATAATGCATCCTCTGTGGTTTTCTTCTTACGGGTCATTTTGCAACCCTTCCTCTTAGCCTGTTATTAAGCACTTGCAAAAGGATTTTGCAGGGCGCCATTGTGGTGTGGGAAAAGTACTCCGTAATCAGGCTGCAATCTGAGCCCAGGTAATTTGCAGTTGGTTGGACTGGAGCCAATGGGACCTCTGAGATCAATTTGCTCCGTATCAGGGTTCTGGCTGGCTAAGAAGAGCCTGCTAGATCGGGTCACACAGACCCAGCCCAACCATTAGGCAGGGTGAGACCATTGCCTCAGGCGTCAGAAGCTCCACAAGCAGCACGCCTGTGGGTGCCCCATCTGCCCTGCCACCTCAACCAACGGAGAAGTGGTGATGCCATCTGTGCTGATTTTGGGCATGACTGCGTCTATTTGGGGCAAGACCTCACCCAAAATTGGGATTGTCTTTTGTAGTGGGTGCTGTGGCAGCAGGAGCAGGTAAATGGTTGCCCATAAGCTAGAGATTCCCCACCAGGGTAATGGATAAGAAAAGCGATGGACTAGGCGGAATTGGTAGAGCCAACAGCAAAAATAAGAGAACCTAATGAGGACTGTTTTGTGGAAGAATGGAAGCCTTTTTCAGAATATTTAAAGCAATATAGTATGATGAATTCATGAGCAGGATTTGAAGTATGATCAACAGAAGAAATTAGAGGTTATTGCAGGGGTCAGCAAACTTTTTCAGCAGGGGGCTATTCCACTGTCCCTCAGACCTTGTGGGAGGGCGGACTATTTTATTTGGGGGGGGGGAGAACGAATTCCTATGCCCCACAAATAACCCAGAGATGCATTTTAAATAAAAGCACACATTCTGCTCATGCAAAAACACCAGGCAGGCCCCACAAATAACCCAGAGATACATTTTAAATAAAAGAACACATTCTACTCATCTAAAAACACGCTGATTCCCAAACCGTCTGCGGGCCGGATTTAGAAGGCGATTGGGCCGGATCCAGCCCCCGGGCCTTAGTTTGCCTACCCATGGGTTATTGTATGGTGGTTATGATAAGCAAAGGGGAGAAATTGTAAACACCATGGAAAACGGGAAAGGAAGTAAAAGAAAAAAGAAAAATTTATTGTGTTTTGGAGTGTATATGTGAATTTTTTGAAATTTAATAAAATATAATGAATAAAAAGATACCCCACCAGGGCAAGAAATGAGCAAGGTGAGGGACAGGCGGCTACATTTCAACACAGCTTTTTTGCTTCTCCAGATCAGGCCCAATGCAAAGGACCAATTTACCATCTGCAGGAACAATTAAACAATTAAAAACATGCATCCTCAGCCCCAGTTATTCTAAGACTGGGAGCTTTCGCTAGTGGTGAAGCTTTTTCTCAGTCACCACTTGATAAGTAGGAATGAATGAATTAATGTTTATTGTTACGGCGAAACAGCCAGCATACTAAAACCAGAGTTTCTGCGTAGTTCTTTACAAAAAACGATAAAGACAATCAGAATGGAATTTAACAATCAATATACTAATTAAATAGACTTGAAATGTGTGTCCAAGGAAACAATAACTCCAAGGATTAAGGCTTTCTGGGAAATGATATATAATGAATTGAAAAAGGTATTTAAATATACCTTCTTGAAAAAAACAGAGGCCTTTCTTCTGGGCATGGTTGGCCAATTGGTGCCAAAGAAGGATAGAACCTTTTTTATGTATGCCACAACAGCAGCAAGAATACTCATCGCAAAATATTGGAAGACACAAGATCTACCCACTCTGGAAGAATGGCAGATGAAGGTGATCGACTACATGAAACTGGCGGAAATGACTGGCAGAATCCGAGACCAGAGAGAAGAGTCGGTGAAAGAAGACTGGAAGAAATTTAAAGACTATTTACAGAAATATTGTAAAATTAAGGAATCTTAGAAGGATGTTGGATAGAAACTAAGAGGTTTTTAGCTGTAATGCCTTAAGAGACATGAAAAAAGGTTTGCAACTGGGTAAAAGTTTAATGGTAAGGATTTGCTGAACTAACAAATTGAACTGGAATACAAAAAGGGAGGTATGAGCACGTCTGGGGAAATAAGTATAGGGAAGATACGTTATGGAAAATTAATATCCTTTTAACTGTTTCATTTGGTATGTTTCTTTTTATTTTTTACTTTTTTGGTTATATTTTAAAATTTTTATTTTTCTTTTTTCTGTATTCTGTATTTTTTTGTATTTTTTGAAACTTTAATAAATATCATTTAAAAAAAAAAACCAATAACTCAATTTAATAAGAAGAAAACTGAACTATAAGCTGTAACAATTTGTGTTTACCCTCATTTACCCTGAAATTCAAACCTAACATCTTGCTTACAGCAGCTGGTTTTTTTCACCTGCCAGAAAGGGATGACTCAGAAGGCGAAGTGAGTTGCAAGAGATAAGAGCCTCTGATGAAACCAGGAACTCTTTGAAAAGTGATTGGTAACGAGCGTTCCCTGGGGAAAATAGCCTCCTGTGAATTGCCCCCCCCCCCTGCAAGGGGCACGCAGCAACTGGCAGAAGCATCCCAACATCATGGCGTCAGATATCTCTCCTGTCCTAGTTCTGTCTATGGAAATGTCATCCTTTCTGCACGAGATGTAGGGGGAAGTGAGGGGCAGATGGGGCTAATCATTTTTTTTTTAAATCATATTTATTAAAGTTTCCAAAAATATAAAAATACAAAGAAAAAAGACAAAAGAAAAAAGATATTTAAAAGCCTTACTTTCATTCCCTACTTTCTGGGACTCCCCTCCCCCAATTGTATTCCCTTTCCTTAATTTGGTTCTACAAGCTCTCACTCCCAATTTAAAAGCTTAATTTGTTTAACCCACTATCCAGATTGAATTGTACAAATCTTACCACCGTCCCACATCATTAACAGAAAAAGAAAAAAGATTTTCCCCAGGATCCACCCCAATTCCTTCCACAAATTCCCTTTTTTAAACACGTCCGATCAAAATAAAATAACCTGCGTAGTTATGTAAAGAAACAACAAATAAGAGTTAGATCAAATTTCCAAAAAGGGTTACACTGCCTTTGGTTTTCAAATCTCCCCCCCCCCCCTTCCCCGGTTTGAATTCCCCATGTCCATCAGTCTATACATTATCAGCTTGGAAGTCTCATTTCATGACCAGATTTCTCCCCGTTTCCATCTTGACGGTTTTCTTTAGTTTATTAATTTAAATAATATTTGACTTCAAATGTCCAATCTAACAAAGGCCTTTAATTTCCTTGATCTTTACCACTCCTCCCGTTGCTCTTTCCGTGTCGTAATCAGTCCTTTATTCTTCTTATTCCTCACTTTCTCAGGTTTCTTGTCCTGTTCAGCTGCTAAAACTTTCTAATTCAGAAATCTAGTGTCTCTGCAGAGGTTTGTTATTCAGGAACAAAAACTTACGTCCAGTCCCTTTCTTTCTTCAATAAAAATTCCATTGTCTTCCTCTGTAGACAAAATACTCTTTCAGTTTTGCAGCTTTCCCAGAAGATAACAAATCCTGTGCGAATCCCAGGGTATTTTTCCACTTACGACCATTCTTGTAATATCCCGAAACCCCTCTAGGGGGATTGTAATAACTTTGTATCCTCTAATCCAAAAGTCAAATTGTTGCTTATTTTCCAACAGTTTATATCCATGTTATAGCAAATTGTAACAAAATTAACCAGCAAGATCCTCATAAAGTCCTCTTTATATTCTCCAGCTTTGACAGCCACTTTGACAGCTGTCAAAGTCTCCGTCTCTCTTCACCAGGCTCCACAGATCGCCCCGGTTCCCAGGGGGGGGGTTGCATTTTTCTTCTCACCCTCCACTCTTCTCCTCCAGCACATTTCTTATAATTTCCCATCGTGAAATTAATGATTTTTATCAAAGACATACTTCCCTTTGGACCTTGGTTACCCAGTCCTTGTTTTGGAATGCTTACAATAGGGGGGGGGATTGACTTCCTTTTAAATCGCCCCGCTCGTGCCAAATCCAAAATTTTGAACCCGGTTTCCCAATTACTCACGGGTTGTTGTTAATAGTCCAAATTTTCAATAGAAGAAGTCAGCGCTCTCCGTCGAATGGCATGCGGCTGCGCTCGGCAGGGAAAGCAGAGGACTCAGCACCACGCCGCTCCCGGCACCCGATCCGAAGCCTTTAAAAGGCTCCTTCACGAGTCGGGAGGGCGCTAATGGTGCAAGCCGAGTCACCCATGTCCACGGACTCCGTGCCCGTGGTTTTAAGGGTCCCCGCGTCGCCGGCGCGGTAGGACCCAGCCCCTGCCGAGCAGACTCCCTCCGGAGCTCGGAGGGAGTCCGCCATTCGGCGATGGCGCTAACCCGGAAGTCCCAGATGGGGCTAATCAACCTGGGAAGGGAGCCCATCTAGGAGGACAAAAACTCTGGTCCTAAACCTCATTTGTGAGAAATGCTTTGAGAGTAAATCCCAAAGGAAAAATCCATACCTGCTGCCTTGTGGGATATCTTTGGGAGAAGCAAAGTAAACCCGATGCAAATCTGGAGTGGAGCCGTCAGTGCGGTTAGATGGTGCCTTGTACACTGTCTCCTTCCAGCAACTCCTGCAGCCAAGCTGGTGCCAAACATATTGCTTTCCTTTCCTTTGGATCACATTAGCAAGGCTAAGAGGAGATGTTCTTGTCATCTGGGCAGCCCAGGGCCCCATACACACTGCCCAGGCTCACACCCCAGGGAAGAGAAATTGTGGAGGAAGAGGAGAATAACTCAAAGCACAGTTGCTGTTGTCCCTTCACCTCATTTACTGTCCCGAAGGCTCCCATCTCATATTACTCTTGATGGTGTAGCACTTAGAGTGAGGCTGGGAGACCTCAGGCATGAATGCCAGATGCGGCCCCCAGACCCCTCTATCTGGCCCTTGCAATTCTCTCCTGACCCCACACTACACCAGCCCTACTTCACAACTTCCTTCAAACTAGCCTACTGTACCAAGTTGTAAATTTGTTGCTTCGCCTCCGTCCCCATCCACCATTTGCATGTGGTCCCCAGAAGATTGCTTCGATAGGAGTGCAGCCCTTAGGCAATTTATTTACTCTCTTTTTCAAGTGTCAAAGGTTCCCTCATTCAGCCCTGAAGCTAAAGTTTGGACCATTACGGGGTAGCCTGGCAGACTGCAAAGTGCAGAGACCCACCATCTTAATTTCCTAGAGGCATCTATACATATGCAAATTTAAGATTTGTGGCCGGCTACACGCCACACGTTTAAAGCCCATGACTTCCCCCAGAGAATCCTGGGAACTGTAGTTTGTCAAGGGTGCTGGGAGATGCAGCCCCGTAAGGGGCAAACTAGTTTCCAGGACTGTTTGCAGGGAAGCATCATGTGCCTTAAATATATGTTGTGTGTGACACGCAGTGTGTGCAACACTCTGGTTGAGTCTATCCATTAAATATAGGTGATATAGATTGGTCCCATTCAAATTATGGTGAAGACAGATGACATGAGGACCATAAAGCATATTGCAGTTAACGGCTCCTATCTGGCTCTTTTCCTCCTTTTTTGAAGGCAAAAGAAGAGAGTTTTATTGGAGTCTATCTGGCTCTTGTTGACGGGCAACTATGTGCATGTAACAACTGGCAGCCCCAGATGGCTTCTTCCAGGCACTGTTCTTCCTTGCTGGGTTAGGACATTTAAAAAGGAGCTCTGGAACACAATGTCAGAACAAAACCTGCATTTGTTCGTCAGAAATTATGGCTTCATGTTGTCCTTCCTGGTGTCGTGTTTCTCATCGGATGCCAGGAGATGGTTGTGGCCAACTCCCAAGTCACAAAGAAACAACTTTCCCAAGTGTTAAATCACCCTTGCCCTTTTTCAGGTTCTTACCCTCGAGCGGTATGTTTTTTTAAATATTAAAAATATCTATGTTTTGTAGGCTCAGCCTTGACATCATCATCATATACCAACAAATAGCAAACTTGGTGACATGGGGCCAATGAGAAATAAGAGTGACGTATCAGTACAAGAGAGGTACCCCTATGTTTGGTGAACCCTAATGTTTGGAGGGGGGGGAAAGGGACGCGGGTGGCACTGTGGGCTAAATAACACAGCCTAGGACTTGCTGATCAGAAGGTAGGTGGTTCAAATCCCTGCGATGTGGTGAGCTCCCGTTGCTCGGTCCCTGCTCCTGCCAACCTAGCAGTTCGAAATCACGTCGAAGTTCAAGTAGATAAATAGATACTGCTCCGGCGGGAAGGTAAACGGCATTTCCGTGCGCTGCTCTGGTTCGCCAGAAGCAGCTTAGTCATGCTGGCCACAGGACCCGGAAGCTGTACGCCGGCTGCCTCGGCCAATAAAGCGATATGAGCGCCACAACCCCAGAGTCGGTCACGACTGGACCTAATGGTCAGGGGTCCCTTTACCTTTAATGTTTGGAGAAGTAGAAACGTATTTCTTTAGGAGGGAACAGACCTAACAGGGCAAAAATGGCTCCAGACAACACACTGAGGACAGAATGTGCTCAGTGGCCAAACAACGCCAAGTATCTGTGAATCTCAGAATCACAGAATTATCATGTTGGAAGGGATCCCAAGGGTCATCTAGCCCTACCCCCTGCAATGAAGTGTGGGACAGGAATGGAGTATCCTGAAAAAAAGCAAGAGTGCTCCACAACTGCAATGTTTTGGTTGTGGGTGGGGAATTTTGGATGATGGACCAAATTTGGCCGGGCAGTGGTCCCAATACTGCCTGCCAGGCTGTTCCTTGCAAGCCACGCCCACCTGCTCCATACCTGACAATCTATGTCACCTGGCTATAAAAGGAGCAACTGGGAGCTTAATGTGAGCTCCCAATTGCGGGAGAAAGGTATGTTCCCAACACCCAAGTAGGGAGCCCACCTTGGTCCAATAGCACAAAGCTTTGTGTTAGCAGAAGCTTCAATGAAAACTTTGACAGCTGTGTTGTCCCACATACTTGTCAGTCATCTGATATCATGATGTCAGGTGATTGACAGACACTATGTCCCACCCACTTGGTTTTGTTGAAGGCCCAGTCCCCCTGGGCTGGTAGGTATATTTAAAACAGGAGTGCAGAACCTGCTGCTCTCCATGTGTTGATAAACTACAACTCTTTCTTTTCCCTTGCTTGCTAGGCCGGATGGGAGTTGGAGAGCAACCACATCTGCAACTGAATTAAATAAGCCTTTGCTCCATTTGAGTGTCCACTGTTTTACTGAGGAAAGGGGAAGTTGAAATTAAGATGGTTTAGTAATTGAACACTTGGTCTCCTGACCAAAACGCTGAGGGTGATCATGAGATGGAGAATGGAATCAAGTAGGCATCTGAAAGAGGAAATGCTGCAGCAATGGGTGATTTCAACTATCCTCACATTAGACTTGGAACATTTGCATGTTGGAGTCACCAGGTTCATGCCTAAGGAGTGAAAGGGGAGGGGAGGGGAGAGAATTTCTGCCAAATATTTATTGGGCCTTGTGAGCCATTTACTTAACAAATGCCTCCCTGCTGATAACAATCAGCTGCACTGCTGGTTCCACCAACCCTCTTGTCTTAAGGAGCCTAAGAAGCCATGATTTAAATGGTCCTGACAAGTATCTCCTTTGTTAGGGAAATTATGGGTAAATGGTGTACAATGACTAGCAAATAGCTGACAAAAGGGCATACCCTCCCTGTCCTTAGCGAATGGGAGAGGAGTCTTCTACTTCTTTGGCGATGGATCACTCAAAGCCAAGCCAGATTGTCTTCCATGAACATGGTCTTAACAGTGAGTCCGAAAGTGACTGTGGAGGTCAATTCTGATCCACACGTCCTTCCTCAGTGGGGACATAGGTTTCCTGGCAGGAGTTGATCACGGTGAGGGTTTGCCAAGCGTGCCTTCCTCTTAGCACATTTCTCTCTTTCATCCTGCATTTGAGCGTCTTCAAAGGTCATGACACTTTTGGTAAAGGCTGTTCTCCAACTGGAGTGTTCGCAGGCCAGTGTTTCCCAATTGTCAGTGTTTATACTACATTTTTTTAGATTTGCCTTGAGACAGTCTTTAAGGCTCTTTTGTTGACCACCAGCATTACACTTTCCATTTTTAAGTGCGGAATAGAGTAGTTGCGTTGGAAGACGATAATCAGGCATCCGCACAACATGACCAGTCCAATGAAGTTGATGAATCATTGCATCAACACTGGTGATCTTTGCTTCTTCCAGTACACTGGCATTAGTTTGCCTGTCTTCCCAAGTGACATGCAATTTTTTTTCGGAGACACCGTTGATGGAATCTTTTGAGGAGTTGGAGATGGCGTTTATAAGTGGTCCATGTTTCGCAAGCATGCAGTAAGGTTGGTAGTACAATAGCTCCTGTAAACAAGCATTTTGCTTTCCCAGCAAATGTCCCGGTCCTCAAACACTCTGCACTTCAATTGGGAGAAAGCTGCTCTCGCAGAGCTCAGGCAATGCTGGATTTTGGCATCAATATTGGCCCATGTGGAAAGATAACCACCCAGGTAAGAGAAGTGATCAACACTTTCCAGTGTTATACTATTGAGTTGGATTTGTGGTGCTGCAGAGGGGTTGTTTTGTATTTGAACAAAAACAAAAACAAAAAAAAATTCCTTCCAGTAGCACCTTAGAGACCAAGTAAGTGTGTTACTGGTATGAGCTTTCGTGTGCATGCACATTTCTGCAGATACACTGAAACAGAAGTCACCAGACCCTTATATGTAATGAGAGGGTGGGGAGGGGTGATTGGCTGATAGGCGTGGTAAACCTGTTGACGACTGTTAACGACTGCAATTGGTCTTACAGGAAAAAGCAAGGGGTGAGATGGCTAAAAATAGCTTTATCATGTATAATGAGATAAGAATCCAATTTCTCTATTCAGACCAGGTCTCTCCATGGTTTTAAGTTTGGTAATAATTTGCAATTCAGCAATTTCTCTTCCCAGTCTATTTCTGATTTTTTTTGTGTTTGTTAGTGCAACACATTGGTTTTTTTGGATGTTGAGTGATAGGCCAAGTTTTCTGTAAGCTTCTGCGAAGATATTTAGGATGGTTTGGAGGTCATCCTCTGAGAGCTGGACACCGCCCCCCCATCTTGTTATCGCTGACCTTTGACTCTGCTGGCTGGTGCTGTTGGGAGCCCTCCAACAGCATCCAAAAGGCCACAGGTTGCCATCCCTGCTCTACATATGAGGAGCATGGCCTGTAAAAATGAGTGTATGCAAATCATCTGTAGTGATAACTTACATATGCAAATTAACTATAGCACTTCCCCCATACTTTGCTCCAGGAGAAATATCCAAATTACATTTTGATTGGCCTGTTATTGCAAGCTACCCCTGAGGCCATTTATTCAAATATCTGAAGAGCTGTCCCATGGAAGATGAAGCAAGTTTGTCTTCTGTTGCTCCAGAGGGTAGAACCCAAACCAATTGATTCAAATGAGAAGAGATTCCGAGAAAACATTAGGAAGAATTTTCCAACAGTTGTTGTTGTTGTTTAGTCGTTTAGTCGTGTCCAACTCTTCGTGACCCCCTGGACCAGAGCACACCAGGCACTCCTGTCTTCCACTGTCTCCCGCAGTTTGGTCAGACTCATGCTGGTAGCTTCGAGAACACCGTCCAACCATCTCGTCCTCTGTCGTCTCCTTCTCCTTGTGCCCTCAATCTTTCCGAACATCAGGGTCTTTTCCAGGGAGTCTTCTCTTCTCATGAGGTGGCCAAAGTATTGGAGTCTCAGCTTCAGGATCTGTCCTTCCTGTGAGCACTCAGGGCTGATTTCCTGAAGAATGGATACGTTTGATCTTCTTGCAGTCCATGGGACTCTCAAGAGTCTCCTCCAGCACCATTTCCAACAGTAAGAGCTGTTAAATGGGTGGAAAGGGCTTTGGAAGGTGATGGACCTCTCATTCACTGGAGGTTTTAAAGCAGAGATTGGAGGGAGCACCCGTTAGGGATTCTGTGATTTCTGCATTGCAGGAGTTGGACTAGATGACTATTATTCTATTTTCCCTGGCCTTAGCTTTGCCTCTCAGCAGAACCGTTTCCCACTCTCACTTACTTGGGTTTTGAATCAAGGCCCAAGCATTTCCTTCCTACAGCAGATGCTACATATTTAGCCTCAAGTGAGGTGGTCAATAAGGTAGGAAGCCATTGCTAATTATACTATCCTTGTAAGTAGGTCACCTTGTTCTTCTCTTGCATGAGTTCTGGGCCTGCTAGGATCTAATAGAGTGCTTGCATTTCATGTATTTATTTAGAAAATGTCAGCGCTGCCCTTCAGTTAAAACTCTCAGGGGAGTATACAGGAAAATAATTAACAGTGCCATCTTAGACATGTCTTCTTCAGAAGTAAGCCACACTAAAGCCAACGGGGCTTCCTCTCAGGCAAGTGTGTTGATTGCAGACTAAGATAGTAACTATGTAAAATGCTACGGAAATAAAACACAGAAGCAGCTTTGAAGCAAAGCCACAACCAAGGCATTCATGGCCTTTTAGCCCCAATGTTTTAACTCTTCCTGCCCCATATCCTAGACATCCAGCCTTAGGGCTGGATCAGGCCAATGGCCCATCTAGTCCAGCACCCTGTTCTCGTAATGGCCAGCCAGATGCCCGTGGGAAGTCTGTAGGCAGGACATGAACGCAAATGCATTGCTCTCCTCTCCTGTGAGTTTCAGAAACTATGCGCTGCTTCTAATACTGAAAGTAAATATAGCCATTAAGGCCAGTTGCTATCAACAGCTTTACGTTCCATAACATCACAGCATATGCTTTCATAGACTAGAGTGCACTTCATCAGCTGCATCATTGCTCCCAGCAGCGTAGTGTGGACAGGATGGAACTGCAAATGGTTATCAGAGGGCAATGCAATGAATTGCACAAAGTACAGACCACCTTGCTCTCAATACGTGCCCACTTGACTGTTTTGGTGTGAGGAACTGGCACCTTTACAAGTGCCAACTAATGTTTGTGCCACACTTGCTAGCAATTAGTCTTTCAGTGTGGCAGCCACAAGAAAAGCTATGCACATGAAAGCTCATACCAGTAACAAACTTAGTTGGTCTCTAAGGTGCTACTGGAAGGATTTTTTGTTTTGTTTCCCTGCCCATTGATATTACTGATTTTACTTCTACTTTGCATCAACAGAATTCTAGTGTCCAGATCAAGGGAAGTAATAATATCTCTATTCTGCCTTAGTCAGACCACACTTGGAATACTGTGTCCAGTTCTGGGCACCACAATTTAAGGAGGTTGACAAGCTGAAACATGTGCAGAGGAGTGTTACCAAGATGATCAAGCGTCAGGAAACGAAGCCTTATGAGGAACAGTTGAAGGAATTGGGTATGTTTAGCCTGGAAAAGAGGAGACTGAGAGGAGATATGATAGCCATCTTCAAGTATCTTAAGGACTGTCACATGGAGGAGGGAGCATGCTTGTTTTCTCCTGCTCTGGAGGGTAGGACTCAAACTAATGGCTTCCAGTTGCAAGAAAGGAGATTCTGACTAAACATTCGGGAAAACTTTCTGACAGTAAAAGCTTTTCAGCAGTGGAACAGACTCCCACAAGAGGTGGTGGTTTTTAAATAAGAGGTCGGATGGCCATCTGCCATGGGCGCTTTAGCTGAGATTCCTGCATTGCAAGGGGTTGGAGTAGATGACCTTTGGGGTCACTTCCAAATCTATGATTTATGATAAACTTGATGTGCATAGCATAGAATCATAGACTTGTTGGAAGGGATGAAGAGCGTCATGTAGACCACCCCGCTGTAACGCAGGAAAGCTTTCTCCTAGGGTGGGGGGTAGAAGCAACGACCCTGAGACTAGTTTGTCGTTAAAGTTACTGGTATTCGCAGTGAATGTTTCACATTGATTATCTGAACTACTTATGAGGTTTTTGTTGATTAAAGCGGTACATGAACCTTTTCAAATAAAACTAAACCACTCCTATCCACTCCGCGCATCCTATGAAGCCGGCTCAGTACCAGCGGAAAATCCTATGGGCGTTTTTACAAAGAAAAATCCAACGGAGTTCATTCCGGGTGGGGGGGGGGGAGAAGCTCCCGTTTCCCCAAAACCACCGTGCGCGCAAAGACTGCAGATTAACAGCGACAACAGGCCTACAGAAGCGAGCCCCACAGCACCCCATTCAGTTCAATGGGACCCCATTACCAGGGAAAGCGCGCACGGGTCCGCGCAGCTCAAAACCGGCTCGTGCCGTTTGCAGCTCCCGCTGCAATATACCCCAAAACCGGAGCTGGGAACCCTCCACCCCCCGGACACGTGCGCCGCCCTAGGGGTGGGAAGCGCACGTGTGAAGCGCCCAGAAGGACCCGGGAGGCGCTCAGAACGTTCAGGACCCGGCCGGCGAGAGGAGAGGATAAAGGTGGGAGGAGCCTGCGGGGAAAGGAGCCGGCTTGCCGCCCCGCGCGCTGCCTTGTGGGATGCGTAGTCCCTCTCCGCGGCTCGAGTAGGGGCGCCGGCAGGGAACGCGGACTACATCTCCCGAAGCACCCCGCGACGGAGGGGAAAAGAAGACTCTGCTGGTGTGGTGGTAAGTGGTAGCGGACTGGGCTGCCCGCGGGTGCCCGCGCAGGCGCAGTGCGACTGAGGAGCCGTTCTGAGGTTCTCGGGCTGCCTATTGACCCCAGTTGTGGCTCCGGGGCCGCTGAGGGCTGTAGAGGCGCTGTCGCTCAAGCCAGGTAGGAGGGCGGTTATTCAAATGGAGGGGGGGCGATTATTTAAATTGGGGAAATGCCCCCCTCCCCTCACAAGACACTTGAGGAGGGGGGCACGGCTTAAATGAGGTTTGTTCTCCTCAGAGGTCCTTTTTGGGGGGGGGGGTCAGGGGCTGTTATGGGGACCTCAGGCGTCGTTTCTGTGAGGGGGGGTTATATATATATATATATAATGGGGGGAGCTGCTCCTGAAGACTTCCCTTCTCTCCACCCTGGACTCTGAACGGAGTTCCTTGTAAGGAAAAGGTGGAGGCTGTTTGGTATTTTTTTGGGGGGGGGGGTGTTTTGGAAGGTGCGGTGGGGAGAGAAGGAGGACATTTTGAAAGAGATCCGCCGGGGAGGCGCCCCTCTCCCCCCCACAATGCCTTTGACTTTGGGCTGGGGTTTTTTGTTTGTAATTTAATTATGGGAGGGGGCGGCGGCCTATAAATGCACGAGACATTTCGTGCGGGGTGGGGCCAGGAACGGGCAGGATTGGAAAGGGGACATACATATCTATCTATAGATTTGCATATGCAGTCAGAAGATTAACAGTACCAAAAGGACGGCCTTCCCTCATTGCTGATGCAGCAATGATTCCAGTAAGAAGTGGAATCTCATTTCCTCCTTTCTTTCTTCTCCCCCAAGAAAAAAAACAACAAAAAAAACACCTTCACCTGCCCATCATTCCCAGTTTATTCAGGAGCCTAGATTCGTTTCTTCCTCTTCGTTTTGCAAACTTGGGCAGTTCCTTGTGCCACCCACGCTCTTCCTCATCAAGACCTTTGGGGCAGAGCCTTGAAGGGGGCAGTGAAACAGACATTGCTTTCCTTAAGTGGGGAGGGCAACTGGGGGAAGAGGGCATTGGGAGTTCTTCTGAAGGGCTGGCTGACCACTTCTGTGCCTGTTTACTTGGGAGGAAGGCCCACCGTGCTCAATAGTGACATAGGCTTGCTCTCTAGTAAGTGTGATTCGGATTGCGCTCCTTGAATTTTTGTTTTTAACTTCTTTTTGGAGGCGGGGGGAGCCTATGAATGAATACAGAAATTGGTGTGGGTGAGAGAGAGATTAGAAGGTGCAGAGTCAGACCTGGTGTTTTTCCTCTCCTGCCCTACCAGTGGTTTAGGATACTCCCTCCCTTGCACACTCCTGCAGGACAGCACATCTTTCTACAAATCTAGTGACAAAGGACTTTCCTGTTCTCCCTTTTCATGCAGAATAATGATTTTTCAGTCATCCAAGTCCTCCCTCTTTCACTTTGCTGTGCTTTTTAAAAGGCAGTCCCTCACCCTCTTCAGGTATCTGCATGGAAGTGAATGGGATTGTGAAATGGTCTATGCAGAGCAGTTTACAGGTTGAGGACCCCTCCCTTGTTTACGCTGCTGCTGCTGCTGTTTTCAGTGGCAGAAAGGAGGCTGTCTAGTGCTGGGTACCTTTCAAGAGACGTAAGGGTTGAGAAACAGAGGATAGGCGCTGCTGCCGCCGCCCCACAGTTCTAAAATTATTTATTAAAAGTGTTGTTTAAAACAAGAACTGCTTGCTGCTGTTTATAAATTGGCCCCACAGATGGTGCTGCAAACAAAGTAATGGATGACCAAGCATCAGATCTGGCAGCACAGAGAGAGGATGCAGAATCATCCTCCTGACTACCCAGAAATTTTATAAGGGAGTGGTGTTCTGTGGATGTTTTTTTCTTGGGGGAGGGGGTTCAGTATAGATCCCTTGGAACAAGTTAAATGCAGCTACCCTGATGAGCTGCAAATGAAAAGGACAGTTGGAAAATAGCTTTTCTAAAGATCTTTAAATTTATGTGAAGACTTGTGCAGTTTTTACCAATGACAAAAATGATTATTTCATGGCAACAGAGCAAGATTTGCAGACTCATGCACTCTGAGGCTGTTTCATAGATCTGCTATGATGTATTAAATTTTTTTGTAAAGACTGCTTTAAATGCCCTTGGGGTATCAAAGGCAATGACACCAGATCAAGGTGACTTCCCCCCCACCCCAAGGGATGGCTTTATAGACAGTTGATTTGTTGCCATAACCTTAAAAAAGGGTGAGGAAAGGAATATGGACGTCATTGGGAGGATGAAAACATAGTAACATGAAGGAGTTCCTATGGAAGGTATAGTTGCTTACAGCGCGATCCCAACTATTTTCTACTTGAAACTAAGACCAATTGAATTCTATGGTGTTTACTCCATTACATAAGATTAGGACTGCAGCCTTAGTGACTAATACACTGAACTTGCATTGTTGCTGTATTAGTTGTACCACATTTGAGACAGTGTGAGGTGCATTAATACAGTGCACTGGCTGTAACTATTGCATAGTGTAAGATAACATTCAACTGAACTTGCAGAGAATAACAGCTTGTTTCTGTATGTGCATTTCTTCAAAAGTGACAGCATCTTTTTATCCTTGCCTTAAAAATAAACCTGTTTCTTTGAAAGATTTATGTGCAAAAAAGATTCTTAGCTAGTTATGAGTAACATAAAATAGTTTGAGTGGGGTCCTATAAGAATAAAGATTAAACAACAGATTTCTAAAAGGAATATGTTCTTCCCGTTGGGAGGCTTAGAGCGGCTATTGCTATATTTGTGCAAGAGCAATTACACCTTCCTTGCTGATATGGATATTCAGTCTGAAATAGCAACAATTGTTGTGGAGATTGGCACCCATAGACACTGTCCCTGGAAGTACCATAACTCCTTATAGACTAGTATGTTATAGCTGTGGGCAGAACTGCAATTTGTTTTTTATGTTACCATGAGGCATAAGCCCTTTTTTGCCACTTTCTGTCTCTAGGAACTTAAAGTATGTGTTTTGTTGTAGCCAACTTTGTGCCTTGTGCTGCTTAGAATAGCTGGGTTTCCATTCTTCCTAATGCATAGTTCTGTCCGACAAAAGCTTAGTTTTATTCATATTGCTACATCTTGTGCTTTTTTCTTTCGGAAACATGTAGTGAAATTCAGGAGTGTGTTGATAGGTCTGTTCAGTCAAATACAGTAGTCCCTCATGACCTTTCTGTGCTTGTCAAGATCATGGCTGGGTTCTGCATTTGCAGATATCCTGCTGCATGTTAAGAATTGTGAAGTGTTTTAGAACAGATGATAAAGCTATCTTCAGGCACATGGACTCCAAATGCTGCTTCTGAAACTTGCATGACAAACTTTTTAGGGAGTAGTGTGTGTGTTTCTCTTTACTTTGACATCACTGCTGGGGTAGTGCATGGGATATATATATAATCTGCAGCAATGTTAGACACTCAGGTATATAATCTAATTGCCCAATGGCACCTTAGACCTAGGTTACAGTTGCCACAATGGAATGTCTCGGCACCGCCCCCCCCTCCAAATTCATGATGGTGATGATTAATTCCATTTCTATACCACTTTAAATTGTAAAGAACAAATCTCAAAGCGGTTTACAACACATTAAAACATCAAATAAAACAATCCAGAATAAATCAAATTCAAGCTTGAAATAAAATATTTCAGATCCTTCTCAAAGTGACATTTTGCTTTCCCCAATCACCAACCTGGCATTAAGAGATCTCTGTGTGACAGCAGTTGGACCCGCACCAGTCACAAAATGTGCCTGGCGCTTGCCTAATTTCTGACATGGACCTGCAGGTGGTAACGGAAGGATAGTAGCATGGTCATATTTTGCTATAGGATTCAAAAACTGCGATCCAAGCTTGTTTAAAACATCCTTTAAGAAGATACGGGGCGTGATGATTCTAATGCAAGATTGCTTTGTCTCTTTTTCCTCCAGAGTTTTCTGTGTGGCAGATACATTTGTTAACCCTGGCGTTAACAGAAGGAGAAGATGAAAGATATCGATCTAGGAAAAGAATATGTTATACCCAGTCCTGGGTATAGAAATGTGAGGGAGAGAGGCAGCCCAGGCCAACATGAAGAACAAGATGGGCTGAATTACCAGCAAGACAAACACAAGGTCAGGAGCTGTGATTTTTGTCTTTTGAGGGGCAGCTTTTGGAACTGCCTAGTTTAGTAGTTTTAATTTTATTACGTCAGCTTCATATTTATAATGAGAACATATGAAGAGCCTGTAGAGCTCCGGAGGGTGGCAATATGAGAACAGGCTTTCTCTGTGGTGGGTTCCCACTTGTGGATTGTTCTCCCCAGGTAGGCTCACTTGGCGCTTTTGTTACATATGTTTAGGCGCCAGGCAGAAACATTCCTCTTCTCTCGGGCCTTTGGCTAATTAAACCCATCTGTGGCCTTTTAAACTGATGTGTTTTATTGGTAATTTTTGTTACTATGTTATGTATTTTTGTGTTTTTATATTGCCATCTGATCCTCAGATGAAGGGTGGTATAAAAACCACTGATTTTATTAAACCACTGATTTAATAAAAACAAACAAGCAAACAGAATTTCACAGTTGCTGTCACAGAAAATATTGTGTGCCAGATTCCAGTAGATTATGTGTCATGCAGTAAAGAGACCTGTGATGAGGATACCCTCTCACAGATCACAGAATTATATAATTGTTAAAAACTTCCAAGGAAGGAGAGTTCTTGGATAGTAGAAACTTTCCCTGTTGTCTGCTTGAATGAAATTGGTGGTTGTCACTGGCTTATTTATATGCTATTATTGGTACTGGTGTATCCAACTGATGGATTTACCTAGTAGAGTCAGATTTGTGTGGCAGCTGCTTTCATTAGTTTTCCCAACTCTTGTTACCCAAGATCTTAAATGGAGGTGCTGTAGATCGAACCTTGTATGTCTTGGTGCTGATGCTTCATCACCTGCTTTTTTTAAAGCAATGCACCCTTCAAATCATACATGCACCTGTGGAATGTCAACCAGTTTGCTCTTGATGTGTGGCAGAAGCGGCTTAGTCATGCTGGCCACATGACCCGGAAGCTGTATGCTGGCTCCCTCAGCCAATAAAGCGAGATGAGTGCCGCAACTCCAGAGTCGGCCACGACTGGACCTAATGGTCAGGGGTCTCTTTACCTTTACCTAGGCTGCTTTGAGATGAGCATATTATTTAGTACCATGAGGATTTCAGTGAGTGTGGTTGTCCTTTCATATTCATAATTATAATGGTAATAGCAAGGGTTTGGAATCCATTTGTGTCCCATGAAGTGTTGAAGTTCTAATAGGCCTTCTGGTTTCTGGAGGCTGTATGTAGCCAGGGGATACTTTTACCTACTGAGGGATGGGTGATTTTTTGAGATCTTCTGTGAAAAGTGCTGGTAAAATGGAAAATCCTTCTTCCTGGGGAAACCCAGCCATATAGGCAGGGTATAAATAATAAAATTATTAATAAAATTATTAATACTTTTTAGAAAAAAGTTCATGATGCAATCATAAGAAAACCAAATTTAACCAGTAAACACTCTTGGCTAATTGTGATTTAGGGGTAGTTTATTCAATGAGAAGAATCAGATTTCATGCAAACAGTCATACATTTCATAGATCACACTATTGACTCTTCATTGTACACATTTTATGATATTCTAGCCGTTGCGTTAAAAAAACCCTGTATTTTAATTAGGAAATAGGGTTTTACATAAATAATAAAATTGCCCCGGAAATTGTCTGCTGTCATTCTGCTGCTCTCCCGCTGTTCTTGCAATGTGTGCAGTCTAGGTTGGGGAAGAAAATCCAATTATTTTTGGAAAGTATGGGAGGCCTAGTAATTTTGACAGAGATGGATACTTTGCTTTGCAACCAGATGCATAAACAACAGCAACAAACCAATACTCTGGGAAACTTTGGAAAAGGGCAATGTTAACAGAAAGCCGCTTATTATTGCATAACATGATTGGCATGTTGCGTACCTAGCTTTTACCTTTTACCTTACCTAGTTATGGCAGCTCTGTGCATGAGAGTACCTATTTTTACATGATAGAAAATACTATACCCAAACACATTGAGTCTTGTTAGTGGGAGCCCTCCTGCGCCCCAGCTGAGCCATAGAAAAAGGCTGTGTTGTCCCAGCCTGCTAGGTGCTGGGGTGAAACCGCCTCAGCTCTTGCGGCAATTTCACCCAGGGCCTTGCAGGCTGAGGCCAATGCAGCTTGTTTGGCTGGTGATACACTGCCATTGTTGTAAACAAAAATTGCCCTTTTCCCTTATGGGGTATTCAAGAGCCCATATAGAGTCCTTACATAGGTTCCCTATTGGTAGGAGAAGATAACAGAGGCCAACCAGAGAATATTGAGAAGCAAAGCAGCTAGTAAGCTTGATCTTTATGGATCTGTTGCAACAGGGTGCTCCCCTCAACCGCAGGAGAGAGGAGGAACCCAGGAAAATGGCGCGCAAGGCCTTATAAAGACTTTTGAAATCGCCACCCTTTAGATCAAGACCACCCCCAGAAACATCCTACATACATCACAGAAGGGGTGTAACCTAAGACCACCCCTCAGATACATCATACCTACATCACAGAAAAGTCGGTCTTAAAACAGAAATTTGAATGTTGTTTTTCTCCTGTCGTTGTTTATCTCCTGTCTGGCAGGTTACTTGATTGGATTTCCTGGGCAGCCTGGCCAGTCTTTTGTAATGATAAATACTTAGTTCCTGGGCCATGTCACAGGCTCACACCCTATTCATATCTTAAATGTGCCCTTAAGACAGGATTTGTGAGGAAAGAGACAATGGGGAGGTTTCCCACTTTGACCTTGCAGAGAAAACATTTGCTCAGTTTAGGAATCAAAATGGTTCCAGGTTGGTCTTCCTGTGCTGATCTATGTACATGCTTGGTTAGTACATTTATGAACATTTCCATATATATCTAAGACCATAAAATTCCTATCACACCATGTTGAAATGCTGAATATGTTTGAAATGTTTGAAGTGTTGAATATTGCCCAGCCCTATAACACTCTTACTGTGATGTGAACTGAGCCAGGGCTGCATCTTCTTTTCTGTTGCATCTGATGAAGATGCAGCTCTGTCCCATGAAAGCTTATGCTGCAATATATATGGTGCTTTTGTGCTGCTGCTCCTGCCCCCAAATGAAGGAATGTGTTCAAGTGAGTTAATGGAAAACTCCCCATGCCCTTGTTTTTTTAAGCAGGTGCCCCATAAGAGCTTGGAACCTCAAAGACTGCGCTGTGGGCCATAGTTTCAAGTGCCGTGTCAGCTCTTAGCTTCTCCTTAATGCTATAGGCTTCCTGCTGTTGTTTGTGACTCAGCAGAATATTGCTCTCATTGTTAGGGGAAGTTAAAATGCCTGTGTTCAAATGCTGGTGGTGACCTTTCACTAAGCTGGTTCCACTGGTATAATCCGGAATCCAATAGTAGCACTTAACTGGCACATTTCTGGTGACAACAGTGTTTCTATAGACAGGCATCATTCTCTTTAAACTACAAGGATTTGAGAGCATTGCAGCCACTGTAGTCTGATAGCTCTTCAGATTAGTTTATGTCCTAGCTTGGGTTTATGCATTGTGTAACATTCTCAGCAAAGAAGCTTGAAGCAGCTAGGGGTAGTTGCCTGTGGACTGTGCAGCTAATGTAGCATATTTTTAATGTTCTCTGCTCTCCTTGGAGGCTTCCTTTATCATACTCTGGCCAATTGAACATGGGTCTGTTAAGTATCTGCGAACAATGTTTGTGAAATTGTGGAGGAAAGAGTTTAAAAAGAAGGTGTCGAAAGCATGCATAATACAATATCCATTTCTGGATACACACATCAAGAGAGCTGCAATTGTGTTGCAAAAATGGGCTGAGCCAAACATTTATCAAAATCAAAATTAGGGGGTTGTATCCAACAGGGCTTGCCCTACTTTCTTCTGTGTCCTCCTCCCTATTTGCTCCAGAGCGTCTCCCAGCATTTTGGAGCCAATTTTGCGGGTGTGTGAGGGCATCAGAGGAGACTGAGTTTCTTTGGATTTAAACTGATCTGGGGCTATTTTTTACTCCCCTTCAACTAACTGCCTTTCCACTCAACCCAGAAACAGAGAGTTTTGTGGCCCTGTTAAAGTTTAAAAAGTGAAAGGATTATCCAGTGGAGTGGGCGGAAATATCCTCTTGGAATCAGCAATGAAATTTATAAATTTAGCTGGTCTGCTTGTGTCCTTTCCACTTCACAGTGTAGGCTACACAGCCTTTTGTCATCATTCATGCTTGGAAAAATGTTGGGCCATGACAGTATGCTCTCCCACACTTTATGTTCCTTGTGTTCAGAATGATTCACAAGTAGCATTTTCTTGCCTGAAACAAGACAGGAAATCAGTCTTGCTATGACCTGCTGTCATTCTGGAGTTTTCATTTGAGCTCTCAAAGTCTGTGCAGCAACAGGAAAAAAGAGGCTAATCCACATAATGAAATATTAGAAAAGAGATTAAAAACAGACAGTATCATAATGCTGTCTTATAAATCTGGGGAATGCTGTCTCTCGAATGCTGTGTATACTTCTGATGGTCCTAATTAATTATGTTGGTTCTAAATACTGTATTTCTCACACCTGTCCATTTTCCATTGGGGTACCTTATTACCAATTTATTTCCCCTTGATGTTTGCAGTTCGGTATATAAAACTTACAAAGCTATTCTTATAGAATTATTTTTATTCCTACCCTCACACAACACTTGACCTTCTGTTTTCAGTTTTCTATTGTGTTAGACTCTCGATAAATAAAACTGCAGCGTGAGAGGCAGCTTCGTGCCCCCCACATGGCAATGCCATATAATCACTGGCTTGCCTCTGCTTCATAGCACTCCTGGATTGCTCTTACCAATGCAATTTCTGTCATCTGCCTAGCCTCCCCTTCGAAGCTATCCTGTTAACTCCTTAACAATATATATCTAAGTTCCTCTTTTCTTGCAGAACTATTGTTCATGCCCTCTTCTTTTTGAGGGTGTTTGGTCTGTACTTGCCTTCTCTTTTCTCCTCCCAGCTGTGCCAGGCAGCCACTAGGCGGGTCTTGTTGTTTTCTGTCATTGCAATTCAGGCCCCTCCTGTGTCCTTGCAGCCTAGCCTTCAGATGCCCTTGGTGGACAGAAGGCATTTCTGCATCCCATGGAGTAGACATGGGAAATGTTGCAATAGTGCGCCCTTTCACATTCTTTCTTTTTATTTTTTTAAAAACCAAACCCAAAACTTGGCTGTGGCCCTCGTTGAAAAACAAAAGTATTAAATTGTCACTTGAAATAATGAAGGGCCTTGCTAGAAGGATAAAAGACATGTAGAAACAAAGTTGCTGAAGTGATCAAACTCTTGCTATTCTTTCCTCCAGGCTACATGTTTTTTGTAATTTATTGCAACTAAGCCTTTTTAACACCTTGCTTGGCAAGGAAGTCCACAAATCACACAGTGTGAGGAGAGACTGTGCAAGGAACACATTATGTAAATGTGCTGAATTGAGTAACTATTTGTGAGAGTTGTATTCATATTTTACATCAGTGGTTTTAGGGAAGCATGTTGCTGAAGAACCCTAGAAGCTTTGGTTATGTTAGGCAAATATTTAAACTAGGTTAAAATGATGGAGCTTTGCATAACGATGTGACAGTCTCTTTACAGCAGCCTTCCTCAACCTGGTGCCCATCAGATGTTTTGGGCTGCAACTCTCATCAGCTCCAGCCAGCATGGCCAGCAGTTAGACATGAAGGGAGCTGTAGTTCGAAGCATCTGGAGGGCAGGATGTTATGCTGCATGAATGTGTTGCTCTCTGCTGTCTTGACTTCTCAATAATTAGAGGACCCAAATACTCCTAGAGTTGTGATAAGTTGCGCACCCTGACCCCAACCCCTGATCTGCGAAGAACAGCCCTGCATAACATTATTGATTGTTAAATTTCACTGTGCTTCTGGCAGACGCATTGCTGTTCTTTTCATTATTCTTAACTGCAGGGACAAATAGTGAGCCAGAAACTTAATTGTGTGACTGTAGAAGTGCAAATAAGTTGGTACTTAATCCAGTTTGGTGAAGCTCCTGCTAATTCTCTGCAAACAAGGAGTAAAATGGACTGGATTCTCTGTACTCTGGCTGATGAAAACTAAATATTCAGAAAAGATTGTAATGTTCTCTTTGAGTTGCATTTCATTAAAAAATATCAGTAGAGCTTTTGGATTACACAGCTAAGTAATTCAGGGAGGAAATGCAAGTTGCTCTTGTGGGCAGCCAAAACTCTGTTCTTAGAGTGTATTAAGTTAATTGTAGAAATAATGTAATAATTAAACAAACAATGCATAATTCAGTCTTGTCAGCAACTATGAGGGCACTAAAGCGCTAGCTGCAGCTGTACCCTTCCATAATGCAGAATCCTTGTAAAATAATTTTTTTAAGATAGATTGTGGTTTTTTCCCACCACCATCCAGAGATTATACATTGCCATATATATGTATATTGTGAGCTGCACTGAACCTCAGCCTTGTGTACTCCCCCCTCCCTGGCTGTGAGGAAGAGATCAGAACCTTCTAGTTCCATTTTAGTTTAACTACAGTTTAACATTGCGTCCAAACACTAAGTTGTTGTTAATCTTAATCAAAGTTTGCTAAGACCGTTACTTAATGGTTTGGAGTTGTCTTCTTTCAGCAAACCATAAGTTAACGACAGTTTATGTGGTTCTAGGTGGCAAGATGTGGGTAATCTTAAAGGGTGATGGGGGCAGGGCTAGGAGCATATGAGTCCAGGGTTGCAGGTTCTGAATATTTTTACGGTGCAAATACATGCTTAGGAGGTGCATGCCATTTATACACTTTAAAATGGAAGAATTGCAGGGGTAGATGCTCTTTTTCTGCATGGTCCCCCACCCGCTCCACCGTGGCTTGAAGACTAAAGGAACACTATTCATACCTGCATTAATGGCCTGTGACGCCTTGAAGTAAGGATGAGAAATGCGCTTGTAGCTGTGTAGTAATTGTGCATTATGCTGTCGTGGCCCAGAAATGTTTAAGGATTGATGTAGTACTTCCAGGTAGAAGAGCTCCTTTACATTATTTTAGGCTCTTTTTTAGTTGACTTTGTGACATGACTGGGGGAAGTAATTTATTTTATTTATTAAAGTACTGTACAGTCGTACCTTGGATCTCATACACCTTGGCTCCTGAACAAATCGGCTCCCAAACGGTCGAAACCTGGAAGTGAGTGTTCTGGTTTTCGAACGATTTTCGGAAGCGGAAAGGCCGGAGCAGCTCCTGCAGCCAATTGGAAACCATGCCTTGGTTTTCAAATGGTTCCAGAAGTCGAACAGACTCCCGGAACGCATGCTGTTCGAGAACCAAGGTACGACTGTATTTACATACCACCTATTTGGGAATCTCAGGGCAGTTTAGAACAAGATAAGAAAATATACTAACATTAAAATACAGTAAAATAAACAGGCATACAATAAAAATATTGTTTCACGCCATCCCAATCCCCAAGCATTGTAAGATTCTGGGGGTTCCAGGTGCTTACCCAGAGTTCATGTTTTGTTCAGAATGAGACACAGTGGAGACTTGGTGTCTTTATGATATATGGTTTATTTACAGATATATACAACACACATACACACATGTATATGTACATATGTATATGCATATACGTACGTACACACACACCCCAAGGGAAAATCCATACCCACTGCCTTGTGGAACATCTTTGGGAGAAAAAAACTAAGGAGTAAACCCTACACAGATCCATTTTAATTTGTTGGAAGCTACCCAGATAGGTTGGGGCAACCCAGTCAGCTGGGTGGCATATAAATAATGAATTATTACTATTACCGCTACTACTATTACTGCCACCAGCCTCTGCAGCCACAGCAGGTGTTGTGATTCTTCATTGGTTTGGCTTCAGCCCCAGAGGCGCACTCCATTGTCTCTTGAGACAGGTGATTGTCAACAATACAAGCTGATCCTATGACTGAGGGGTTCACAGCATTAACACCCTAAGAGGATATTGCTTCTCCCATCACCACAGCCTTAGATTCCAGGAGAAGTCAGACATGGTGCACTCTCTCTATCTCTCTTTCTCTGTGCCTTTCCAGATTATAGCTTTTGCTTCCAGATCATAGCTCACATAATTCAACAGTCAACTCTGGCCTTTTGTGTTTCTAACTCACAGACAGTTGAGGGAGAGAAGCCCATGCACTTGCTCTCTGGCATGGAGCCACTCCCTATGTTCCCTTAAAGGACCCATATTTGGTGAGCCATTATCCCAGACCAGGCAATACATGGATTAATTTAACTATTGTTGTTGGCATCAGTCTGTCTTGAAATACAATGGAGTGTGCCTCTGGGGGTGAAGTCAGATTGCTGCATTAGCAACACCATAGTGACCTCCCCAGGGCGGCAGCATGGGCAGTGTGTGTTTGGAGGTCCTGGGCTGCCCAGACAAAAGACCCCTCTCTTGGCTTTGCTGATGTGTTCCAAAGGAAAGTAGAGCAATACGTTTGACACCAGCTGGGTTGCAGGAGTTGCATTTAAGGCATACAGTGGCACCTCGGGATGCGAACGGGATCCATTCCAGAGCCCCATTCGCATCCTGAACAGAACGTAAGACACAACGGTGCGTGCGCGGGTCGCATTTTGCCACTTCCATACATGCGCGTGGCGGCATTTTGAGCATTTGCGCATGCGCAAGAGGCAAAACCCGGAAGTAACGCGCTCTGTTACTTCTGGGTTGCCGCGGAGCGCAACCCGAAAGCGCTCAACCTGAAGCACATTCAACCCGAGGTATGACTGTATAAGGCACTATCAAACCATTTTAGGGTTCCTTCACAGATTAATATCTTCATAGGTTTTCTTTTAAAAAAAACTTCCTAGAAAACCCTGTAAACCAGTTAGAGGTGCTTGCAGCTTTCTCTTATCTGCGTCAGTCATTGAAATGAAATATGTACTGTAATGTAATTTTTCTTTCCGGAAGCAATACCTGTTTAGGTTAGCTACAGTTAACCACCTGCACCACCACTTTTCTCTTATGCAGAGCTACATCTATAGAGTATAGTACGTTATTGGCTGTTTTATTTCATGAGTGCGCGCTCTCTCTCTCTCTCTCTCTCTCTTTTCCCCACCTTCTTAGTACGGTTTCAGAAAATGAACAGCTATAAAGGCCTTGTGATTTTCAAATCACATGTAATAGCTTCATGTGTGGGATTATAGAGGATGATAGGATTTTCAATTACTGTGTCTCGTGGGAGCTCTGAGGCAAACTGGAGAAGGTTTTTGAAAAGTTAATCAGGGCTTGAGTAATTCACTTGAGGCTATGCTATTGCAAGTCACATTTGTGTGTCAACTGGGCTACAAGATGAAGATGCAAAATAACATCTTCGTTATGTACTAGAGAGGCTGGTGCTTTGAGCAGAGCAGTGGCCAGGAAAATTTCAAATACTTGCCATGTTGCTGAGTGATGATGCAGAGTTATTCTTCTGAAGAAAAGAATGGCATGTTCTGACACCTTAACTCTCTTCAGCTCAATTTGTATTCTGTACCACATAGGTACTAGTCAAAGGTTGTGTCATACACCACCAATTGTTTAATTATATATTGGAGATTAGATTATACTATTGTTCTGTTAGATTATACTGTTAGATTCTCCTGTCTGTAAAAAGTCATTAAGTCATCTGTCTTGTAAGAAAGTAAAATTATGAAGCACATCTTTAAAGTACATTATTAAAAAAAGAATCTGTAAAGTATTGGGTATTCTTGTTGCTAGCAGCTTCATGTGGTATTTTAGCTTTGTGGCATTCTTGTAAGTTAATTAGTGACTTGCCCAATCCCACTTCAAGAATCAGTGGACTGGGTTTCCTACATCCTAACTGAACACTCCTCTCTCTGTCACACGTTTGATATCTACAGATTTCCCTGTTTGAAAAAGTGAGTTTTGATAAATTAAAAAAACCTGACAATTGGTGTTTGCTATTTAATTTCAGGAGTGGTATTCTAGGCCAAGGAACAATAACAGCTGGACTTAGCTTTGCCTTATTAAGGGCATCCTTTGTTGCTAGGCCTAACTTGACTACCTTAATACAGTATAGACTATGTAATGCAGCTCATGGTTTGTGATTGTTTGTGTAGAAAGGATACAGTTTCTGGGCCTCCAGAGCTTGGTAGTATATGCAATAACTTCTCCTTCCTTTTGAAGAATAAATACTTTTTTTCCAAGTTGCATGCAGGTAGGAAGGAATTGTTGTTTCTTTAAGAGTCATGACTTTGACTTTTGTAGGACAAATGGATAAAGTTATGGAAACTTTGGTGCGTACATAGCAAATGTCTCTCTCCTAATGAGCAATCAGAATTTCTCCAGATTGGAGGATTTGGAATTGTTTGAGAAATGAAGTGAAAGCTTTTTGTTATTTTGAACTCCCTGATGAATTGGGGTTGGCACAGATCAATGAAATGGGTTTGCATGACACAGAATATCCTTTTCAAATTATCCAAAGCAAGCAAGTTAGAAATTCATTTTTGAAAAGCTGCTCTGGGGTGGGTGGAGAAACCACATTAATTTGCAGCTTTAACTAAATGGTGTCGCACCTGTTTCATCCAGTGTTTTGAAATTACTAACTTTGGTTTCTAACAGGATCTTGTGAAAACTATTCTGGGTGTATTCACTGGGTGTTGCAAGAAAGAAGCAAATCAGATATAGCAGTGTACCAGATGAGAACTATTTTCATCAGTCAGGAAAGGCAGGCAAGGAAGGATGGGTCTATCAGTGGCTATTAACCATAACAACAAAATGGAACTTCAATTTTCAGACGCATGCAACAGGAGTGAGTGAGGTCAAGGAAAAATCCTGGCAGGACGTATAGAAGTCCTGGCTCCAGCTTGCTGGAAGCACCACAAAAGACCTTGTTTTGTTTCTTATCCTAGAACTGGCATTGCCTTTTCTTAATGCTCTATAAATTCTCTAATAATAATAATAATAATAAGTAGTAGTAGTAGTAGTAGTTATGGTATCTCCCCCTGGAAAGCTGGAATTCTGTAGATTCTACATATGCCACTGGATTAGGTGGTGGAGGGCTGTGTTGTAGCTATGTAGATTTCAATTCCCCAGGCAATATGGTGCCCCATGACTCAGACCCATAGGAGAAATGTCGCTTGAGGGATTATATTGCTTGAGGGATTATAATTTAAATGCAAACAACTGGTGGTCTTCAGAGCATTTCTCTGAGGGATATGATGCAGTCTGCCAGTCACCAGATATTCAGTCAGAGGAGAAGATAAAAGATGATCTGATGCCATTCCCTCCAGCAAAGAGCAATCCTGTGGTTTTCCTATTGTAGATGGGAATGCACTAGCCCCCATCAAGCAGGGCCATGGGATTGCTTGGAATACAGGAAGCTGACTGATACAGTTTCAAACCTCTAGCCCATCTAGTTCAGCATTGTCAGCACTGACTGGCAGTGCCTAGCCATGGTTTCTAGATGGAGTCTTTCCCACTTTTACCTGGAGGTGTCAGAGATTGAAGTGGGATATGCAAAGTATGTGCTCTGCCATTCTGCTAGGATCCTTAAGATATGAAATGGACTGAGGCAGAAATAATGCTTTTTAATCCAATTTATTTGCATTCTATTTTCTCCTGTCAAGCCGTTTGAATTCCAAGATGCATTGGAAACAGCTGCTCGGGCAGAAGGTCTTCCATTAGATGTCCCAACAAATTCTCACTTGGGCGTATTGGATAAGGGCCACCACAGAGGAAAATATCACCATGGCTTGAACTTGATGAAACCTATCCGGACTACTTCAAAGTAAGACTTTGTGTATTAAACTACAGACACAGCTGACATGAAAATAGAAGTGTTTACAGGTGATAGAAGCATGCTTGTTGGAAAAATAGCAACTTTGATTTTAAAAAGTGAGTTCCCACTCATACAGACAGCTAAGCTTTCTAAGAAAAAGTGGCAGCCACCATCTTGAATAATTAAATGTCTTATTTTATTTCTGAAAGCTGTAGTGTGTTTCATGCTTTTGGTTTTGTTATAATATCTCTTCTCCTCTAATTATAGACATCGACATCCAATAGACAATGCCGGACTTTTCTCCTATTTGACATTCTCTTGGCTTACTCCTCTGGCACGAACAGCCTATAAGAAAGGAGAACTGTTCACAGAAGATGTATGGTCCTTATCAACCCATGAGTCATCAGAGGTTAACTGCAGAAGGTATGTTTTTGCTATGTTGTCTCTAAAAAGGTTTGCCTTCCTTGGGATAGCCTACTGTAAGATGTTGTGTCAGGTGGTGATTGAAGGCTGTTCTGACTACTTCTTTCTGGAAATTTCTCCCATCTGTTTTCTTTGTCTTTTTCCTCGCCTTCAGAAATGAACTGAAGACCATTTTGTGTGTGTGTCCTAATTAAGGGCTATGCCAGTGGCTCCCCTTTGGATCTTCTTCTTTCTCCTTCTTTCTCTATTAAATATTTCCCATTTAGTTCATGTTATTTGATGTTGAAGAAAATGGAGATGAGACTCCTTACATCTGTATTTTGTGTTGTTCCAGGCTGGAAAGATTGTGGCAGCGAGAACTGCAGGAACGTGGGCCAGATGATGCCTCTCTCCGAAGGGTCGTATGGGTCTTCTGTCGCACTAGGCTCATCATTTCCATAGTGTGCTTGATGGTCACACAACTTGCTGGCTTCAGTGGACCAGTAAGTACTATCCACCCTTTGTCTAACATCCAGAGTGGGCTCCATCCCATGGCCAGTGCTAATGTATTCCAAGTTCTTGCAGAGGATCTTCGAAATGTTTTGATTAGATAGAAATATGCCTTGCAGTTTGCAGAAAATGAATAAGTCTTTTCAGAATGCTACGGGAATCTTAAAGCTTTCAAACTGTTCTGTGTGTATGTGGCGGTTTTTATTGTTTGTACCAGGTGGCTGGATACGGGAGGGTGATGAATTTTGGGAGAAAGCAGCAAAGCAGTCCTTTGTTAGGTCACTTGCTTTGAGTGCTCTCTGCAAGAAATGGAATGGAGTGCTGGTACTAAATCACTTCTTAAGATCTGTAGGAAACAGGGCTCAGAGGATTCTCCAGAGCTAGTGTTGTTCGACTTCTTTGAAAAGGCAGTCGGGTAGGTTATCCTTCTGGTGGCATGATTGGAAGACTGTAGCTGCTACTTGTAGGTGGTAATGAAGATGGAGCATGTAGGACTTGACATTCACAGCATTTTTTTTTGTCGCCTGTTTGTTGCACGTGCTGTGCAAGATTTACTCTTTAACATCTTGACTAAATCTATTCTCTACAAATTTCCCTTGAGGAGTAGGAGCAGTGTTATTGCTTGTAGTACACATTTCAGTGTGCTGTTAAGCGGGATGGTTCAATGCTTGGGTAAGTACAGCTGAGGTTAATGTTAAAAACAGTCTTGTCTTTTGTCTCTCTCTTTTTAAAAATTTCCAAACCCCACGCATTTTCTTAAATCTCGAAAGTTTTCTTGTGTTCCTTGTTAAGAAGGGAGTAAGTAGTTTTTCTTGGTTTTCTTTGTTCTGTTTTGTTTGTTAATAGCTGGTGGTGGAACTTTGAATCACTTGCAAGTGGCTTTATTTGATAATGCTTTTAATTGCCAGTAAGAATGAGGTTTAATCAGAACAAGCTTCCCCCAAGAAGAGCTTCTGTCATTGTTTCACTACAGGGCCCTGTGGATGCTCTTACCTCTAGCATAGAGTCGGTAGCAGAGTTGTCCCTTATGTCTTTGGACTACATGATTCCAATCTATCGAACCCAAACTGCAAGACAGGAAGAAACTGAATAGAATAGCTCCCGTTGCTCGGTCCCAGCGCCTGCCAACCTAGCAGTTCGAAAGCACCCCCGGGTGCAAGTAGATAAATAGGGACCGCTTACTAGCGGGAAGGTAAACGGCGTTTCCGTGTGCTGCGCTGGCTCTCCAGATGCAGCTTGTCACGCTGGCCACGTGACCCGGAAGTGTCTTCGGACAGCGCTGGCCCCCGGCCTTTTAAGCGAGATGGGCGCGCAACCCCAGAGTCTGACACGACTGGCCCGTACGGGCAGGGGTACCTTTACCTTTACCTAATCTGTGCACATCCTCCATTACTCAGTAACCTATGTTCTCTGAATGAAGAACTCTATTAATTGACTTTGTTGTCTGGAACAAGAGAGGAATCCTTACTACCTCACTACTTTGAAACCTAATTGCTGTTCATGCTGAAATATCAGTGTTTTTTGTTTTTAAATCTTTTCATGTGAGAGTGGTGCTTGAAAACAGAACACCCAAATTACCCTTTTGTATTGCTAAGTAAAGATGAGCCATTTTTGCAAATTGCCATTCTCAGGAGTAAACATGGTATGCTAATGGGAAGCAGCAGTTCTTAAAATTCTTAAACATAGAGGTGTTACTGTCCATAAGTTCCTTGTATATCCAAATGTGCAATAGTCTGCCCCCTCCCCCTTTAAAGTATATTTTGTAAAAATTTCTTTCCTGGCACTGTTTTCAGACTCATGTTAACCCTTCATCCAGTTGAGACAACATGGGTTTGTCTAATGCCTGTAGAGCTCAGAATGAGATGTAACTTTTAAAAATATGTTCTATTGTGGGGGCTGCTAAGCATTTCATGTTCAGGTTTGCTCAGTCCTGCCAAAGGTATTAAATTTGGGTTTGGATGATGCTCAGAAGCAGTTTTTACTCTTTGGAAGAACAGCAAAAGTTCCTGCTGCAGTGAAGTGCAGTTTGAGTCCTCATTTAGTTTTTGAAGAAGGTGTATTGTGGGGTGTGGGGAGGGGGGTTGGTTGGAACGGGGAGCTATTTGAGGTAAGCCTCCAACTCTTCCAGTTCAACTCCAGCCACAGCTTCCTTTGTGCTGTAAAAGCTGGATGCAGCTGGGGGGGATTTTTCTCTGTAGTGGAACCAATGACAGAAGCTGTTCTTTAGAATTTCCAGGATGGCTGTATTCTGCGATCAGAATGAGACAGTCAAGCTGGGCAGAATCCAACGCCAAGATGAAAGGTAAGGTGACGTTTATTCATGGGAATGCTTAAGATAGTCAGGCAGCTAAGGGCAGCTATTTCCATGATAGTTTTCAGAAGTAATTTCCCATACCTCTGCTAGTTTTGGTAGCTATAATTTTTGTACAGTTTTATATGATGGTATTCTCTTCATTGCTTTAACCAAAAACAATGTTATAAGATTGAAAATGTTGTCATTTTCCCTCTTAATATTGCTATAACAACTTCCTTCAAATCTTAAAAAAGTGTAAGCAACATTTCTTATTCTACACTGGAGTTTCTGATTTCGTGTGCAATAAAAAGGAACACTCTAAATTAGAGAAGAAGAGAATTCCTTCTGATGTTGCACATGCTCTGCTAGAGACTTTTTTCCCTGTACCACACCTGTCAGTGTGTTGTAAGGTTTTGGCTCAGGAGTTATTGGCTCTTCCACTGACTCAGCTGCCTTTGTAGGATTGAATGCTAGGAAAGAACCAAATACCTTCTTGCTTAAGTAACACCAAACCAGCTGCATAGCCTGCTATGTCTTGAACATGAAGGATGTAAAGCAAGGCCAATGGAGGAGAAAGCCGGCTTACATAACCTTGAAACATGAGCTGTTGCACTTTGATCAGGAATTTGTATAAGGCTCTCTTTTTGTGCTTTTAATGGTCACTTTGGGAACATGATGGACACCTGGCTCTTAACATGTGCACATGGAAGTGCATGGGAGAAATGCTATACAGTTGAGTTCTCGATTATGACATTCAGAGTTGACTACCTCAGGACTCACGTGCTTGTTCTGCCTCCATTTTTTAATCTGTCACTTGATGCTGGGCTTTAGCAGCTATTACCTTTGCTTGAAGCAGTGTGCGTTCGTTTCCCATCCATTCTTGTGTTGCACAGAACTCTGATTTGCAAACCTTAGTTTAGTCAAGAGGACTTCCTGCGGACTCTGAAAGCCTTCCCAAACCGCTGCCTTGGTTTCAGATTTTTGTGGTTGGCAAAGGTACTTCAGCTCTGATTAAAGAACCCTAAACACCAGCATCTGTAGGCATCGTTGAAAAAGTCCGACTGGGAAGCCTTATTGTAGTAGAGCTCTGTTAAACCAATCACGAAAGCCCACCTGGCCTTGGAAGTCTTCCTGACTAGCCGCACAAGTTTCGCTATTCCTCGGACTTTGTGAACAAATACTGGCTCTGCTTTTTCATGTATCGTTTAAATTCTGTGTGTACGTGAAGTTTTAACTTGGTTTTGTGTCGGAAGCCAGACTGTATGTTGGATTCAGGCCTTGTATAACTTTTCCTTGTGTGTGCAGATTTGTATGTTTTCCACAGCACCTTTCTTTTCTTTTCTTTTGTACAGTGTTTGTGAGATGTTTTTATCCATTTTAATATGGTGGTACTTTACAAAATAATAATAAAGTTACTGCTTCCATTTATTAGTACTTAATATTGCGATGAACGTGAGTTGTGTACTGCACTGTGCCCCTTGGTCAACACACGCGATGGGGGACTCGTGCTTTGGTGCTGTTTCCCTCTCTCTTTGCAGGTGGTGTTTGAAATGTGATTGCCGAGGTAAAATTGTTTTTGTCTTTTGAGGGGGGAGGCCGGGGTGGAGTGGGAGAAGGGTTGCGTTTTTTTTTAAATTGTTGCTATCGCCTTTTTTATTTTCTTGCTTGTCCTTTTCTTTACTATTAAACTGCTGATGTTTATTTTCAGGAATGTTTTGCAAAATGTCCTTCTCACACTCTTCCCCAGTTCAACTGTAGGTACATTTGTTCCTTTTTATCAAATAAGCACGTTTGAAACAAAGAAATAAAACAGGTCTTAATGTCATGTGTATATCTTTTATTTTTTATTTTTAAAAAAGATGTGCTCAGTTTTTGCATAAGTACAGATTACTATAAAGAATATGATGATGGATTGCTTTCAGCTAACTGACAGATTTATGTTAAGTTAGATTACCTCAAGGAGCAGGATTTTCTTATAAACCATTGAAAAATTCCAAATTATTTCACTTGCGGAATTTTAACTTTACTGCTTGTTTTCAGCATGGATTATTTAATAGCTGTGGTTCCAAAGACTTCCAATCAACAATACATGTTTCTTACTGGAAATGAAGTAGCTCCTTATTTCTAACTTAACATAAAACAATTAAATGGTTCCTCTGGCACATTGAGGTGTTCATGCATGTTTGCATTTCTCCCTGTAGGCCTTTGTTGTGAAACACCTCCTTGAATACACGCAGCAAACGGAGCCCAATCTGCAGTACAGCCTCTTGTTAGTTTTTGGCCTCTTAATGACAGAGATAGTGCGCTCCTGGTCCTTGGCTTTAACCTGGGCTTTAAATTACCGCACTGGGGTCAGACTGCGCGGAGCTATCCTTACCATGGCTTTTAAGAAAATACTCAAGCTGAAAAATATCAAGGAAAAGTCTTTGGGAGAGGTAAGCTGAAATGCATCCTTTTGCCATTGCAAAAAACAAAAATACCTGGGGGCGGGTGGTGTGGGGATGCCCCCACATACTCAGAGTAACCTGCAGTTCGAGTCAAGCAGATGCAACCCCCAGCTAGACAGTTAACTCAGGCAAGCAGTTTATGCAGAGGGCTCTGTGTGTTCCCCTCCATAGCCTTAACCTGTCCCAAGTGCCTTCTGATAACATGCTGTTTAGTCATTATCTGAACTAGTCCTGGTTAAAGTAAAGCCAGGAAGAATAACAAGACTTCTGAAGGTGGGAAGCAAAAATGATCCTCTGTGCTTGCTTCAAGGAGTGTTTATCTGCAAGTGCCTTTGCTCTTGCATTTCATCTTAATTGGCTTGGCGTGGGGTAGGGGCAGACTTACCTGGAAGGCCAGCATCACCCATATGAATCTCTCCAAGCTATACGGTTGGCCCTTCCTGGCCATACAATTGATGGATATCAAGTGCAGGGCTTCTTCTGCAGTGGTACTCAAATGTGGAATTCCCTTGCTGGGGAGTTTTCTTTCCGCACCTTTGGATCTGAATAGTCATTTGGAGTTTCTTTCTTGCCGTATTGCTCCATAGCTGCCTTTTAGTGTTCAATTTTATTGACTGGTAATTTTTTTAAAAAACAAAATGAATTTTTTAAAAAATGATATTTATTAAAGTTTCAAAAAAGGTTACAGAAATAGAAAAAAGAAAATAGTTTCATCTAAGGCAGCTATGCTTACCACTTAAATGAATTAAATTGTTGTACACTGCTTTGAATGCACATGTGCAGAAAAGCTACCTGTAAATAATAGGAGTTAAATCTTCTGAGGATTATGTGCGTCTCTTCTCCCTGGTCATCTTTCATTTCCATTGTGTTTCAGCTCATAAACATGTGTTCTAATGATGGACAGAGAATGTATGAGGCGACAGCAGTGGGTAGCTTGTTGGCTGGAGGTCCTATCGTTGCTATTCTTGGCATGGTTTATAACGTCATCATACTGGGACCAACAGGTTTTTTGGGATCAGCAGTCTTCATTCTCTTCTACCCAGCAATGGTGAGTAGGTGCCTATCTGCCTATGAGCTGAAGGTGTATTTAGGAAGGAAAGGTCAGAAAGTCTGCTTCAATCAAATGTGATGCATTTTTTTATATGAGTAGCACTTCCTTTGTGTAAAGGAAAAAGCGTGTCAGCTGCATGTTGGTGGTCGCATATGAAGGTCAAACACTGATCTTCTTTGCTAGATGATACACAGAAATAAGGATCAATTACAGTTGTGGTAAATCTGCAAAGAAGTCAACCACACAAATAGATAAGGCTCCCAATGCTTTTTGATGAAACTATTTAGGGAAATTTCTGTAAAGTCTAAAAACATACATTTTTAAAAAAATACTCCATGTAATATATTTAGTAAATACACACTATATAATGTTAATCATATTGCACACAGTACATCACATACAATATCTTAACAGTGTTTTAAAACTACTACAATGACTGACATATAAAAACGTAACCCAAAATTGTTTTCTAAAAAAACCCAGTCTTCTGAATAATATTACTGCATTTAAAAAGTTGTAGCTTTAAGCAAGAGAAATGAAATGTGGTTTGTTCGTGGCAGACTTTGTTATTTCCTTTTAATGCTCCCTGCCACTTATCCAGTGTCTGGATGCTTTCAGATAGCCTTCCTTCTTGGGCAGCAAGACCCCTAGAGATGAGAAAACCACCATTAAGTCACCTTGCACAGCCCTGGTGAACTTCGATTAATATGTGTTGTTTGTTGTTAAAGGTGATCCTACTGTGTCTGCTCTTGGGTTTTATGGTGCCTCTTTTCATTGCAGATGTTTGCATCCCGCCTCACAGCTTATTTCAGAAGGCAGTGTGTGTCTGTAACCGATGAGCGTGTCCAGAAAATGAATGAAGTTCTTAATTACATTAAGTTCATTAAAATGTATGCCTGGGTCAAAGCCTTCTCTCAGAATGTTCAAAGTGAGTGTCAGTTTCCTTTCTCTCCACCTCCCAACAATTTGGCAAGAAAGAGACCTTGCTAGATCATTTAGCACTCTGCTTCGGCTGAAACCTGGTCATGACACTGGAAACTTCTTTCTCACTGTTGTTGAACTTGTATGGCTGCTTGTAATGTGAGAGCCAATCTGCATTCATGCTTGGGATTGCTAGTCTTAAAAATGACGCGCTCCAGTGCTGGGCATTTTAAAACCTAAAACATAGGCATATTATTTGTCTTTGGTATTAGTACTTATCTATATCATCATTTTGTTCCACGGTAAGTTTAGTTCTGGAACATATCTGTGATGTCATGACTGAAAGTTCTCTAACTAACATGGAGAGCTTCATGCATGTGCTGCGTGTTCTGCTTGTCTCATGTGTTTTGCGGTTGTGTTCTCTATTCTCAGAAATCAGAGAGGAAGAACGCAAAATCTTGGAACGCGTTGGATATGTCCAGAGCATCACTGTAGGAGTGGCTCCCATAGTTGTAGTCATTGCCAGTGTGGTGACCTTCTCTGTTCATATGATCCTTGGCTATGATCTAACAGCGGCTCAGGTAATGTTAACTTCAGACATGGGAATGGGCAGGCTGGGTGGCTGAAATCATCCTTTACCTGCTTCTGGTCTGCGACGCTTCTTCCCATTGCCATTACATTGGGTGGAGAGAGCTTTCCTCCACCTTGGTAGTTGAAAAATCGGGGGTGAACAAATAAAAGCAATAATTACCAACTTTAGAATCCAACTTCTCCTATCCTCAAGGGCCTTGACAAAATTGTCTCCACCTGTCAGTGGAATGTCAGCAGTGTGGGTGCACAAAGCACTTCAAAGGGGAGGTTATTTCACAGGGACGGGGCCACCACAGAAAAGGCCCTCACACGCACTTCTCTCTTTCTTCCCCCCCTTCATTAGGGGCTGGGGCTACAAGCAGGGTTTCTTTTGCTGATGTTAATGCTCAAGCAGGCTGATACAGGAGGAGGCATCCTTTTAAATATTGTGCTAAAATTATTCCATTTGTGTTTCAGGCTTTTACTGTGGTTACAGTATTCAACTCAATGACCTTTGCTCTGAAAGTCACACCTTTTTCTGTGAAGTCTCTTTCTGAAGCATCTGTTGCAGCCGACAGATTTAAGGTGAGCAGTCGCAACCTTGCTACTTTAGCTCCTTTCAGCCCAAGAAGGGTGTGATGTAGACATTATTGACTTCTCTTGAAATTGCAAGATTGGCCATTTTACTGTAATATACTGACTCAAATCTTAAAGTATGCACTTACCTCCATTGTAAAAAGTGAGTGTAGGATTGCATCCTTCTTAAGCATAAGCCTGTTGAGAAACATGGACAGCATGTCATACATGCATTTTCAAATGTGAGGATTTCAGGCTACTGTAAGGAATATAGGTAACCATAATAGTTTATAGTATCAGTTGGTTGCTTAGAACAGTGACTTTCAATCTTCAGAAAACCATATCTGTTTCTTCTGTGGAATCCCTGTGAGTTGCAGGAGATTCTGTGGCTTATTTTAGGATGTTCAGTCCTTTGCAGTAGAGAGCTGTCCGGGCTGCTAGACCTCACCATTGTCCTGTGTGTGTTGAGAGTGCATATCAGAACACAGCCAGGATGCACATTGCAGCTTGGATATACTACACCCTCCCCTTTTTCTCTGGGCTTCTAGGAGTTTTTGGCTGGAGCCCAGCTCTTTCCCCAAAGCCAAAGCCATTTTACATATGTATGTATATATACATTTTATATGCATAAATGGCTCTTGGATCTTTAAGCTACTGCCACTTGAACATTCAGAAATTCCTCAAGCAAGCTAGCGATTTAGCCCATTTTAATCATTTTTAATTATTTGAGAGAGCAGCAGCAGAATCATTACAAAAAGATACAAAGAGGAATCAACTGAGTTTTGCTCAGAGTAGAGTAGACCTAATTTAGTAGTCCAGTGCAATTCCCATAATTATTTCTGGGTAGGAATTGGTATCTGAGGGAAAGGTGCATATTGTTTGGAAATAGCGGTTTAACTAACTGGAAACTGCTTGGTTTTCATTTGATTTTTCTGTGCTAAACTGTTTGACAGATGTTGTGGAACCTAAGAATATATGAGTATATGGATGTGGTGGAAAACATGATAAAGAGCCTCTGTACTATCCTCAGAGTTTCTTGTAACTTGTCAAATTCTTAGGCAACTGAATTTTGTGCAGGGAATTCAGCCCCCCCCCGAACACTGGCTAAGAAACATTTTGCATCCCTAAGTCTTGTGGGATTTCTAATGAGCAAACCTTTCCTCTGCTTCCTCTTGTCACTCTATGTCATCCTCCAAACCCTGAAATGCAAGATGAATGGGGGGGACGGACGGACGATATTGAACCTAACCATATTTGTGTCCAGAGAATGGTGACTCTCTCTGCAGAAGACTCTCTGTCTGAGAACCGCCACATTCATGGCTAGCCAGGCCCTTTTGTGGACCTGGAGTTAGTTTTCACTAATGAGCTACCTTTTGCTCTTCAGCTTCCTTCCACTGTATAGCCTGATGTGTGTTGCTGCGTGAGTGTGCCGTAGGCTTGTCCCCTTCCAGTCTTGACCAGGTGTCTCATCTTTGCACCTCTCTCACAACTCCTATCAGAGTTTGTTTCTAATGGAAGAGGTTCATATGGTAAGGAAAAAACCAGCCAACCCACACACCGCCATAGAGGTGAAAAATGCCACCTTGGCATGGGAATCCTCCCATGCCAGTGTCCAGAGCTCCCCAAAGATGACTCCTAAAATGAAAAAAGACAAGAAAGAGAAGGGCAAGAAAGAGAAGATGAAGTTGCAGCAACGCGAGGGACAGCAGGCGATGCTAGCTGAGCAGAAGGGTCAACTCTTAGTGGACAGCGACGACCCGCCAAGCCCGGAGGAGGAGAACAAAAATGTCCATCTAGCAAGTGTCCGGCTGCAGAGGGTTCTTTACAATGTTGACCTGGAAATCGAGAAGGTGAGGAATCAAAAGTCTCTCTCCTTTGCATCAGAACTTAAAAGGCTGTGTTTTGTGTTTGCGGCAAATACAGTTTCAGTACATCAGTGCAATAATACACGTATTAAGTCATGAAAAGAGGGTCAGGCATGCTACAGAGCTGTGACCTACTATATAGCCCCACAGGAAGGGTCCATGTGAGTGCTCCTATAGGTTTTCACACATAAACACCAGTGCTGTGTATAATAAGCGAAAGGCTAAAGTGACTTCCCTTCAACACAGTGTGGAGCCAGTGGCATAGTGGTTAAGGTGTTAGACCTAGGACCCGGGAGACCAGGGTTCAAATCCTCACTTGGCCATGAAGCTGACTGGGTGACCTTAGGCCAGCCGCTCACTCTCAGCCTAACCTACCTCACAGGGGTTGTTGTGAGGATAAAATGGGGAGGAGGGGAACTAGATGTGCCACCCTGAACTTATTGAAGGAAAGGTGGAATATAAGTGTATCTAAATAAAAATTTAAAATGCAAAAACTGATGCTGCAGTCCTGTGTATGCTTACATGGGAGTAATCACCAATGTGCATAGAATTGTGCTGGTCGTTGCTTTGAGTTTACTATAGTTTTAGTTTTGTGGAAGTTGTTTTGTGGCAAGTAAGTCCAGAAGATATTGGCAACTTCCTGGCAAGGGAACTGATGTGAGACTAAAAATACTAATGCTGAGGGCAGCCTTCTCCGGTACTACAGATTTCTTGCCTCCTTCCCTCCCCCCCTCCCAATTGTATAATCTAATATTGCCAGTGATTCCTCTCCCCACCCCTTGCACTTGTTAAGATTGCTTCCTGCCATGAAATACTATTTCTGTTAGAATAACATTTCTTTTTACGGTCTAATCTAGGGGAAACTTGTTGGCATTTGTGGCAGCGTGGGGAGTGGGAAAACCTCGTTCATTTCAGCCATTTTAGGGCAGGTGAGAAACAATCTCATGTTTTCTTATTTTTTCACACTGTCTGTTTTGCTGGCTCTGTTTGCATTCTGCCTGTGAGAGGAGCACAATATCTGTGCCACCAGCAGTTGCATTTTGCTCAATGTACCTTTAGTCCACCTTTATCAGACCTCAGACTTGGATCATAAACAACAAGTGAGGCATGCTTAAGATCTTAAAAAGTTTTAAATAGCTATGCATGCTGAACTTGAAACAAGCTATGCTTTTTTTGTGCTTGAGAGGTTGAGCAGGGCAGGGGGGGAGTATAAGAGGAAAGGAAGGAGGGAAAACCTTTCCCATACAGATGTGGAATGGTATCATTTCTCGACTTTCTTCTGCTTGTTTCAGATGACTCTGCTGGAAGGCAGCATTTCTGTGGATGGAACATTTGCTTACGCAGCCCAGCAGGCCTGGATTCTCAATGCAACACTTAGAGACAATATCCTCTTTGGGAAGGAGTTTGAAGAAGAAAGGTTTGTAAGCTGTAGTGATATACTGACAAATTGCAAGTGCTCAGTCTGGTCCAGCTTGGTGTGTGTTTAAAAAAAGATACTCCATATGTCCCTTTATTTCCGTACTATCATTGCATGCCTTCTGAAGCAGTTTTGTAATATGTACTGCCTGCCTTAGTCTGATTAAAAGTTTGCAATTTCTGGCCTTTGGTTTCTTTGGTATATTTGCTCCTTTTCTAATTTTTCATAGCTCCTTTTCAGTCCTTCCTTCCTCTGTTGCAGCTAACACCATACCTGGAAATGTTGCTGTTCACTGCTTTTTAAAAATGTGTTTTTTCCAGGTATAACACTGTGCTGAATGACTGCTGTCTCAGACCTGATCTGGCTATCCTACCTAACGGAGACTTGACAGAGGTAGGAATCTTGTTAGGCAGCCACTCTCCCAGGGCAAACAGCTCACTATAAGGCCAGGCACTCTCACACACCTCATTTTGGTGTACTGGTCTGTTGGCCATGTCATGTTCTCTTTCTGCCTTTGACTGTACTTACTTCCCAGGATTCACAAGCCCAGTGAGCTATAGCAGTTAGGTGGTTTGGCTCAAATGTGGAGGAAACGTAGTGCAGGCCTTTGTTGTTTTTGGGCCAATAAACACTGATTCCCATCTTGCTGGGCTATCGTGCAACTTCTCTGAGGTCTTTGGAAGAAGGACAGGATATAAATGTAATGTTTCATCTTAAGTGATAAAAAAGGAGATCCTTTAACAAAGCATCTTTAACTTAGATTGGTGAACGAGGTGCAAACCTGAGTGGGGGGCAGCGCCAGAGAATCAGCCTCGCTCGAGCTCTGTACAGCGACAAGGACATTTACATCCTTGATGACCCTCTCAGCGCCTTGGATGCCCATGTTGGAAACCACATATTCAACAGTGCAATACGGAAGCACATGAAGTCAAAAACAGTTCTCTTTATCACCCACCAGCTGCAGGTACACTTGTGGTTCTACCCTCAGCCTCTCCATCAGTTTGACGTGGGAAAAGTAAGTTTGGATGAGGGTAGATGCCGCTGTTGAGAGTAGCTGTTAATCTGTATAGCCCAAATTGCTGATCGCTCCACAGAGGGGAAAGGTAAGAGGCATCTTCACTATCCTAAGTGTAAGCGCAGAGGGGAAGGCAGCCAAGGGAGTCTGCAGAGAAACACCAAGGAAATGCATCCAGAATTAAATAACTGCAGCCACACGCACAGTACACCTGGTGGTTAATGTGCAGAATAAGGAAATGAGGCTGCAGCAGTTGGGTTTTCAAGTTTGGAAAAATCTAGTGGATCATAAAACAGGGATGGGCATTTTAGACAGAAATAAACTGCTTTCAAAAAAAACAGTAACGATGTTCTTCAGTAAAGCTGACTAGACACAGTTTCAGGATAAACAGATGGAAGTACTCTTTGGTGTAATTGTAATTAAACCTATATTATTGGGCTAGTTGCTTCATGGTATTGTGATAACCCATTAACATCAGGGAGGGGGAAATGAAAAAGGAATTTGGGCATAGCAACCTCACACAGTAATAATTCTCTCCCTGTGTTTGGCCTTGTAGTATCTTGTGGATTGTGACGAAGTGATCTTCATGAAAGAGGGTTGTGTCACTGAGAGGGGAAGCCATGAGGATCTGATGAATTTGAATGGTGACTATGCAACCATTTTTAATAACCTGCAACTGGGAGAGACTCCACACATTGAGGTATCTGTTACTACCTTTTCTTATGCTTGCAAGCCATTTGTTGCAGCTCTCATGGAAAGTGACTAGTCATTGGTTTTTTTCTTGTGGATAGAGGAAGTTTCTGCTGAGAACCGTCTCTGCAATTATCTTGGTTGAATGTGCTGTTTCGGAGTTAAAATAGGTTGTGTCCAATTCCCCCCATTTGTTTCCCCCCCAGATTAATTTAAAGAAAACCACAAACAATTCATTGAAAAGGCACCCAGATAAAGGCACTAAAACAGGATCTGTGAAGAAAGAGAAAGCAGTCAAGAAGGAAGAAGGTACCGTTTTCCACCCAGAAATGCATGCAAACTTACTTCTGCTCAAATGGAACTCTGGCTTAAAGTGATCTAGTCCATGAGTGTATTCTGTTTGGATTTAGTACATTCCAGATGGTTTTCAATACAGCTGACAGCCTGGTTTAGGTGTGGATGACCCATCTTGCCCTTTGGCATTTGAAGCTTTAAGTTCTTGTGTGCCACAGAGATGCTGGTTAATCATTAAACTTGCATTGAGTGATGTGAGGGTCTGAATACTGATAGGGGTTGTCTTTATATGAGAGAACCTAGAGCAGAACTTAATTCTGACCCACTAATAATTTCAATCTATTTGTTTTCTAAAACTATATGCCATGCATAGATAGGGAAATCTGTATAAGGAGGATGCTGAAACATTCACAGTACAGATAGCAGTCTCTGGGTCTTGCCTTGTTAGTCTGCTCACTTCTTGCTTCTCTGTCTGTCTGTGTGTTTTAGGTCAACTCATGCAGCTGGAAGAGAAAGGCAAAGGTTCTGTCCCTTGGTCAGTTTACGGCGTCTATATCCAAGCAGCTGGAGGCCCCATTGCTTTTATCATCATCATGGCTCTCTTTATATTGAATGTGGGCAGCACTGCATTCAGCAATTGGTGGCTGAGTTACTGGATCAAGCAAGGCAGTGGGGTAAGAGCCAACAATATATTTGATTTGCTAGTGGATTAAGAAGAGATTGTCTTCATGGGATCACATGGTCTCTGCAGTCCTTTTAGCTGTAAATGCCAGGCTAGATTCTGCAAGGCATGTGCTCTCCCACAGAACTACAGGCCCACCTGCAAATCCTCCCATAACAAGAGTGAGAACCAGCCAGACAGCAGCTTTGCTAAAACACCATCCTGTCAGTCAGTGGATCACAAATACCTGTCGTTTATAAAGTGTTTCCAGACATTCTGAGTGCTTTACATACATCGTCTTGTTGCAGTACAGTCATACCTCGGTTGTTGAATGCAATCCGTTCCATAATCCCGTTCGGCTTCTGAAATGTTTCACAACTGAAGTGCGGCTTCCAATTGGTTGCAAGAGCTTCCTTCACTCAAGTGGAAGCTGAGTCGGACAATCGGCTTCCAAAAAATGTTCTAAAACTGGAGCATTTACTTCTGGGTTTTTGGCGTTTGAGAGCCAAAACGTTCCAAAATGGAGGAGTTCGGGAGCCGAGGTTTGATTGTACTTAACTCTTGTAGGGTAGGTCAATATTATTATACCCACATGGCCTTGTAGGTTGTTGAAATTTACAAGAAGAAGAAAGTAAGCTCTTTGGGAGACGGGGTAGTTAAAGCTTATAGCAATCATATGCAAAATGAGCTTAGAGAGCTAGTAATCAAAATTGTTAATAACTATTTCTAGGGAGGCTTTGATACTGGAGCAGAACCAGGTGGCTGAGAGACAGCGTCTGTTGGTCCAGTATCTAGAAAGAGCTAGGATAAAGAATGGAGAATGACAGATCTGTAAGTGCAATAATGTATACAAGGGAAAGTTTTTTTCCAAGATAATTGTCAGCCAAAGTAACTTCATCTCAGAGGGAACGTGGCCTTATATTGTTGCAAGAACAAACTTGTGAGCCTGATTTGATGGTTTAATTAAATAATTGCTTTGACGTTAAAGTGCATATTTAGCCGTATTATCCTAGACTTCCAGAAGGACTCTAAAAATTCCACCAGCAGAGTTTCATTCGTAGAAATATAGAAATTCAAGGCTAATACAAAGTTTGGTCAACTGACTGTGAAACAGGGCAGATCTATATACTGTGTATGTTCTTGATTTTTAATAGAACACTACTCTCATGTTGGGAAATGAAACGGTTGTGAGCAGCAGTATGAAGGACAACCCACATATGCATTACTACGCTGGCATCTATGCGCTCTCAATGGGTATCATGCTGATTCTGAAGGTTGTGCGTGGCGTCGTCTTTGTCAAGGTATGTGTATGTCTCCAGAGGCAGGAACAGAATGGCTTCTTTTTTCGTTTTGTGCAGCAGAGCCCAATGGCCAGGTTTACTGAGGTGAGCCAGCTTTGTGTCATATCGCAGAGGAATATTCCTTCATTTCCCTTTGGTACCTGCCTGTCAACCCGTGATGTGTCAGGTGACTCAGATTCAAGGGAAAGAATTGGAAGCACACTCATACTGGGCTACAAATGGAGATCCCTGCTGAAAATGGGATTTGCAGCCACAGCTGATTGGTGCTGGGCTGCCAAATCTGCTTTCGGCTGGGTTTCATTCCACTCTGGAGTTCCTGAGCCCAGGGGATTCCAGCAGGGTTTGTAGCCACCATTAATCTGCTCCAACTGCCAACCTGACTTTGTCCAGGATTGCCTGTGCTTGGGAGCTGGTCTTGAGTGCAGCAAGCAGTCCCAGCAAGGTTGACATTTGGTGCAAGATTTAAAGAGTACTGAATACAACCCCCACTTTCCAAGGAAACATTGGGTGCATCCTTTAAGGTTCCCAGTTGTTCATTTTCAGCTGCATCTGCACCTGATTTTGCATACAATGTCAGGTGTGGAGCAGGTGACTTGGGGAAAATAGACTTGCAAGCCAAATGAGAACCCTGTTTGGCTTACCCATGGACTGAAGAGTCTCCCTCTCCCCCTCTGCCCAGCTGCCACCACCCTAGTTTGAATCATCCCAGATATCAATTAGAAAGCATTCCCAGGGCTCTCTGCACAGTCTGCTTTTTCTTTTGGAACCTTCGCTTCTTGCATTGTGAGGAAGGAAAGGAGGGATGCTTCCTTGTGGTTGCAATAGCCTAGCTGCTTCTTTTGAAAGGAGCTGGTGGGAAAGATACTGAGAGATGTTCTGTGAATCTCCATTTTGAAGCCTATCAGCCAGGGATGGGAATCTGTCCTTCCAGATGTTGTTGGACCAACTCCCATGAGCCCCAGGCAGGTCAGGGATGCTGGGAGTTCAACAACGTCTGAAGAGCTGTAGGTTCTTCAGCCTAGTTTTAAGTGCATATACCAGATATTTTTGTCTAATTCCATAAACCTCCTTTATTTTCATTGCAGGGGACATTGCGAGCCTCCTCCAGGCTCCATGATGAGCTCTTCCGACGGATTCTTCGCAGCCCTATGAAATTTTTTGATACAACTCCTGCAGGGCGAATTCTTAATAGGTTCTCCAAAGACATGGATGAAGGTAATTGGTCTCTGTTAATGACCTATACTTGGTCTCTGTAAGTGACCTGTTCGGACTAACTGGTAACTCTGGAAAGGATCTGTTTCTGCCAGGGCTACCTTTTCTGGTGGCAAGCTTTCTATGCGTAGGTTCTTTTTTAAAAAAATTGGCTGACATTCAAGCATGTAACCCATACCCATGTGGAAAATAAATATACAAGAATAACTGCCAATTGGAAGTGGTGTGGTTCCAATAAGACTGTACCACATCCTTTTTTTTAGCATGTTGAAACATCCTGCCCCCCCCCGCCAGATGTTATGGAAACTTTAAAAAATGCATGTAAAATATGAAACGTATCTATGACTGGTGGGGCAGAGTAATTTCTTTTATTCATTTGTCAAATTTATACCCCACTCTCTGCCTCCCAAAGCAGCCCAGGGAAAGTCCTTACTGACTTCTTCTAGTATGAAAACTAGTGAGGTTTTTAAAATTATTTTTTATTAAATTTTCAATTTTGCAATTCCAAATAAACATTTTACAAACGTTAAAATATCCAGTGACTTCCCTTCTTCTCTTTCCATGGTTCATTTTGCATATACATCCCTGCATATTTTACTATAACCATTCAAATCAGTTTTCCACTTTTACATCCATCAATTTTTTTTTTACTCTATTGAATTTATCTTAATGCTGCAAGCGTTTTCAGCTGTAAACAGTTATTTTCCATATATTCCATATATATATAGCAAGGTGTTTTTTTTCAAATGCATATAGATGAAAGGGGAGAGCATTGCTCCAAATGAAGATGTGGGTCAGGGTTTTTCCTAAAGTGGCAGGTTGGTATTTCTGTAGCTGAACAAGCCTGGTTGTAGACATGGTGAAGATGTGGGTCAGGGTTTTTCCTAAAGTGGCAGGTTGGTATTTCTGTAGCTGAAGAAGCCTGGTTGTAGACATGGTGACAGCCAGAATTAGAGTTCTGGATAGATATGGCCTGGGTTGGAAGAATATGGTGGTAAGTTTCTGTTTCCTGGGTAGAAGTGAGACCTGAATTTCTGAAGGACAGCTTTTACCAGATCAGAACTCTTTTTGTGTTCAGTCTCCTATGTGAAGACTGCCATCTCCGTCTATTTTTTTCCAGTTGATGTTCGCCTGCCATTTCAAGCGGAAATGTTCATACAGAACGTCATCCTGGTGTTCTTCTGTGTGGGAGTGATCTCTGGTGTCTTTCCATGGTTCCTGATGGCAGTTGGGCCCCTTGTCGTCCTTTTTATAGTGCTGCATGTTGTATCGAGGTAAACACAACCGTTGTTCAGGGATTCTGCAGTCATGTTCCCCCAGACAGGTGACACAAGTAGTTTGCAGGGCCAGATATCTCGCCCTTCCAATTGATTCTTTTCTTTCTGCAGAGTCTTCATTCGGGAGCTGAAGCGTCTGGACAACATTACACAGTCCCCGTTCCTCTCGCACATCACATCAAGCATTCAAGGCCTTTCTACAATCCATGCCTACAATAAAGGGCAGGAGTTTCTGCGCAGGTTATTGCTCTACTTCTCTGAAACACAGTATTTGCATGTTACTGGACTCTATATATACTGACTGCTGTCATTTGACTGCAGTCAATTTTTGGTGAAATTTCTCTGCATTTAAAACAAAGGTAAGCTACCTAGAATCCTACTAATATTTCTCATCATTTTCCTTTTAGATATCAAGAACTGCTGGATGACAATCAATCACCCTTCTACTTGTTCAGCTGTGCAATGCGCTGGCTCGCTGTCAGACTGGATATTGTCAGCATTGCCCTCATTACGACCACTGGCCTAATGATTGTTCTCATGCACGGCCAGATCTCGCCTGCCTATGCTGGGCTGGCCATCTCCTATGCTGTTCAGGTAATGGCTTCCCTTCTGAAGTTTTCAAAATTGCATTTGAATCTTTGAACTCCAGATGTAAGTAGAAACGCCATTCTTGTGCAGTAGCAAAAATATATTGTTTGACCATATCTATAATAAAAGCTAAAAACGAGTTACCCTGCTTTGCCTCTCTGTCTGAGCCCACAGCCATTGGCTGGATTGCTGTGATATTACATAATACCATGGAGCTTTTTCCCCCTTTTTTGCATTTATGTTAAGGGTGACTCAGAAATCACAATTAATTCAGAATTCGGCTGCAAGACTGGTGACTGGGAGTGGCCACCGGGACCATATAACACCGGTCCTTAAAGATCTACGTTGGCTCCCAGTATGTTTCCAAGCACAATTCAAAGTGTTGGTGCTGGCCTTTAAAGCCCTAAATGGCCTCAGCCCAGTATACCTGAAGGAGCATCTCCACCCACATCGTTCAGCCTGGACACTGAGGTCCACCTCCAAGGGCCTTCTGGCGGTTCCCTCGCTGCGAGGTTACAGGGAACCAGGCAGAGGGCCTTCTTGGTAGTGGCGCCTGCCCTGTGGAATGGCCTCCCATCAGATGTCAAGGAAATAAACAACCATCTGACTTTTACAAGACATCTGAAGGCAGCCCAGAATAAGGAAATCATTAATGTTTGATGTTTACTTGGAAAGCTAAATTCACAAATAATTCCAGGGGAAGAAGATTCAAATGAAGATGAGAAATCATAACCACTAGTCTGTGTTCAGAAGCTGTTTTTAATTTTTAAAAGTAAATAGTGTTTTTCATTTTAAAATACCATTATATTTGGATAGAAAACCAACATTTGTGGTCAATTAATTCAATAGGCTACCAACACAGACTCTTATTACCTACAGATTAATAGGACAACAGGAGGAAAGAGTAGGAATCTAGAATGAAATTGCTATCTTTGATGTTTCAAATCACTTTCTTTAGGTTAAATCTAAGAGCCTCTTCTCATGTTGTTCTTCTACTGTTCTGGCAATAGTTCAGATTCCATATTGGTTCCTTGCATATCACTACTCAGACTAATTTAAAATGTTTATCACCAGTCCTGAGAAGCATTCTCTTTTAAAATGCATTTATTTTTTAAAGATAACATCCTTGTCTGTTTTGTCATCAGCTCACAGGGTTGTTCCAGTTCACAGTCAGACTAGCTTCAGAGACAGAGGCCCGCTTCACCTCAGTGGAGAGGATTGACCATTATATCAAGGTACTCAAAATATTTTTCTATTGCTTTTACTGGTCTTAGATGACCTCTCTATAGAAAAGTCCCTTCAGCCATTTAGCTGTGCTCTATACTGGCTTAATTTTTACATGTATGTATATAACACTTTGTCTTGATTTATTCTGTATCATTTGACTGCATTAATTTTCATCTCTTTTAGGAAATTTCATTAAGAAGCATTAATGAAAAATATATTTTTAAACTTGGCTTAATTTGACACGTTGTGACATGAGCTTAACCTTGTGGGTGGCATGATCATAAAAATGTGGAGGATTGTTGTTTAAATGAAATCACTTTACTCTGCACTGTGTTGGCACAGTGTAACTCTCGTACAATATTGGCAATTGAATTCCAGGAAGAACACTTGTCAAAATAAAGAAAGAAGGAATGTTCTGAGTTGTGAGGTTCCTTCTGTTCGTGAAGGGGATGAGATCTTGTGATGGTGACTTTTCCCATCCATTTCAGGAAGTGTCTGAAATCTCCACTGGGAGGAGGCACCCCCTCAGTTTTGGGGGCTGTCAGAGCTGAATATCAGTTCATCTGCTCTCAAAAATAAAGTTTGGTAATACAGCAGCAATACTCAACAGAGAGCTGAGAAAAGGGTTTGACAGAAGGTCACCTCTGTGTCCTAGATTTATTTCCTGCATTGCCAATATTTATCCCCAAAAGTTTATGTAGTCATAATCCATACAGCTTATGCAATGAGGAGGGTGAGAGAGAATTCTCTGAGAAACCGATACCTTGGGCAATAGCTGTAACTGAGACAGCTCTTTGCTCCAGAAGCTTCTGACACTTTTGTTCCCAAACTGGATGTAAGAGGAGCTGTCCCATCATTATGGGGTATTTTGCTTCCATGACTGAGGATTTGAGGGAAAGAGTGCCTTGATCCCAGTAAAAATGCTTCGAGGTCAGGAGCCGCACCACCTCTCCCATGCATGATGTGTCAGTTTCTGTTGAATCTTGCTTGTGTTGAAGAGTCAGTTACCAGCTGTAGTCTCTTATGAGAACGTATTCCTGGGGCCACTGTTCTCAGCTGACACCTGACCTCTTTTTTTTTTTTTAACCTCTGCAACTTTCTAAGACTCTTTCTCTGGAGGCTCCAGCTCGGATTAAGAACAAGGCTCCCCCTCCAGACTGGCCCCAGGAAGGAGAAGTCATCTTCGAAAATGCAGAAATGCGGTATCGGGAGAACTTGCCGCTTGTCCTCAAGAAAGTGTCCTTCACCATCAAACCCAAGGAAAAGATTGGCATTGTGGGAAGGACAGGGTCAGGTAAGGACATATCTAGGCAACACTCCAGGAAGCTGAAATCCAGCCCTATGTATCTTAGTGAAAATGCTGCCATCAGCAATGAAAGCTGACTGGAGCCACCTAGTGGCTTATGTGTCTTGTTATTTCTGAAGAACACGCTGCACATTGGCAACTATATGCACCTGCACAATTGACACACCCACTACAATAAAACTTAATGGTTTGGCTTCATTTAGTCCCGTTGGCCCAATCCTGCGGAATGTTCTGCCAGGAGAGATTCAGCAGGCACCTTCTGTGCCAACTTCTAAACGCCTTTTGAAAACCTTTCATTTCTGCCAGGCAGTAAAGAGCACATCCTTCCAAAATGGTTTGCTGATGTTTCTTTTTCTCTTTCTAATGCTTTTATTGTATGTTTGTATTGTTTTAAATGACTTGGATATATATTAGGATATAGCAGTATAGAATTTTTTTTTTTATAAATAAATACAGTGGTACCTTGTGTTATGTACCGTCCCCCTTACGATTGCTGCGGGTTACGTGCTCTGCTAACCCAGAAGTAGATGCCCCTTGTTGCAACCTTTGCCCCGGGATGCGAGCGGAAGTCGCGCTCCAGTGGCGCTGCAGCAGCAGGAGGCGCCATTAGAGAAAGCGCGCCTCATGTTACGAGCGGTTTCCTGTTGCGAATGGACCTCCGGAACGGATTAAGTATGTAACTCAAGGTACCACTGTATAAATAAATTGAGTGTCTTCTGGGTTCCTCCCAGGAATATGGCTTTTTCTCTGGTCAGAGTTGTTTTTATTATAGTCTTTTGGGTCCATCACTCTCAGAATTGCAGTCAGAGGTGGTTGTAGAACCTGCATTTTATTATTCTCCTCTCTTTGTCCCATTTCACTTTTATATATCTATTGAATTATAAGCCATCATGTTAAGCTGTGAACTGCTTGAAAGGTGGAATCTAAATTTATTAGGCAAATTTAAAAAAGTAACTCTGGCTGCTAAAAGGCTGACATGGCACCTCTAATTTTAACCATTCATGGAGTGAGTTTTTAATGTATTTGCTTCTGTCTGTTGTCTGGACTTGGACCGTGACACTGTGTTACAGAAGTCACCAGTTAACCCTTAATTCCTCCTTGCTTTTCTACCCCAGGGAAGTCCTCTCTAGGAATGGCTCTCTTCCGCTTGGTTGAACTGTCAGGAGGCTGCATTAAAATTGATGGAGTGAAAATCAATGACATTGGCTTAGCAGATCTCCGGAGCAAGTTGTCCATAATTCCTCAAGAGCCTGTGTTGTTCAGTGGTACCGTGAGGTTAGTTTCACCCATAGCCAGAGGTAGAAAAGAGCTTGCATCTTCCTCTCCCTCACTTGCCACCCTTCAAATGAAATTGCCTTAGCCACAATAGAAGGAGTTCCATTGCCTTGGGACATGGAGTAGTGATTCACTGCTGCTGTCTACTTCCACTGTCCCCATTTTGTTCCTTTTGTACGGCAAAAGGTAATTGAATTAAGGGTCTTAGTGCTGCTTAAATATTGACTCGATTTTCCTCAATGTGTTGCCCTCTAGTTGTTGTTGGACTCCAAAATCCCACCAGCCCCATGCAGCATAGCTCATGGTCAGGGATGATGGGAGCTGTAGTCTGGCAGCAGCCAGAGGACACCAGGTTGGGAAAAGTTGGTTTAAGTATTCTGTGATAAATGGTTGCCATTGCGACTAACCCCCAGGTCAAGGGCTTCTCCCCCATCCCACCCTCAGGTATCACTGATTTGGGGAGTGGGAGCTGATTATAATAATACTGTAGACCCAGCAGTGGGTTGGGCAGAGCCCAGGACTCTTATGAGGGATACAGATTTCCCTCTCTCCTGTCACCCAGTTGATAAGCCCCACTCCACAGTTAATCTGTGATTTCAACTGAGGAGGGAGGGTTGTGTGGCTCTCTCTGTGTGTAACTGTCTATGGTGGCCACACCCACAGTTGTCCTCTGTGGCGCAATGGGTCAGTGTGTCAGGCTGTTAACCAGAAGGTTGGTGGTTTCAGCCCACCCATTGCAGGGATTGGACTTGATTGACCCCCCAGGGTCCCTTCCAACTCTAGTTCTAGAGCCCCTGGAGGGTTGGCCTTCAGGCCAATACAGGTTCGCCACCTCTGCTCTAGACACTTGTTATTGGGAGCGCGCCTTAGTTTTACCTAACCTGCGTGAACAAAGATGGTTCAGTCTTATGGACCTCTAAGCCTGTGGTGCTGGCTGCAGAAAGTCACAAAAACATGTCCGCTTAGTATGGCATTAGAGCGTTGGGCAAAGTGGCTGGTTTGGAGGAATTCATCTTTGATTTTGGCTTCCTTGAGGTTGTCTTTTGAAGATGGCCTGATTTCTATGGTGCTTGTGTGTTGGTGGGTGCTTACATGCCTTTCGAGGAGAGAATTGGTGATCCTATCCTGTTACACTCTTTCCCTCCTCTAGATATAACTTGGATCCTTTCACACAGTACAGTGAAGAGCAAATCTGGGATGCTTTGGAGAGGACTCACATGAAGGACTGTGTAAGTAAGGGGATTGGTGACAGGGTTGGGGGTTCTTTAGCAGCCCAAGTGCAGCCCCATGGCCATGTAAGATGGTTGCCAGTGTCACCATGGTCCCATTTGCATGAGAAAAAAGTTTTTCTAGCAAGCAATCATCATCATCAACATCATCATAAATTTCTTATTTATACCCCACCCATCTGGGTACCCTTGGTCATTCCTTTAGGCATAGAGCAATTGGATAGGATTGACTGAAACAAGTCCTTTATCTTCTTTTGTAAAAGGGAAAAAAATGCAGGGAAAGCTAATAAGGTGCAAATTATCTGGCTTGAAGTTAAGCACATTTGTTAACTGGTCACATACCCTTGCTGGCTCTGTTTTTTAGAGTGAGGCCTGGCTCATATAAACAACTGGAAAATTAGGAGAAGGATAAAGGAGACTTGCACTGATGTGCAGTGATGCACATAATGGGGGTCAGCATAACCCATCTGGATAACAGCTTCTAAGGCACACATATGCATACAATTTGTACATGGTTTCCAAGATCACTGCCGACCTGCACGCTTACAGGGTCAGAGATCATTACTCACTTTTGAGTAAAAGTGATTCAGATGCTTTAAATTAATAAAGGACCTTGCCAGATGAATTCTTGTACACACTGTTGACTGAGGTAGGGCTCTTCCTTGGTGATGCTGTGTGAATCTGGTGTGGTCCATGCTGGAGGTTTCTAAAAATCAGAGGAGAATGCTTACTTTTAATCTTGGATCTGTGTGTCGTGCTCCTTTCATGAGAGGTGCTTGGACTCTTGTGACACACTTCGTTTTTCTCATAACCGGTTGTGGTGCCCCTGGAAAATACTGTTGTGCTGCAACAGTGCCAGACCACAGCATTGATCCATCTCTATTCCCTTGTTCTGGTTCAGATTTCTCAGATGCCCATGAAACTTGAATCCGAAGTGATGGAAAATGGCGAGAACTTCTCTGTCGGGGAGAGGCAGTTGCTTTGTATTGCCAGGGCATTACTGCGCCGTTGTAAGGTGAGCTGGTGTGTAGAAGACAAAGGCCATATGTATTTGGCATATTATCTTCTTCCCTAAGAAAAGCTTGTTCCAATGCCAGGATTAAAGCAATAGTCAACTGGCTACCACATCTTTTACTGTAGATAATTTTCCAGAATGCTGTCTTTGTTCAGAGTACACATGTCGGCTTCATCCTCTGATCCCAGAAGTGAAACCTGTTTAGCTTTCTGCATTTTGCTCTCTGCCGCCTTGTATCCTTTGCCTCCTTGTATCCTCTACCTCCTTGCTTGGTCTGTCCTCATCTGCACAGGCAGAAGAGTGCATACAGTTTCAGCTCCTTTACTGTTACGCTACTAGGGAATTTTTTTTACTGTGATGCACATTGCATGCACATGTTGGATTTAAAAAGAAGAAAACAATAAAAGCCAGCATATGTTTGAAGTTTTTGGCAGTCCCATTTTTTTTAACCATTATCCACCATTTGTTCTGATAGTATCAATCTGCTATTGGGATCCAGCAGACTCCTAGCTGGACACAAAATGTATTGCGGTACACTGGGCCCCACAATAGCAACTTAATTTTTTGCAGTGAAGAAGCACGTACAGAGAGAAAATCCTGTAATTTATTTTTTGTTTCTTTGGGGGCAAACAAGCCTGTGCCTTGTGCCTAGGGAAAAGATTCAACCCACCAATTAGGCAGTCCTCTTTGGGCTATTAGGAGGACCTGGACGAAAAGAAGCAGAAGAGGGAGCAAACAGAAACTTTAAATGCATAGGTGAAATAGTCATAGTAAATAATAGAAGGGGTCCAATGTATCCCAACAGCGTAATATGCTTCCCCCTCCTAATCCCCCCAACTAAGGTGGTGTTTCAAGTTTGCGCTATTTTTTGTGTTGAGAGAGCCAGCGCAAAGCAGAATTCAGCCTCCTAGGGTTAAGACCCTGTTGGGTGACCAAGATGGTGCCTTCTTTATGCTGTTGGACTTCCAACTCCCCGTCAGCCAACATGTTCAATGTTCAGAGATGATGAGAGTTGCAGTTCAGGAACACCTGGTGAACTCGGTGGATCCTTTGAGTCCTTTCATAGTGGGCTGTTCCCTGGGGCAGAGCAGGAGGACTCCAGACAACTAAGGTCTATGGATTCCCACCATGAGAGGCAGCTCCCTGTGACTACTCTCTCTGTTTAGTCTCCCTCCCTCACCTAGGAAAAGTACTTTATTTATTCTCTTGGCTTATTTGTCTATTTGTACTTAATTTCCTACTTGCACTTTGGTTTTCTTGGCAGCTTCTGTTAGGGCTTTGTTTTGTTACCTTTTTGGTCCTTCTTGGGAGCACTGTGAGAGGTGTATGTCTCTATTTTTAACAACGTTCATGTTACGCTTTCTATTCAGATCTTGATCCTGGATGAAGCAACAGCTGCCATGGACACAGAGACTGATTTGCTGATCCAGGAGACTATCAGGGAGGCATTTGCAGACTGCACAATGCTGACAATTGCTCACCGCCTGCATACGGTTCTGGGCTCTGATCGGATCATGGTTCTGATGCAAGGGCAGGTGAGCAAGAAATGAACCTTTCCCCCCCCCCTCCGCAGAAGATCACACAGAACTAGTGTTCTCAAGCTGTTGCAACGAGCCCCTCTTCAACCCGGGACAGAATTGTGCAATGCTTACATAATTAGGAGAGATCTCAGGTCTGGTTTAAATGTTAAAACTTCTGAGCTATTCAGCAGTGAAACACACTGCCTTAAAGAGGTGGCTTGATATCCTTAATTGGAGACTTTTAAGGAAAATCTGAACAGGTTCTTTGTTGGGGTGGTTTAAAACTAGTTTTTGAAAGCTTCAGAGTGGGGCTGATGGGTGCTATAGTCAAAACATATGGAGGGCACTAGGTTGAGGAAGGCTGGACTAGATTATCGTTTTCAGCTACCTGCTTTAATGTTGTTGTTACACTCAAATGTTACTCCTTTTGGTAAATGAAAGGTTTAATGGTATACATTCCATGTATCTCTAATGGTCTCCCCCTTAATTTTTGTTTTAGGTGATGGAATTTGATACTCCATCGGTTCTCCTGTCCAATGAGAACTCTCGCTTCTATGCCATGTTTGCTGCTGCAGAAAATAAGATTGCTGTCAAGGGCTAAAATTCAGGGCAATGTCACTTTAATTGAGAGGGTAACAGTTTCTGCCTGTGGCAGGAACTCCTCTGTCTTCATGTTCTCCAAGCAGATTATTGCCTTTTCATCTTTTAATTTTTAGCATTGTGGGTCACGATTCAGTTCTTTTCTAAAAAGTACTGTAAGGAGGGTTCTTTATGGTTTTTATTATGGTATTTATTCCATATTCTTGTTACTAGTTTTTTGCTATTAAATGCACTCTACAAAATGGCTCAGGGAGCCATGATTATAAATTTATCAAGAGGCCTATATTGAAGCTTTATACATGTAGCTATATCTATACAGAATTCTGTACATAGCCTATATTTACAGTGGAAATGTAAGCTGTTTATTTTATATTAAAATGAGCGCTGTGTTAATACCAGTGCATATTCTTTTCTATCATTTTTGTACAGTTTTACGGTACTGGGAACCTGGATTTTCCAGGCTGCGTTAGACCCTGTTTCGTCTTCTGCAGTCTGTTTTCTCTTAGCGCTGGAGTTTCCCAGATCTCTGGATGGAAGTGGGCTTTTGCCCATGTCTCCTCCTGTGTCCTGTTGTCACTGTCCTTCACAGAGGAGAGATGGGTTCTGTTGATGTGGCTTGGTTTCCTCAGACCCATCATGCTCTTTGGCACATTGCTAGGGCACATGGAAGTAGTGGCAGCTGTTTCCCATAACACGCCTGCAGTGGGGGTCAGGTTTCTTTGTGTCTCTTGTGAGATTCATAAATGAGCTTTGTCAGTAGCAAGAGAGGAAGAACCACACATTAGCATTAGGTACCTTTAAAGAAAAACTCATTGCCACTTGCTCTGGTGCAATAAAGGGAATGTGAATACACATTCTCTATCGGCAGAGTTCGGTTTATATTTTATAGAAAGGAAATGCAAACTGCTTCTGCTTTGCTGAGCACATCCATCCATCATTAATGAACTACAGCAATTAACCACCATCAGATTGATACCCTGGTGCTGTCTGCAAAAGTTTTCAAAGTGGCCTCTGCTGAATTATAGATCTAGTGATCTAAATATGCTAATACTTCACTTGGGAAGCTTTTCAGATACTTGGGTGTTTGTAACAATTAATTCTTTGCCCTACTCTGTCTGCGTGCAAGCTTTTTATTTTCTGCATATTTGTTACTATAATTATCCCTCCCACCACCACCACCACCACTGCAATTTTTAGCAGGCTCCTGCTGATCAGGGTTTAACACTGGTGTAGGAAATTTTATTTTCTTACTGTAAAGAGACCTACCTCAGGTGCTGAGTCCTGTGTGGTACGTTACCATGGTTACTGTACGCCATCCCTGTTGTCTGGGGCCAGTAGCCCAGGTGGGCATGGTCAGTCTTGTAATAGCTGTGATTTTAAAATTGGTCAGCGTTGCATGTCTTTTTTTTCCCCTCCTCTTTTTTTCCCTTTGGTCCAGTTGGACATTTTATAGCCTTAGCATGTTTGCAAATTGTCTTGTTGAGACAGAAATCTGAAAAAGTGAATAAAAACTATTTTGGGCTTTGTAAAACTCTTGTGTGCGTTCTATTATTTGGGCCGTGGTGGGTATCTTCCCAGCAATAAAGTACAGGAGTTTGCCCTGCTGCTGCTACTTGGTGCCAGCAGTGTGGGTTTTTTTAAAGGGGGTACTCAAGGGTACGCAGTACAGGCGCCTCTTTTTTGTTGTTGTTAAAAAGTGTGATACTTACTCTAACAACTTCATGGTAAGTACTGGCACCTATTTTTTTGGGGGGGGGGAAGCACTGGTGTCAGCTACATGAACAAATCAACATCCCTAGTACATCAAGCTGAAGCTCTTTCTTCAGAAGCACTGGCTGCATCCCAACTGCAGTGCAAAGCAGTAAAGGGGACACAAAGCTACATCCCTTCTGCAGAGGTGTAAGGAAGAGCCAGTGTCTCTTTGCGGCTAAAGTATTTGACTCTAGGAGTGGGAGACCCAGATTTAAGGACTCCGTGCTCCAAACTGCACCATGCAGCTCATCGGGAGAGTGGGCCAGTCCCTTGTCTCTCAGCCTAATCTGCTTCACAAGGTGGTTGCGAGGCTGGAGGGGAGGGGAGAACCCCAGAACTCCGTAAGCAAAGGCGGGGCACAAATGTCATCAAACACATTTGTAGTTTTAAAGAAAGCAATGCTGGGACAGGGGTAAGTAACATCACTTTACAGTGGTACCGCCGGTTACAAACACCTTGGGTTCTGACTCTGCTAACCTGGAAGTAGTACCTCAGGTTAAGAACTTTGCCCCAGGATGAGAAGAGAAATCGGGAGGCCCCATGAGCTGAAGTGGTACCTCAGGTTAAGAACAGTTTCAGGTTAAGAACGGACCTCCAGAATGAATTAAGTTCGTAACCAGAGGTACCACTGTATATGGTAAGAAGGACAGTTGCTTCTGTTGGCTCTGCAGAAATAATCTGTTCCATGCCAGGATGGAAGTTGCAGTTAAGGACCAAGCTTTATTTCTATGCTAACTGGTTAACAGCATGGTTTGAGAAAGCAAATTATCACAGGAGTAAGGAAGTCGAGCAGCTGTATGCATGTCTACTCAGGAGTAGAGTTCACTGAGTTAAGTGGGGCCTACTCATGCCACAAGTCATTTAGGGAATTAGCTCCTCCAATCCAGAGCTGAGGAGAGGCAAAGGTATGCTAGCTTTCTTTGCCTCCTCATCTGCCAGGTGGTTGGGGGCATATGCTATTGGGAGCCTTTGAGCAGCACCCAACACTCCTGCGCCACCTCAACTTTCCCAAGGGGAAGGCTGGAAAGGGCAAGACAAGAGTGTGCACTTGATGCCATGAGCTAGGTGAAATTTGACCAAGAGATGGATCCAGCAGCCCTGCCCCAACTCCGTGTTAAAACAATTGTCGCAGGGAAATTTTTACCACAGGGCTCTTATAAATACTGCTTTCAGCAGAACATCAGCTTGCTTCTTGGCAAATATCTCTTGACAACTGAAATAATAGGCTCCCAAAACAAAAACAAGGAAAAAGTCATTCAAGCTGGTTTCCTTTATTAGATGATTCATTATTGTAATTGAACGCTTAAAAAAAAAAATCCAGCTCTGTGAATGTTTGGTCATTTTTGCTCTTGATTTTAGTAGGTACAAATCTTTATACTGGCTTGTATCCAATATTAGCCCTACCCAGTGTGGACCCATTGAAATGAATGGCCATGACTTATTCAGGACCAGTAATTTCAATAGGTCTACTCTTTATCATCTGGATGCAACACACTCCGATTTGTAGCATCCTGAGATCAGATAAAGGAGATAAACTTATTAACAAGCAGGCATGCTGATTCAGTAGGCAAAATGATTTGCCTAAACGGCTCAGGACCTAGTACCAAAAAGACCACTTCTCCGCACAGGAAGTGACCCAGCCCCTATGATCACCGTCAGCTGAAAGGCAGGAGAGCTGTGTGAATTTCCTCCCATGTTTACAATACAAAAATAGACCTGCATCACTTGCCCAGAGAAAAAAGTTTTGAGAACCCCTGTACTATGGGAAAAGCTGCTCTGCCCAAAGAGTGTGTTCAACCTATGTTTTGGATTTCAAACTTAACGTACTTGTGTGTGTGTGTTTGAAACGCCCTGCCAACACACAATGCTCCAGAGCATGTGCAGAGTCTCTTCTGCTTGGCTTTGTTTTTCAGTGCAACGCGTCGAGTACCCAAAGAAGAGAAAACGAAATAATTAGCCTGGGGGATATATATTAAGGGTCCTTTGCCGGCGGGTCGACCCGACTCCGCTCCGAATCCTCTCCGTGCCCGTCCACACGGCGAGGCCTTGGCCTCCGCTCCTCCTCCTCCGCCGCCGCCGCTCTCCCTTCCCCCCTGCTGGCCGCTGCCGGCCTCCTCCTGGCCCCGAGCCGCCTCCCGCTTCCCTCGGGCGCCTCCCGGCGGCCGACGGCCCCGCACCCTCGGCGAGGCGCCGCACGCGAGCCCGGCAGCCAGTCAGCCCGTCCGTCAGGCAGCCAGGCCCCGGCGCTGGGCAGGGCCAGGCCGGGCCGGGCCGAGCCTCTTCCTGGCGCTGCCGAGCGGCCTGCGCGAGCCTCCCGCCGCCGCCGCCGCGCCGCCGCCTCCCGCCCATGGATTTCACATAGCCGCCGCCTGGGCCGCCCGCCGCCGCCGCCGCCGCGCGCGCCTCTCTCCGCCCGGCGCCCTCCGCCCATGGCGGCCTCGGAGAGCCCCCGGACGTGGCCTCGGCCTCCAGCTCCTCGCTCTTCCGCCTCCGGCACCTCCGCCTGGGGCTGCACTTGCGGCCCGACGCCCGCGCCTTGGCCGGCTGCTCGGTGCTGGAGCTGTGCGCCCGGCGGGGACGCCGAACCGGCAGCGGCAGCAGCGGCAGTCAGAGCCGCCGGCAGGCCCTGGTGCTGGACTCGCACCCGGCCTTGCGGGTCGCCTCGGTCGCCTTCCGGCCTTCCCCGGCCGGCGGCGGCGGCGGGGACGCTGCGGCTTCGTCTTCCCCGACGCCGCCTCGCCGGGCAGCGCGGAGAGCCGGGCTGGCGGCGGCGGCGGCGGGGATGGCGCCCCGAGGTGCCCCGCCTGGGACCCCGCTCCCGCCTCCTCTTCCTCCTCCTCCTCCTCCTCTTCCTCGGAGCTGTCCGGCCCGGAGAGGAGCGACCCGGCCCCCGGGCGCCTCTTGACCCGCTGCCCTTCCCCGCCCACGGGGTGCCCCTCTCCCACGCCCCTCTCGGACCCCCACCCGCACTGCCCGCTCAGCACCCCCAGCGCACTTTCGGCCTTGGGGCCGCCCCTGGCCCCCGAGCTGGCGGGCCCCGGGCCCCCGGCAGACCCCCTGGCCGCCCACCGCTGCCACCACAGCTGCCCACTGGCAGGGCCCCCCGACTTCCTGGTTTCACCAGACTGCCCCCTTGCCCCTGGCTCTCAGGATGGGACCCCTCCGCCGGACCCCGAGGGTGCCCTGAGGGGTGCAGCGGCTGCCCCCCACTCTCCCCTCGCTGCCCCGGCCAGCCCCATCAACCACTTTTCGTGCTCCTTTTCCGACTTTCCTCTCGTGCCTGGGGTGCCCCCTCCACCCATTCCCACCTTCCCCGACGACCCCGCGCCGGCCTCGGTGGCCCCCTGCCCGCTTTTCTTCAGGGTGGACCCCTTCACGGACTACGGTTCGGCCCTCACCATCTCCTTACCGTCTTCCCTGGAGCCTCACCAGCCCTTCCAGGTCATCATCCGCTACACCACGATTGATGCACCCGCTGTAAGTGCCCCTTTCTCTGCGCAAGCCCAAAGATTGTGTTTTGGGGTGGGTGGGTGGTGCTCGTGGTGTCATTTTAGGGGATAACATGCAGTGGGGGTGATGGTCATGGAGGCTGTGCAGATCTGGAGCTGATTGCCCTTTGACAGCAGCTCGGCTGGAGTACGGAAGATGCTGCAAGGTCTAAGAGGATACCAGCATGGTTAAACAACAGAGTCAAGGAAGTTATAAAGGCCAGCTTTGTTTAAGGAAACTGAAGCCTCATCCAGGTGACGGGAACAAGAAAAAGAAAGCAGATTATTGCAAAAGAAATGCAAACTGACAGTAAGGGGTGCAGAAAAATAACTTGAGCGACAAGTTGCTAAAAAGAATAAAAAATAAATGCATTTAAATACATTACAAGTGGGGAACTTTGCCACAGTGGTAGCTAGACCATTAGATGGGGAAAACCTGTTAGATGTAGAAAACCAGAAGAATTGATGCATGTTCTAGAGCAGGGACAGGAAACTGGTCTACCATATATAATTAGATTATGACTTCTGCCATTCTTGGCCATTGGCCTTCTGGTTGGGGCTGATGGGAGTTGGAGGCCAACACAATTTGGAGAGCCATAAAGGTTCCTCCTCTTAATTCAGGAGGATACCCTCCTGAAGAGATCCAGCACTGCTGCCTGGACCCTTGTGGAAGCGGTGAGTGTTTCCTATAATGCATTCTAGCATCCTATGCAACAGGCAAGGGTTTGTGGCAGGCAAAAATATGTGGAAAGACTTCTCTGAGGTTTACCTCCAAATCCATCACGTTAGCTGTCATGCCACATTGGTCTGCATCAAATGTAATGGGGCTGACCCAACAACAAATTGTTAATAAAGTTCAATTGCTCCTTTCCCCTCTGTGCTTCCCTCATCCTCTTGTGCACCCAGCTATATTGGAGATTTCTGGTTTCTTAACCACAGTTTCCTGTGACATCTGAGCTGGAAAACTGGTCTGAAGGCTCCCTTCATATCAGAATATCAAACCAGGACCAATGAGCCCTTAATGCACAGTTTCCCAGTTTGGATACCATATGCAACTGGTTTATGATATTGGAAAGTCTCCTCTGCAAGTAGGCATGTGGGACAGGTGGGGGTAGGGATCCACTTGAATCCCTCCCCCCCACTCTCCAACCAGCGATCGTTTGCTCTTGATCTGTTACAGGTCACCTTGTGACAGCTGCTAACGCTGACATCCTTTCCAATGAACGTGGCATTTGTAATGAACTCAACTCCCCCCACCCCAAAGACTTAACAGGTGTCTGATAATAACTTGCATGCATAACAAAACATTTTCATGGAATAACATTTTTAAAAGATGTTGCCTCCACTCCCTATTTCTCTGTCCTCTATATTATATATGATATTATATCACTTCCAGAAGATGTTCAGATTTTGATTCTTGCCACATTCTTTCTAGAAGGTAGGGTCAGAATTGGGGAACAGCTGTCAAGGACGCTCTTGGATGGTACCATCACAAGGCTTCTGTCAAGAAAACAGCTATGTGTTGGTTAAGTCAAGGAGACTGAGATTTGGAATAAGAGCGATTCCCTCTCCCCAGAGAATCCTGGATACGCTGTGAGGGGGGTTTAGAGATCTCCCTGTACAGAATTTTCAGCACACTCATGAAACCAGAATTTAAAGGATTCTTTAGAAAAGCTGGACTGCAAACAGGACTGAAGTTGGTGACTAGTTGCCAGTTCCCCAAGACAATTTGCAACGACGCTAGATGAGCAGTTTCAGTAAGCAATTGACTTACGTTCTACTGCACCCCAAAATAAGCTTTGGGGTATGCTGTATATCTCTGTGACTTTCCCCTTTTAGATCCTCAAGACTCTCAAGAATTCTTCTCTATCAAGCCATTGATCTTGTGCAGTGCTTTTTAATACATGGTAATCCTACTTGCAAATAAGGCATTGGAGCTGTGCACTCCAAACAAAGCTTTGGGCTATCATAATAAGTCTTATACCTGCAGCTCCAGGGGAGTATCTTCTATGAGACACTCCTAGCACTGCAGCCACCCAGTGCTTTGATTTGGCTCAGGATACTGTGAAGTGTACTTTCTCCACTCCATTTATTATCAGTATATAAGGGGAAATGGATAAGGAGATGGGGGCGTGCACCCAACAGATGTGGGCCACACAAAATCACACACTGGTACAGCCAGGAGACTGTTGCTTTTGAATCACCACAACAATCCTTCATTTTGGTGCAAGACACCGTCACACATGCTGGGCTGTGCCCGCACCAATAATGGCCAACGTATATGAAAATATGGAGCTAGGGTTATGCACTTCTGCAAGAAAGAGACTATTGCCTTTGAGTCACCCTAACGTTGTATCTGCTACAAGAGACGATCAGGCAGGCAGCTCCTATGTAAATAATAGCCAATAAAAAGAAGAAGAAGGAACTTGACAGTCCCTTCCACCAAAATGAAATAGTCTTATTGATATCATAGAATTATAGAGTTGGAAGGGTCCTCTAATTCAACCCCCAAAGCTTAGTGCCAGATGTGCAGCCCCAGTTCCTGGATCATTTCTGCATGTGTTGGCAATTATTAGTGTGGACCCAATGCTCTTGACTGGTGGGCTGGGTGTAGTGCTAGGGCACCCTGAAGGTGACAGTCCTCTGGTTGGGTAAGTATGATTTGTGGTGGCCCCAAGCCTATTGTGGGCTGTGCAGCTCCAGTTCCTTACTTGTATATTTATTTGCAAAGATTTGCATGGGGCAGCATGGCCAACAGTGCCTTTTGCAAAAAGAAAGAGTTGAGTTGGAAATAATGCTAGGGCAGTCCGAAAGTGATAGTCTCTTGGTTTGTGGGGTGCACAATCCCAGTTTCTTACTCATTTCCACATATATCAGGCAGTTCCCGATGTAGGTCTAGCATACTTTTCGGTGAATTGTCCAGAAATGACACCAGGTGGACACAGTGTTCTGGTGTCTCAGAGATACCACTCTTCTGGAGGTGGGTGTGTGGTATATGATGCCCCAAAGCTTAATTTGAGGGGTGCACACCCAGTTCCTTATTAATTTCTGCATATACTGCCATGAGAGCAATGTGGCAAACAAAACATTGGGTTGGACACAGTTCTAGAGTGTCTCAAAGGGAACAGTCTCCTGATCATGTGGATGTAGGGTGGCCTAAGGCTCTTTGAGGGTTGCACAGCTATAATTCCCTTTTTTATTTTTACATACTTTGGTGATTAGTTGCACAGGGCCAGCACTCTCCATAGCATCGTGCACCACAACAAAGCACTGGGTCTTATACAATGCTGAGGCTAACTCTTGAGGCAGTTCCCTCCCCTCCCTGGGATGACAGAGTCTGTTGCCTTTGGCCATCATCCTTTTTTGTGCTGGAATTTATTTGCTCCTACCCATCTGTTTGAAATCAACTGTTGGACAATATAGTATTTACTTAGATTTCCCCACCCTTATTTCAAATCCTCAGGGCCTTTCCTCTTCACCCTGTTTGATAGGTGAGGTCGAGAAAACAGGGCTTTAACCCACTTAGGAGCAGCTATCCATAAATGGTTGGCATTTTTCTCTTAAATATTTTTCTCTCTCTTTGTGATAATCGGACAATTGAACTTCTTATCTTTACTGTTGTGTGCTTTTCATGACAATGGAACAAGCCATGCTTGTCCACCAGGTCCTAAAAAGAGGGCAGTGGAAAGGCCTTTTCTCTGTGCTGCCTCTTGGAAGGCTGCCCGTGGTCAAGACAGCTGGAGACCTCTGTGCCATTTCGTTCGAAATGTTGACACAGCTCTGGATTAATTTCCTTCTGTTTCTCTGCACTCCTCCCTTGCTGTTCTTTCCAAGTGAACAAGGCACACATTTTATGAGCGTTTCATTTCTCCTTGTGCTGTTTTGCGTAAAGCGCAGATTTGTAGGAAGGCTTGAACTGTCTTTACTGTAAAAGTTCCAATATATATATAAAATCGGCTTGTAGCCTTGAGATTGAAACATTTTGGAACTAGCTAGATGCCCACTAAATGAATGGCATGCTTGAATCTGTCCTGTTTAGAGCTTGGAATTTTAAAAAATAGGGAGAGGGCGAAGAGAGGGGATTGGTCAGCTGGCTGCCAGTGTCACAGCTGGCCCAACATGCAGCTATGATTGAGGGCCAAGGGAGAGAGGGCTGGTCTGTGTCTGGAAGCTGGGCAACCTAGTTTGGGACGACTCCTGGATTATTTCTTCCAACGGAAAGATTAATCATTGAATCAGTAAAATAATGTAAAATGTAATGTGTTTTTTACCATGCATAATTCCTTTGATGCCAAGTCCACGATGTGGCTGCCAACAGGCTTGGTGCTAGAAGCCGAGAGGTAGCAGCAGCCTTTTCAGTACTTTCCCTTTGCTGATCTAGAATCATAGAATCATAGAGTTGGAAGAGACCACAAGGGCCATCGAGTCCAACCCCCTGCCAAGCAGGAAACACCATCAGAGCACTCCTGACATATGGTTGTCAAGCCTCTGCTTGGCAGCAAATTCCACTGTCGAACAGCTCTTACTGTCAGGAAGTTCTTCCTAATGTTTAGTTGGAATCTTCTTTCTTGTAGTTTGGATCCATTGCTCCGTGTCCCCTTCTCTGGAGCTGCAGAAAACAACCTTTCTCCCTCCTCTATGTGACATCCTTTTATATATTTGAACATGGCTATCATATCACCCCTTAACCTCCTCTTCTCCAGGCTAAACATGCCCAGCTCCCTTAGCCGTTCCTCATAAGGCATCGTTTCCAGGCCTTTGACCATTTTGGTTGCCCTCCTCTGGACACGTTCCAGTTTGGCAGTGTCCTTCTTGAACTGTGGTGCCCAGAACTGGACACAGTACTCCAGGTGAGGTCTGACCAGAGCAGAATACAGTGGCACTATTACTTCCCTTGATCTAGATGCTATACTCCTATTGATGCAGCCCAGAATTGCATTGGCTTTTTTAGCTGCCGCGTCACACTGTTGGCTCTGTGGTGTGCAGATAAGTGAGGAAACTCTTACTGTTCCTCTGGGTTTCTGATTAAGGGCAGGAATATAGTCAGATTCTCTGCACCACTTGGCAGGGTAGGACAGATGACCAGGCTGCCAGCTGACTGCATGCACACTGTGGAAAGTTACCAACCTGGTCCTCTCCGGATCTTTGGAACTACAATTCTCAGCACCTCCAGCCAGTCTAGCTATCTGCTTTGCATGCTGAAAGTCTCAGGTTCAGTCGCTGGCATCTCCAGGTATGGCCTGGAACACCCCCTGCTTGAAACTCTTTATAGCTGCTGCCAGTCAGTGTGGGCAGTACTGAGCAAGGTGGACCAGTGGCTTGGTTCACTATGAGGTAGCTTGCTTTGTAATAATTTCATTGAATTTTCAAAAGTTGGACGTATATACTTCAATACATAATAATTTTAACTTTTCTCAACTTCCTGCCCCATTTTCCATTGTGTTTCAGTCCCCCGCTTTCTGCACAATACCTTCTTATACCAATATATCAATACTATATTCTCTAATTCCTTCTGTTGCTCACATTTCAGATCCTGCTTGCGAGTTCATCAAACTATATTTCCTGAGATAGTCCAAAAAGGGCTTCCATTCTTAGTATAAGAGAGCTTTTCCTATGTTCTTGTGCTGGTGGGAGTTATAGTTGAACCACTCTGAGATCTATGGGTGTGGGGCAGTATACAAATTTAATAAATAAAAATAATAAATAATAGACCAAACATCTGGACGGCAGAAGCAAAGGTTAAGTTACCACATGGCTAAGGGCCATCTGGATTCACTGTGAGCAAGGCTTGCTGTGTATGTAGAAATTAAGGCATATATGTAAGTCCTGCTGCTGTTTTTGGCATTGCATTTTAATTCTGTTTCTAATGGCACTTGTACACATTGTGATGCCACCAGTGCAGGATAGTCCAGTGCGGTGGATTCCAGTTATGGTAAGGTCAGGTGAGCCAGGGTTGCTGAGAAGAACAATCACATGGGGGGAAAACTTGCCTGCAATTACACAGAGAAGTTATTTCTTTGCTACAAATCAAGCATAGAGAGACGTGCTATTATTCTGGTTTGTGAAATCAGAGCAGATGCATGGCAGATAAAACAGAAAACCTTCAAGCATGCATTAAAGGGAAAGTGTGGGATAAAGAAGCCTATTCGGAAGAAACCAGCCAGCCTTTGACTTGTTGATGCCCTCTGAATATTCATTTTTATTTATAAAGCTTACTTTTTGATAGAATGCCTAAAGTCATGAATCAAGCAATTAAAACAAAATACCTGTTACAAACAGAACAATACTTCAAAACTAGCAGCAGCAATGTGGAAATGACACCAGCTTGGGCCTCTGTCAGTGTTATTTTAAACACCTTTCTTGAACAAAAATTGATGCTTGAGCATGCTGGCAAAAAGCATGCAGAGATGGCATTAAGTATGTTTCCTCAAGGCAGTTGAGTTTGGTAGAGCAAAGAATTGGTGATCTGAAGTGGTGATGAGGTACGTCTGGGAGGAGCCATTCCTTCTGGTGTGTTAAGTAGTAGTGGTACGGACTGGCTAAGTACCGTATTTTTTGCTCTATAAGACTCACTTTTTCCCTCCTAAAAAGTAAGGGGAAATGTGTGTGCATCTTATGGAGCGAATGCAGGCTGCGCAGCTATCCCAGAAGCCAGAACAGCAAGAGCGATCGCTGCTTTCGCTGCGCAGCGATCCCTCTTGCTATTCTGGCTTCTGGGATTCAGAATATTTTTTTTCTTGTTTTCCTTCTCCAAAAACTAGGTGCGTCTTATGGTCTGTTGCGTCTTATAGAGCGAAAAATATGGTAATTAACTATTAACAATTAGACAGCTTTCAACATGGATAAACTGCAATGGTTTCTTTGCCTGCCTCTCCTGGTTCACTTTCATACAGGGCAGTTGGTTGGCCCTCCACTACGGTTGTGCCAATGTTGGTGGTAGAAAAGGACACAGTCTGGCTTACTCATGGACAGACACAGGGTGGGGTATTTGCCAGCTTGTCTGCCTCCCTCTCCTCTTCCCTCATGAGTGATGTGTGCAGTTTAATAAAATGAAACTCGTCTCACTCTTTTAAAAAATACTCTCTGCTCTCTTACGGCCGTTGCTTTTATTACTGTCATTTCTCACACATTCCTTCTTGTTGCTTCCATTAGATCTGGTGGCTGGATCCCGAGCTGACCTACGGCAACGCCAAGCCATTCGTCTTCACGCAAGGCCATTCCGTGTGCAACCGCTCCTTCTTCCCCTGTTTTGACACGCCAGCTGTGAAATGTACTTACTCCGCCATTGTCAAGGTAGGAGGAAGCCTGTAACAAACCACCGTTTCCTTAGGGAGGAGACACAGTCGTTCAGGTTGCTGTGCTCTGTGAAATGTTGGGATCTGTCTGAACAGACCTGCTCGGGGGAAAAGTTTGGTGCTTTCCCTTATATCATATTAATACTTCTGGGATGGGTGTTTGGCTAACAACTTTTCCTTTATCTGCTGGGTCTGTTGCCAGAAGGCCATGTGCAGGTAGGCAGTCAAGTTCTAAGCATCCCGCCCCCTTCCCAAAGAACTCTGGTTCTTTTTCTTCAGGAGTTGGATTCTGAACTAAATATCACTTTGGGCATCCATGAGCCACTGTCTTTTATACCTCTTGATTCATTTCAATCAGCACAAGAGACTTTGATCTGTGTCTCCTTGTTCACTCAAGTGCTTGGAGGATTAGGCTGAGCTGACTTCAGACTTGTGCGGGATTGCTTTTTTGTTTTGTTTATTACTAGAACCCCTGCGGTCCACGGGTGTGCTTTAAATTTTAAAAAGCAAGAGTACACACTGAGGCTCTCTTAAGGCATAACTAATTTGCGTTAAATGCTTTTGAGCATTAACGCTCTCTCACAAATGTAGCTGCCTGACATTCAAATTGAAGTCTGATTCAGCATCCTTTTTGAAAGGCTGACAATACTGGTCCATGAGAAACTGGCTAGTTGGTATATTAGTGGGTCACAATCTCCCCTTCTTCTCACCCCAGGCTAGGGCAGAGACACCTTGCTTCAACTGATACTGCTCACACCTCTTGAATATCCTTCCTAGAAAAAGCTGTCCGGCTGTCTAATCTCTTGTTGTTGTTATCTCAGATGCCAGAGGGTTGGCAGGAAGGATTTCCCAATGGTACGAGCTGGGGCTTTAGTGCCCTTTACTGCTCTTTTGACCTACCAGTGACTAGCAGAGCAACAAAAAGTTATGCAGACTTGGATAAATTATGGAAATCTTCTCATTTTTCACAGTTTATATAGAGTTCCGTTTATCTTAGGAATTTGGATTGCATGGGCAATTTCTATTTTTTTTAGTGCACATTTGCCTGGTTTGCATGTCACCAAACAGCGGTGAATGTGTGAGTTCCCAGAGAAGAACTCACAGCTGCTCCCCACTCCTTTTTCGGTTTTGCTCCTGCACTGGGCTGAACTAAGCCCAGGTTTGGCTTAGCCTGTTGTCCAAACCCAGACTTGTAGTTAAACTCTCTCCTTACCAACTGCAAGCACTAGTCAAGAAAAAGCCTTTGCTACAGTTTGTGGTTAGAGGAGCGAGCTTCACCCCATAGGAACAAGGGAAGCTGCCTTGTTTATCTAGCTCAGTATTGTTTATCTAGCTCAGCACAGACTGGCAGTGACTTTCCAGGGTTTAAACAGGGAGACTTCCCCAGCCTTACCTGGAGCCGCCAAGGATTGAACCTGGGATCTTGTGCAGGCAAAACAGATGCTCTGCCCCTGAGTTAGAGCCCTTCTTGTGTTTGGATGTCATGCCAAGTCAAACCTTGGCTTAGCTCAGCGCAGCACAAGAAAAACAAAAAGGACCAGAGAAGAGCAAAGTGGCTGTGCTTGCTCCTCTCCAGGACTCTGCATGTTTGCACACAGTCCTGGTAAGCCACAGTTTAGCTTGCTGGGATGTGCAGACTAGGCAACTGAGTTTTGTGCAAACCAGCTCTTAGTCTCCTTGGCCCGTAGAGCATCCTGACAGCCCGTTGCTTGTTTCCCAGGCTCCTGCAGGTATGCAAGTGTTGATGAGTGCTACCCAAAGCACCTATGAGGAAGAAGAGGGCACCTATCAGTTCTACATGGAATACCCAATTCCTGCTTACCTTGTGGCACTGGTGGCAGGGGACCTTGTACCTGCAGACATTGGTCCTAGGTAAGCTACTTTTGTCTGCCTGAGCTGTGCTCGTTGTGAGGAGCTGCTTTAGCAGCCTTTCAAATGTGCCCACAAAGTTCATTAGCCTGCATGTTTTCAATGTTCTTTTACTACATGCATTTTTGTGCTGGTGGTGGAAGAGTAGAAAACTGCTTCCCACTGAGCAGAGTGGTGGAGAAGGGATAGAGTGATCCAGGTGCCTTCCTCTGGCCTGTTGCATTTCCATCCTGGTGGTGGAGGAATAGACTTTCCTTCTCATGGTTTCTGTCACAGAAACCAAGTGGACTGGTCGAGGAAGGATGGAGCAATCTATGCCTCCTCCACCAGCCCGCTTGCTCGCCTGCACGGAATCCTTGCTCACCTGCTGCAACCAGGCTAATACGTAAATACAAGGCTTGTGCTTGGAAGTCATCGAGCCGGATGGATCAGGAAAAGCCATTCCTGGTGACATGGGACATGGCACACTTGTAGATCAGACCTGTGCAGCTTGAACACTGCTGACTAGTTGTGCCACAAGACACCTGCCACACAGTGTGGCATCTCCATATCCAGGAAAATATTTGCGGCTTTTGCCTAATCATCAATCAGGAACTTTACTTAGACCAGGGGTAGTCAACCTTTTTATCCTACCGCCCACTAATGCATCTTTCTTGGTGGTTAAATTTCCTTACCGCCCACCAGTGCTCGATGGAAGGAGGATTCAGCTTGTGCCATAGAACCCCTTCCCGCCCACCTAGAATCCTGAAACACCCACTAGTGGGCAGTAGCGACCACGTTGACAACCCCTGACTTAGACCTTGAAATTGTCTGCAAATGTCTATTTTAGTTTTCGTAACAGGGAATCACTAGTGAATGATATGAATGGCGGAACCAGCATGAAGTCAGTGAGTTGACTGTTGCTGTCTTTGTAACAGGAGCAAAGTGTGGGCGGAACCATGCCTGCTGTCAACAGCTATCAGCAAACTCTCGGGTCGGGTTGAGCGCTGGCTCAGCGCTGCAGAGAGCCTCTATGGGCCCTATATATGGGGAAGGTAGGTTTGGTGCATTCACGCTTTTGGAATAAAATTGAAGGTATCTGTAGAGGCAGTGATTCAGGAGTTCCAAGGGCCTCTTTTCTAGCCTGCCACCCACACCTCTTGGGTACCAAGAATGGTATCAGGTGTCCAATGGGTGCCTCATCCGGAAGGGTTTTATTCTGAAGTTAAGGGTGCTTTGGCAAATTGTGAGCACGCTGTTTCCTTGCACAGAAAACTTGGAATAATATAAAGTCTGGCTCATTCTGACACAGAGTGCAAAAGGATCAGAATCCAGAGCTAATGGGTAAAATGTTAGACTTTTAAATGGTGGTTTTTCAAAGGGTTATAATGAGCCTCCCTCAGTCAAGAATACAACAATTGTTCAAGGCTCTTCATGGAGTCATAGAATCATAGAACAGAATTATAGAGTTGGAAGGGACCCTGAGGGTCATCTAGTCCAACCCCCTGCAATGCAGGAATCTCAACGAAAGCAGCCATGACAGACAGCCATCCAATCTCTGCTTAAAAATCTCCGAAGAAGGAGAGCTCACCATTTTCTGAAGGAGTCCATTCCACTGTTGAAAATCTCTTACTGCCAGAAATTTCTTCCTGATGTTTAGTCGGAATCTCCTTACTTGTAACTTGAATCCATTGGTTCGGGTCCTACCATCCAGAGCAGCAGAAAACAAGTTTTCTCCATCTTCCATGTGTCAGCCCTTCAGATATTTGAAGATGGCTATCCTATCTCCTCCCAGTCTCCCCTTTACCAGGCTAAACATACCCAATTCCCTCAACTGTTGCTCATCAGGCTTGGTTTCCAGACCCTTGATCATCTGGGTTGCCCTCCTTTGCACACGTTCCAGCTTGTCAACATCCTTCTTAAATTGTGGCAGGTGAATGTGGGAGGGGAGGCATTGCCGTAGCTGTGGAGGGCTGCATTATTCTTTCATTCTCCTTCTGCAAGTAGAAAGACTGTGATAAATAAGGGGCTAGTCCATTGGATTGTGTGCCATTATAAAGGAACTCCAGAACTGATTTTGTGCAGTGTGTTACAGGGCTTGAGTCCTTGCTCAAAGCCAGTCCCTGTCTTAATCTACCCCCATAACATGGGAAAATCTCAGGTTTGCCGCTCTCAGCTCCTTTGAGAAGTGGTGGATGTGTAACATACAGCCAACCCTACCACTTAAATGGCAGTTTTTCTCCCACTGCACCCAGAGTGCACAGATGGGCTAGGAGAGACTGGGAACAGGCAGTTTTAGGGTGGCGTGATTGGTGAGGTCGCACTGGGGCACCAAAACAATGCTTTAGAACAGAGCTCAAGAGGCTCTCACAGGGCGCTGCTGAAATTGAGAGCCCAAAGTCCTCCACTGCTGGGAAGGAGGACTCCTCTATGCATTTCCTCACAATTGTGAGAATTATGGCTCCAAGGTCCTGAGAGTGACCTGCATCCTCCCCGCCCCCTCCTTGCCCCTTCCAGGTACGACATCGTTTTCCTTCCTCCCTCTTTCCCCATTGTCGCCATGGAGAACCCCTGCCTCACCTTCATAATCTCTTCCATCCTGGAGAGCGACGAATTCCTCATCATCGATGTCATCCACGAAGTGGCCCACAGCTGGTTTGGCAACGCCGTCACCAATGCCACGTGGGAAGAGATGTGGCTGAGCGAGGGGCTGGCCACTTACGCTCAGCGCCGGATCACCACTGAGACCTATGGTAAGCGGCAGGGTAGGTGGCGCTTCCGTGACCTTGTTTACATCATTTGAAAAGAAGAACTTGTTTCAGCAACCTGGGTGCCGTTAGCAGGGGCGCTCAAGAGCTGCCATTCTTATAGCATCTACAGTTTCTAACTAAGCATCAGGGAGCTGCAGTCCTGATGCTCTAGATCTTTTGGAGCTCCTGATACTTCCCAAATAACCATTCTCAACAAATTGGAAGCCAGGCTCAAGATACCTCCCCACGGCTCCTCCCCTCCCGGGAGCAAATTTCCCCTTCGTCTCCTGACGTCCGTAAAGCAGTTTGTCAGTCCTTTGGCGAAAGCCATCATTATTTAATCAAGATCTGAAACCATTATTTGAAGTGGGTTTTAGATCCCGCCTCAAGAGTAGCCCTAATTCCCTTCTACGATTGGATTGAAGACTTACACAAACTTGCAACGTGTGAACAACTTGCATATAAACGCAGACTTGTCATGGACAAATTCAGTGACATTTGGAATCCATTCTTAAAAATACTATAATAGGTTAAGATCTGGTGAAATGCAATAACAACCTTACAGTTAACACGAGGGCTGTTTAAGCAGTATCCCAAGGGCAAGAAGAGAGAAGCTTAACTAGTCCGGAACTAGCTTTAAAAAAAGTTGCTTCAGTATTTTGTCTCGGTACGTGAATTCTAGAGGGGTAGTCAGGTTGCAGAGTCCTGCAATCCTGTATCATCTCACAATTGCTGTTAACCTTTTTTCTTTCTGTTTAATCAAATGGTACATCAGCACACATGTAATCAAGCAAAATCCCCTCTCCATCTATTTATATGTACAGAACCAAGAATCCTGCTCTCACAGTCTTTTAATCATACCCAACCTTGACCTCTGAAGACAAATAAGATAGGAAATCAGAGGAGAGATTGAAACGGAAACAACTGAATTTTAATGAGACTACTCTGGAGTCGATGAATTGTGGGTTGCAGCTTGATTCTTGGTTAACTGATACACAAAAAGGTTTCCAGTTCCATGCAGAAAATGTCCCAGTTTATGTGATGCACTTGAACAGCTCAACATGTGGTAGCAGCTGTCACATAACTTGATTTAAAATTGCCTTTAGGGTGACAGCCCTAAAGTTTACACCATTCCATCACCTGCTTCCTTGAGATCCTGTGCCATCTCCTCTGCTGAACACTGGGCGTTTCTTGGGAAGCCCAGGATTTCAACTTGGTCATTTATCTCAGATTAGCTGCTTGCTCTTGGCCTTCATTTCACCAGTTCCTGAAGCAGTGACCTACTTCACAGCAGTTGTGGGCAGAAGATTGATTACAATCAACTGGTAAATGTCTGGACAATCTGCAGTAGATCAGAATTCTCTAAATTAAGCTGCTGAACTAAAGAAAGCTTTGGGGGGAAACCAGGAGCGGATTTTTGTGTGGAAGGACTATGAGCTCAGTTGAGGTTCTGGATATAAATTCCTGGGCTAAGCGTGTGCTCAGAGGTACCTTGCACCGATTCCAAGTCTATATCCTACCCACTATTTTGCAGTTGGCTCCAGTTGGGTTCCCTTGGGGTTTTAGTGAAAAACAGAGGAAGCAGATGCCACAAACCTGAAGTTTGCCCACCCCTTCTCTGTAAAATTGTTGTAAGGCTGAATGAACTAATTTCTTTCCCTGAATCTTAATTATAATGCCAAGATTGAAGGGTTTTGCAATTTGGCAATGTAGCTTCTTGTAGTGTTTGGGTGGCCTTCCATGATGTCACAGAAGGGTGGGGACAGTCTGCCAGTAGGTGAGCTGTTCAGATGGTAGCAAGGACTGGGTCAGAATGGTGAGGTCCTGTGAAGAGAGCAGGCCTAATAGGGTGGGTCACAGGGAGGTTAGGAAATGGGGTTTGGAACTGGGAGCGGTCCAGAGGAGGGAAGGCAAAAGCAGAAGGCCACGAGAGGTGTGTGAGAGGGCCGGAGGGACTGGGAGAGAGAATGATCAGAGAAAAGAGGTGGCTAGGAGCTGCAACGGGAAGGGAAGCTGAGGTCCACATGTATATTTGAAATACACAGACAGATTTTTGGCTGCAGGCTTCAGGCACCAATACATTTTGTTTTCGTGTGCAGGTGCTGCCTTTACGTGCCTGGAGACTGCCTTCCGCCTTGATGCCCTCCACAGGCAGATGAAGCTCCTTGGGGAGGACAACCCTGTTAGCAAGCTTCAGGTGAAGCTGGAGCCAGGTATGTCCTGCGTTGAGATTAGCCGGCTGGGTCTCGGCTTTTATAAAACAGGCCGGCTCACCCTGACCATCTCTGGCTTCCTGTTATGCATGAGCTTCTGCTATCATGGCTGTAATCTCATCCCAACCCTCCACCCCTGGAAGCCTGAAATAGGTGGCTGCATCCTGGGTCAGTTCCACTAAGCGAATTCAGTGTCGCAGAGAGAGGCCAAGCATGAAATATCACAGCACAGTGGAAGTTGTTATCAAAATGCTGCTCTAAATTAGGGGCAGGCAACGAGCTTTTGCGATAAAGTATGGAGGTGGTTATTTTGGATTTCAGTTCCACAACACGCCCCTGCATTGCCGGGTTCCCTTCTTTCCCTCATCTCCCTGCTTCTTTACATTCTTTGACTACAGAAGGGTCTATAAGGCTGCAATTCTTACTACTAATCGTAATACTTTATTATTTGTACCCAGCCCATCTGGCTGGGTTTCCCCAGCCACTCTGGGCGGCTTCCAACAAGGATTAAAAATACATCAAAATGTCACATGTTAAAAACTTCCCTGATGTCTTCTAAATGTCAGGACGCGGGTGGCGCTGTGGGTAAGACCTCAGTGCCTAGGACTTGCTGATCGTAAGATCGGCGGTTCGAATCCCCGCGGCAGGGTGAGCTCCCGTCGTTCGGTCCCAGCTCCTGCCCACCCAGTAGTTCGAAAGCACTCTTAAGTGCAAGTAGATAAATAGGTACCGCTCTATAGCAGGAAGGTAAACGGCGTTTCCGTGTGCTGCGCTGGTGCTGGCTCACCAGTGCAGCTTCGTCACGCTGGCCACGTGACCCGGAAGTGTCTTCGGACGGCGCCGGCTCCCGGCCTCTTAAGTGAGATGAGCGCACAACCCTAGAGTCGGTCACGACTGGCCCGTACGGGCAGGGGTACCTTTACCTTTACTAAATGTCAGGTACCGTATTTTTCGCTCCATAAGACACACCAGACCATAAGACGCACCTGGTTTTTGGAGGAGGAAAACAAGAAAAAAAATATTCTGAATCCCAGAAGCCAGAACAGCAAGAGGGATCGCTGCACAGCGATCCCTCTCACTGTTCTGGCTTCTGGGAGAGCTGCAAGAAGCCTCTTCAGGGCAGTGGGATGAAGGCTCCCCCTCCCCTGAAGAGGCTTCGCGCGGTTAAGCCAGAAGCTAGAACAACAAGTGGGCTCGCTGCACAGCGATCCCTCTTGCTGTTCTGGCTTCTGGGATAGCTGTGCAGCCTATATTCGCGCCATAAGATGCACACACATTTCCTCTTACTTTTTAGGAGGGAAAAAGTGTGTCTTATAGAGCGAAAAATACGGTAGTTCTTTATCTCTTTGACATCTGATGGGAGGGCGTTCCACAGGGCAGGTGCCACTACCGAGAAGGCCCTCTGCCTGGTTCCCTGTAGCTTTGCTTCTCGCAGTGAGGGAACTGCCAGAAGGCCCTCGGCACTGGACCTCAGCGTCCAGGCAGAACGATGGGGGGTGGAGACGCTCCTTCAGGTATGCTGGGTTGAGGCAGTTTAGGGCCTTAAAAGTCAACACCAACACTTGGAATTGTGCTTACTGCCTGACAGTAAGCCTAAACCCCACTGAACTCTGTAGGATTGCACTGTAAGAACCCCAGGAGATTACTAAGGCCTAACTGCTAGATAACTTGATGGTAATACCTCAAGGACCTCCTCTCCCCATATGAACCAACCCAGACCCTGTGATCACCATCTGAGGCCCTTCTTTGTGTGCTTCCTCCAGGAAACACTCTTACGCCACTTTCACAGCTGTGGCTTCTCCCAAGTGACCCTGGAAACTGTAGTTTGTAAAGAGTGATGAGAATTCTTAGGAGACCCTTAACAAACTGCAGTACCCAAGATCCTTTAGAGGAAACTATGAAAGTGGTACAAGGGTGCTATTTTATTTTTATTTTCCTTCCCTTCCCTTTTTATAAATTTATTTATTTGTGGGGGGTTTTCAGATTAAAATTTTACAGTCACATATCCAACATACGACATAGAAACAAGATTCCAAAGAATCTCCTGGATTTCCGTCCTCCCCTTTGTGGGTCCTATTGTTAATCATTTCCTCTTGCATCTTTTAGAACAATCCAAATCTTTTACCTCTCCATTGTGTCCAAAATTCACCATTAAACTACAAGTGTTATTCCAATCCTACTAACAATTTTAGCTGTTTACAATGGTTTTTAAGATAAATTATAAATTTCTCCCATTCCTTATTAAAATGTTGGTCTTCCTGATTTCCTTTCCTTTCCTTTCCTTTCCTTTCCTTTCCTTTCCTTTCCTTTCCTTTCCTTTCCTTTCCTTTCCAAGATCCCAGGGTGGTTCACAGCAGAAAAACAGAAAATGAGAATATAAAATACAGTGGTGCCTCGCAAGACGAAATTAATCCGTTCCGCGAGAGTCTTCGTCTAGCGGTTTTTTCGTCTTGCGAAGCAAGCCCATTGACGGATTAGCGCTATTAGCGCTATTAGCGGTTTAGCGGCTATTAAAGGCTTAAAGGCTTAGGGATTAGCTGCTAAAAGGCTATTAAAGGCTATTAAAGGCTTAGCAGATTAGATAAAGGGGGGGAAAAGCGAAAAAAAAATCTCAAGACGCGCAAGGTATTTTCGTCTTGCGAAGCAAGCCCATAGGGGAATTCGTCCTGCGAAGCAACTTCAAAACGGAAAACCCTTTCGTCTAGCGGTTTTTCCGTCTTGCGAGGCATTCGTCTTGCGGGGCACCACTGTACATAATAAAACAAAAATAAGCCAATACCCGCCCCCCCACAAACAGATTTTAAAAGCCATAGAATCCTAATCAGCCAAATGCCTGGTTGAAGAAGTGTGGCTGTGACCACAGATTCATGCCTCTCCCTCTTGCCTTCTCCATTTCCTGCTCTAGATTGCAAACTCTTGGCATGTGGGGTTGCAGGGGCCTGTTTCATGTTTTGCTTCTGAAACTTTATGGAGCACCATAGACACTGATGATGTTGTATAAATAAGTCATTAAAAACCGTAATCTAAGGAGGAGGGGGAAAAGCTGTGGACCAAGGAAGCTTCTGATGGCATTTTTGCTTGCAGCTTTACCAAGATACTACTGTGTTCTCTCTCTCTCTCTCTCCTTCCCTCCCCTTGCCTATCCCCCATCCCTCGCTCTTACAGGTGTGAATCCTAGCAATCTGATGAACCTCTTCACGTACGAGAAAGGTTACTGCTTTGTTTACTACCTGTCTCAGCTCTGTGGAGACCCAGCACGCTTTGATGCCTTCCTTCGAGTTAGTAACTTGGGTTTCAGAGGCGGGGTGTGTCCGTGTGCATGTATGTGAGACTCTTGCCTGTATGCATTTCCCTTTGAGACACCCAGGAGAAAGAGAGGGATGTCAAATTTAGAAAAGGAGGAGGAGAGGCAGTTGGCATGCTTTAAGCAAGGGCTTGAAAATAGCTGTTTGTTAGATGAGAATACCTCTGCAGGAGACCGCTCAGTGAAATAGATCAGCAAAGGGTCCCAGTTAAAACAACTCAGTCAATAATAATAATAATAATAATAATAAATTTATACCCTGCCCATCTGGCTGGGTTTCCCCAGCCGCTCTGGGCAGCTTCCAACAGAATATTAAAATACAATAGTCTATTAAACATTAAAAGCTTCCCTAAACAGGGCTGCCTTCAGATGTCTTCTAAAAGTCTGGTAGTTGTTTTTCTCTTTGACATCTGATAGGAGGGCATTCCACAGGGTGGGTGCCACTACCGAGAAGGCCCTTTTCCTGGTTCCCTGTAACTTGGCTTCTCGCAGCGAGGGAACCGCCAGAAGGCCCTCGGCACTGGACCTCAGTGTCTGGGCAGAACAATGGGGGTGGAGACGCTCCTTCAGGTATACTGGGCTGAGGCCGTTTAGGGCTTTAAAGGTCAGCACCAACACTTTGAATTGTGCTTGGAAACGTACTGGGAGCCCGTGTAGGTCTTTCAAGACCGGTCAAAGCAATGAGTTGGGAGGTAGTGGAGAAGGAATAAAAGACAGAAGGGGTTTCATGGCAAACACCCATCTTGAGAATGTGGCCTACATGTTGCCAGAGACCCCCCCTTTCACTGCTTGTCCCCCCATCCCCACAAGTGTTAAGGAAGAAATCAAGTAAGCAGCAGTTAGAAAATAGAGGCTGGTGCTGGTGGTCTTCAGGTGAAGAGCTGATGCCTGGAAAGTGAGGCAATGCTTAAGGGGTCCTGAGTCAGAGCTCCAGAAACTGCTGGGCTGGATGCAGCAAGAGGAGCAGGAACGGGGATATATATTACTGTTGTTCTTAATATTAATACATTGATTATTTCATTTCAGTATCCTTATATTGTATTTTTATTTTTCACTGTAAGCTGCTCTGAGTGATATTTTAATAGAAAAGCGGGGCATACTGTTCTAATCTGATCCAAGCAGCTGACATGGCAATGTATGCTAGATAAATCTCCACTGGCTTTCTCAGGCGTGGCTTCAGGCTCGTTCTGCCGTTAGCCTGAGTCTTGTGTTCATGTACGCCAAGAGATGCTGCCTGTCGTGCAAGCCAGTTGCATCCCTGCTCTCCAATTACCAACAACTTTCTGGAGCATTATATATTTTATTTCTGCATTCAGCCTGGCCTTCCTAAAGGATTGAAGTGCCAAATAATTTAAAGGAAGTTCTTGTGACAGATGAATGTCCCTTAGTGAATCTTTAGGAGGAAGGAGTTTCATGATTTGGGGTGTTAGTGGTAATGTGGGTTTACATAAGTCCTTCCTTCCTTCCTTCCTTCCTTCCTTCCTTCCTTCCTTCCTTTCTCTCTCTCTCTCTCTCTCTCTCTCTCTCTCTCTCTCTCTCTGTCTCTCTCCCCTATGCAGTCTCCTGTGGGAAATAGACTTTCCTTACCTGTTGCATCTCACTTTTTCCTCTGCATGCTTGTTCCATCCCCCTTCGCCTTCTCTGTTATTGCCCTTCCTTCCCCGTTATTTATATGATTTTGCTACTTAACTGTCTTTCTCTTTCCCCTGAAACTTGCCAACTCCTTGACCCATTCTCCCGGCTCTCTTCCAGGCCTACATCGAGAAGTACAAGTTCACTAGCGTTGTGGCCCAAGATCTCTTGGATTCCTTCCTGGCTTTCTTTCCAGAACTGAAAGAACAAAGCATTGAGAGCAGAACAGGTAGAGAATAACACATTGGCTGCTTTTGCTTTCCTTGACGTGCGGTGAGAATAAATGACCCTGGGAGCTTTCGCACTAGCATCATCTTCATTCCGTGGGTTTGCAGTGCAGCAGCTGTTGTGCCATTCGGACAGGGACAGAGAGAGGGGACGGCTCCACAGTCATGATGTTTTGTGTGGGCCTCTTTGGCAGTCAGGTGGTAAAGAGGCTGGGATGGGATGGGAGAAACCAAGGGTCTGGAAACCAAGCCTGATGAAGAACCGTTGAAGGAGCTGGGGATGTTTAGCCTGGAAAAGAGGAGACTGGGAGGATATGTGATAGCCATCTTCAAATATCTGAAGGGCTGCCATATGGAAGACGCAGCAAGCTTGCTTAATGTTATTCCAGAGGGTAGGACTTGAACCAATGGCTTCAAGTTACAAGAACATCAGGAAGAACTTGTTGTCTGTAATAATAATAATAATTATTATTATTATTATTATTATTTATATCCCGCCCTCCCCAGCCGAAGCTGGGCTCAGAGCAGCTAACAACAATAAAAGTAACACAGCATTCTAAAATCAGTTCAAAATCAAATTAATGGCTATCATTGGGCTAGAGTTCTAAGAGGATTATCAAAGGAGGGGGTCAGACTGTGCCTTGGCCAAAGGCCTGGTGGAACAGCTCTGTCTTGCAGGCCCTGAGGAAAGATGTCAAGTCCTTCAGGGCCCTAGTCTCTTGTGACAGAGCGTTCCACCAGATTGGAGCCACAGCCGAAAAAGCCCTGGCTCTGGTTGAGGCCAGCCTAACCTCCCTGTGGCCCGGGACCTCCAAGATGTTTTTGTTTGAAGACCGTAAGGTCCTCCGTGGGACATACCAGGAGAGGCGGTCCCGTAGGTACAAGGGTCCTGTAGGTAAGAGCTGTTCAGCAGTGGAGCAGACTTCCTTGGAAGGTGGTGGACTCTCCTTCTTTGGAAACTTGGCTAGCCACCTGTCCTGGGTGCTTTAGTTGCGATTCCTGCATTGCAGGGGGTTGATGGAAGGTCTCTTCCAATTATCTGACTCTATGAGAAGCAGCAAAGAGCTGTCCCCTCTGGCCTGCCAGTGATTCAACTGTTTCTTGCACTGTTGCAGCTTAAGCTAAATCTGTAGGTTGCAATTCGTAGCAAAGGAGGAGAAGCCAGGGGCTGCGTTCAAGGAAGTCACAACTGTGAATTGCTTTCAATGGCTGACTCATCACTGATACTGGAATCTGAATATAGTTCATGCTGCTGCTGTTCTAAGTTCACACCACTTAGAGCTGGGAGGAGAAAAGGGAAGTATTTTAACAGGGTGTGGCCTGCAGCAAAGACATGTGGAGAGCTGGGTGGCTTGTATTGGTATTTAATCTAATTGCTGCTGGGTTTTAAGCTCTATATTTTCCATGGGCTACCATCTGCAGTTTCAAGAGTTTGTCCCTGTCCTCCTTCCCCTCTCTGACTGGTTGGTGTTGTGCCTGCCAGCAGAAAGGAGGATCCATCATGAATATCATCTCTAAAAGGTGCTGAGGAGAAGAAAGAAAGAAAACCAGGCTCGACAGAATTATGTCGCTTGTTTATTTAATTCCATTTATGAATTGCTTCCTATGAAACACCTTGAAGCGATTTAACAGTGAAAACATCAGCGATGAAGACATAGGCAGTTTCATGTGTAAAAACAGTTCAGATCCAATACAGATACAGATTAGGATAATAATAATAAAAAACTCCACTTAAAAGGCTTGTTGAATGGTGGTCTTCAGTAGAGACGGCACCTGTCTTCACATTTTGTGGAATTTATGTGGTGGATTTCTAGCCTGTCTTCTAGGGTATGTCCTCTTCCTAAGGTGGAGGTGATCCCAGAAGCAAGCGAGAGTACACTTGGCTCCTCCATCTGAGCAGGCAGGTTAAACAGCTGCAAAATTCCTTGAAGGCCCTCCTGAGCCTGTGGAACTGCCTGCCACTCCCTGCTCAACAGCCTGTGACACCCTGCTACTTGTTAGGGTTGTGTTTTAAACAACCCACAGATTTGTGCAAAGCCGTGGGGTCGTGTCTGAGAGAAATAGAAACTGCTCAGAGCAACAAAATGAACCCCACATGCAGATTGCATGGGAAATCAGGCTTATCTGGCGTGCATCTACTTTTCCTGTCAAAGCACATGTGGTTAACTAGATTGCCAGCCTCCACTGTTAGTTTGTTTTGGTAAGGATGCCTGCAGTTCTTCAAAGTGGTCCAGCATAAGACCATGCAAGTCCAATCCTTTCATGTGCATCTCCCCAGATATTCCCTGTAGGTCACCTGCTCATTGAATCACCGTAGCCCTGGGTCATATTAAAAAATCTATATCCAGCCCAAGCCTTACCAGATATATTCCATCTACCGTTCTGATCCATTGGTAAAATCTATATTAAAAGGAGTTGTATCCAATGTCAGCCCTATTCCGAATAAACCCATTGAAAATAATGGATGTGACTGACTGAGGTTCATTAATTTCACTGGACCTTCTTTGTTGGATACAGCCAAACAAGTCACAAACTGAGCATTGTACAAACAGAAAATTAAAAAGTTAAGAGTCTGAGTCCAGGGAAGCTTAGGTAAATACAAGAGTTTTCAAGCAGCATTTAAAGTTCATTGCAGTCTCCACCCCACCGATTACTCAAGGAAGGGGATATCATAGGGTATTGCTCTCATCAAGAAGATCCACTTCTGCATTGCCATGTGGTGACAAACCATTTTCTGTAGTGGCTGCCCGTTTGTGGAATGCTTTCTCCAGGGGGACTTGCCTGGCGCCTTCGTTATACACCTTTAGGCACCAGGCAAAAACATTCCTCTTCAACCAGGCCTTGGGCTGATTAACATATGATACCCTTTTAAATGTTTTTGTGGGGAGGGAAGTAGGTTATTGGTCTGTTCTTGTTTTTATTATATATTTTCTGTATTTTTTATCTTGCATTTCATGTTGTGAACCGTCCTGAAACCTACAGATGGAAGGGTGGTATAGAAATGTAAATAATAATAATATTGGTCATGAACTGACCTGCAGGGTCTCCTTGGAAGATCTTAAAAGCTTGGTGTGATTTGTACTGGGGCAGATGATCTGCCAGGATTCCTGACCTGTGTCATACCCAAGGACTGCAGTGTAAAGAATAATAGTGTTATTTCATGGCATTATCTGAGTAGGGCTTGGAGTGGGGAGAAGGGAGAGGCATGATTGTTTTGTGATATTGGAGATTAAGATTGCCTTGGCACATGGTCCATAGACTTGGGACTCATACTTTGCTTTACTTCATTGTGGAGCACATGTCTTGCATTCTGAAGGTCCCAGTTTCATAGAATCACAGAATCGTAGAGTGAAGTGAAGGCATGAGGTGGGAGTTGGTATTGCAGGTGAGCTGTGCAGAAGCACGCTGGCAAGCATGCTCCAAGACAAGCTGCCGGCCAGCTCTGTGGAGGCTCCTTTTATTAGCACAATATGCAAAACCAGTCAGATACATTTTGGACTGTGACCTTTACACATCTTCCAATCCTGAGATCGTGGGGTGGTACAAAGTTATTTTGGCAGCTGTTTCCACCGCGTCATTTCCCCCTTGCACAGTGTATGACAAAGGAGACAAAAGTCACAGACAGGGCACAGCAGACCACTAAGAGATCAAAGGTTAGATAGAGGGCATGATATTCAGACAGCTGTGGCTTTGTCTGTGGGTAAAAGTGTGCTCTACACCCAAAGGTCACGTGGTCAGACAGCCTGTGGCTTCTCTGCGGGTGGAAGTGTGCTCCATGTCTGGCAATCATTCCTTCAGTAGAGTTGGAAGGTACCCCAAGGAACATCTAGTCCAACCCCCTGCAATGCAAGAATCTCAACTAAGGGGTCTAAGACAGATGGCCATCCAACCTCGGCTTAAAAACCTCCAATGAAGGAGAGTCCACAGCTTTTCTACTGAGTACCATCCTCTGCTGAATGGTACACTGGTATCACGAGCAAAAAACATCCCCAGGGACAGGACTGAAGAAATATTTGTGCCTGAGATGCTGAAGGACCACTGCCAACCAGTACAGATAGTGTTCTGCTATCAGCCTGATCCAGTATAACATAGCTGCAAGTGCTCACAGAAACCTGACTGAAAAGAAGTGCAGGCCGCTCCCTGTCTGATTCCAGTTTGTGTGTCTGTTGCAGGACTAGAGTTTGAACGCTGGCTCAATGCGACGGGTCCTCCTTTAATTGAGCCAGACTTATCTCAGGGATCCAGTCTGACCTGCCCCGTGGAGACGCTCTTCAGCCTCTGGACTACAGAGCCTCTGGATGCTGTGGCTGCTGCTGGCAGCGTTGATATCGCAGAATGGCGGACGTTCCAGACCGTGCTCTTCCTTGACAGGCTGCTGGACGGGTCCCCGTTGCCTGAAGGTGAGGTTCGTTGAGCTGGCAGGTGAGCATCTGAGTCCCTACGTAGCTCAGACAGAAAAATTGGAAGGCCGCGAGTAAAAGGTTTGTACGGGAGACAGCCCTAAGTGTAAAACGGGAGCATGAGTGACCAGCCAGTAGTATGGAGCTGGAGGAGGAGAGGACAGGATCCCCTGGGAAACGCGACAAACCTGCTGTACCTGAAACTGGGTGTGGCGAGTGCAGCTGAATGGGACACAGCTGTGGGCAGCCTGAGGACGTATCACATGCCTTGTGCCTTCCCATAAAGAGTGGGAGACTAGGGTGATGTTTGCTGTTTCCAGGAACTCTTGTTGTGAGACTTTTGTGGGCTTGCTGAGTGTTTGTTTGGGCTCTGGGTGAGAACCCGGAGGCTGAGGAGGCGGGTGTGTCAGAAGGAAAATGAATTGATCTCTCTCTCTCTCTCTCTCTCTCTCCCTCCCCCTCCCTCCACACACACACACGCACACACACAACTTTGTATTAATGTAGCATTCTAATATGTAACTGTATTTTTGTAATATTTAAGTCGTCTGTTGTTGTTTAAGCTCTTCGTACACTGCTTAGAGATACTTTTAATATATTAAGCGGTATAGAAATTCAATAACCAAATAATGAATATTCAGGTCTTCCAGAGTTATCAGTAATAGACTCTGACAGCCAGGTGGCTTATTAGCCAGTAAGGAAACACTGCAAACTCCTAAGCAAAAGAGATGGTCGCAAGACGCTGCATCTCGCCACATCCATTTGGAGAAACAAATTGGCCAGTGTTTCACAGTTGTGGATTCTCTAGAGACGGCAAAAGCATGTCTTTTTATAAATTACAAAGATCCGGTCTAACTGTTACACACACCCAGGGGATCAGCATGCCTGTAGCCAGTTTGGGGGTAGGACTGCAATTTGGAAGGGTAGCCCATGTTTTGCATGCAAAAAATTCCAGGTCTGGTTTTGGCATCTCCAGGTAGAGCTGAGAAAGGTCTCTGTGTGAAACCCTGGAGAACCACTGCCAGCCAGTGCAGACAGTATTGAGTTAGATGGAGCAGTGGACCTGCACAATCCACCACAGCTTCCTATGTCCCTATGAGTTTCATTTCCTCCTTAGTATTATTCACAGCATCTCACCATATGAGCTGAAGCGGCCATGTTGTGAATGGCAGTGAATGTTAGCTGCCTTCGCTCATACAAACTTCAGAGCAAGCCAGATGCAGACCAAAATCTAGGGGCATTTTTTGCATTAAGGTGTGGTTGGGTTAGATTTGCAAATTCAGCCTTCTCAAGGATCTGAAGCCCTTCTGGGTTGGAGAATTGCCAGGCCTCCTGGTTCCATTTCTGAACGTTTCCCTATGTGCTCTTCAGAGGTGATATCAAAGCTCTCTGAGTGCTACTCGGCTCAGTTGGACGGCATGAACGCAGAGATTCGCATCCGCTGGCTACAGATCATTGTCCGCAACGACTACCATCCCGATCTTCACAAAGTCCGGCGCTTCTTGGAAAACCAGGTACTAACTTCCAGATTAAAAACGCCCTGCATCTCTCAGGGGCATGAGATTTGGGCATGAAACAACCCTGGAACTCCTGCTGATTGACCGAGTGTGTGGATCAGGTGTGTGGTGCAGTTTGTCGGCACGTGGAAACTGGTGGCTGAACTCACTGGTGGGCTGGATGAGGTTAGGCAGGTCAGTATTATGTTTCCTGTAGCGCAGACAGAGGACTGATGCTGAGAGAGGGTGGCTCGCCAAAGGCCGCCTGCCGAGTTTAAGGTTGGGAGCCAAACCAAGACTTCCTGATCCGTAGGAGGTGCTTTACACGGAGGAGGGAATCAAGAGGTGGAGGAAAAGCTTGGATGTGGGTGGGAAAGGTGCGAAGAACATCGCCCAGGAGGAGAGAGGAGGGATAAGAGATGAGAAGAGATGAGGGTGTAACAAGAAGGAGGACTCAATGAAATTAATGGATGTCGCTAACTTAAAGTTCAGTTACAGGTAGGTAGCCATGTTGGTCTGCCATAGTCGAAACAAAATAAAAAAATTCCTTCCAGTAGCACCTTAGAGACCAACTAAGTTTGTTATTGGTATGAGCTTTCGTGTGCATGCATGGAAAGAATTTTTTTTATTTTGTTTAGAGTTCAATGCGTCTGAGTGTATCTTGGATGCAACTCATGGTGTTTCAGTAGATTTTAAGAAGCCAATATATTTATATCTTCATTTTTGAATCTCTATTATTATTATTATTATTAATTTCATTTCTATACTGCTTTATATTTTTAAGGGGGGAATCTCAAAACAGTTTACAACCTACATTAAAACAGCAAATAAAACAATTCAGAGTAAAACATTACTGAAGAAAGTTGAATATAAAGTATACAGTTAAATACAATTAACATTCAAACACAATTCACAGGAAACTAAAATATTATCCTAAACATTTTTTTAAAAAACACTGCAGAGGAGGTCGACTGCAGAATGCACCTTTAGCAGAGCAAAGTTAACAAAAAAAATATCTTAAACATTTCAAAAGAAAACTGTGAAGTCAAATATAAAAGGCACATTTGAAACAACATAACTAGCAAAATAATAGTCTCATTTGCATAGAACATATCTGCTGCTGTGCTCTCTAGTACTTTTCCTTTTACTAGGGTACAAGAATAATGTGTTTGCACAATAATAAAAATGTTTTTGTGGGAGAGGGTTATTGGTTTGTTTTTGTTTCATTATATATTTTGTGTTCCATTTTGTATTTTTATGTTGTGAACTGCCCTGTGATCTTTGGATGAAGGGTGGTATACAAATTTTAATAATAATAATAATAATGATATGCCAGTCCTGTGGCTGGCTTATGCAGTACCACCGATCTATCGGTTTTCCTTATTAGCTCTAAACCAGAATTCATATTTATTTTTGTGCAGTCACTGAGTCCCATTTGTATTGCAGATGTCGCGGATGTACACGATTCCATTGTACGAGGACCTCTGCACCGGCACCCTGAAGTCGTTTGCCTTGGACATTTTCTACCAGACCCAGAACCAGTTGCACCCCAACTTGCGGAAGACCATTCAGCAGATCTTGACGCAGGGCCTGAACCCGCTCCTTGCCATGGATGCGGCAGCTGTTATGGCAGACCCTCTGGCTGCTGTGGTAGAGGACAAACCCCCAGAAGCTGCACACAGTGCCATTTCTCTCAGGGACGTAAACGTGTCTGCTTAGCTCCCCAGCTCATGCCGGGCATTTGAAAGTGGAGGAGCAGCCAGGCGAGGGGCAACGTGAACCCAAGTGCTGCCTCCTGACCCTCTGTGCCACAGCTTGGGGGGGAGAGTGGATCTCTTGTCGTCGCTCCCACCCACCCCCGCCCCCATTACACACACAAATGTGCCTTCCGGTGCCCGATTCGTTGGCACAGCCAGATATCAGGGATGTCTCCCCTTCTAGCTGCAAGCGGGAACTGTTACGGGATGGATCTGTTGACTTGATGCATCATGAATGTGGATTCCAGGGCGACTTTTGTTCTCCCACTGCAATCGGGAAGAGTTCTCTCTTGGGCACTTGGGAGGGTCTGTGTCCTCCAGGCCTTCAGAGAGGCAAAGTTGCCACTGGCTGTGCACTGACAAGGAAGTAAAGGGAGTGGGGAACACTATCAGGATCATGGAGATTTGAAGGTTTGGCAGTGTTCTGCAGAGAACAGAAAAGGAGTGATGGGGGAGTCTGTTCCGTTTTTGTGCTCTTTTACTGTGTTACTCAGGAGGTGGAGGGTTTAGAACAATGCCTTCAAGCAATGCCTTGGTTTCATCAAGATGGTCAAGTGTTAAAGGCTAGGAGACAGGGGGTGGATTTGAAATCCTCCCTCATTTCACTTCTGATTTTCTCCTTTGCGGGACGTTTGACACCCAAACCCACTCAACTAACTGCAATGGGGCCAGGGGCCTGTTTTCCTAAAACTACGCTGCAAATCCTTCATTAGTGTCTGGAACGCAGCTCTGAAAACAGCAGGTAAGGATGACTCGCATCCCCAACTCATCTTGCAAATTAACAAATGGGATGCAATGGCAAACTCAGGCACAATCCTCCGGTAACTTTCCGCATTTGTTAAATGTGCAAATTCTGCTCATTTTAAAGGAGGCCAGAAGAAGTGAAGATTCTGTCGGATTGTCTCTCTGGTCTGTTGGTGCTTCCCAATGGTCATAGGAATGGACAAACAGGCTAGGTTTTGAGTGCAGAATGATATGCTTTGTGTCCTGTTCAGCCTGTGTCTTGGCTAAGGACATTTTTAAGTCAGTCTCTCTCTCTCTGGATGAGAAAGCAACCGTTGAATAAGAAAGCCAGCTTCTTCCAAAGCCGTCTCTTGAGATCAGAGCCATGCTGCCCACCAGCAAAGCCTTTCCTTCCTGGCCATTAGGCAGAGAGAAACAGAGACTGACTATGCAATGCCCTTCTGACCAGCCAGCCGAACTGCCGTCTGTCAAAAGTGAATGGAAGGGCAACCGTATGTAGAGACATTGGTGCATCTTTCAGAAGATGGCTGGAAGTGGACAAAATGATGCAGCGTCACATTTTCCTGCTGTGGGAGCGGCTGTGTTTTTAATATCTCTCTCTGAGCGCCTTTTTCTGCAAGAAGCAGAGAGCTGAGGATTGAACAAATAGGTCTACAAAGAGGCTTCCAACGAAAATCAAACAGGGTGCTGGGAATTGCCATATCTTCCAGGGGTGGGGGCAGTATAGGAATGTGTGTGTGTTTTTAAATTAACTGTTTGCCTTTTTGAGAGTTGAGTGTGCCCAAAGGGCTGCTTAACGATTCGATTCGTGGTAGGCGAGAATATGCTGGTGCTTGCTGCTGTGATCCTGTAAAGAACAGATGGGGAACCCTTTGATTCGTGGGCTGGATGGATGCAAACCTCAGAGGCTTCCCATCAGGCTCCCTGAACGCCTCCTCTTTGGCCCCCCTCCTACTTGAGTTCTGTGCTGGCTGCAGGAGGGAGGGAAAAAGCGGCAAACTACAGGCACTGGGACTTGGTCCAGATGGGGAGCATACCCAAGGGGGATAAAAGCCCTTGACCTCCCACACCATGGCTCCCATCTGTATCAGGCTCCCAGCACCTACAGTTTGCATGACCAAAAAAGGATCTGTTGAAATGAACTGGGTTGGGGTTTTTTGGTAATGCAAATTGCAGGTGGGGGGGAGGGAGGCTGCTCTATGTTCAGCGTGTGTGTTTTTGTCTGATAAGGGTGTGTGACTTTGTGTATCTGGCCCTCCCTTTGCTGAAACGTCACTGCTTTTCTCAGCCTGAAAAGTTTTCCTCCCCCCTGCCGTAGATGTCTTGTCCCTGTGCACTTAGGGAACACGTGGCAGACTCTTCCTTGGGACCTGCAGTCGGTGATTCCTGTGCAGTTTTTGGACACACACAATTCCCCTCCTCATTTCCCTGTCTGTTGCACAAAGTAGTGTGGAGCAGCCATGGGTTTTGCCTGCGCTTGTGGCCACCACATTTCAACAAGAACATTGGTTAATGTCGCCCGTTCTGGAAAAAGAGAGGCCATGTTCGACGCATATTGCAGGCAGGAGCGAAGCATCTCAGACAGCAGTCTGAACATACAAAAATAGTGGGTGCTTGCTATTTACATTTCCGTTCTCCCCACCCATTCTTTGATTTTAAATTGATTTTCAGGCAGCGTCGGTGTTTCACCTCAAAGCTTGATAAAGCAATAACAAACTACAAGCATCGGAAAGATGCTTCACTTCACCTAACTTGTGGTACCTTGAAGTCACAGCAAGCTCGTCTCTCCCTCACAACAGAGATTAAATGTAGTTAAAATTAGTGGGGGATATGGTGGGGGTTTCCCTCCCTTTCCACACACCCACCTGATATATTGCAAACAATTGGCCACTCTTGGCATGCACCCCCTTTGACAGCAGTTCCAGCCTGGCAGAGTCTTGCCCCCACCCACCTTGCACCCCGGGCTGCCTTAGGCCTCTGTTTTATTGCAATCCTTCCCCCACCCGGAGAGAATGTATGTAACCCTGGTGGAAATTCCTTTTAAACGTACATTGATGCCTTATGATAACATCACTGATAAATGTTGAATTAAACTAAACTTTGTGACTTTCTGAATCTCAGTTTTGCCTGTTTTCCCACCCCACCCCACTGCACCATCTGTGCTTGTCTCAACCTCACCCCCACCCACCCCAGACAAATATCGCACCAGGGCACGAAAGTATTGATGCAAGATTCACCGACTTTGCCAGAGGAACACTTAATAATTCATTTCTGGGCATTTCTAGACTACTTGCCATCCAGATCTCAGGGTGGGTTACAAAATTTTAAAACAACAACACTATGCACACTAAATCAATTTGAGCACTGTTAAGATCACCAGCACAAAACCTAACAGCAGTCATCCCTAAAATGCCTGGGCAAATTAACAGTTCTTAACCCGGTGACTCCAGGTTCAAAACTCCCTCCCCAGGAAAGGATGTAAGACCCCTTCAGCAAGTATTTTTCAGCAAACCTAAAGAATTTCTTGGTTTGCTCAATGTTGGTTGCTTCTTTGTGATGTGATTTCTATATACAGTAGTAATGAGATTCAAGTACTGAGCAATCGCAGCCCGACCAAGTAGCTAGGAGTCTGCTTGCTCTTTAAAGCTGGATTAGCAACGGATCCATAACAATGCAGAGCAGGATCACGGGTGGAATGTATGCATGGACCATGGGTATAGCCAGGATATTTGTTGGGGGGACAATAAATAAATTGGTTGGTGTTTTAAGGTAGCTTTCACCTAACAAGCTTTGGGCTGCAACTCTTATCAGCCCCAGCCCGCATTAACTAATAGAATCTGAACTGGTGGCGAACGGTCAGAAAAAGAGATCCTGGGGTCGGTGTGTGGCAACTGCGAAAAAGGCAAATTCCATGTGCAATGAAGTGAGAGGGGAGGCGGGTGCAAATAAAAAGAACTGGAATGCTCCTAAGATTTATCTTGCCAGCAGATTTTTTTTAAACCCTAACAAGCTGTGGTCTGCACTGCAAGGACAGCAAACATTGCAGAAGACGAGGGAGCCCAGTTTTTGAATTCAAGGCAGCTCAAGTCCCAGATTTTGTTACGCGCCGGAACAGATGCGGGTTAATAACCGGGAGGTTCCATTTCCGTGCGCTACTAACCATTCCTCTTATTTGGCACTCTGTGCCAGAGCTTGAATTATTGTTTTTAGAAAATGCATAGCTTGCCTACGCTCAAAGATCTGAAAATAAGAGGGGGGGGGGGGGAGACCCGGGACAGTTTTGCACAGGCGAGAGGGAGAAAATAACCCAAGGGCATGCTGGGACGTGTAGTTCCTCCGGCCAGCAATGCATGCTGGGAGCCTTGCAGCTCGTCGATGCAGATGCATGATGGGAACAGTAGTTTTCTAGGCTACAAAGGTAGTGCACGGGGGTTTGTGTGTGTTTTTTTTGCTCCGGGAACAACAGGGTTTTGCCATTGGTCGTGGTTGCATCGTGTGCTTCGGACCTTCCTTTGGGTTGGCTGGAGAGAGGAGATCTCCGCTGCGATCTGGCTGAAAGGTGGGACCGGGGATGATGGATGCAGAGCGCGCTGTGCAAGGGGCGAAAGGGGTTGCTTGCTTGCACGACCATGCACGCCTGCATGCAGAGTTGCTTTGCCATGGGAAGAGAACAAGAGGGGCTTTGTTTGCTAGGGCAAGGGGAGGAAGCGGAAGCTGGTGTGTGGCCAAGGTAGGGCTGTCCCACGCATGCCTTTGCCTTGATTCCAGGCGGGGAGCCTGGCGTACTAGAATTCGCTGCCATCCAGAAATGGAGGTGGCCATTTGCTTGAAGGGCGCTAAAAGGGGGTGCGCAATCGGCAGCGGTCGGGCATGGCATCTAGCGAGCCTCCATGTTCCGAGGCACTGTACCTGTGACTCACAGGTGCTGGGCGCGCAAAACAGGGAGGCCCGGCTTGCTGGGCAGATCCTGAAAGACTGGGATGGACAGGCCTTCGGTGTGGTCCAGGGTGCTGGGTTTCTGCTTGGAATGGCGATGCAATGCAACACAGAATAAGGCGCCTGGGCTTTTTAGTTGTTGTGGAAAATGCCATCCTGCCCTGAAGTGGGTTGCTGCCTTCCTCTCTCTTTTTCCTGATTAAACTTCAGCCTGTTGCACAGCAGCTGAAAGCACAGATTTAGAAGATATGGGGGTGGCATGCATATAGCTGCATTATGCTGGCTTGGGGTGATGCACCACCGGGCCCTGGGAAGCCATGAAGCTCACCAGGTGACCTGTCACTGGCTCCCAACCTAACCTGCCTCACAGGGTTGTTGTGAGGGTGAAATGGGGAAGGGGAGAATCAAGTAGACCGCCATGGGATCCCTGGAGGAAAGGTAGGATAGGAACGTAATGAAGAAATAGCTTGGATCTGCGGTGAGAAAGATGGGGATCCGGGGCTAGATCAACCGTGAAGCAAAATAAGTGTCAAGAGAAGGGGGCCACCACAGCAATTTAAAGCCTACTACATCAATGAAAGGGACACAGGTGGCGCTGTGGGTTAAACCACAGAGCCTAGGACTTGCCGATCAGAAAGTCAGCAGTTCGAATCCCCGTGACGGGATGAGCTCCCATTGCTCGGTCCCTGCTCCTGCCAACCTAGCAGTTCAAAAGCACATCAAAGTGCAAGCAGATAAATAGGTACCGCTCCGGCGGGAAGGTAAACGGCGTTTCCGTGTGCTGCTCTGGTTCGCCAGAAGCGGCTTAGTCCTGCTGGCCACATGACCCGGAAGCTGTACTCCGGCTCCCTCGGTCAATAAAACGAGATGAGCGCCGCAACCCCAGAGTCGGCCACGACTGGACCTAATGGTCAGGGTCCCTTTACCTTTACATAAATGCAAAAATTGCATGATAATAATAATTTTATCTTTTATACCCCGCCCATCTGGCTGGGTTTCCATACACACACACACACACTAATAATAATAATAATAATAATAATAGGAATGAGTTGAATAATAGATATTAATGATATACATTAATCTTGGAAATACAAAATTAGAATCTGTCAACTGGCAAAGTGCCACTCGGTCCATTGAAGCTCACATGTTTGTTGGTTGCGTCGGCTGAATTAGACATATACAGAGGCATCAAAATCTTTTAAAGCACTTAGGGCCTCTAAAGGTCTCAATCCGGCCCTGAGGGCGGTAGGCTGACACGTCCACCGGTGTGGCCCTGCGTGCGTTTGTGGGGGACAAGGGACATGAGGTGTCGCTGGCTTTTGATGGCATGAAGGAACGCGGGGTTGGCGACGCGACATCCATGTTGGTCGTGGTGAGTCGGGTTGCTGAGGGCGAAGATGCTCTTCTGCGCTTCTGAGGTCGCTTTTGGGGGGTCAGTTGTGTCCGAGGATGCCTGCGGTCGCATCCACACACCGTACATTTAAAGCGCAAGACCTCTCCCCCCAAAAAGAACCCTGGGAACTGTAGTTTGCCCCCTCACAAGTGCCAGCGCCTTCTCCAAACTACGGTTCCCAGGAATCTTTGGCATAGGCAAGTCATGTGCTTTAAATGTGTGGTGTGGGTGCGAAGAGACCTGAATGGGTTTTTCTGTGGGGGCTGTTGTGAGCATTTCATTGTTGCCTGGCATTGTGTGGGGAACAAGTGTGAGCAGGGTTGTCTTGGCGATGAAGGGAGCGGCCTCTTCAAACTGCCTCCACACGAGAAGGGCAGCACGCTGTTTGTGTTTGCTTATTTATTGTACAACATTTATAAACCGCTTTACCTGACAGAAAACCCCTAAGCGATTTGCAAAGAGCAATCCAAAATATTCATTTAAAAATTCAGTTATTATCATTATTATTATTATCTGACGGGGGTTGCCCTGGCTACTCCAGGCGGCTTCCGACAAATAATAAAACCACAGTAAAACGTCAAATATTAAAAACTTCCCTATACAGGCCTGCCTTCAGATGTCCTCTAAAAGTCAGATAGTTGTTTAATAATAATAAAAGGGCTAAATATAAAATTATAAAATATAAATAAACACTGCCCTTTAAAAATAATCATAGATAAATGAAAAGGCGGCATTCCTTTCCGAACACCTGATACATTTGTGCCGAGTCATGCAACAGCAAAAAAAGAATTCTGGGAGTTGTAGTTTGTTAATGGTGCTGTTAGGAGGCCCCAATTCCCCCTCATGGAACTACAGTTTCCAGAGTGGTTTAACAACCAGCCCCTCTTGCCAGGGATCTCTGGGAATCGTAGCACCCCCAAGGAGAGGAGGTCTCCTTGCAACTCTCAGGACCTTTAACAAACTACAGTTCCCAGAATTCTTTTGGGGAAGCTATGATGGTTTAAAGCACGATACTGCTTTATATCTATAGTGCCGATGGGGCTCGTTGCAAATAAATGGGAAAATGTTCATTTATTTTGCCATATCTCCCTATCCTGTTCTGGCAATGCTGGCATCATCATCGCCGCCTCAGCCAGGGCCAACCTCATAAGAACAGCAAATTATATTTATATCAGGGGCAGAAATTTGGAGTTTCCAGTTACAGAGTTTTGATTCTGTTTGCTTTGCCTGAAAGGCCCGGAAAACCTCATTGTTTCTCACTCGGCTCCTCACTCTGTAGAGCTGTGGTTCCCACACGCCCCACAGGGGGGCAATTTGATTTTTAAGTGAGGCAATTTGAGAATGAGTTTAGACCAAGTTAATGGCCTTTTAGGCTTCCTCCGCGTGAATAGGAGATCCCTTTTTGAATAATAAGAATTATATGTCACCGGGGGGGGGGTGTCAGGATTTTAGAGATGCTCAGGTGGGACACAGCCCAAAAAAGGTTGGGAATCACTAGTATCGAGTCTGGTTTTCCCCATGCAAACTGATTCCTTTTTCTGTACCTCCCCCCCCCCCTGATTTGTATAGACCCAGCTTGTGGGTTCTTTAGGACATATCCGGGGTTTCTGAATGAAGACTATTGCAGGTAAAAGGGACGGAAACAGAGAGCAGGCATGGTAAGTGACTTAACGTTCATTTCACGCCAGGGGGAGCAGGAGTCTGATTTTTCTTGGCTACCTATAGGGTAAGGAGAGCATTCGCTTCTGCTATTTTAGAGCATCTCTGGACTTGGTCCACAGACAGCGCAAAGTCATCCCCAAATGACGTTGCAATTCTTTTCTCTAACATTCCTCCCTTAATGGACTCCCAAAAGTTTCACGGTCCCTGCCAGGTGCTTCTGGGAAGCCCACAAGTAAGTTGTGAGGGCAACAGCCCTCCCTTGCTCTCTGCCTCTTGAATCTTTTGTGCAAAGCTATACTGCCTTTGAAGCTGGAGGCTCCTTTTGGCTGTCATGCCTAACCAGCCCAGGGATCTGATCTGTCCTGTTTCAAAGCTAGTGGCCATCCCCAGTGAGTTCTGTAAGTTAACTATGCCTTGCATGAAGAAGTCTTTCCTTTTATCTGACTCAAAACCTCCTGCCCAGTCCATTCTGTGATCCCAAGCTCTTGTATTAGAAAGGAACCTCTTTCTGGGGGCCTACAAGGCCACCTCTCCCGGTATGCCCCACAGAGGACCTTAAGGTCCTTAATAGCAACACCCTAGAGGTTCTGGGCCCTAAGGAAGTCAGATTAGAGAGCCAGGGCCTTCTCAGTGGTGGCTCCGGCCTGGTGGAAAGCTCTGTCTCAAGAGACCAGGGCCCTGCAGGATCTGATTTCTTTCTGCAGGGCCTGTAAGAAAGAGTTGTTCCGCCTGGCCTTCGGCTTGGAATTAACTTGATCCCCTCCCCTCTTTCCTTTTTCCTTCTGTGATGGAACTCCTATTCGGGGACTTCCCTGGTTTTTTTCTGGCCCATGTAGGACCAGTCTGGATAATTGGCCTTGGTGAAGATTTGATGTTTTCATCCCCAAAAAGTTTTTGATTTGAGTTCCTACTGAAATGAGGCTGCATTTTAATGTTATATTTTAATCTTGTTTTTAAGTTGTATTTTAATCAACTTGTTTTTATTATTGGTTGTTAGCTGCCCTGAGCCCAGTCTTGGCTAGGGAGGCGGGGTATAAATAAAATTTATTATTATTATTATTATTGTTGTTGTCTTCTTTGCTTTCTCTCCTCTCCCACCACCCTTTCTTTTCTGACAGTGTGTATCTTTATAACTGTGGTCCCTTTCCCTTCTTTCTAACACGGTTGCAGGTTTAAACTGGAGTCCTGCAGCCTCTGACGTTGATGAAAATATTTGCTGTTTCATAGAAGATGCTGGGAGACCGGGAGCCGTCGGCTCTCAAGGGAGATCTTTACAAGGACCTTGCATTTCCGGCTAACGACGACTCTCTCTTTTTTAACTACTCGACTCCTCTGGCTCATTTCAGGGGGGAGATTTGTTGGCTGAGACCTCAGGTTTGTCTTGGGTCCTCCACACACCCTATTTATTGTGCTTTCGTGATGATTTGTGCTCAGGGCAGTTAAACGCAATCCCACTTTCAATACTGTTTGCATCTGCCAAGGTTTTGGAGTAGTCAAACTGCTTCACTTCCAACCAGTGCATGTGCTGTAACTTCCAGGTGAAATCCAGTAACTTTTCATACCACAAATGTCCTGGTTTATCCTTTGACCCGTTCCACATCTCTGAGCACTCGATTGTTTAGTGTGGCAACGCCTGCACATTGGAACTCCCTGCCTCTTGAGATCAAGCAAGCAGGCTCCTTCACTGAGGCGTTCCCAAAGTAAAGGAAAGATTGAACTCTGATTAATAAGAATACACACAGAGGCTTGAACCAGCAAGACTCTGGGAAGGGTGCGTATAATAATCTCTCTCTGTGTGCCTCCAGCCCCTGGCCCAGGTCGTTTTATTCACAAAAGAACTTTTTTACAGAGTGTTCATAAGAACAAATCAGATTTCTTCTGAGCATTTCAACAAATCCCACGTGGGGAAAAGTTAAACTACCAAAACTAATTAAGCACGGGTAAACAAAGAACAGAACTACAAAGAGGTACATTTGGCAACCCCTGAGGTCATAAACAAGCAAAACCACGTTTTATTTTTAACAGGGCACCCCTGTCTTTATGCAGACATAAAGGTAAAGGTAAAGGGACCCCTGACCATTAGGTCCAGTCGTGGCCGACTCTGGGGTTACAGCTCTCACCTCGCTTTATTGGCTGAGGGAGCCGGCGTACAGCTTCTAGGTCATGTGGCCAGCATGACTAAGCCGCTTCTGGCGAACCAGAGCAGCACACGGAAACGCCGTTTACCTTCCTGCCGGAGCGGTACCTATTTATCTACTTGCACTTTGATGTGCTTTCGAACTGCTAGGTTGCCAGGAGCAGGGACTGAGCAACGGGAGCTCATCCTGTCGCAGGGATTCGAACCGCTGACCTTCTGATTGGCAAGTCTAACCCACAGCGCCACCCGTGTCCCTTACTATAAAAAAAATTTCATGCACATTTGAAAAACGGTGGGGAAGCTGTACTGGGAAATGCAGGTTTGTGTTGGATGGGGCAAGCGGAGGTTATTTTGGTGCGAAACAATCGGCTCCTGTCTTAGCTGGTGGAAACTTACAGTACCATTTGTTTCTCTCCCCAGAACTTGCTTCTCCATTCTTAAAACCTTAGGTTTATTTTCCACCTAAGAGCAGGAATGAGGTTCATCTGGGATTGCACAGCATCTGAGGGTTGATTTATGACCCATGACAGCAGCTGCCCATTTATAGATAATGAGTACCTGTATGATCACAGCATTCCAGATTTTTCCAGAGCAGTGACTTGTTACACAATTGCCTCATGCTTAATTTGAGGAAAACATGTTCCTTAACTACCAAAAAACCAGCCCAAATTAATAATAAAATAATAAAATTACTTACATGATTTGACTAATTCTGCAACTTTTCAAAATAGGTAGCAAGTGAATCAGGCAGGGAGTGGGGAGCACTGGCTTAGTCACAAATGATGAAGTACAGAACATGCAATAGAATTATAGAATCGTAGAGTTCGAAGGGACCCTGGGGGTCATCTAGTCCAACCCCCGGCAGTTGCAGGAATCTCCACCACGCATTTGTGACAGATGACCATCCAGCTTCTGCTTAAAAACCTCCAAGGAATAGAACCAACCTGTTCTGTAAAACCGCTCAAAGCAGAATCCCAGAGCCTTGCTGTTTAATCCTGAAATACAATTGGCTCTATAAAAAGTTAGCGGTAAACTTGCACTGTTTCTTTCTTCCCACCAGGAGATTTGTTCTACACCTCGATTATTTTCCGACAATCAATATGAGTGGCAAGTCAAGCAAGGGATGCTGGGAGACTGCTGGTTCCTGTGTGCCTGTGCCGCTTTGCAGAAGAGTAAATACTTGTTGGCCAAGGTACAGGAGAGTGCTTCTCCTTTGATTGGGAGAGGATCCATGTTCTTACGGTCTGGTTCTCTGCATATGTTTTGAACTACAACTCCCACCAGCCCCAGCCAACATGATGAATGGTCAGGAATGATGGGAGTTTCAGTCCAAAACACTTGGAGGACGACAGGTTGCGGATGTTTGACTCTCTATCTGTTTTGGCACCAGGAAGTCTAGCTTGGCACAGTGCCTCTGAAACATAAGGTGCATTTTACTGCATTATTTTTATTTTTATTTTTATTTATTAATGTCACAATAAAATATGAAATTTTTACATAGTAATACATATTACATTATATTACATTATATAAATTCACATTTTCACATTCCATTATGTACCAACATCTAGCCATTTCTTATTTGCTTCTTATTTCTTGCCCTGTGTCTTCCCTCCACCTGTGCATAACTTCTTTGTTATTATTTTATAACTTTGTTATTGTGATTGTATTTTTGTATCTTAATAATTAAACATACATTCTTATATATCTGTTTAACTTAACTTAACTTTGTGAAATCAGTTTATACAAATCAATAAATTCTTGTTGGTCATGTAGTCTTCTACGCATTTCCATTCCTGTTTGAGATTTTGATTAGATTGCATTCTAATTGTTGCCCTCATTTTTGCTAATTCAATCATTTCAAAAAATTGATGTCACCAATCTTTCATTGATGGTACTTCTACTTTTACTGCATTATTATTACCTGATTGATTCAAAACAGGTCCTTTAAATCACTCCAAATCTCACCACTGATTCCCAGTCAGATTAAACTTCACATATTAAGCAGAAGTTTCTGTTTAGGAAATGAGAGGAAGAATGGATATGGATGTCTGGCCAAGGTGTGTTTGGAAGAGTAGAGAAGGGGCCATAAGTTACCAAAGCACTGCCCTGCTCCTTGTGCAATTTCCCCAGGTTGCACATATGCTTTTAAGATTTTTTCCTATAGCCATAAGGACTAGAATCTTGCTATGTTTTAAGAAGGCAGGAAGGAAAGGAGTCTTCGGGCGCCTACACCCTCAAGCAGCAAGCCCACAAATGCATAATGCAAAAGCCTTTGCCTGCTCCTGTTGCCTCTGACTTGCTCTTGTTTTGTTCTCGCAGGTGATACCTCCGGGTCAGCCCAGCTGGAGAGATGAGAAATACAGAGGCTGTTTCACTTGCCGGGTCTGGCAATTTGGGCACTGGGTGGAGGTGACCATAGACGACCGCCTACCTTGCCTGGGGGGCAAACTCTGCTTCTCGCAGTGCCAGACAGAAGATGTGTTTTGGCTCCCTCTGCTGGAAAAGGCCTATGCCAAGTACGTGTGGAGGGACCTGCCCTGGAGGGGATTGCAAACCGGGTGCCTGGCTGCACAGATGCACACAGCAATTTTCAAACAAGTCTTGGTTGCGCTGAGTGTTCCTTTTGTGTGTGATCTTCCACACATGGAAGTGGTCGGAAGAACCCTGAAGGGGCGTAAACATTTGAAAGCTTGCCTGGCTTCATTACTTTGACACCGGGAATTAATACAAAATGAGAGGATTTCCCTGATAATTCCCTAAGGGCAAACAGCTCACCTTTAAGGACTGACAATCAGTCCATTGTGTTGCCTTGTTCCTCTTTGGGCAGAGCCAAGTGACAGGCCAAACATTTGCCCTCTAGGGGCTCAAAAGGTCTCCTTAACTTCTGGGAGAGAAACGAGCCCAGAAATCCCAGGAACTTAATTATAGGACAACAGTTCCTATTGTGACTTACCTGCTCCTTTTTTTTTTTTTTTAATACAGTGGTACCTCGGGTTAAGTACTTAATTTGTTCCGGAGGTCTATTCTTAACCTGAAACTGTTCTTAACCTGAAGCACCACTTTAGCTAATGGGGCCTCCCACTGCTGCTGCGCCGCCGGAGCACAATATCTGTTCTCATCCTGAAGCAAAGTTCTTAACCTGAAGCACTATTTCTGGGTTAGCGGAGTCTGTAACCTGAAGCGTATGTAACCCGAGGTACCACTGTACATTTTTATTAATTTTTAACATATTAATTCCAACATTCATACAACATAACTTCTCATCCTATACAATATTTTTGGACTTCTGTCAATGCTTCTGATGATTTTCCATTATTTATCATATATTATACATTTCTTGGGACGCGGGTGGCGCTGTGGGTAAAACCTCAGCGCCTAGGACTTGCCGATCGCATGGTCGGCTGTTTGAATCCCCGCGGCGGGGTGAGCTCCTGTCGTTCGGTCCCAGCTCCTGCCCACCTAGCAGTTCGAAAGCACTCTTAAGTGCAAGTAGATAAATAGGGACCGCTTTATAGCGGGAAGGTAAACGGTGTTTCCGTGTGCTGCTCTGGTGCAGGCTTGCCAGAGCAGCTTCGTCACGCTGGCCACGTGACCCGGAAGTGTCTCCGGACAGCGCTGGCTCCCGGCCTATAGAGTGAGATGAGCGCATAACCCTAGAGTCTGGCAAGACTGGCCCATACGGGCAGGGATACCTTTACCTTTACCTTTATGCATTTCTTAATTTCGTATTACCTTTAATACCCTTAACTAATAATTCTTCTCATTGTCTTTTTTGCTATATTTCAAATAATTCACCTTACAAAACTTCTTGCAAAGACTTACCTGCTACTGTTGATGGGGTTCTCCCAGTGGATAAAATCAAGAAAAATTATGCATTGTACAGTTTTAAAACAAGCCCCTGTTGAATTATGGGTTGTGGAATTGGCTTGTTAAACTGGCCAGGGTTTGTGATGAAACACCACTCTTGGTTCACACTCAAGAAGAAGCTAAGATTAGGAGGAACTGGAAGGAAATGCTGGCCCAGTCACTCTCCCAGCAGCATGGGAGTAACTTTTGTGGGGAGTGTTTGGGCCCAAGGCCTGGCTCAGCCTCATTTCCATTCCTGTATGCAGTACTAAACCATGGTTTAGTGTTACATGCAAACGTGGCCTGTGTGTCCTTTGCAGCCCTTGTTTTCTTTTCCAGAATTGCCCTTAGCTGTGCTTTCTGCTTAGTGAGGACTGAATTTGTGGAAAAGTTAGTTACCTCTTCAGATTTTTCTAAACAAAAATCTTTTCAGCAGGATTCTAGATGCTTTCCAAATCCGGTGCACTTATTTTTCTTCCTTACAAAAATACGCGTGGATGACATAGCGTTTTCCATTTGTGTGGATAATTTTGGCTGCTGGTGCCCAATGTATCAGAGTTGCCTGGTCTTGCAAAACACACCAAAAGCTTCTAGCCACCAAAAATATTTAGTAGGCTTAACTCGCCTCAGTAACTCTGATACATTCGCCACTAATTGATGCACTAGCGGATTTCCCAAGGATTGGCAGGGACTTTACATGTTTTCACCAACTTCAGCTTTCTTTTGAAGTACTGGTATGATGTCCTGGAGTTTTTGTGTTTTCTCTCTCTAGGGTGCATGGATCTTACGAACAGCTCTGGGCAGGCCAGGTTGCTGATGCTCTCGTGGATCTGACAGGAGGCCTAGCGGAGAGGTGGTCCCTAAAAGACCCAGGCCGGAGCACAGAAAGGGAGAGGGCAGGAAAAGTTTTGGAGAAGGCGGTATTTAGGAGACTGATGAACTTGAAAGAGAAATGCGTGATGAGCTGCTCCGTCTTCAGCTCACGGCAAGGTAAACATGCAGCTCTTTAAAGCCTGTTCAGTCTCAGAATTTAGCTGGGCAAGAAGCCTGTGGATGGCCAGGCCGCTTTCTGAAATGCGTCTGTTGTAAGCGGTTTTCATTTTCAAGGTTTTGACAATCACACCCTTGTATTTCATTCGAAATCATAATCTAAAACACAGTACAGTAACCAGAAGCGTAACTAAAACCATTAGCGATACTGTTACTCTGTATAGTTACTCTGGCTGCACTGAAGTTTTCTGCAAATAAATAAGACCTTGAATTGATGCCTGGAGAAAGATAATAGGAAGGGGGTGTTGGCGAATGGCCCCCTCGGGAAAGGCTGACTCCTCTTCCCAGGCACTGGGGCCTGTTGCCGGTGATCTGCCCCTGGCTGGTCTTCGGTCAGTCCAGGGAGATCGGTAATAAGTGACACTCCCCTTTTGAGAGATGCACACTGCCTTTCCCCTTGCATGTCAGCAGAAGAAAGAAAAACAGTCTGAAAGTAGTCTAATCCATTCTACTTTATTCCCGGACTGTACACTGTACACGAGCTTGCACAAAGCATGTCTGCTCTCTCAGAAACCTCCGTACAACTCACTCACTCCCCCTTTGCAGCAACAACAGGAAGGTCTCAAGTTACACTGAGAACACAACCCTGAGAAGAGCGTTGAACATCCTGTCTCACGCTCAGAAACATCAGATGAATCACATGGTGTAAACAATGAGCTGCTAGTTCGCAGCTGCTGAGCACTCATATCCCAGCAGGGGGTTTCATAAACTGGGAGCTGCCATTGCAAAGAGATGATGTTTGCATGTCTGTGGGGCATTTCTTCCCCCTCTCCCCGGGGGTGAAATGAATGCTGCTCATTTTTGAAACCACTGCTTGCCTTCTCCGCATGCCCAGGTACCAGCGAACTGGGGGAGTTCCATGCCTTCATCGTTGTGGACATGCAGGACCTCTCCAAAGTGTCCCGGAAGGAGATCATCCTGCTGCGGATCCGTAACCCCTGGGGGAGGCGTTGCTGGAAAGGGCCCTGGAGGGAGGGGTGAGTGGGTGTTCCACATGCCAGTTTCTTAAGGATGCCCCTGTGCCGTGCTTTTGTCCCTGCCTGGGCCTGCATCGGATGCCATTTGCAAACACCATAAATGCTTCTTCAGGTCTGTCCTCAAACCAGGAAGCGAGTTGCTTATATCGGTTCGGGAGGATTCTTCATACATTGGTAGTGGTGGCAGAATTCTTAATTGCCCCATTCGCAGCCCAGTTCCCTTCTTTGAAGGGCTGTAAAGGGGGACATTGACGACTGGTTGAGGCTGGTAGGGTAGGATGCAGGGAGCCCAACCCTAGGTGGCGCTAGAGCCCATTGACAGGCAGAGCCAGCTCATCCTAGTTCCGCCCCCATCCCTTCTGAGCCCTACAAAGGCAACATGGAGGCTAAGGAGGAGGAAGCTGACAACCAGGGCCACCTTCTGGACTGCTTGGAAGTAAGGAGGCAGGCAGGTGGGGGCTGGCTGAGGTTGGTGGGGCAGTGCGCCCCAGTGGGAAGAGGGTTATATTTTTGCTAACGTGCTCGCCAAGGAGAAGACAGTAAATGTAGACCTACCTTTGCTGCTTGTTACTGGCCTGTGTGCCAACAACCATTCTCGTCTTTCTGCTTCTGCGCCAATGAAGCATGGCAATTTTTGGCTCTTTCTGTCGGGTCAAACCAGACGTAGAGTGGGAGATGCCCAGACAGGCTGTCTCTCAGGAAGGTGTCCAGGTGGGGAAGAGGACAGAGCCCCTTCCTCCACCTTAAGGACTTGTGGACAAGACGAACTTTCAGACGGCATACCTTGTCTTCTATACACCTCTTAAAACCACAGGAGCCATAGTTCTCCTTTTCACCCGGGAGCCCAACTTGCCAGCCCAGTTGGCATTCAGCATCCTCGGGCAGATGCCTAGGGACCAGTGGTCTGGCAGGAGCCAACACTGTGCTTGCCCTGGCCTCTCTCTTGTAGGGTGTCTTGGAGGTGCCATTTTAATTTCCCTTCCCCAGTGCCCTGGATGTAGCATTAGTCCTGGGGCGTTGTGGGAAATTAAAATGGCAGCTTCCATATTAATTTCCCACTGTGCCTCAGAGTGACATTGCAGGGCTAGTTGAGGGGAAATTTCTATTTTGCTGTAGGGACTTAACCTTTTGTATTTCGTTAAAAGTACCGTGTCCAGTGTTTCCCAAGTTTGGATCTCCAGCTGTTTTGGGACTACAGTGGTACCTCGCAAGACGAATGCCTCGCAAGACGAAAGAGTTTTTCGTTTTTTGAGTTGCTTCGCAAGATGAATTTCCCTATGGGCTTGCTTCGCAAGACGAAAACGTCTTGCAAGTTTGTTTCCTTTTGGATTTTCAATGCATTCCTATGGGAAACCGTGCTTCGCAAGACGAAAAATTCGCAAGACGAAAAAACTTGCAGAACGAATTAATTTCGTCTTGTGAGGCACCACTGTACAATTCCCATCATTCCTGACCACTGGTCTTGCTTGCTGGGGATGATGGGAGTTGTAGTCCAAAAACAGTTGGAGACCCAAGTTTGAGAAACACTGAACGACATTGTGAATAATGATAATAGTAATAATAAAAAATGTATCTATTATTACATTTATTACATTTATACCCCATATCTCTCCCCCTCTCCATTTTATCTTCACAACAATCCTGTCAGGTAGATAAGGTTGAGATTGAGTGATTGGCCCAAAGTCACCCAGTGAGCTCAGCAGGGATTTGAACCCTCCCAGGTCCTTGTCTGGCACTCTAACCCCCCCCACTGACATTCATTTTTCTCCTTGTTGCTTCTTGTTCTTCAGTGGTCCAGGGTGGAGCCAACTGGACCCTGTGGTTGCTGCTGAGCTGTTGTCCCAGATCCAGGAAGGAGAATTTTGGGTCGAAGAGGAGGAGTTCTTTGCGGAATTTGATGAGATCATAACAGGGTACCCGATTACTGAAGAAGGACAGCTTCAGAGCCTTTACACCGGTAGGACGCAAGGAAAGCGATGCAGTCTCCCCTTGACCCCAAATGCTGCTCTGGCTCAGTGATGCTATGTGTGCATACCGTATTTTTCGCTCTATAAGACGCACTTTTTCCCTCCTAAAAAGTAAGGGGAAATATGTGTGCGTCTTATGGAGCAAATGCAGGCTGCGCAGCTATCGCTGAAGCCAGGAGAACAAGAGGGATTGGTGCGCACCGATTCCTCTTGCTCTCCTGGCTTCAGGGATAGCCGCGTGAAGCCTCCTGAGCGCAGCGGGAGCGCTCCTCCCGCTGTGCTCAGGAGGCTTTGCGTTGCTTTCTCCTGCCGCTTCTCTGAAGGGGTGCTAAACAGAGAGGGAGAGAATATTTTTTTTCTTGTTCTCCTCTAAAACTAGGTGCATCTTATGGTCGGGTGCGTCTTATAGAGCAAAAAATACGGTATTTTTTCCCCCATCTCTCCCCACAGACAGAGTGCTGAGCCACACGCAGAAGCTGTACGGGTCCTGGGTGAGGGGCCAGTCCGCAGGCGGTTGCCGCAACAACAGCACCTTCCCCACGAACCCCAAGTTCTGGCTGAGGGTCTTTGAGCAGAGCGAGGTGTGCATTGCCCTCCTGCAGAAACACCGCAAGCACAGCACCGACTGGGCGGGCAGGATCCGCAACTGGCCCCGCTTAGTGGAAGCGGATCCTGCTTTAAACGATGGCATCCGAGGCAAAAATTACCACGCGGTGGGACTCCACATATGGAAGGTAACAAGCAGCTAGGGTGGGGATCTGGGCCGCCTCCTTATACAGAATGTTTCTTTTTTTAAAATACAATTATTTAGTTTTTCAGTTTAAAGTTTTACAGTCAATTATCCTGCAACCAACAGAAAGACAAGGTTCTCCTGAACTTCCCTCTTTCCCTTTGTGGGTCCTTTTGTTAACCATTTCCTCCTGCATCTTTTATAATAATCCAAAGCTTTTACATCTCCATTATATCCAAAATTCAACATTAAACTACAAGTGTTATTCCAATCCTACTAATGATTTTAGCTGTTTACAGTGGTTTTTAAGATAAATTATAGTTTTTCCCCATTCCCTGTTAAAATTTTGGTCTTCCTGATTTCTGATTCCAAAAAAATGTTCAGAAACTGGAACACTCACATTCAGCAACTAAGCCATTCGAGATCCAAGGTATGACTGTAGTTTTATCTTGTGAACTGCCCTGAAATGTATGGGTGGTAGGCGGTATACAAATTTAATAAATAATAATACTGCTGAGCACAAAACCTGTTCTAAGGTCAGATTATGGGGGCTTTCTTTGTATACATTGCAGTAGGTTCCTGGGGCAAAGCACAAACAGCTCTTTCCAGGGGACATGAATGCTTTTGTGTTCCTGCTTTGTGTTTGCCTTGACCACTTGTAAGAAGAAGAAGAAGAAGAAGAAGAAGAAGAGTTTGGATTTGATATCCCGCCTTTCACTCCCCTTCAGGAGTCTCAAAGCGGCTAACATTCTCCTTTCCCTTCCTCCCCCACAACAAACACTCTGTGAGGTGAGTGGGGCTGAGAGACTTCAAAGAAATGTGACTAGCCGAAGGTCACCCAGCAGCTGCATGTGGAGGAGCGGAGATGCGAACCTGGTTCACCAGATTACAAGTCTACTGCTCTTAACCACTACACCACACTGGCTTACAAAGTAAGACTTTGTAAGACCTCTGCAACACTGCCATCGCTTTTCCACCCTCCAGGTCGAAAAGAAACAGTTCAGCCTCCCAAAGACGCTCTCTGCTCCTCCAGTTTCCAGCACCGTTTGCCACTCCTACAACCGAGAGGTGCACCTGCATTGTGACCTCCCTCCTGGCTATTACCTGGTCATCCCCAGCACCTTCCTGAACGATGCTGAGGGCAACTTCCTGCTTCGGGTCTTCTCCAGCGGAAGAATCTCCCTCAGGTGCATCCAAAAGAAAGGAAATGCAGCGTGGGGAGGGAGGGTGGTACATGAGTCCATCTAACTCAGTTTTGCCAACTCTGGCTGGCAGCATCTCTCCGCAGTTTCAGACACAAGTTCTGTCCTGGGGATGCTGAGGGTTGGGAAGCAGGTGCTGTGCCACCGAGCTTGGCAGTTTGTGTGAAACTTACCTGTGTCTTGAGATTCCCCACCCTGTGACTTAAATAATGGTGGGCACTGTTACTGCAAGTGCTATATCACAGAATCGTAGAGTTGGAAGGGACCCCAGGGGACATTTAGTCCAACCCCAGCAATGCAGGAATCTTAACTAGTTCGTACATGACAGACAGCCATCCAGCCTCTGCTTAAAATCCTCAAGGGATGGAGAGTCCATGACTTAAGGGAGACTATTCCACTGTCAAGCAGCTCTTACTGTCAGAAAGTCCTTCCTGATGTTTAGTCGGAATCTCCTTTCCTGTAACTTGAATCCATCGGTTCGAGTCCTACCCTCCAAGACAACAAGCTTGCTCCATCTTCTGTGTGACAGATACTTGAAGAGGGCGATCATATCTCATCTCAGCCTCCTCTTTCCCAGGTTGAACATGCCCAACTCCCCCAACAAGGGGACAAACGTTCTGCCGGTAGGAGCTGTTCAACAGTGGAACCAACTCCCTCAGCAGTTTGTGGACTCTCCTTCACTGGAGGTTTTCAAACTAGAGGTCAGATGGCCATCCGTCAGGGATTCTTCAGCTGTGATTCCTGCATTGCAGGAGGTTGAACTAAAGGTTCTTGGGGTTCCTTCCAATTCTACAGTTCTATGAAAAGCCACTAAGAGGTCATCAAGCAGTGCGGTTCCCCCTCCAAAATCAGGTCTTAAGCCAGGTTGGAGTGGGCAGGAGCAGGATATAAATTTATTTTAGAGAAGCATAACATGTCCAGATGAATCTCAATTTAAGGGATCACATATGGGTTTGGTGACCCATGTTCTTCTTCTTTTGGCGATCCCTTGTAGCTGAGTAAGATTGTCTTCCATTAACTCGGTTTTTAACAGTGAGTCCGTGAGTGACCGTGGAGGCCAATTCTGGATCCACATGTCCTTCCACAGTGGGGACATAGGTTTCCGGGCGGGAGTTGATCATGGGGACGGTTTTCCAAGCATGCCTTCCTCTTAGCATGTTTCTCCCTTTCTTCCTGAGTTCAAGCATCTTCAAAGCCCACGACACCTTTGGTAAAGGCTGTTCTCCAACTGGAGCGCTCACAGGCCAGTGTTTCCCAGTTGTTGGTGTTTATACTACATTTTTTTAGATTTGCCTTGAGAGAGTCTTTAAACCTCTTTTGTTGTCCACCAGTATTACGCTTTCCATTTTCTGACCAATGGGGGTTGACCTTTTAACGCAGAACCACCATGATGGGTTCTGTGGTCTAGAAGTGTCCTTTGTTAACCCTACTTCTCTCCCTTCTCTCCCCCATCTCTTCTCTTTCCCTCCTCGCCTTGCCTTTGTAGTGAGATAAAACTCCCGTCGCCCGACAACGCCATCCGCGAAGAGCTCCCGGGGGGTGAATGGGACACAGCCCGGCTGGAGGGCTGCTGGAGGAAAGGGCAGAACGCCGGTGGCAGCCGCAACTTCCCATCCTTCCACACCAACCCCTGCTTCCCTTTCTCCGTCCCCACAGGCGTGGGGCAGAGCAGCATCAAGATTGCCCTCCGCCAGCACTGCCCAGATAACAAGTGCCGCCCAATAGGGTTTCACATCTTCCAGGTAGGAGACCTCAAGGACCGGCTCTCCCCATATGAACTGACCGGGTCCTGCATTCATCTTCTGATGCCCTTCTTCGTGTGCCTCCTTCACCGGAGGTCCAGATGGTGGCAACACAAGAACAGGCGTTTTCTGCCGTGGCTAACCGTGATTAAGAACCCACACCATGGTTGGAGCTTCCATAAGTACAACCGATAAACCATGGTTTGGAACTGCTTCTCTCTCTGCTTCTGTGTCTCTGTCTTTGTTTGTCTTTCTCTCTCTCTCCTTTCTTCTTGGGACTGTCCCTCATCAGTTCAATTCCTCCCTGAGGCAGACCAGTAGCTGCAAATGTGGTTTATCAGCCATCTTTGAATTTGGGCATAAAAGCAAACTGCGGTTAGCGCAAGCTGTGACTTGCAAACCCCTGTTTCAGATGCTGGTTTCTTGGCCTGAAACAAACCATGGTTTGTGGGCAGGCTTCAGTTTTGTGTTACAATTGAGCCCAGCTGTTGACTTAAGGGAGTCGATACCTGAGGGTCACAGGGAAGCCATCTTAACAGCCTGCAATCCTTTTTAGGTCCCCAGCGACAACAACAACGTGAAAATGCCTTCGTCTGCCTTCCTGCACTTGGAGCCAGTGGTTAGTTGTGTTCCCCATTGCTACTCGCAGGAAGTAAGCCAGCTGTGCCGCCTCTCTTCAGGGAATTACGCCATTGTTCCTTCTACGTATTTGCCAGATACAGAAGGCAGCTTCACGGTGATCGTAGCTACCAAAATAGACAGGTAAAGCCATGTTTGCTTCTGTTAGATCAGTGTTCCTGAACCTGTTGCCTCCCAGATGTTTGGAAAGATCAACTCCCATCAGCTCCAGCACGATGAGAGTTGGAGTGTCAAAATATCTGGAGACAACCAGGTTCAGAATACAGTGGTACCTTGGTTCTCGAACGGCTTAGTTGTCGAACAAATCAACTTCCAAACGCTGCAAACCCGGAAGTAAGTGTTTCTGCGGCTTCCGATTGAGTGCAGGAAGCTGTGCCTTGGTTTTTGAACGGTTTCAGGAGTCGAACGGACTCCTAGAACGGATTAAGTTTGAGAACCAAGGTACCACTGTACATGGATGTCTTTGCAAAACATGACTGGGCACCTGCCTTGTCTTGTCTCCCCCCATTTTGGCTGGGGAGTCCTGTTCTTTGAGAGTCCTGTTCTAGGAACTGATCCACACTACAAACATAAAACAATTTTTCACTACTAGGTTTTTAAAAGTAATTTTAATAACATAACAAAATGCACAGAATATCACGTACACCAATGAACAATCCATACTACAGTGGTACCTCAGGTTAAGTACTTACTTCGTTCTGAAGGTCCGTACTTAACCTGAAACTGTTCTTAACCTGAAGCACCACTTTAGCTAATAGGGCCTCCCGCTGCTGCTGCGCCGCCGGAGCATGATTTCTGTTCTCATCCTGAAGCAAAGTTCTTAACCTGAAGCACTATTTCTGGGTTAGCGGAGTCTGTAACCTGAAGCATATGTAACCTGAAGCGTATGTAACCCGAGGTACCACTGTAATAAATAATAAAAACATAATACCTTATTTTTCTGTGTATAAGATGCCTCCATGTATAAGATGCCTCTATTTTGGGGGACTCCAAATGAAGAAAACACCCCTCAGCACTACCCGTGTATAAGATGAGCCCCAATTTCAAACCTAATTTTTTGGTAAAAAAACCCTAGTCTTATACATGGAAAAATACGGTATATTTGACTTCCTTTAAGTAATGTCTTCTTTTGAAATGTGTTCTCTCATTCTTATTTATATTTATATTTAACTTTGCCACATTTTGTGGTTGACCTCCTTTGTAATGTTTTATTTTGAAATCTATGTGCTCTGGCTTCCATCATGGTGTTCTGTTGTGCCAGAAGTCCTGCTGGCCACATGACCTGGAAAGCTGTCTGTGGACAAACACCGGCTCCCTCGGCCTGAAAGTGAGATGAGCGATGCACTCCATAGTCGCCTTTGACTGGACTTAACCGTCCAGAGCTCCTTCACCTTTACCTTACCTATTTTGAAATCTTTAAGATAATATTTTATTGATGCCAATGGTGCCAGTGTAAGCAATGTAAAAAATAGATAACTATTTCCCATTCTCAACAGAAATTGCCATTTGTAGCTCATGTTTTCATTAGCCCCTCTAATGGCAAAGTCGGGTGGTGAGTGTTAGCAAGGTGTGAAGCAAAAGAAGAAGCAGCAGCAAAAAATGGCTCCTTCAGGATATCTCTGAAGCTGTTGGTGAATGATGTAGGACTGGCCCTACATTGTATTTTGCAATAGTAATATCTTCTTTTGCACAGGAAGAGCATTCGGAGCAAGGAGACCTTGGGGCAAAGGCTGCAAGAGGCAAGTGGCACTTTTGAAAATCAGTTCATGTTAAATTAATTGTGTTTTTAATTGCATTTTTAAATTCTCAGCTTGGCACAGGAGGCAGTCGCTTAGAGCAGCATCAGGCCATCCTGGTGCCTTCCAGCTGTTTTTGACTACAACTCCCATCAGCCCCAGACAGGGGGGCACCAGGTTGGCTGAGGCTGACTTAGAGCACGCCCCGATTCCAAGAGCGGACAGCATCAATAGGAGTATAGCATCTAGATCAAGGGCGTGATGTCATTTTGCGCATCTGCGCAAGTGGCGAAACCTGGAAGTAACCCTTTCCAGTACTTCTGGGTTGCCATGGGATGCAACATGAAAACACGTAACCTGAAGCAAACGTAACAAGAGGTATGACTGTAATTATACTAATAATAATCCCTTTCTCTTTTAATGCACTGCACTGGCTGCCAATTAGTTTCCAGGCCCAGTTCAAAGTGCTGGTTTTGACCTGCAAAGCCTTAAATGGCTCAGGACTGCAGTACCTCAAGGACCTCTTCTCCCCATGTAAACCACCCTGGACCCTGAGATCATCCTCTGGGGCCCTCCGTGTGCCCCTCCCCCGAATGACCCAGGGACTTTCTGCCTCAGCTGACTCTGGGCACCCTGTTACTGCAGACATGGCTCCCAGGGGTGCCCTTCTCCCCTGCCCTTGCACTTCCTGGGCACGTCCAGACTGTCGTTCTTTTTGGGTGGGATTCCAGCACACACAGGGAAATTCAGATTGGGCAATTGTAGCTGACTGTGCAGTCCCCGAGTTTCCCCAAGAGAAACATTGTGCAATAAGGAAAGTGAGGGGGAAATGCAGAGGAGAGTGCAGGGCAACTTGCTTGCTTTGAGGCAACACTATCTAACCTTCCCAGAAACAGTAGCCAATGTCATTCAAAAGCCAGTGTTGCCTAGTCTCCCTGCAAACAAATTGGGGTGAATACTGAACAGACAGACTGTCTGGAAGAGACCTTGGAGGCGGGCTCTTCTGGACCTTTCAAGTGCTCTGAGAAATGACCACTGGAGTGGCTCAGAAGACAACGTGAACGAGAGGAAAGGAGAAATGCAGCGGCAGGTGATGCCTTCTGCCTGTCGCGGTCCAGTATACCTGAAGGAGCATCTCCAGCCCCATCGTTCTGCCTGGAAACTGAGGTCCAGCTCCGAGGGCTTTCTGGCGGTTCTCTCCCTGCGAGAAGCCAAGTTACAGGGAACCAGGCAGAGGGCCTTCTCAGTAGTGGCACCCGTCCTGTGGAATTCCCCCCTCCACCAGAGAAAAACAACTGCCAGACTTTTAGAAGACATCTGAAGGCAGCCCTGTTTAGGGAAGCTCTTAATGTTTAATAGACTATTGTATTTTAATATTCTGTTGGAAGCCGCCCAGAGTGGCTGGGGAAACCCAGCCAGATGGGCGGTTGTTGTTGTTGTTGTTATTATTATTATTTATTATTATGAACAAGCCTGCCCCGGGGTTGGATCAGGCCAAACTGCCACCTCTTTTCATCTTATCATAGGATTGCATATTTGGAAGGGACCCTGAGGATCGCCTAGTCCCATACGGGGATCGAACCTGTGACCTTGGCGTTACCAGCACCATGCTCTAACCAACTGAGCTATCCTTTCTATTTCCCAAGGAAGTTATAAGGAGCCCGAAAGAGCCCTTTGGGTTGGCGTTGCTAATCTGACCGAAAATCCCAGAGCAAATCTAATAGCAAAACACTCCAGGCACCCCCATAATTGTTCTGCCCCCCCATCTTCCCACCATAAGAAAAAGGGGAATACAGTCTCCAAATAGGATCCTGCTGCATGTCTTCTTGAGAGTCCCGAATTTACAAGCCACCCTGGTACTAATTTGCTGGTCTGTGAGCTGCTTTGGTCATGTTAAGCTGACTTTGTAAAACGAAGGGATGGGGAACCCGTGACCCTCCAGATGTTGAGGGACTCCAGCTCCCATCAGCCCTTGCAACCAGCAGAGCCAAGAGGCTGGGGACGGTAGGAGTTTTAATTCAGCAACATCTGGAGAACCACAAATCCCTCATCCCTGCTTTAAAAGCATTGACATCCCTTCCAGTTGTGCTCTTACAGCTTTTGTTGCCTATGTGTATAGATTTCTTAGAACAATAAAAAGGCTTTTAAAATCACTCCTGAAAATAGCCGTTTAAATAAGTTGCCAGCAGTTGTGATTTATGAGTTGGATGAGCAAGGCAGAGAGTAGCCAGGTATAACATCCGAAGGGGGTGGGTGGCGAAGAGGCTTTTTAAAGCCTTGCTGGTCTTACAACAACTCTGTGAGGTAGGTCAGTGTTATTATACTCAGAGCCAGACAGCCAAATCTCCACTCCTCTGTGGACAGTTCTTACTTGGGTTGTTTTTAAATCACCATGGAGAAGCCTTAGCAGAGCCAAGAAATACAGACCTAGAATATCCCTTTTTAAAGCTTATTTCTACAGAGCAACCTTCGTAATTTTCCAAACACGCTTGTGCAGGCCAGAATTCTTGTGGGGGTCAGTTGAGTGCAAGTTAGACACAACACATATTCAAAAGTAGTTCCTTAATGCCACACACTGTTTCTCCAGAGTCGTACATGCTACGGTTGTCTCCCGCTTGGACTACTGCAATGTGACTCCATGTGGGGCTACCTTTGAAGGTGCCTCGGAAATCACAACTAATCCAGAATGCGGTTGCCAGACTGGTGACTGGGAGTGGGCACCAGGACCACATAACACCAATCCTGAAAGACCTACATTGGCTTCCAGTACGTTTCTGAGCATAATTCAAATTGTAGGTGCTGACCTTTAAAGCCCCAAATGGCCTTGGCCCAGTATACCTGAAGGAGCGTCTCTACCTCCATCGTTCTGCCCGGACACTGAGGTCCAGCTCCAAGGGCCTTCTGGTGGTTCCCTTACTGAGAGAAGTGAGGTTACAGGAAAGCAGGCAGAGGGCCTTCTTGGTGGCGGCGCCCTCCCATCAGAGATAAATACAGTGGTGCCCCACAAGGCGAATGCCTCGCAAGACGAAAAACTCGCTAGACGAAAGGGTTTTGCATTTTTTGAGTCGTTCCGCAAGACAAGTTTCCCTATGGGCTTGCTTCGCAAAACAAAACGTCTTGCGAGTTCTTGCGAGTTTGTTTCCTTTTTCTTAAAGCCGCTAAGCCGTTAATAGCCGCTAAGCTGCTAATAGCCGTGCTTCGCAAGACGAAGAAACCGCAAGACGAAGAGACTCACGGAACGGATTAATTTCGTCTTGCGAGGCACCACTACTACGCAACTTGTAGAAGACATTTGAAGGCAGCCCTGTGTTGAAAAGTGTTTTATTATGTTTTATTATGCTTTTATATGTGTTGGAAGCCACCCAGAGTGGCTGGAGCAACTCCCCAACTCCTAACATAAATCTAGCATCAACAAACAATGTAAGTCTTCTCCAAGACATATAACACGACTTGAATGATCAAGTCAGCTAAGTGGGCACACATCTTACCCCTTCCAGAGAGGTTTGGGATGTTATTGAATGATGCAGCCCTGGTAGCTGTGAGCTCAGGTGTGTTGCTTCATTGACGAGCTAAAATCTGCATTAAAAGGCCCTTAGCACCCAATTCAGACTCCACCCTAGAAGCACCTCTCTCTCTAACTAGCATCCGTGTACTGAAAGCCCTCTCTGGACATATCAGGAGGACTAGGCACTCTGCTTGTTTATAAGAGCGCAGCTTCTCTGAATTCCATGCCATTCGTGTCAGACATCTTGACTGTGGATTTATCCTTTGGACTCTTTCTTGAAGGCTTTGGGACGGGGCGGGGGGGGAGTCCACAAAACAGCAGTTTTCTGTTTTTGTTTCCAACAGCGTGCATGTTTGTTTTTCTTTCATTCTGCAGGTCTCCTTCAAAGCTGTGATGAAAATGTAATTTGGAATTGGCATGCCCAGCAAGGGAGGAAGTGGCGGGCGCCTTGGGAAGGGCAACGCTGTTTTTGCTTTAACCTGAAACGATCCAAACGGATGTTGGGCCCAACTGGGTTTTCCCCCCAGGCAGAGTCGCATCTGGTCCTCTTAGTCACCCTCTCTTTAAAATCAAATGGAATGAAATCTCACCTCCAATTCCTCTTCTGTTTGTTTGTTTCAAATACCCCCGTATGAACTGTGTCGAGATCCATGGACTTTGCTTGGTGTACTTCGTTCAGTGCCCTCTAAATATCGGCGGAAAGGCACCGCTGTGCATGTGCTGTGTTCAAATCTGTTCTGATTCTGTGGTGGTGAGACTTTTGCCCTGTGTGTGTGTATGTGTGTGTGTTCATAGTGGAAGTCGGTTTCTCGGAGACCAAACCGTTAACCAAGTAAGCTTTGGAAACAGATAGAAGGGAAAGGAGGCCAGGAGGAAGCAGACAGGAAATGCTACCATCCTTTCAGGAAGGAAGTTTTTAAAAAGATGGTATTGCAGCCAGCGATGCTTTCCACATATGCAAGACGCCACTCGCAGCTGGGTTCAGCGTCTTAGGTGCTTGACAATCCCCCCCCACACACACTGTATTGGCTGCCCCAAACGAGGCGTAAATGCAGGAGATGGCTTACATTATTTTATTTGAGGCATTTCTATCTTGCTCTCCATTAAAATGTGCAAGACAAAAAATAAAACCAGATTTATATAATAATTAATAATATATGGAACCAGTATCGCCTCGAGACAATAACCGTGAACGGGTCCAGTGAGTGAGCAGCCTGCCTGTCTCCACCTGTGAACAGTTAACCGAAGGGTGAAAAAAATACGTTTCTAAACCTATTTGTCTTCAGCCCACGAAGGCAGGTTGGCTGTTGGGCAGACTTGCTCAAAACTGCTTGGGAAAACCATCCCTTAGCAAACCTCTCATCTTATCCCTTAGTGGCTTAGTCCTTCACGGTCAAGACTCCCCCCCCAAAAAATGAGTATCGCGTGGAGGGCAATAAGAGGACCGGACTCAGGAGGTATAACAGCTCTGTCTAAACTGGATTCCTCTCCCAGCTCCATAGAATAGAGTTGCAAGGGACCCCGAGGGTCATCTAGCCCAACCCCGTGCTTCTGTTCCTGCCTCATTGGATTCCCATTCCTTTTTCTCAATTTCCCACTGTGCTCTTCCACCGCACTCCAACGTTCATTTTTTCAGGCCCTCCGCCTCCTGATTTCGGTGATTCCCTCCACTTGATCATCTCCACCTTGGCCAGGATCTGGTGAGGCATGAAGGAAAAACCTCCCAATAATCCTGGCTGGAATTTCCTGCCTTAGTTAGCCGCATAGGTGAGCCTTTTGGTGGGCCTGATCTTGCAGCAGCTGAGCTGCAGTTGCCCAGAACATCTTATTTATTTATTTATTTAAACAGTTGTGTTTATCTGGTTGGGGAGATTCTAAGGAGCTTCTTTCAGGAGAATGTGAGCTGGAGAAGTGAGAATAATCCCCTTTGTAATAAGGCATTGGTTTGAAATTGTTTGCGGGGAGGAAATTGCACGTGACGGATTTAAGAAGAGCTATAATTTTAAAATTATTAGTTGGGGAGAGTTATGCCTCTATAGTTCAAACTAATCTTTTTCCAGATTTCCTTGGAAAGCATTTCTTAAGTGAGATTTTAATATATTGTATTTTTTTTTAATAAATGAGGTCGTCGGTGAAACGTCTCTTGAAAATAATATATTAAAATGTTAAATGGCATTCCGTTCACACGAGCTTTTTTGGTGAGTTGTGTTCTTTTATACTGTGGTGCTTTTTCATGGTGATGCTTTGCCGGTTGTGTGTGTGTGTGTGTGTGTGTGTGTGTTGAAAACGGTAAGGAAAATGGAAAATGGCCTCATTTTTCTCTGCTATAGACAACTCTTCCAGGCATCTCTGTTGCCCACTAGACTTTGCAACTGTCTACGTTTTCAATTTGTCTGCCCCATTTGGATACAGGAAATTGACAGGCCTGTACAGGAAACAGAATGAGGCATCTGAAAAAAATATTTCCTGCCTGGGATTGCAGAGCAGCTTTTCTAAAAGCAAAGGCAATGATTTTCTTTGTAGTGGCAATCACTCCCTATATCCCTTTTGTTGCTTTGCTCCAACATGCTACCACGGGAAATTAGGAAAAGCAGAGCAAGCTTGGAGACCAGGGAGTGCCTGTATGTATTTGTATATATGTATGTGTGTATATGCAATCTCCTTTTCCTTCCGTGTTAGTGGGAAAGGGTGGGTGGGAAGATCCTGGAGGTAAGAGATGGTATCTCTCCTAAATGGATAACAAGGGTTGTCAATATGCACAGTACCCAGCCCTGCATGGTTTATTTGGCGCCTCCTGCAGTCATCGGTGCGGTCTGGTTATAACCGTTTAGCTACAGAGAAATGCAAACACTTACATTCTAGGTTGCTGTCTACAAAATGACACAGGAAGCAGCATGGAATTAAGCGTGGCAGGTGTTCAAAACCCGGGCTATCATGGTATTTGTCATAAAGCAACAAAAAGTCTTTCATCACTTAATAAACACATTTATTATGGCACAAGCTTTTATGAACCTCAGCCCACTTCCGTCGGGTTCACAAAGTGTGATCTCCACAAAACGGTTCCCAAAGAGTCAGGATAACATTTCAAGAGACATACTAGGAACAATTAGATTTAATACTGTCAATAAATGCAAAGGAACCAATCCCTACTGAGTTGTATAAAACACTACGAATAAACTAACCTAATTTAGTCACTTAAAAATGAACAGGAGAGAGAAGAATGCCTAACAAAGAAATAAAATGGCAGCATAAGAATTGGGGGAGGTGCAGAATTGTTATTCCAGAAAGTTCGCTGCAATTAACCCGCAAGCCTTGGGTGGAAGCCACACCTGTCACCTGTGGCTGCCTTTCCTCCCAGCTCCCACCTGGGTTTTCTCTCTCAGCCACTTCTCCATCTCTCACCTGGAGAGAGGGAGAAGATGGCCATTCATTGATTCTTTCCGGGAGGCTTCTCCTGGTGCAAGCTGAAGTTCACCTGAGCAACAGGTAACTAAGGTTGAGGGTGGCAGCTCTAAGAAGCTTGCGAGCCACTGCTGGCAATGAGAATGGATGACACGGGCTCTTCCAACAGCTCCCCATCTGGCCCACCCAGCTCTCCTGGAAGGAAATTGCAGCCAGGTTGGGTTAGCGTGGAATTGCGAGGATCCTATACGGGTGCGGCTGACAGGTACCTACATTAATGGCTTCCATGTTGACTTCCTTTTCTGCGTCTGGAAGGTGGAACTTGAAGGCACGCAGCAGGTTAGCGAAGAAGATGAAAAGCTCAATCCTTGCCAAAGGTTCTCCCACGCAGGACCGGCGCCCTGCAGGAGAATCGAAGGAACAGAATCGCTTCCATGAAAGAAAGACACAATTCCAAGCCCTTGCCTACTGTGTTGGTCATGCTCATTTGATGTTACCCAATTATCATCAAAGGTGGTCTGTTTAACTCGGAAGCCGCTGAGACCATATAACACTTGTCCTGAAAGGCCTACATTGGCTGCCAGTACGTTTCTGAGCACAATTCAAAGTGTTGGTGCTGACCTTTAAAGCCCTAAACGGCCTTGGTCCTGTATATCTGAAGGAGCATCTCCACCCCCAACATTCAGCCTGGACACTAAGGTCCACCTCCAAGGGCCTTCTGGTGGTTCCCTCACTGCGCGGTTACAGAGAACCAGGCAGAGGGCCTTCTTGGTAGTGGCGCTCGCCCTCCCATCAGATGTCAAGGAAATAAACAACCACCTGACTTTTACAAGACATCTGAAGGCATTCCTGTTCAGGGAAGTTTTTAATGTTTGAAGTTTTAGTGTGCTTTTAATTTTCTGTTGGGAGCCACCCAGAGTAGCTGGAGAAACCCAGCCAGATGGGCGGGGTATTAATAATAATAATAATAATAATAATAATAATAATAATAATAATAATAATTAATTATCATCATCATCACCACCATGGTATGGGATTTCACCATTAAATCTGCATCCTGGGAAGGAGAAGGAGTGGGTTCGTTACCTGTTGAAAAAGGCAAGAAGGCTTTATTGCTCGCAAACCGGCCAAACGAGTCGAGGAAGTGCCCCGGGTTGAAGGTCCAGGGGGTCTCCCAGTACTCTGGATCATACAGCGCCGAGTGAAGGTTGGGCAGCACCAGGGTCCCCTGCGCAAAAGGGAGAAGGAGAGAATTACTTCGGATGAGTTTGCAAATTGATTGTTGCCATCAGAACATCCTTGTTAGTTCTTTCTAGAGATAATATTACTATTTTATCCTTTTTGTATCTTGGATCTTGAACAAATTGGCTCCCGAACAATTGAAATCCAGAAGTGAGTGTTCCGGTTTTCGAACGATTTTTGGTAGCTGAACGTCTGACCGGGCCTCCACGGCTTTTGACTGGCTGCAGGAGCTTCCTGCAGCCAATCAGAAGCCGTGCTTTGGTTTCTGAATGTTCTGGAAGTCGAACAGACTTCCGGATCGCTTTCCGTTCAACTTCCAAGGTATGACTGTACTGCTTTAAAAAAAATCAAAAAAAAATCGAACAGTGTATGAATTCTATGAAATAAATAAATAAGCAAAATAAAAACAAATGAGAAACATGATTCAAAATCGTGCGAAACAACTGATGGGCAAACCTTTTTGCAAGACAGGGCCTTGTCTGCCCTCCATGTAATCAAATAAACAGGCTGCCTGGAGGAACCCAAAGCATCCCAGCTCCTGACTGGTGCCAATAATGGTCACAATGATTATTATATTTATTTTCTGTTTATTCATACCCCGCCTTTCCGCCTGTGCTGCCTTTGGGGGAAGGAGCATCTTGTACCTTTTTAAGGGGGAAGCCCAGCAAAGTGAAGTCCTCCAAGCATTTCCGGAAAGGCCCAGTGATGGACACATTGCAATGGCGCATCACCTCATGAAGTACAGCATTGGTGTAGGGCACTTTAATCCGGTCCTCGTAAGTGATGACGTGGGAAGGTCTCAGAACGGCGTCTATTTCCTCATGGATTTTCTCTGCAGATAAATAATTCCAGCAGAATTCTTCTTACTTGTTAGTCTTCATTTCCTCATACCATCTCGTGGATTTATTTTATTTTATTATTATTATTTTTTATTGAGTTTTCTTTAACATAAACAAAATAAATACTCTAACATTCCACAATCATATCTCTACTTATTTTCTAAACACACTATCGTGCATGGACTTCCTCCGCTCAACAGGTTTTCATATTAAATTTTCTCTTTTTTCGCAGATTCTTAATAGCATTCTATACACGTCACAAAATTAATTTTAATCCTACTACAGTCTTTAAACTTCTACAGTTATTACCTATATATTCGACAAATTTACTCCATTCATTTTTGAACTTTGTTTCCTCTTGGTTACGGATCCTGTGGGTCAGTTTTGCTAATTCTACATACCGGTATTCAACCATTTTTGTCTGCCACTCCACTAGTGTTGGTATTTCCTGAGTTTTCCATTTTTGGGCTACTAAGATTCTGGCGGCAGTCGTAGCATACATAAACAGTCTCTGATCTGCTTTTCTTAATTCGTCTCCTATCAATCCCAGCAAAAAGGCTTCTGTTTTTGGGGGGGAAGGTATATTTAAACAGTTTTTTCAATTTGTTATAAATCATATCCCATTTTTTTTTCATTTTTTTACATGTCCACCACATGTGAAGAAACTCTCCGTCTTTCATTTTTCATTTTTTAAAATTTTATTTTTAAGGGTGGAGGACCTGTGGACCTCCAGATGGTCCTGGACTACAACTCCCATGATTCCTGGCCATTGGCCGTGCTGGCTGGTGCTGAAAGGAATTGTAGTTCAGCAACATCTGGAGGGGCTGCAGGTTCCCCATTTCTGCCCTGGACCCTTTGGACTTGAGGCATATGGAAAATGGGCCGTCATAAGGTTGATTCCTTTATTTCAACAAGTTATATATTGATTCACACACCCCTGGAATGTGCCTGAAGGTGCCTGGCAGGAGGAGAACATTCCATTGCTCAATATGAGCCTCTTAGCACTAAACTGAATTCCACAAACTGAATTACAAAATACAAAGCCAGTTAAAATTCACCCTAAAAGCAGAAATGCCTGTTGGAATAAAAAACACCTGAACTTCAACAGAGAGGGGCCTCTCTGATCTCAGCCTTTGGAGAGCTCCACAGGATTGGGCCCACAATGCTGAACGTACAGCTCCTGATAGTTGCAAGCTGTAGCTGTGAGCCACAGAGGGCCACTCACTCTGCCACAGACCTCAGTGATCAGGCAGCGATATAGTGAGTTTGTGGTCCTTGGGGTATCCTGACCCTAAGTTGTTAATGTGCCTTGTAAGTTAATGCAAGGCTGTAGAACATACTGCCCCAGGCCATACCGATATGCTGTGGTCACCCCGCTTTTTTACCCTCAAGCTCTCCTATTTCTTTCACAGCCGCATGGCAGGCAGAATTTCCCCCGGTGCAGTTTTCTGGGTAAGAAAACACATCGACAGGGAAGCTACACTGGTTGACTTTCTGCCTGCGGCGGTTCAGCAGGAAGTGAGACCCAACTCTTCAAGGTTCTGCCTAGACCTGTTCATTTGGCTCCTGTTACAGGAGATTCACACCCTTCCTCCAACTCTCTTGATATTTTGCAAAATGCTTTGCAAGTCTGACTCAATTCTCACTGCTCTTTAATCTGGGATTGCACCATTGTCAGCTTGCTTTGTAATTTTAGGAGTTTCACACATGTAGTCGACTGAATTGTGCAATTTTGTTATTCTACAGTCATTATTAGCTAGTCTATTTGTTGAATGCATTCAATTATTTTTTAAATTGCTGTTCGAAACAAAATCTTTCCATGGCAAAATACAGCATTTAAAACTATATTAATTGTAATGCAACAGCATCATAAAAGTATTACCGACCCTCTACTTATGGGTGTTTTCTCTATGGGGGCCTTGCATTGTATTGAATGTCCCTGGGTGTGTTTCTTGTTTTGTTTTAAACAGCAGCGGGTGGGCCTAGTCAGGATTGAAACTCTGGCAAGTGGGAAGCTGATTTTCCTCCTCCTCTGTCCATGGTCCTGGAAAAAACCTGCCCCCTTGAAGTTGCTGCTGACCCCAGTAGCTGAGTCCCATTCCAATGCAACAGTGGCTTGGGCAGCGGTGGTTTATGGCAGGAACGCAGGGGGGGGGGAACTTAGTCTTGCTCTTAATCATGCTCTGCATCAGAGGGACCCAGTGTGGGTGGTACCACCCACTGGGAGTGGGCGGGGTTACCTAGGGGGGCATTAAGAGGCCAGGGGGCAACAGAAGGGTGCTGGACCAAGTTAATCAATTTTGTCAAATGAACTAAACTAAACAATTTTCATTGGATTTGGACTAAATGTGCAGTGAACTGTTACTGCTTTGAATGTTGCTGTGTTGTGCAAACCGCTATTCTGAATCATGTTTTTACAGGGTCAGGTTGGGGACAGAGAAAAAGAGTTTATGGAACTCCTGCTCTACAACTTGTGCTGTTTTAACCCCAAATCCAGACACGTTCAATGGGATCACACATTTCATGCAATGTGCAGCTTTGGCTAGGGATGTAAGAAGAAGAGTTTGGATTTGATATCCCGCTGTATCACTACCCGAAGGAGTCTCAAAGCGGCTAACATTCTCCTTTCCCTTCCTCCCCCACAACAAACACTCTGTGAGGTGAGTGGGGCTGAGAGACTTCAGAGAAGTGTGACTGGCCCAAGGTCACCCAGCAGCTGCATGTGGAGGAGCGGGGAATCAAACCCAGTTCACCAGATTACGAGTCTACCACTCTTAACCACTACACCACACTGGCTACACCACACCACTGGTAAGAAGGCACCGTATTCCATTCTGCCCTGCATTTGGCAAAAACAAGTTGGACCATAAAACAATGACCTCTTATACCATTCTGAGTACGCGACATGGGTATTCCCATTCTCATTGCAACACAGTTGTGGACGCTCATCCCCAGCTGATGTTCCTGGGTCGCATGCACAGTCTTGCACATGGTTGCATCTGGACTGGGCAACACGGTTCATGAATCAACATTAGCAACACACTTTGCAATGGCCTCAACCTTGGCTGTGAGTCCTGGAAGACCTGCAAGCCTTTTTACACTTGGCCAGGGAGGGTGGAGCCCAGACTGATTGACTCCAGCTACAAAAGCTGAGGCTGCTGGACAGACCCTTGGGCCTGGGAGTTCAGTGGGGGTTGTTGTTGTTATTGATATTAATTTTTTTGTACATCTTTATTTTAGATCATGTTATGATTAATGTGGAAATTGTCCAATTGGGCTGCGTACTTCTTGAAGCCTTTTCCTCACATCAGATGTAAACCTCTTCCTGTTGTAAGCCACCTTGAGCATGGTTTTAAGTATGGGAAGGCAGATTGCAAATAACATGATGCAGATGATGATGATGATGAGTGACTCACCTTGAACATCTGGATATTTTAACAAGTAAAGCAAACCCCAGTACAGGATAGTCGTGGTGCTCACGGTCCCTCCAATCAAGAGGTCAACTACAGTTTGAACCAAGTTGTCTTCATTGAAAGTGGACGTTGGCTCATCTTTGCTCTGTGGGCAGAATGCACAAAAGCTTAGTGGATCCCTATCCAACAAGAGCTGCTTGTGAAGTTTCCTTGGCCTTTGTGGCCAGCCAGGCTTGGAGGCAGAGCCAGGTCATGAGTCAAAGATTCAGTTGCTAGAGATTCAGTTGCTGAGCAGCCAGGGCTCCTGAAACGCTCCTTTTTCTCTGCAGATACTTATACCCCACTCCCAGCCTATCCCTGCCCCCCAGAAAACTGGGGGGGGGGGCTTCCAAATAATGAGCAGCAACATTCGGAAGGGTAAGCACAAAGCTATATTTATCGGATATTTTCAAATTCTTGCGCCAACTTTTTTTCTCTTTGCTGCTTCAAAATTGATTTTACCTCTGCTGTGCTTAGGCTGGCTCAAAGACATTTTGGCCCCTGTGGTGAACCACAAAATGGCAGGGCTTCCCCACCAGGAAAGAACAGGGAGTGAAGATCCACATCAGACACACAGGGGGCAGAATCAAATCAATCTGACCCGATGGTTGAACTAGGAATCAAAGGCCGTTGTGTGGGAGAAAGGGGCCCACCCATGCCAGGTGGGTGCAGCCCCCAGGAGACCCCTGAGGCAGCCCCTGCCATTTCCTTCCTAGGGGAGGAAGGAGACCAGCAGACCCTCCTATTCACCAAGAGGCTGCTGTTGAGGTGGTATTGCGAGGGGGGTGCTGCTGTGGGAAAGGCAGATCCGGCCTCCAAGGAGTGTCCCGCAGCTGTTGCTACAAGTGAGGCATCCCTTGAAGGCTGGATCTGCTGCCACTGTGGATCGTCCCACCTGAGGCAATCGCTTCATCTTGCCTCATATGGACCAGCCCTGTTTGTAGATAGTTTGACTTCGGCTGCTTTCTATTGTTGCTAACTAGTTTAATTGTTTTGGACTCTGGACTGTATTTGGCACTGAGTTTTAAACCGCCCAGAGGACTTCTGACGTTCTGTGAGTGGCATATAAATGCAATTCATCAATATGGAGGTGCTACATTTAGGGCCCATTCAACTTCAGTCGGGGTCTTCATGGGCCTTGCTAGCATGATTTCCAGAGTACAGTGGTACCTCGGGTTACAGACGCTTCAGGTTACAGACTCCGCTAACCCAGAAATAGTACCTCGGGTTAAGAACTTTGCTTCAGGGTGAGAACAGAAATCACGTGGCGGTGGCGCGGTGGCAGCAGGAGGCCCCATTATCTAAAGTGGTACCTCAGGTTAAGAACAGTTTTAGGTTAAGAATGGACCTCCAGAATGTATTAAGTTCTTAACCCGAGGTACCACTGTAGTAGGGATTCCACCCCTAATTTCCAGCGAATTCTGGGAATTGAAGTTCTGTGAAGGGAATTGGGGCCTCCGAGCGACTGTCAGGACCCTTAACAAACCACAGCTCCCAGAATTCTTTGGGGGAATCTGCGGCTGCTTAAAGCAGCATCACAGTGCTTTAAATAAATAAATAAAAATTAAAAAATTGTCCAGTAGCACCTTAGAGACCAACTAAGTTTGTTCTGGGTATAAGCTTTTGTGTGCATGCACACTTCTTCAGATAGTGCTTTAAATGTGCCCTAAAGCTGGCTGGCTGTGGGTGAAGCAACATCAGAGCCCGGCTTGTTCTCAGTAGCCCTGCTGAGCCCTGGCCAAGGCCGCTTTGCCTCAGGAGGACAGGCATGGTGCTGAAGCTGGACAGAAGCCGTGTTCTTACCTTTGCCATTTGGTCCAGGTAGAGGTCAATGAGATCCTCTGGTTCTTGACCTTCTTTCCATCGTTCCTGGTGGCTTTGGACCTCGTCCTTCACAAGGGCATGGAGGAAGTTGTTGTATTCAAACGCTTGTTGATGCGACCCTTGTAGGCGGCGCATAATCCACGGGAAAACATTATATACCTGTGGCAACAAAGGAAAATGCAGGTGAGGAGGAGTGTCGTGAAATTAATTCCGAGTGAGCCAAAAAACGGCTCTGAGATAACCTTAATGTGCTGGAAAGGGGAGGCCGGCCATTTCTCAGAAGAATGCAATGTTTCTGCAAAGCATGCAGATTGATCTTGCAAAAGAATAAAAAGGAAGGCAGCAGCTGGTCGTGCCAGACACAGAAAACAGGTGGAGTTTTGCAGCATGCACTGTGTGGGGTGAGAACACAAGGACCCTGAGCGGAAAGGTCCCTGTTTTCACTTAATTTGAGGAAGCGTAACGGAAAACGGCTTTCAAGAGGACAAGAGCAGGAATAGAAGGAAGCTCACCCCACCCCTGAAAGAAGCCGGAATGAAGACGATCAAATAGGTGGCTTTTATCAGTCGGTTGAAAGAGTCGTCCTCACTGGCGAAGCGATGCCCAAACAGCAAAGAGCAGATGACGTTGGCCACAGCGTGGTTTATGGGGGTCCGGGGGTCAAAGGCTAAACCTGTGAATGCAGGAAGTATTAGTGGCATGGTACACACAATCACACACCATCATCAATGAATTAATGTAGGGTATTCTTTTCCTTTTTCTTCCCCTCCCGCTAATATATTCTAGTTTCCCCCACCACCCTTTGTATCAATATGTTCAATGTTGTTTGTATTTTGCATTTATTTTTTTAAAATTATAAAGTTTCTTTTTTAAATGCAGTAAAAAACATTTACAACCGGAAACGCCTTCACCGGGCACCTAAAAAGATTGTCATGTTGGCACTAGGCAGACACCTCTGGGGTGCCAACACTGAAAAGGCCCTCTCTCTTGTAGCAAACCTCGTTTGTTTCATTTTGTCCACACTCTGCTTTGAATTCATATGTGGCAGAACTGGCAGAAGATGAGTTCACAGCCACAAAACAAACCTGCTCAAGGTATTGGGCAGGGACTTATCTCATCCCAAATTAAAAGACAATTGAATCACTTGGAAACAGCTGCTGTGCAGGGCAAGTGCTGCAAGGAAGCTGTGTCCACCACTTTGCAAGATAACCAGTTATTTTGGCAAGTGCATCAGCCGTCAGATGAATTCCAGAGGGATGGGGCTGGACCCTTTCATTTCTGCACAGATGTCTTCCGAGTGCCATTGCAACAAGGAACCCCAGATCATGTGTCGTGTGGAGAGGGCTATCATAATGAAAAACTGAAAGCTGCCTGGTTGTGAGTTTACCTTCCTTGCTTGTCACTGCCATTAGGAGTTGGTGGGCTTCGTTGTGAATTCTGTGTTCCAGGTGCTTCTTCCCCACCCCAAGGCTTCTTAGTGCCATCATAGCAAAGTATTTCTGCTGCTTCCAGTTATGGTTGTTCGTAGGATAAATGCCTGTGTCACACAAAAGAAAATCCTTTTCCTGTGTCAAGCAGTGCAGCTGTAACACGACGGGCGAATATATCTTTTGCCCTCCACAATAATGTTGGCAATGACAGAATCTTTCAATTGCATTTATCCATTGTGGCTAAACAGATAAAGATACGCCTTGAAGGCTGGCAAATTAACTATGGCACAAGCCAGTCTTTGCTAACCTGGGGCTCTCCAGGTGGCTTGGATGGGCTGGTGGGAGTTGTCATCCAAAACATCTGGGGAGAACCAGGTTGACAAAGGCCAGTGTGAGCTTTCTAGACCACAGTCCACTTCGTAAGATGCACAAAGTGATATCCTCAGCTACTGGCAGGATGGGAAGCAGTGAGGTCAGAGGGAAATGCATTGCAGAAGGTACAGACTGTGACAATTAAGTTATTAGGCAGTCACAAAGAAATGTGAATGACAGATTCTTTGTAATGCTACATGGCAGCTCAGTTCTGGCACCTCTCCATTGCCATTCGAAGAGAACAAGGGAAGTGTTCATGGTGACTTCTGGCACTTCTTTTTTTCTAGAAAAATAGCATTGTATGTGTGTGTTTATAATAAATACTCTGCACAGATAGTGCTCAAACCTGTAAAGGTTAACATCTATTCTATTCATAAAAGTGTTAAAGAAAACAGTTTATTTTAATATCCCTGAAACAGGATTCCATATTTCTGATATATATATATATAGATATATTTATATCTATCTATCTATCTATCTATCTATCTATCTATCTATCTATCATCTATCTATCTCTCTATCTCTCTATCTATCTATCTATCTATCTACACTGGTACCTTGGGTTAAGTACTTAATTTGTTCCGGAGGTCTATTCTTAACCTGAAACTGTTCTTAACCTGAAGCACCACTTTAGCTAATGGGGCCTCCTGCTGCTGCTGCACTGCTGGAGCACAATTTCTGTTCTCATCCTGAAGCAAAGTTCTTAACCTGAAGCACTATTTCTGGGTTAGCGGAGTCTGTAACCTGAAGCGTATGTAACCTGAACTGTATGTAACCCGAGGTACCACTCTATCTATCTATCTATATCTATCTATCTATCTATCTATCTATCTATCTATCTATCTATCTCTTGGATACTAAGAAAGAGATGGGGTGATGTCAAAAACTGAAATTGGACCTCAGTTGGCAGGAAGAATTTAAAGAGTTGCAGCTCTGCAGTATCTCTGTGCCAGGAGTTTACCAAATTTCTTCTTGTCACCTGTTTGTTCAAGGCATCCGAAGGACACCAAAGATCTGCTTTAGTCTAATTTCCAAGAAAAGAATAATATTGGTGTTTACCTTTTTCGCCCATCAGATCCTTATAGAAAGGTGAGAGCGCTCTTCCCGCAGTCTCTTCCGAGTGAGTGACAAGGCACTCTTTCACTGCCTTGTATCCATTCAGCACGACAAAAGGCATGGTTCCCGCCCAGATGGTGTAGATGTCTCCATAGATGTTTGCTAACTAGAAAGTTCATTATCATTTTTATTTTTTTAAAAAAGCAAGAATATAAGACGGTCCCTCCTGGATCAGGCCAATGGCCCAACTAGTCCGGCGTCCTCTTCTCACAATGGCCAACCAGATGCCCACAAGAAACCCAGAAACACAAGAGCAACTCTCCCCTCCTGCCGTTTCCAGCGGCTGCTGTTCAGAAACAGTACAGTCTCCAGACGTGGAGGCAGAGCATAGCCATCCTGGCTAGCAGCCACTGATAGCCCTCTCCTCCTCCATGAATTTGCCCAGTCCTCTTTTAAAGCCACACAGGTTGGTGACCATCACTGCCTCCTGTGGCAAGGAGTTCCATAGTTTAGCTATGCACAGTGTGGTTAAAAATTGGTTAAAACCACAGCTGAAGAAGTGAGCTGAAAGGAGATTTTCTGGCATTTTTCTGGCATTTTTATTTTAGCAAGGGATCAGTAAAGGATTGGGGTCTGGGAATTATGCAGTTCTGTGAACCACAAAGCTCTGAGTTCAGATTTTGCCTTGACCGTGAAAATTTTTGGAGACTACTTTCTTATGGACACTGACCTGCCTTAGAGGACTGTTACAAAGATTACGGAGGTCAGGAACCTGAAGTCCTTTAACCCCAAATCACTGCAGGGTTGTTCACATGCAACGTTCAATGAAGGTACAATCTATGTACCTTGTGCACAAATATTTGAGCTGTACAGTCGTCTAGTTGGTTGCTATAGTTGAGCCTCAGAACCATAGAGTTGGAAGGGACCCTGAGGATCATCTGCAATCCCCTGCAATGCAGGAATATGCAGCTGTCCCATAGGGGGATCAACTCTGAGACTTTGGCATTATCAGACCATGCTCTAACCACACAAACTCATGTACGTATGTGGTAACAACTTCTACTTGTCTGCAGTGCAATGTGTAAACAAGATTGGGAGCAGCTAGTATGTACAACATGGAGTGGAGAAGTAGCAGCTAGACGAAGGGGTGCCAGCCCTACCATGAGGCATATTGGCCTTCTGTGAAATGGGCATATCCCATCCCAGCTGCCCAGGCTCTGCTGCCACATGACCACAACCCTGGAGCAGGCCTGCCCTTCCTGGCAGCTACTTCTGCTCTGGTCCCTGATGCTGGCAGCTATCTGGTTGGGCACTCCAGGACCAAGCCAGTATCCTGCTTGGTTGGGTGTGCCACAGCTGGCTCCTTGCTGAGTCATGGAGCACCAATGGTGGGCCTTCTCCCTCAAGAACTGCAGTACTTTTAGAGAGAGCCTCGGGTGCTGGCATCTGCCCTGCCAGGTTCTCCATGACTGCTGGCATTCAGAAGACCAGATCAGGCTGGCTGCCCACAGGCTGCTGCCCGGCAATACGGGGAGACACCTTGCATAGGGCTTCCCAAAAGTCTTGCCTCGCAAAGTCTCCTGGTGAACTGCAGTGCGACTTTGGCGACTGTGCTGCCTGTGGCTGATGGGAATCGTGGTCCAAAACACAAGGTCGTAAAGGCACAATTTGAACGTTTACAATTGCTCCTAAAGGAGGAACCAGTGTTCTGGAATGTATTGAGCTGTAATCAACCTTTTTTTTTGGTTGGCACTTCTGAGAAGTTTCGCCTCTTTGTATTCTTTGTGTGCACACATATACAGACTTACAAATGAATTTGCAATTTGCAAATGCGTGCAAATTGACGTGGGCCCAGCCCACCCACCATTAGGGAGAGCACTCCAGCCTGAGGCGCAATGCTGACCATGTGCATAGCGCTAAAACTATGGTTGAGCATTGCACCCAAACTGGACTATGATATATATGCCTGCAGGGCACTAAAGCAGCAGCCAGAAAATGAGTGTGGAGATTACCATCTCTCCTTCCTGGGGAGTCCTTTTCTTCCAGACAGAAGACTTCTTTGCCTTTGGAAAGACTACTTAACCAACTTGAGAGCGTCTCGGTAAACAAGTTGCTTTTTAAATAACCTTCTGACTCATGGTGCCTTCTGGGGAGGGCAAAACATCTCTCCCCCTGCCATACAACAGTCAGCTGGGAACCTACTAGGAGAGGAGCATAGGAAACTGCCTTCTACTGAGTCAGACCAATAGTCCATCTACCTCAGCATTGTCTACACTGACTGCCAGTGGCTCTCCAGGGTCCCTGTAACTTTTTTTAAAAAAATTATTTTTTTTTACAGAAAATAAAAATCAAGGGACCCCAGATAATTTATTTTCTTTTCTTTTGGGAGATGAAGGGTTTCTAATTCAACTTTGCTGGGTTAAAAGAAAATAGTGAATTTGGATAGAAACACGAGGCACCAATAAAATAGGTAAGAGGTTTTGCAATCTTCTCTTTCTGTTTCCTCTTCTTAATTATCTTTGTTTTCCCCAGTTTGAAGGTCACTAACTTTGTTCTAAACACACTTTGCTGACCTGATCTAGTCCAACCCTCCTTGAGGTGGGGAAGAAATTTGCTTCCGTTCCCTCGTTAATATGAAACTCCTGAAAACACACTTCATGAAACCATGACGTGAACCGAAACAGTTATCCTTTGAAATTTGCACTTCTCTCAGTTTTGCAGTGTGGTTCCCCAGTCAAATAATGTGACCCAGAAATGTGCATATTTGGGGAAAGTGTGCATCGAGATGCATTACATACATTAGTGGATATAACATACAAGAATGCATTACATTAGGGGAAATTGCTTGCAAACGTGTGTCTATTAGGAAATTTTTGCAGAAAAATGCTGGAGAGGTCTTTCACAAGGACTTTTAAAAAATAGCATGCTGATACAGAAATGTGGAAATCTGAACTTAATATCAGAAAACAGAGAAACCAAAATGGACAGGTTTGACTGTCTCTAGTCTCTCCCCAGATGTCCTCTGGGGGCTCAGCCAATATCACAGTAATGATCAAAACAATGCTTAAGTAAGCTCTGGGCAAATGACCCACGTTATCCTGACCCCGGGCACCATGCCTTTGTCCCCCTCCCCCTACCTGCCCACCAGCCACTGCCAATAATTACCTTAGCAAGAATCTCTTTCTTAAGGGAAAAATCCAGGAGCCACAGATTGCCAATAACGGGAAGAGGCGTCGGTCCTGGGGGGAAGTGAGTCCGCGCCCATAGCAGCTTCAGAAACTGTATAACGAAGAGAGAGAGGACTGCGAGTAGGAAAAGTCCACTTAGCCCAATCATCCCCCTAAACGTCCCTTTTCATCCTTTGTCCTCGGTCTCTCCTTCAGAAAACCTCCTGGTTCTAATTATTGCTAAGAGATGTGTCTGCAGTCATCTCTCCTGCAGACACATTGCCTCTCTTTCTCTCCCTTCCTTTTTCTTTGGTTTATCATTATTATTATTTTAAAAATGGTATTAATGAGTGTGGGGGCCCCCACTATTTGACTAAGCCACACCTACTGTGCACTCTGAGCTCTCACTGGCTCAGCGGCCGGTGATGAGGTCAGCTGGGCAGGTCTGGAGAAAGGAGGGATGGCTCCCAATGAATCTCAGGTAGGGATGAATGACTCTGTGTCAGTGTTGCTTTCTCCCAGCTTCTCATTTTCCCCATCTTAAGTTCAGTTCTTCACAGTTCATGATTTATTTATTTCCTTAACTCCTCATGAAAATTCACCTGCACTTCATCCTGATGCGTTTAGAATGCATTTATTTATTTAATTTTTTTATTTTCAGTGCAAAATTACAACAAAAATTACAAACATTGAATCCAAAATAAAACAGTGCAAACAAGGGAAGAAAAAAAAACCACAAACAAAAACGAAAACACACATCTGCAAATAAAACCATATCATCATTCTAATCTAGTCATTACATACATATACATGTATTGACTTCCTTCCTTTGTTCTAAGGGGTCCTCAAACTTTTTAAACGGGGGGCCAGAGGGGAAGTTTTGGAGAGTGGGCTGGCACGCTCGCGGGAGCTGGGCGCCTCAGAAGCTGGGAGCCTGCGGGAGCTGGACAAGGAGCACGGAGACAAGGACAAGCTGGTGCCTCACCAGCAGCTGCCACCCCGTGTGAGAGTTTCCGCCCCTTCATCCTCCTGCTCCCCAGAGGTGAAGGCCGCCTGGGCCACTTTGCCGCTGGCCTCATCATCCTCCACCGTCACGTCGGCCGCTAATGGGAGCGCGGCGGCGGCGACCCTGCTAAGCCCCAGCCTGGGCCGGCTGTCCTCCAGGAACGCCACTGCTGCCCCCCTCATGGGGACGCAGAGCAGCAGCAGCCACAGGAGCACCAGGGCAGGGGTGGCAGGAGGAAGAGGCAGAGTGGCGGCGGCTCCACCAATCAAACGCCGTGCTTGGTTTACCTCAGCATGGTGCGGGGACGTCTCTGCCAATCAAACGCCGCGCCTGGTTTACCTCAGCACAGCGCGGCGTTTGATCGGCAGAGACGTCCCCGCGCTGAGGTAAACCAGGTGTGGCGTTTGATTGGCAGAGCTGCCGCCACTCCCTCTCTTCCTCCCGTCGTCATTGTCAGGAGTCTCGGCTTCATGGCAGGTTCTTAAATGGCCAGGCGGGCCGGATTTAGAACCCTGGTGGACCTGCTCCGGCCCGGGGGCCGTAGTTTGCCAACCCCTGACCTAAAAGATCTACCGTGGCTCCCAGAACATTTCTGAACACAATTCAAAGTGTTGCTGCTGACCCAAAGGAGCATCTCCACCCCCATTGTTCAGCCCCAGAGCTTTTTTGCCATAACCTGAGCTCATTTTTTTCTCCCCATTCAACTGCTTTCTTCTCAGATTTAAAGAGTCAAGACAGCTGGTCACGAATCTCTGCCATCCTGTCGAGATCGTTCCTTAATCTGTCATTAATTAAGGTGTGATTTATGAGTATTCTCTGATGCCAAGGCATCTGCCAGGTGACTCACAGAATGGGTTTCCACACCGTGCTTGAGGGGAACAGGAAGATGTCGCTTATGGGAAACTCTTTTGTTGGGAAACCAACATCTTATCAGCGTGTTTGTTTCTCTCTCTCTTCTAGCAAAACAATTATCTAGGTATTCAAAATACCATAGCTGTCAACCTTCCCTTTTTTTGTGTGAAATTCCCTTATTCCAGCGCCGTTTCCCGCTGCTATCCCGCATTGTTAGATATCCCGTAGACTGGCCCTGGGGACAGGTGAGGCTGCTGATCCCTTATTTTCAAATCTGAAAGTTGACAGCTGTGGATGAAAGAGATCTGCACCTGGGGAACGTTGTAGTAACTGAAGAGGAGGACTGGGGTGACCTTTTTTAGTTTCTAATCTGAAAAAACAAACCCAAACTTGTGCACTCGATTAACGAAGTCAGCGGTGTGGGAAACAGCTTTTTAAAAAGCGAAATTATGAACCCGTGCTTCTAGAAGCAGCTTGATTTGCAGAGATTAGCAATCGGTGGCACTATCATTTTTACAAATCAAGGTGCTTTTAAAAGCACAGAAACAAGGTAGGCTGTTTCCCTCCCTCTTTTGGCAACACTACTGGAAATCAAGGAAGTGAAGCTCCCTGGACCCAGAAGGGCTTAACTACGACCACTCATTAGTGTGCTCCCAATATTTTCCTTGCGCCAAAAAGTTGGCATGTTTTTAATTTGTTGCCTTTTTCGGTTGCCATGCATCTGCTTGCCCTCTGAGATAATCTGGGGTGGCCCTTTCACACATGCCTTTGCTTTCTGAGGTGGTGGGCAGGATGCCTGGAAAGGGCCTTTTCCCTGGAGTGTGAGGGATGTGCAATTTTTTGTGCACTTGGCAGTCAAATTCTCTCTCTCTCTCGTGTTCCATTCAGCAGCAGATGGCCTGGTGGGGTGGCAGTGCTCACCTGACCTCCCAACAGCTGTATTGCTGCTGCTTACTAGGAAAGAGAAGAGGAGGTCTGAGGTGGATGTGGTGCGTCTACACCATCAGGGCTAATCTGGCGTTCCTGCCAGTGCATATGCACTGTGCTGACCTCCACTGAACCTCCACCTCTTCTTCCCAATAAGCAGAAGCAACACAACTGTCAGGAGGTCAGGGGAGCATCATAACATCCTCTACTGGTTTCATTGCACTTCCCCAGCTCTCTCTTGAATATGTTGCACAGATTTATTTTGTTTAGTCCTAGCTTTTTGGGGGTTTCCATGCTTTACTGCTCCCATATATATATATCTATATATATATAATTTAAAAGGTAGTTTTTCTGTTGACTTTTGGCTTTCTCCTGTTTCTAATATTTTGCTGCAGTTGGAGTACTTCATTTCTCAGAGGAGAAAGGAGACCTATAACCCCCCAAATGAATGAATAAATCTGCCAAGCACTCAGCTCAGACCCCGACTCCTGCCCATTTGTAGGACCATCCGCAGCTATAAAAAACCCATTAACATACTTCTATCATATCTCGTACTCCCATCGGCAGTAGATCCCATTCACGGTAATGAAAGACAGACAATTCACGAAGCTGGGAGCGGAGGGGAGCACATTACTGATCTTCCCATCGTCAGACTCCTACTGAGGAAGCCCCCAGCCCACATTTTTAAAATCACCTTTTAAACTGCATCCGTAGAGATTGCCTGCAGATGTGAGCTGAGCTCAAGACTCGCTGTACACTATTACAGACCCAAGAGCCCTTGTAAATAAGCGAAATATGAGGCTTCCCACCCCCTGAATTTGGGATCATTTCCAAAGTATAAAACCCTGTCTGTCTGTCAGCTTTTAATTAAAAGAAATACTGCATTGCAACACAGCAACGGTAAAGAATAGTTGCATCATCAGTAAACTGAATATTTGCCAGGGGGAAAGACTAGCCACACATTTCCTAGCACTTGGGCTGCCAAGGCTACGCTAAACCAGTTTCACAGAGTTGCAATGAAGTTTGCATAGATTCATGTACATTTTGCTGAGCAAGATTATGGTAAAGTTTTAATAGTAAACATATTGAGACATCTTCTAAATTGTGGTATTATTTAGGCATTTTTCTCATTTAAATCAGATCTCTTAATTAGAGTGACAAAGCCATATCAGCCCACATTTTGCATGTTCAAACTTAACAGTATCATGCCCCAAGCTTGGATCTGTAGCATGTACCTATAGCATGTGCCAAATTTCTGAGCTTTTGGATCACTTTCTTGCACGTTGTGTTGTAACACTCACCCAAGACCAGCTCTGGCTTCTTGAGACGTTCAAGAAGTGTTTCCAATCATCTGGGCCTTTTAATTAGAGATGCCAGGGATGGAACAGAAGACCTTCTGCTTACAGAATGTGCTCTACCTAATGCTTTCCTAATGTGGAAGAGGCATTTGTAATGCCAATGAGCATTTTGTCCAATGCAGGATTGCGACCGCACATTGCAAAGCAATTTGAAAGTGCCTTGTCAGGGCTGGCACAACCATTGGGCAGAGGTGTTAGGTAGATTTTTTGCTTTATTGTTCGGCGTCCAGCACGCTTCCCCCTGCGAGCCTCTGCAGGTCGTAAAGCAATTAGCAAAGTTGCACAGCGGTCGTGTTGAAAGGGCAGTAAAAAAGGTCCCACACGTTTCTTCTGTCCTAATATCTCTTTATTTGCTCAAAAGTAGCATAATTACAAACAAGAACTTCCATCTGATTTAAGCTGCATCTTCTCCCTCTGTTTGGAGCTTCGCAACAAAAACTGCTTTCACTTTTCACTCAGCTCACAGCATTCCAAGCTGCTTTCCTCACGTCCTGGCTTACTTCCCTTGCAAGCGCCTCCTCTCAGCCTCAAGACACGGAAGGTTAACCCTTCACTACACCCAACAAGAGGGAAGCAACTACCTCAGGGCGAAGTTGCTGATGGGTGGCAGCAGTACTGCCTCTGTGGCTGCTCTGCCCCCACTGAACTAGCCAGCAACCCTCAGGTGTGCTGGGGGTGCTGCTATCCTTTTGCCAGTGTTGATGTTTGAGTCATTTCTCAGACCAGCCACCTTCTGAACATGGAAGGGGAGGCACCATCTTGTCCTTTGCCTCAGGCAGCAAAATGTCTTGGGCCAGCTCTGTGCCTTGTACATCTTTTCAACAACATACGAATTTGATAGCCATAATAACTGTTGTTGTTGTTACCTGAAGGTAGAAGCAGAACGACTGTAATACAAGGGTCTCCAACCTCACCACTGCCCAGAGCCACTACAGAAGAGCACCCCAGTCAATGGTTTTAAAACCTTCAGATAGATCAAGGTGATTGAGCAGAATCACACTCCCCCGTCTCTCTCTCAGAAAATGTCATCAGCCAGGGGTCCAAGGCTATTGTAGTGCCATAAATGGACCTGAAAGCAGAGGGAAATGGGCCCAGATAATTGCCAACCAGCCCCAGAGCTTTTCAAAATGCTGGTTTATACCATCTCTCCGTCTCTGGCCCCCTTCCTAAGTAACAACTTGTCAGTGAAACATGTGAGGAATAATCACATTGATTCAATAAAAGTGTTGGGCACCCACTGAAATTAGATTTCACTTTGTTGTCTTTAGGGTGTTGCTGCCTTTGAACCTTTTACAACGTTCAATGTTGCAATGCTTCGTGTTGTGAATTCTTACCATAATAGGCAGTTGCTGCTGGGTTTTTCTGCGGAGCCTGTTCTACTAAAATTTGTTAGCTCTTTTATGGCTCAGGGATATTTTACGACGCTTCGTGTCATGTCACTGTTATTGTGGGACAGACCTCGGGGTTCCTGGGCATAGCTGTCAACTTTTCCCTTTTCTTGCGAGGAATCCTATTCGGAATAAGGAAATTTCCCTTTAAGAAAGGGAAACGTTGACAGCCATGGTCCTGGGTGCATAGTGGAATGGTGGCAAACACTTTCAACAGCCGGCCAGCCAGGCAAGCATCCACAAGACCCCAGTCCAGAGAACTTTAGCCAGACTTTAGCCAGATTGAAATCAGTGGGAGACATTTATTACATAATGTTGAAACACAACTTTCTCTCTTTAGATCTAGGTCTCTGCCTGGCAGCATCTCTCCAGGGTTTCAAACAGAAGGTCTCTCCTAGCCCTACCTGGGGATTCCAGGAATTGAGCCTCGGTGTCAGGAGTGCGTGCAGGAGCCAGGCCCTGTGACCAGTAGGGCTTCGCAGGACTGGGGCTTTCCTAAGATTGTTCTCTAGAGGCAAGGTGTGGCCACACAGGTGAGGCTGATTGGTAACTCACAGCACTTGGTGGCAAGAGCTGGGAAGGGATATAAGGTCAGCATTTCCCTTTACGTTCCCTGCCTTGGGCTTCTTGACTCCTTGCTTCCTGACCCTCGGACCCTTGGCTTCCTGACTCCTAGCTTCCGGACTCTCATTCCTGCTCCCACCCCGCCGTCTTGCCCCCGGTCCCGACGTCCTCTGCCAGGACTTCAACTGCCTGTAAACCGGACCGTGACACTGGGATACATGCCTGCATAGCAAATACTCTCCCACTGAGCTCTGGCCTTTCCCAGGCCAGCTTACTTCATCAATTAAAAACAGCACATACAAGAGGATTCTTTCTAAAAACCAAGAACTTGAAAACGGAGCCTTTGCTCACAGCTTCTAGTTTCTTCATTGACTGTCAGATCCTGAGCGCTGGCTGCTCTCACGGGTGTTATTTCTTGGCTCCTGGCTCATTTCAGACTCAGAGCCTGATGACAACTCAGACACCTAACCAGCTCTGGCCTGAAGCTTGTGTAGTTATTGATATCTCAAGGTTTCGGTTCTAATTGCATGCCTCTCCTCATGGATTTGTTTGGAGAAACCGGTCTGACAACAGCCATGAATCATTGCTGTCCTTAACATGCCTCTCAAGCTAAAGTTGCTGTTCAGGTGTTGTGATGCGATCTCTCCCTAGCCAGCTTTACTTTGAAGGTTTGAATTCTGGGAACCACCTCAAGCCACTGATTATATGCTTTGATCAAAGGCACATTAAAACCTCCCACAAACGGGTTGCCACAACCTGTTCCTCCCCAGTCTGCAGGAGAAGAAGAACAAGTGAGCAATGGTATTATTCTTGCCACCATGCAAAAAGCATCCCTTGGAGAGCATGAGGATGAGGATGGTGATTTTCTTAGTCCAACTCCTACGTTGACCTGTTCAGCTTCTTTGTTGATCATGATATGCAGATGCCTTCTAAAAAGTGTGAAGGAAGTGTTGGCTACTGTATAGGAGGGAAACGGGGAAATCTGCTCATTTTGGTTTCTCTGTTTCTTATTTTTCCAGTTGTAAGTTTCAGTTCTTCACATTTCTGGATTGGTTTGATTTTTTTAAAAAGTCCTCGTAAAAACTCACCGGCAAATGTCCTCAATTAAACACGTATTTCTATGCAATTCTGCCTAATCTTTCTGGTATTTTCACTTATGTTGAATTTTATGCACACTTCGTTTTAGTTATTCAATGCGTTTATATCCAGCTTTTTTCAAGGAACTTCAGGCAGTGTGCCTGGTTCTCCCCTCCTGATTCAGTCCCCCCAATAACCCTGAGAGATAGGTTGGGCTGATTGGCAGTGACTGGCCCCAGATCACCCAATGAACTTCATGACTGAGTTGGAATTTGAGCCCTGGACCTCCAGCCCCTACTCCAAGACTCTAACCACTACACCTTAGTATATGCATTTTTGCAAAATTTGGAGAGGTGTGAATTTCCAGGGATGGTTGTACTTCGCTTCACATCCTGTTTTGGAAATTGCAAATTACATAGCAATAGCTTTTAAACGTGAACAGAATCAGATTTCTTCCACATCTCCCTAGTCTGCCCAGTGGGGAAGCAGCTGAAGACAACTGAATGAACATTCTTACTATTGCTTTGGCAGCTGTTTTAGCAATTGTACACAAACAGACACATGCAAACACACAAGGAGTCTTGCAGCAGGAAGATTAATTGCTGCACAAAGTTGTTCATCAGAAACATGTGGCCTCAAGTGCCACAATAAATCCACTGGTCTTCCAAGTGCCATAATAAGACACCTTTTTCATGTATTTGCAATTCCTTCGATTATAATTCCAAAACAATTTTCTAAATTTATGCTTTGGTTGTCAGTCTAATCTCTCGGAGTAGAAGGGCATATGAGATGGGAAAGGCCTGTGTGGAAGGAACTTGGTCATGGCAGAAGGGAACCGGGTGGACAGAATGGAAGAGCTGGAGGCAGAGTTTCATCACCATTTGTTTTATCTTCAGAAGGCGTGAAGAACGAAATGCATCCCTGGAAAAGCTACAGCATGCGTAGGCAAACTAAGGCTCAGGGGCCGGATCCGGCCCAATCGCCTTCTAAATCCAGCCCGCAGGTGGTCCAGGAATCAGCATGTTTTTACATGAGTAGTGTGTCCTTTTATTTAAAAGGCATTTCTGGGTTATTTGTGGGGCATAGGAATTCGTTCAATATTTTTTCAAAATATAGTCCTCCCCCCCCCAAGGTCTGAGGGACAGTGGACCGGCCCCCTGCTGAAAAAGTTTGCTGACCCCTGAGCTACAGGCATAAATTCCAGGCCAGAAGCAATCTGTTGGCAACTGATAATCTGATAATGTCAGCATGCATGTAGTCAGGTGCCATTGGCTACAGGCTGGTTTTATGACTCAATTTGCTTCTATTAATTTACTGTTGAGTCTCACTAATTGATTTGTTCATAGAACTGACTGGTTTTAAATGTTTAGGTGTTTGAATGTTTTTTGTGTGATTGTTCATGTTGGATGTTTGAATGCAACTCAGCTTGCAGAAGAGGGGTTCCGCGTGGGATAAAACAGACAGTGGACTCAGCTACATTAGTAAAGAAACAGCCATTTGAATGTGCTATAAACATGCAATACCAGATGGTGCCAGAGAGCAGGAAATTTTAAAATGCAATTTTCCATAGATTTTTTTTTTTTATTTTGTTATAACGATCTAATTTCTGACTTATTTATAGTGGGGTTTTTTTCTGTGTCTAGATCCACCCTATAATAGGGCCTCCCGGATTATCTCTGTATCTTTAACCTCTTGAACTGACCTATCTATCTCTTTGATTCCCGACCGATATGCCTTAGTTTGCATAAGGTTTGACAACTTCTTCCTCATCATCCTCATTGCTATTCATCATTATTAATATTATTTCTCTGGCACCAGCTGCCTCTCATTTCCCTGGGCCCCTACAAAGCTGCACTTCAAAACATATTGGTTCAGCTATTTGATACCAATAAAATAGACGTCATTTGTGACCTGTGCTCAGTTACTCAGTGGAATATACCCATCAGATCTGGGTTGCAGAGTGATGCGTGAAGAGCTTTGGCTTTTTGTTAAAATGTTTTTTAAAGAGGCTCAGGACAGTGCCATAACCTTGGCAAAAACTTGGTAAAAACTTATACTGCCTGCCATGAATCTAATTTATGCCAAAGGACTTATGTCTGCTATATACGCACTACTGTAGGAATGCTAAGTTACATCCTCATATCATGGCTGGCTGGACCACACAGCCCTGGCAGGAATACCCAGCCCAGTGAAAACCAGTTGCCACAGGGAAAGATCTCACCTGGCCCTCAAATACTGCTCTCAGTGGGAAACCAGGTTGTTACTTGGCACATCTCTTTTGACTATTTAAATGATAGGTTCCCAAAACGAAAACGAGGGAAAAGTCACTCAAGTAGGTTATTAGATATTTCAGTGATTATTGTAAAAAAGAAAAGAAAAGAGGGGGGCATTTTGTTTGAATTGTGTGAATGTTTCATTGTTTCTGTTCTCAGTTTTAGTAATTTCATCTGATGTTGGTGGATACTGTGATTATTTGCAGTTTCCTGAGACTGTAATACATTTCTTTGTCTTCCAGTAAAGTAAGTTAGATAAATCAGATATTATTATTATGATTATTTCATTGCTTTCCAAATGAAAAGTGGGCAATGAGTCCATAAAGTACACAAACGTAAAAGCTGTTAACAGCAAATGCACCAAGGAAGTATGACAAAAGACAGATTTTTTACCCAAGAAGTGCTCATCCAGCCATACTTTTTACAGCTGCAGTTGATGCACCAGGGAAACGTCAACCAAATGTGTCAGCTGTCATCTTTAAATTAATTCGTAACTTTAATCGCTCCTAGACTGATCTGACATATTCAGGCAAGGGAGGACTTTCATAAACTTTCCGAACATGTTACGACGCAGGAAAAGTGCCTGCCTGGAGCTGTTCAGAGACAGGATCTGAAATCAGTGTGGGGAGCGGGGGGGAAGGCCCTGAAATTCAGGCACAGCAAATGAGATGCACTCACACCCACGGGAAAGAGCGCAAGGCGCCCGACTCGTGCCTCTCTGCAACTCAGAGTCATGGAAATGCCGGCACTAAGTTCCATTTTCCTCCTCCTCCTCTTCTGCCTCCTGATTGTCCAGTTTGTGAAGCTGCAATGGAGAAAACGACAATTCCCTCCAGGACCAACGCCTCTCCCCTTTATCGGATGCCTATGGCAGGTGAAGTTTTTCAACGTCACTCGTGAGAGCCTGACCAAGGTACCGGTATCTGTTTCCCAGCAGTTTGATTGGCCGACAGGATATTAGGCGAGGAACGGGCAGTAGCAAAGGGAGCTTAATGGCCAGTGGGTTGATAAGAGGAGATTGATAGGAGAAGGGTGGTCGAGCTCAGTGGTCAAGCATCCGTTGTTCATGCAGATGGTCCTTGCTTCAATCACCAGCATCTGATGGTAGTCTTCTCTCTCTAAAACCCTAAAAATCACCTGCAAGTCACTATGGACAAGTCACTGGATGCACCAATATTCTGATTCATCTTAGGGCTTCTTCTGATGCTCTGAGTTTTGGAACTTTGGATATGCTAAAGTCTTGGTTGTCAAATGATTTTTTAATACTGGGGTCTCTGTGGCCACAGCCCCCGCATTTTCAAATTAGGGTATCGGCCTTTCTTTAGGATGATTACTTTTTTTGGGGTGGGGAGGGTTGGCCAGTGTGCTCTGTTAAAAGTCTCTGCGTTTTAAAATTTGGAAATTTAGAAATGAATTCTTGCTGCAGCGCATCGTAAAAGCAACTGTACCTTCTGGATTCATGCTCAAGTTGGAATTCTGTATTCTTTATCTGTCAGAAGAAGGCTGATCAATCAAAACATGTCTGATACTGGCTTTGCACAATGTTTGTTTTCATGAGATTCTGCATGTTATTTCCAGTTTGTCAGTGGCATAGCATATGAAGATGAATCTATTGGCCATTAGGCTAGGATACTGATTTTAGTAAGTTAGAATCTTAAAGTTGTATTTTGCATGCCATAGATTTATATTTTACTTATAGGCTACCTTGACTTTTCTTTCTATCCATAAAGTCCATAAAGTATGTTTAGCCTGGAAAAGAGGACAGTGAGAGGAGATATGAGAGCCATCTTCATATATACATACATATATATATATATATATATATATATACACACACATATATACATACATACATATATATATATATATATATATATATATATATATATATATATGGCTGTCACATGGAAGAGGGAGCATGCTTGTTTTCTCCTGCCCTCCAGAGCAGGACTTGAACCCATGGCTTCAAGTTACAAGAAAGGAGATTCTGACTAAACGTTTGGCAAAAGCTTTCTGACAGTGAGTGCTGTTCAGCACAAGAGGTGGTAGGCTCTCCTTCCTTGGAGGTTTTTAAACAGAGGTTGGATGGCCATCTGTCATAGATGGCTTAGCTGAGAGTCCTGCATTGTAGGGGGTTGGACTAGATGACCTTGGGGTCCCTTCCAGTTCTAAGATTCTATGATTCTACTGCATGCAAAAATAGGTTTATCAGGAGAAATTCCCTCTAAAATGCTGAGTGATTTTTCATGAGGATTCAAAAGCAAAATTTCAAATTGCTGCAGAAATGTGGAGGGTTGAATTTAAGACTGAGAAAGTGAGAAACTGAGAGATGCCCAAACTCTCAGATTCACCCATTGCTGTCTGCCACTGAGGTTCAGCCCATCTCCTCTTTGGAGCCAATTGCAATGTGAAGCAATCAGCAAGGTTTATCGAGCCCCTTGTGAGCTCCAATGGCTTTAGAAGGTTGCAAGGAGGGCAAAGTGGCCTCACTCTGCCCAGGGAGCCCTGCCAGGCACCAACCTTGCCATTGTTTAGTCACCATGCAAAGACCTCTTTGTTTTCCTGGCCAGCGATATAATACTGTATTGCTGTTTTTAATGTGTTTAGATGGTTTTGTTATGGCATTTCTAGACACTTCACTGCAAAAAACCCCCAAAACTTTGGAGCTTTTAAAATTGGGAAGCGATGCATGAATTTAATGAACTTAGGCCAACCCAAAACTAAGAACAGAATTGCTCAAAGGTTGGGTGTGGTTTTTATTTGCCTGAGCTTCCCTGGTGTTTTCCTACAGGTGGCAAAATCCTACGGGGACATCTATACTGTATGGTTTGGTCCTCACCCTGTGGTAGTTCTGGATGGGTTCCAAGCTGTGAAAGACGGTCTCACCACCCACCCAGAAGATGTTGTTGGCCGGCCAGTAGTCCCGTTTTTTAGAGCTCTGGCAAACAATAAAGGTAAGGCTGTCTCACTTGCGTAGGAACCACAGGGTCATGTTGTTCCCACAGTAGAATTTAAGGAGTGGCTCTGTGGTTTTAGTGGAGTTCCTCTTTAGTACACTTTGGTTATAAAGTGCTCAAAAACCTATTGCTTATGAAATCAACTGGCTGCTTCACACGGTGCAAATCTTGGCTTAGCAAGACCCCACAAGCTCCTCAGCTTCCAGATCCCTTTTGCATTATATTTGGGGAAACTGTTTTGCAAAGATTTCCACCCAAATGCTGATGAATTTTCACAAGGACTTAATTCCAATCCCCTCCTACAAATTGATGCTCAAGGCAGCTTATGGCATGAAATATCATGTATGATCATGATAGAATTAGCCATCAACAATAAATAAAATGTTTTTTGTAAAATCATAAGATATAAAACAAATATACACAAAAAAATAATATCAATAAGAGCAACAACCCCCTCCAAGCAATACCCCAGCTCAAGTGCCTGTTCATTAGCTTCAGTTTTTGTAGCTGGAGTCAGTCTAGCATCAATCCATCCATCCGTCAGTCCTTCAGGGCTCTGCCCTCCCAGCACAGTTGGAAGAAGGTCTTCCAGGGCTCACAGGCAATATACTTTTTGGCCTCTTTAGCAGCCTCAGTTTTTGTAGCTGGAGTCAGTCTAGCATCAATCCATCCATCCGTCAGTCCTTCAGGGCTCTGCCCTCCCAGCACAGTTGGAAGAAGGTCTTCCAGGGCTCACAGCCAATATACTTTTTGGCCTCTTTAGCAGCCTCAGTTTTTGTAGCTGGAGTCAGTCTAGCATCAATCCATCCATCCGTCAGTCCTTCAGGGCTCTGCCCTCCCAGCACAGTTGGAAGAAGGTCTTCCAGGGCTCACAGCCAATATACTTTTTGGCCTCTTTAGCAGCCTCAGCTTTTGTAGCTGGAGTCAGGGTCTATGCTAGTCAAAGTCCTGGAATTGGAAACAGGGCTTTGGTGGCAACCTCCTAGCATAATAAGGGTTTGGATTCAGTGCTCTGAATGCAAATAATGGGTCACTGCAGCAGTCCACAGCTGACTTTCAATGCCTCCAGGTATCTTGCTGTCAACGGGCAGTACATGGAAGCACCAGAGGAAGTTCTCGCTGATGACTCTGAAGACATTGGGGCTGGGGAAGAGGACGTTGGAGTACCAGATCCAAGATGAAGCTTATCACCTGGTGGAGAACCTTAGGAGCACTAAAGGTACGGCACAGCTCAGGGTTGGGGGGAGAATGTGCCCTTTAATTTATTTTCCAGTCCAGAACCCTGTTTTCTTCTTATGCTCTCATTAATTTCAGCAAGCTAAATCTAAGAGCAACCTCAGGAAGTTTTAAGGTTCCTCTTAGTTTTGATTGCATCTTAGATGGAACATGCATTTATTCATGTTTTATGTCTGTGCTAATAGGCATCTGATTTGACCAGTGGTTGCAAGCCATAAATATTGATTAAAAGAGGAGACGAAAACACCAAACAAAATACCTTTGGCTGGAGACCAAGGGAAAACCATCAGGTTTTTGGAATCGTGCAGCCATGATATTTTTTTCCAAACCTTGTATGAAGAACTGTAATAGATACTTGCAGTGCTCCCCCTCCCTTAAAAATGTTTAGGGGCACCCTAATACTGCACCCTAATACTGCCCCTCAATGAGGCCAAACTTAGATTCACAAAATGTTTAGGGGTACGCATACCCCTGCGTCCCCCCAGAAAAAAGCACTGGATACTTGTATTTATTGCAATTATAGCCAAGCTTCCTTCCAAGGACCTCAAGGCAGGATACACTGATCTTCCTTACCCCCAACCATTTTTACCTTCACAACAACCCTGTGAGGTAGGTTAGGATGAGAGAGAGTGATATATGAAAGTCAACCAGTGAGCTTCAAGGCTGAGAGGGTGTGTGAGTCTGGATCTATTAAATCTTAGTTTCATACTCTAACTGCTCCCCATGCTGACTCTTCATCCTGGGTTGGCTGAGTGCAAAGGCCACGGCTGATTCCTCAGATTAAACCAGAAAAGTGTCCCAATGTCTCTGTTGCCACATTACTCAATGAGAGAATTTCAGCATCAAAATATTTTGGTCTTGCAAGGCAATTAAGGTATCCCAGGAATCAAACGATGCCGCTTCACATTGAAATAATAAGCATGGGTGAGATAAGAACTTCTTGATATCTCAGACTTGTAACATGAAAGAAACGCTTCTCTTTTACTTCTGAATTTAAATTTTCTACAGTTCTGAAATCACATCCCGGCCCACACTGGGGCTTTTCTTCTGCAGTATCTCCCACACCACCTGTTGCCAACACACACTTTGGCTATTTTTGTTTATGGTTACATCTCACCCAAAAATAATATATTTATTAAGACCAGCCAAAAAATTACAAAATAATCAGCTGTGTAGGAATTATCTTGGGGTCAGATCCTGCATTGCTGGCTGACTATTTTGTAACTTTTGGGCTAGCTTATTGAGTTGTTTTTGTTTTTATTATGTATTTTGTGTATATTGTGATTTTGTAGTGTAGCTACCCTGAGACCTGCAGGTATAGGTCGGTATACAAATTTAATTAATTATGTCATGGATTTTTGTGTTTTTATCTTGTAAACTGCCCTGTGATGCTTGAATGAAAGGCTGTATGGAAATTTAATCAACAACAACAATAATAATGAATAACAACAAATAAATTTTCCTAAAGCAGCCCCACCCACCCTGGACTAAAACCAAACAAAAAACAACTTATCCAACAACAGGAAACAAAGTGTGGTGGAAATATGAAGAAAAGGGAGTTTAGGTTCTTCCGCACTAAAAGATGGAATTCTTACAAATGTATAATGTAGCTCCCGTAGCAGTGCCATCTCTACAGATCAAACTGATTGATTAGGCATATATTGGGTAAGGCGATCTCTCAGGTGCCAAGTTGTTAAGGGCTTTATATACTAACAGAAACGCATTGATCTTGGCTGGGTAGCAAATCAGCAGCCATTGCAGGTCTCTGAGCACAGATGTCATACACTGACAAGGCCTTGCTCCTGGCAGCAATTGTGTTGCAGCATACATGCGTTGGAATAACCAATGCATGAACTGCTTTGTCCAAGCTTTCCCAGTCCAGGAACAGTCATAACTAACGTACTCATTTCAGTTGGTAAAAGGCATTTCTAGCCACGACAACTATCTGAGCCTCCCGTGACCAAGCTGGATCCAGAAACTCATGGGAATTGTAGTCCCAAACATATGGAGGACACCAGGTGGGCAAAGGTTGGTTGTAGCTTCTTCTGCTACATTGAAAGGATTGGCTCACAAATGGGCACTTGATGATTCCATTTGCAGGGAAACCCATGAATCCGTCCTTCGCTCTGACCCTCGCCGTTTCCAACGTGATTTGCGCCGTGGTGTTTGGGCATCGCTTCTCTACCGAGGACAAAAAGTTTCACGAGCTCCTGGAAGCAATGGAGGCCATATTCAAATTTGCTGGCAGTCTCGGTCACAACGTAAGCAAGCCGCTATTTTGCTTTGCTTTTCAATATTTCCTTTCCCGAAAGGAACAGCAGTAAAAGGTTTCACTTTTGCTAGACAGTTTGTGGTGAGAGAAGAATTTCCTTAGAAAATAAATACAATCATATTTATTATGATATTTAACAATTACAATATCCCCCAACAATTATGATAATTAAGTTTGAAGGCCCAAGGAGTCCAGAAAGTTTTTGTTTTTATTAAATGCATGTAAGTGAACTTGAAGATGAGCTAGAAATCTTTCAAAGTTCTACCCCAAACCAAACTTAATTCATGTTCTGTTCACACGTCAATTATGGGAAGTATTTTCTGGTGCAGTTCAGAAATTATTGAACTATTTCATACCCTTCAAGTGTCCTGATAAAATCGGGACATCCTAATTTTTCTCATGAGAGCATGGTGCCCATTTTGGGCACCACAATCTCAGGGCCACACTCTCGCATAGGTCACATGACTTGCCCTGGAAGACCTGCACCCAGTTTTTCGCCTCAATGTGTTGGAGGGTATCCTATTTCAGCCTACTACCTAAAAGGTCTTCTGAAGCATCTAGGCCTCAACCAGCCCTATAGTTGAAAGAGTGTGGCAGGCCTCTCTAGGGAGGGATTTCCAACGAAGGCTTAGCTCCTTATAGCTGTCACCTAAGCCTCTTCAGGGCTTTCCCAGATGACCTGAACATTTCTTGAGAAGGTTCATATAGAGGTAAGCGATCCCATGGTTGCCTTGGACATGAAGAAGCTGCCTCACACTGAGTCAGACCTCGGTTCCAGCTAGTATTGTCCACACCGACTCTCCAGGGTTGCAGATGTGGAGACATTGCCAGACCTACCTGGAGATGACAAGGATTGAACCTGTCCCCTTCTGTGCACAGGACAGGTGCTCTAATACAGCGCAGCAACTTTCTCTGCACCTCCATCTGTTCATGTCTCTTTCCCCAGATTTATAATGTCGTGCCCTGGCTTATGAAGTGTATCCCAGGGCCTCACAAGAAGGCCTTGACCGCCCGAGACTTTGTGTGTTCGTTCATAAGGAAGGAGATCAACAAGCACCAGATTGCAGGACTCCCAGATGACCCTCAAGATTTCATTTATAGTTACCTTGCTCAGATAGAGAAAGTAAGTAGCTTCTTTGTTCATGACCAGAACTGCTCAGGATGTGCTGTCCTCATCCTCTTCTCCATAATTTGAGCAATTGCTCCATCCCCAATTAGAATTTGTATTTTTCTTCCTGCTGGGAAATGCTCCTTTATGAATGTTTAGCTGCAAGCCCTTGGAAATTTACAGCTGCAAGGGTGTCATTAGGTGTGTCCGTTTTTCTATTTCTTCTCTTCTGCAGACGAAAGACCAGCCCAAACCAGCCTACGATGAAAGTAACATGATCCAGTGTATATTTGACCTCTTCTTGGGTGGAACAGAGACATCCAGCACCACTCTCTACTGGGGAGTTCTGTATATGGTGCTTTATCCAGACATCCAAGGTGAGATGATGTAACGCTGCACCACTTTTGAATTGTGCAAATGATGTTCAACTGCTGCGTCTTCTGAATGACGCGGAAGAAAGCAAAACGTTGTCTTTCATGCCAACCAACTATTGTGTTGGGATGAATTTGCTAAAAAGTTTTGCATGTGCTTTTTTGGTGTGTGTGTAAATAAGTGAATGTGTTTGGATTCCACTCAGCGAACATCCAGAAGGAGATTGACGCGGTTGTGGCTCCCGGTCAAATGATCAGCGGCGAGGATCGCAAGAAGCTGCCCTACACCAACGCCGTGATCCATGAGGTCCAGCGCTTCAGCAACATCATCGCGGTTGGGTTGCCCAGGTTATGTGTGAAGGACACCATGATTCGACAGTTTACCATTAAGAGGGTAAGTGAACCTCCACTGCCCACCTCCCCCGCTTCCTTCAAATGTCTAAGAAAACGCTGCAGTGGTTTATCAGATACCACTTTTAGTTCTACCATCGAAGGAAAGCTGGCCATGTTTCTTCTTGGGCAGGAAATAACATTCTGCCCACCGTACATCTAAAGCACATGGTTTCCCCCAGAGAATCAGGGGAACTGTAGTTTACTCACAATGAAGCTACATCCCCCCACACCCTCAATAAACTGCAGTGTGCAGAATTCTGTGGGGGAAGCCATCTTCTCTAAATGTGCTGTACAAGTATGGTGTCCACACAGCCTTTGTGTCTTTCCCCAACGCAGAAGATGTTGCACCATCCCTGAGAGGTGAAGATGCTCAGAGCATTATCTCTGGCCAACAAGAGGCCAACTGAGTGTCTCTTTGCCAGAGCCCTCTGCTTCTCCAGTTTGGTAGCGAATCATGCAATTATTTGAGAGAGGGGTTTTACTGAACTGAGAGCTGAGTGTATGATCTGCTTCCCTGGAGCAAGGCAGGACTGAATCTCTGACTCTTTCTTTCCAGGGCACCATGATCTTTCCAAACATGGCTTCTGCCTTGTACGATCCCAACGAATGGGCGACGCCCGAAAGCTTCAACCCCAACCACTTCCTTGACAAGGACGGAAATTTTGTTTGTCCAGAAGCCTTCATTCCATTTTCTTTAGGTAGATGAAAAGGCTGGAGACAAAATCTTGGTGGTTTCCTTGAGGGTTTTGCTTTGCATTGTTGGGAGCTGAAAGACATAGTAGCACGCCTAAGGCTGCCCAAGGAGTATATGAAGAACATAAGAACATAAGAAGAGCTGGACTAGATGGCCAATGGCCCATCTAGTCCAGCATTATGTTCTCACAGTGGCCAACCAGATGCCTGTGAGATGCCTTCAAGCAGGATTCAAACACAAGAGCCCTCTCCTCTCCCGTGGTTTCCAGCAACTGGTATTCAGAAGCATTGCTGCCTCTCCAGCTATGGAGACAAGCTACCATGGCTAGTAGGAATACATATTTTCTTAGGAGTGGCTCATTTTCATAGAAACACAGGGGGCTGCCTTGTCTACCCTGACAGTGTCTTTCCAGGGTTTCAGATGTGGGGCAGGGAAGGAGGACCTTCTAAGCCAGGCATAGGCAAACTCGGCCCTCCAGATGTTTTGGGACTACAACTCCCATCATCCCTAGCTAACAGGACCAGTGGTCAGGGATGATGGGAGTTGTAGTCCCAAAACATCTGGAGGGCCGAGTTTGCCTATGCCTGTTCTAAGCCATTCCTGGAGATGTTCCACCACTGGCTCAGGTCAGCAGATTTCCCCATGGGAATCCAGTTTGCCCCTCTAGGCTCCCAATGCATCTTCATGCCCTGGAATGAGCCTGAAGTCTTCACACTAATGAGCGGTTAGCTTCAGGCTCTCAGCAGCAGCAGAGGGTGGTGGGGTTTTGTGTCAATACTGAGCAAAAGGGTTGTGAAAGATCTAGACACTATTTTTCTGAGAAAGGTATGCCCTGCTTTTCAACTTAAGAGTTCTCCAAATGGCAATGGATGTGACTTTATTGGGACCTAGTTGGCCACTGTGAGAACAGACTAGATGGATCCCCCTTTTCCTGATCCAACAGCAGAGCTTTCCTTATGTCCTTACGGTGCACAGTCTGACTTCATCTCTCTCCTCCTCCTATAGGGCAGCGAGTGTGCTTGGGAGATCACCTGGCCAAGACGGAGATGTTTCTTTTCTTCTCCAACCTCCTGCAGGCGTTCACTTTCCACTTGGCAGAAGGGTCAAAAGATGTCAACACAGAGCCTGTTTTGGGGGGCACTTTGCAGCCTCACTACTTTGAGATCTGCGCTATCCCTCGATAGGCCCGGCATCTCATGTCTTTGGAAATCTGTTTAGGAAAAGTTGCAAGGTGGAAACATGCTGTACTGTTAACCCAACGCCGCCGTCTTCTGGTGTGGGGTTGCGTAGCTTCTTCAGAGTCCTGAGAATCAAAACTTTTGTCGTGAGACAAGAAATAAGTTTCTAGACCTCCTGACTGCAAAGGAAAAGCTTGAAAATACACAACAATACCTGTGAATAAGGTCTGAGTGCAGTGGTTCCCAAAGTGGTTCCCACAGGGGCAGGGGCATTACTGGGGGGGGGCAGCTAAGAGACTTTGAAAAGCTGGGGTCACTGGTTCAAGTTCATCCTTTTTGTAGAATTTATTAGATGAAACATTTTAAACTGGATTTTGAATAAATGTGAAGTTAATTGTTACTGTTTTGAATTTTATTGTGTTATTATCTTCCTTAGCGGGTTTGTGCAAACCGCTATAATGAATAATCCTTTTTACGGGGTAGGGCCAGCCAGGGCACTGGGAATGAGTTTATGGAACCAAGAAGGTGGGTGTCACTGTCTAGAAACATTTGGGGAATTACTGGTCTAAGGTATGACTTCAACATTACGCAGCTCTTTTTATTCTTGTCTTTTGGCCATAGGCACCCTAACTGGGCGTTAGGGTATCTCTCTTCTGACCTTACCTGACATCATGCCCGGCCTCAATGAACACTGCTCCAGCCTTCTATTCAAAAAGGTGCAGAAAACACCCACAAAGATGGAAGATCTTAATCAGTTAAAAATTTCCTCCTGTGTCGCTTAGTTTTCTGCTTTGCTTTCTTTTTTGCACAGAGAATTACTTTCCTACTCTGTTCTGCTGCTGGATGCTGCATAGCAGTCGTATCTGGGACAGACTTGTTTCTGTTCATGCTCTGATGAGGTCTCTTGGCAACACCAGTTCATTAACACCAAGTCATGGCTCACAACCATTTTCTTCTTCTTCCACATAGTTAGGCCAGCCACAAGATCATTTTTTGCTGGTGTTAGTGTGGGTGTGTTAAAAGCATTGCCTCTGAATACCAGTTGCTAGGAATCACAAGGGAGAGAACACACCCTTTAAATGAATACTATTTTACTTTCATTTGATTGCAACCCCTTGTTTTTCTCTAACCTTCTTCATCTTGAAACATGAAGAACTAAGTTCTCCCCGCCAAGGAGAGAAGTGCTTTCGACAACCCCCACCTCCCCTTTTTTGAAGAATAGTCTTGAATCAGAATTCCAGAGTTAGAACCTTTAGGCCTGTGTATGTCAGCACAGGGCGGGGGAACCTGTGCTGTAGTGATCAGGTGGGATTGCTATGAGAAATTATAACAAATATAGAGTAAGCCATCTGTGACAGCAATGAAAGCATTGCGTTGACTGGGTTTAAACTATTTTGATATGATTCTTGATCAATCCACACCTCAGCATCCCTGTTCCATTTCTCTTTCTTGACAAGTCACGTACACAACCCAGTACACAACCCAGTTGCTTCGCCAGGCAGGCATCCTGGCTCATCAAAGATAGTGGGCAGCTTCTTTTGATGTAGCTTTTCTGATATGTTAATCTTAGGATGTTAATCTTAGGGCCAGGAAACAGGTTTCACATAAAGGTGATAATGATCGCTGTCTTCCTGGCCGTCCTTCTTATCATGTATATTGCTTGTTTATCACCTCCCGGGGTTGCCAAATGCACTCCTTTGTAGTTCTGTTTTATTTACCCCATGCTTAATTAGTTTTGGTAGTTTAACTTTGTCTGCACGTGGGGTTTGTTGAAATGCTCAGAAGAAATCTGATTGGTTCTTACAAACACTCTGTAAAAAGTTCTTTTGTGAATAAAACGACCTGGGCCGAGGGGCAGGGAGAGATTATTATACGCACCCTTCCCAGAGTCTTGCTGGTTCAAGCCTCTGTATGTATTCTTATTAATCAGAGTTCAGTCCTTCCTTTGCTTTGGGAATGCCTCACCCCCCCCCCCAGAGAACACTGGGCTTCTGCTCCCATCACCCCTGACCATTGGCCCTGCTGGCTGGGGCTGATGGGAGCTGGGAGTCCAGCAATTTCAGAGGTGCCACTGGTTCCAGGTTCCTGGCCCTTTCTCCCTAGCCCACCCAGTTCCTTGCCCCATCTGAAGCAGAACATTGGAGCTCTCCAGGGTGCTGAACTCTTGCTGCTCAGCACAGGGCAGTGGAACCTGAAATTACCGGACTAAAGTTCCCATCGTCCCCAACTATTGACCCTGCTTGCTGAGGCTGATGGGAGTTGAAGCCCAGCAACATTGGGATGGCCACCATACCCCTCATCTCAAATTATCTCCTAAATGCAGATGTGTGCACACAGACAAGCACTTTCTATGCTGAAGTAATCCACCATACAGTTTACAGTAATTGGTCTGCCATTAAAACCGGTATACTTTTGGGAGGATTGCAGCATGTGGTGTGTGTTTGAATGGAATGTGATTTTTTGAAAAGAAGGTCAGGTTACTGGATAAATCAGAGAATGAAAGCCATGGGACATAGAAGTACGTTAAGTTATTAGGTCAGTGGTTTTACTTTCTGGGAACACTTTCCAGGTGAATTTGTCTCCTGAGAAGCCCAAGGTTGCAGAAGATTTTGAGATGCATTCATGAGTGCACTTTTTGTTCCCATAAGGCTTTGGGCACTTCATGCTGGCTGGAGCTGATGGAAGCTTGGGTCCCAAAACATCTGGGATGCCATAGGCTCCATGCTCTTGATCTAGAGGACGGATGGGAGAGGAAAGCACAATGCTGGATTTTCAGCCCCTGGTTTCTAAGAGGTCATTTTATTTTATTTTATTTTAGTTATTTTATTTTATTTTATTATTTTATTTTATTACATGGGGTTATATTGAGCATAGTCCTAAGTCACTGGTTCCATCAGGGCAAGGATTTCTCCTTGCATAATGGAACATTCCCCCTTCTTCAAGCCCTCTGTGTCTCCTAAGTCTGTTCTGGAGTATTCACCAAAGCCTTTAAGCAAATGTTGGGATGGCGCAAGTCATGAAAATGGATATTTTGGGGGTACATACAAAGGCATGAGAACAAACACGGATGTGAATATTTTATGCATACTCTTACAAAAATTGCAAACGGCTGTGGAAATGGGGCAGACTGACATTATGACCGGAAAATTGAGAAACTGAGAGATAGAAATTGATAGCGCCCCCCACCCCACAAAAACCCCCTCTAAACTTACAGAAACTGCTTTTGTTCCAACTTCACAACCAAAATATAAGATGACAGCAAACTGAACACTAGCTCAGGTTTCGGTCTTGCCCCTTCCCCCAGACATCTGGTTAATTCTTGGGCTTTTATTTTTTTAAACTGTCTTACTTTACTGTGTTCATTTGTTCTTTTGTTACCCTGTTGATTACAAGAAGGACCTTTTGTTTTTGTACAAATGCAAAAGTACTCCAGAGATTTTTGTATGTCCAGATGGCAAATGAAAGTTCTTGGTGACGTCATGGCTTCTCAGCTCTGTGAACAACTGGCCTCTGTTCCAGGGTGTCCAATAAGGTATTGAATCATTTCGTTTTATCATTAAGTCCTGGAGATGCTTCCCAAAGCATTCAGCTGTCACAATAAGTAACTGCTTGCATGAGCAGAACAACCTCCACCTGTGCAATGGGGATTCCCTGCTCTTCTCCCAAAAACACTGCCCCCTAAATATATTCAAGTTTTCCCACCCCAACCTTTCAGAACAGACCTGAGGGTGGTGCAGGGTGTCACATGGGGGGAGAGCAGATGGGAGGGAGTCCCATTTTGGAAGTGGAAGTTGCACAACTATTTAGTAGAATACTGCTCAAAGTGTACCGTCCAATGCCAGAGCAAGACCTCCACTGAAGTTATTATAATTTGCGGTTTCCCAACAGAAATTACACCCACACCCACACCCACACCCACCTCTATTAACTTACATATAAAATAGTAGATAATTTTCTCTCCTGAGACCTCATATAGCAATACAGTGCTGCCTCGGGTTACATACGCTTCAGGTTACAGACTCCACTAACCCAGAAATAGTGCTTCAGGTTAAGAACTTTGCTTCAGGATGAGAACAGAAATCATGCGGCAGGTGCGCAGCAGCAGCAGGAGGCCCCATTAGCTAAAGTGGTGCTTCAGGTTAAGAACAGTTTCAGGTTAAGAACAGACCTCCGGAACGAATTAAGTACTTAACCCGAGGTACCACTGTATAAAATAAATTATAATCAACAGAATGCATATGTTCAGGTAGGTAGCCGTGTTAGTCTGACGCAGTCGAAATAAATTAAAAAATTGCCCAGTAGCACCTTAGAGACCAAATAAGTTTGTTCTTGGTATAAGCTTTCGTGTGCATGCACACTTCTTCAGATGCACTGAAACAGAAGTCACCAGACCCTTATATAATGCATATGTAACATACATCAATGTTCTCACCTTCTTTTCATTTCATTCATTTTTAAAAATAGTTTTTATTGAGTTCTGCAGACTTTATAATCGTCACAATCAATGCTTTTTAAAAAAAATGATATATAAATCCCTACCTCTCCCCCCCACTTTCCCCAACCTCCTCTTCTGGTTCATTACATATTTACTTCTCCTACCTGTTTTCTTCTACTTTCATTTTATAATCTTTTAATTAAATATTGTTATAATCTTACCAATTTTGTATCATATTTTCCACATTACTTCTTACCCTTTGTTATTTTCCCATTATTACATCTTAACTTTTTTTGTTTGTTTTCTTAATTGCAAGTGTTTACTCAAACCCTGCTAGTGAGCCCACTTCTTTCATTTCATTCATTTATCCAGTTGGGTGATTGTTCCAAACCACCCTGTGGCTTGTACAAAGGGCGGTTTATAAAAGTCAAACATGGAAAAAAGAATGCATAAAATAACACAGTCCCTGAAGTACACAATGAGGTAGACCAACCTACAAAACAGTGATTTATTAAAAGCAGCAGCAGCAGCAACCAGCTGATTTCTCCAATTTCCTTATGGAAATTAGGGAAAAGAGCCATGGCAGATCAACTGCTCTGCATGCAGAAGGTCCCAGGCTGTGTCTGAGAAAAACAGGCCAGAAGAGGAGGACCTTTGGCCTGATCCAGCTAATACCATTCTGTGCAGGAGTTGAAAACAAGTGCTGAATCGTATTGCAAATAAATTAGCAGCTGGAAAACATTCACATCTAGAAGATAATACTACTACTACTACTACTACTACTAATAATAATAATAATTTATTATTTATACCCCACCCATCTGGCTGGGCTTCCCCAGTCACTCTGGGCGGCTTCCAAAAAAATATTAAAATAGTGTAATACATCAAACATTAAAAGCTTCCCTAAACAGGGCTGCCTTCAGTTCACTGTTGAGTTTGGTTAGAAATCCATATACCCACAGAGGAGTTCCTGTTCAGCAACATCAGATTTCTTAACCAATGCAGTTGAGTGTTCTCCATCAGGAGTCATGGGAAAGTAGCTTGGTTCATGGATCATTGCCTTGTTGTGGCAAAGGGGCTTGAATAACTCAGAGAAGCTATGAGCTATGCCTTGCAGGGCCACCCAAGACGGACAAGTCATAGTGGAGAGTTTTGACTAAACGTGATCCACCTGGAGCAGGAACTGGCAAGCCACTCCAGTATCCCTGCCAAGATAACTCCATGGACAAAGACAACAGGCATATAAAAGTTATGACGCTGGTCATCACAAACACTCTTTTCCAACAACACAAAAGACGATTCTACACATGGACATCACCAGATGGACAGCATTGAAATCAGATTGATTATATTCTCTGCAGCCAAAGATGGAGAAGCTCTATACAGTCAGCAAAAACAAGACCTGGCTCAGATCATCAGCTTCTTATAGCAAAATTCCAGCTTAAACTGAAGAAAGTAGGAAAAACCACGGGGCCAGTAAGATATAATCTAAATTAAATCCCTCACAGTGGAAGTGAGGAACAGGTCTAAGGATTTAGATTTGGTGGACAGAGTGCCTGAAGAACTATGGATGGAGGCTCGTAACATTATACAGGAGGCAGCAACGAAAACCATCTCAATGAAAAGGAAATGCAAGAAAGCAAAGTGGCTGTCCAGTGAGGCCTTATAAATAGCGGGGGAGAGAAGGCAAGCAAAATGTGAGGGAGATAGTGAAAGATACAGGAAATTGAATGCAGATTTCCAAAAAATAGCAAGGAGAGACAAGAGGGCCTTCTTAAACGAGCAATGCAAAGAAATAGAGGAAAACAACAGAATGGGAAAAACCAGAGATCTGTTCAAGAAAATTAGAGATCTGAAAGGAGCATTTCGTACAAAGATTACTATAATAAAGAACAAAAGTGGAAAGGACCTAACAGAAGCAGAAGACATCAAGAAGAGGTGGCAAGATGTCCTCTCTCACCACTTTTATTCATATCGGTACTGGAAGTCTTTTTAAGATCAATAAGAGTGAGTCAATAAAGGGGGTAACAGTCGATCAAAATGAATATAAGGTAAAGGCTTTTGCTGATGACTTGGTTATAACAGTGGAAGAACCCCTAACAAGTGTTAAAGCGGTATTAGAAGAATTAGAACAGTTTGGTCAAGTTGCAGGTTTTAAATTGAATAAGAAAAAAGCTAAGATAATTGCTAAGAATATGGAACAGGAATTGATTGAAAGAATGCAGCAACAAACAGGTATAGAAGTGGTCAAGAAAGTGAAATATTTAGGAATTTGGTTAACCCCCAAAAATATTGATTTATTTCAAAATAATTACACACCAATGTGGAATAAAATTAAGAGAGACTTAAGAGGTGTGGGGGAGGCTGAAGTTATCATTTTGGGGAAGAATTTCAACGATTAAGATGAGTGTGTTACCGAAGATGTTATTTTTATTTCAGACAATTCCGATAATTAAAGGGGCCGTGATATTTAAAGAATGGCAAAGGATAATTTCAAGGTATATCTGGCAGGGTAAGAAGCCGAGAATACAATTTAAGTTATTAACAGATGCTAAAGAAAGAGGTTCGAATCCCCGCGGCGGGGTGAGCTCCCGTCGTTCGGTCCCAGCTCCTGCCCACCTAGCAGTTCAAAAGCACTCTTAAGTGCAAGTAGATAAATAGGTACCGCTTTATAGTGGGAAGGTAAACGGCGTTTCTGTGTGCTGCGCTGGTGCTGGCTCGCCAGCTGCAGCTTCGTCACGCTGGCCACGTGACCCGGAAGTGTCTTCGGACGGCGCCGGCTCACGGCCTCTAGAGCGAGATGAGCACACAACCCTAGAGTCAGACACGACTGGCCCGTACGGGCAGGGGTACCTTTACCTAAAGAAAGAGGAGGCTTCATCTTGCCAGACTTGAAATTATATTATGAAGCATCATGCCTCTGTTGGTTGAAAGAATGGATGAAATTAGAAAATACAGAATTGTTGGATTTGGAAGGATTTGATAAAAGATTTGGCTGGCATGCATATTTATGGTATGATAAGAAAAAAGTTAATAAAGGATTTGAAAACCACATCTTTCGAAGATCTCTTATAGAAGTTTGGGATAGGTATAAAAACCTATTGGAACAAAAAATACCACATTGGTTGTCTCTGTTGGAGGTGATGAGCGTGAAGAAAATCAATATGAGTGGGAGGTGGATAACATATGTGAACTTAATAATTAAAGAAGGGGATAAATGGAAATTAAAACCATATGATGAAGTGAAAGAGCATGTTAATGACTGGCTGCATTATTTTCAGATTAATGAAATGTTTAAAAAAGATGTTAGAGAAAAAGGTTTTGCTGAAAAAGAATCGAAGTTTCAACACGAAATATTGAATAATGATTTAAAAATTTTGTCTAAAATGTATAAATTGCTGCTTCAAAGGTATACAAAGAATGAGGAGGTTAAATTGGTTATGATTCATTGGGCCAAAGATTTTGGGTACAACATACAATTAAATGATTGGACAAAATTGTGGAATGAAGGATTAAAATTTACTGCTTGTACTGCATTAAAAGAAAATGTGATGAAAATGATATATAGATGGTATATCACATCAGTAAAGTTAGCAAAAATGTATAAAGTAAGTAATAAGTGTTGGAAATGTAAGGAAAAAGAGGGAACATTTTATCATATGTGGTGGGAGTGTAAAAAGGTAAAATGCTTCTGGGAGATGATATATAATGAGATGAAAAAAATGTTGAAATATACATTTATAAAGAAGCCAGAGGCATTTCTTTTAGGAATAATGGGAAATGAAATTAATAAGAAAGAATATAGGTTGTTTTTATATGCAGTAACAGCAGCAAGAATATTATTGGCCCAGAAATGAAAACAAGAAGAATTACCTACAATGGAAGAGTGGAGAATGAAACTAATGGACTATGCAGAACTTGATAAATTAACAGGAAGGATCTGGAACTGGCGGGACCAGAAGTTCACTGAGGACTGGAGAAAATTTACGGAGCACATGAAAAGTATATGTGACGATCAGACAACGTTTGTAGGTTTACAGGAAGCTCTGTGAAGAATTAATAGTTGAAATATTGTAAAAATGAAAAAGAGATAGGATATGTTATTAATTTAATGCAATATTAAACAGGGAATGCGCAAGAAGTGATTAAGATGGAGGATTCTCAGTGGAGTTGATGGAAGTCCAAAAAGATTGTATTGGTGATAAAGTGGATGTTTTTTTTAATAATTTTGTATTGTAAAAATTAATAAAAATATATTTTAAAAAAGAAGAAAAAAGAAGAGGTGGCAAGAATACACAGAGGAATTATACTAGAAAGATATGGATGTCTCGTACACCCCCGGTAGTGTGGTTGCTGACCTTGAGCCAGACATCCTGGAGAGTGAAGTCAAATGGGCCTTAGAAAGCATTGCTAATAACAATGCCAGTGGAAGTGATGACATTCCAGCTGAACTATTTAAAATTTTAAAAGATGATGCTGTTAAGGTGCTACACTCAATATGCCAGCAAGTTTGGAAAACTCAGCAGTGGCCAGAGGATTGGAGAAGATCAGTCTACATCCCAATCCCAAAGAAGGGCGGTGCCAAAGAATGCCCCAACTACCGCACAATTGCACTCAATTGCACTCATTTCACACGCTAGCAAGATTATGCTTAAAATTCTACAAGGCAGCTGGAAGGACAGATCCTGAAGCTGAGGCTCCAAGACTTTGGCCACCTCATGAGAAGAGAAGACTCCCTGGAAAAGACCCTGGTGTTGGGAAAGATGGAGGGCACAAGGAGAAGGGGATGACAGAGGACGAGATGGTTGGACAGTGTTCTTGAAGCTACGAACATGAGTTTGACCAAACTGCGGGAGGCAGTGGAAGACAGGAGTGCCTGGTGTGCTCTGGTCCATGGGGTCACGAAGAGTCGGACACGACTAAACGACTAAACTACAACAGCTTGGTTTGGTGACGTCTGCTTCTAGGCTTTCTGGGCTAGCCTCTTGTTCCCTCTTCCAAGCTGTAGCCTTGCGAGGAACAGCACAGATCATGTAAGGATACGGTTGCACAGCTAACCCTCCTCTCACAGCGTTTGTGTTGATCTCCCGCACGCCATCAGGCAGCCGTAACGTGAATGCTTGCAGCAGGTTAGTGAAGAAGAGGAAAATCTCCATCCTCGCCAGATTCTCCCCAAGACAGAAACGCTTTCCTAAGGAAGGAGATACTACCCACTGTAATAACTGGACAGCTTAGGGTGACCAACAACATAAGGTTTTCCAAGAGATTTCGCCCATGTTGTGTTGACGTCTCTAGTCCAGGGATTGGGATACCTCAGGCCTAAGGTATGTGGCCCTTAAGACCTCTCTACCTGGCCCTTGGCGCTCCCCCCAGATCTCATGCCCTCCTGAGTTGCACCATTCAACAACCCTCCTTCATACCCTTCTTGGGTGTTTTTGCCTGGATTTGGGGATACAGAGGGAGTGTGCGTAGAAAACTGTCACAAGGCAACATCTGTATTCGCTGCCCTGCTCACATTTGTATCTTGCCCAAAAGGAAATGTGGTCCTTGGTTTGAAAAAATGTAGCCCCACCCTTCCTTGCTCTAGCCCAGTGTTTCCCAACATTGGGTCTCCAGCTGCCTTTGGACTACAACTCCCATCATCCCCAGCTAGCAGGACCAGTGGTCAGGGATGATGGGAATTGTAGTCCAAAAACAGCTGGAGACCCAAGGTTGGGAAACTCTGCTCTAGAACCAGCCATTCCAATGCGCTCTGCACTGAATGGCAAGTCACATTTACCTATTGAAAATGGAATGAAGGCGTCTCTGACGAAGAAGTTCCCTTCTTTATCCAGGAAGTGGTTTGGGTTGAACTGGTGAGGCGTCTCCCACTCTTCAGGGTCATATAGCACAGATGCTATATCAGGAATAATTACTGTATCCTGCAAAGAGAGACACAAACTGCCTGAGTTTAACCTGGCCTTCGGACCGCTGTATAATGCTGCTTTTGGTACCTTGAGTTGCCAGATAAACAGAAAGGGAGGAGAGCTCTGGTAGGCTGGGACGGCTGGTAGACATACATGGAAGGAATCCTGTAATTCTTCCAAGGCTCAGATTTTGATCCAAGCCAGTGAAGAATCCAGCTCTCATTTAATATGGGCATCTGTGACTCCTGAAATTCTTCCCTGAGCCTAGCTCAGGAAAACATTATAGGAGTGCAGGAAGTCAGACTACTGCACAATTTCTTTCATTATGATTGTTTTGTATGCCTTTAATTGGTATTTTAGGTGGGCTTTGTTATCATTGTACTCAGTGGTGTTTTTCTAGAAAAAGACGTGAAGGAACTCACCATGAATACCTCCCTTGTTCTCTTACAATGGCGATGGCACCCACCTGAGGGGTGCCAGAACTGATTTCCAGCGAGTTCTGGCTGGAAAAAAAAAGCCCTGATTGTACTTTGTATTATGATGTATTTGTTAGCAGCCTTGGGATTCATTTGTGAGGAAGTGTGGAGTATAAATAAACCAGGGAGACTTGATCTGCTGGGCACATGCTGCCCACTATCTAGAAGACCCTCATCAGTCTAGCTATTGGCAGGATGTGCACTAAATTTTAATTTTGTTGTTGGGGGGGGGGAGTTCTGTACCTTTTTCATGGGAAAACCAAAAATAGTTGCATCCTTTGCACATTGCCTGAAATTTCCAACCAAGAGAACGTATTTGTAGCGCTGGATTTCATGAATGACAGCATTGGTGTAGGGCAGGTTCATCCGATCCTCATAGGAGATGCGTTGGGAACGTGTCACAGCAGCATCAATCTCGGCCTGAACTTTCTCTGTGGAATCATGTTCACATTTAGAACCAAAGCAATCTTACTATGATGACCGCGCAGCTCTAGAAACCCTACGGCACCCTCAGTCCATAAAGACATTTGTAATTGAGGTGGAAATGAATCCCTAAGGATACGGGTGGGGATGAAATTTTGCTTGATTTGCATTAAAATTCCCATTTCGCCCCTTTCAAAACAAGACAAGTAGCAAAACACAACTACTCTTCAAAATGTGCACTTCTCCAAATCATTTGATTTGACCTAATTTAATAATAAAAGTGATTCCTGCATCACAGAGGGTTGGAAGAGAGACCCTCTGGGTCCCTCCCATCTCTGCAATTCTATCATTCTATTATTTGCATCCCACATTTGCAACATTATTGAGTGCAAAGTGGCTCACAATTAACAACAGCATCAAAAATTAAAACACATTGCAATCTCTATAATCATATAAAAAATACAACAGTGCATAAATATGGCAAAAAACCCAAACAAACACAAATTCATCAAACAATTAATGCATTCCAACACAAGCTCAGAGTGATTCAAAGTATCAGAAATGGCCGCTGAGCACCAGCCCTGAAAGTCATGCAATTCCCCAATGGAAAATGTGTACAGAAATATGTGTATTAGGGAAAGGTGTGCCTGGCGTAGTTAAAATAACAGGGGAAAATGCTTTATATTATTTAGATGTTGCAAAAGTATCTATATTAGGCAAACACTGCATACAAAAATGTGTTTTTGGGGGAAGAAATACGCACTTAAAATGCTGACAGATTTTCATGAGGACTAGGAGCGTGGGGCAGGGAGTGGAATTTGCAAAATGGTGAAGAAATAAAGAGATCTGAAGACTGGAAAAAAGAGGAAAACTATGTATATTTCTCCGAATATACACATTTTGACAGTAATACAATATGGTGACCATGGACACCATATTGAGTTCCAATTCACGGGGGCAGAAAGTCATATTGAAAACTGGTGGTGCCATCAGGACAGGACTTTTTACCAGAAGATACAATGAATTGCCCTAGTTGTTACATGTTGATGTGGGTGTACAGAAATGCTTAGGAACTTTTCAAACCAACAATGAATATGTGGGTTTTCTCACACACACACCACATTAAAAAAACTGTACTTGATTTGGGCCACGGCCCTCTTCCGCTTTTCCGGTGCCCAGCTTCTGCACAAACTCCCTCTGGACCGAAACATTTCAAGAGCATTGACATCCCGGCTCTCACCTTGGATGTCTGGATAAACCACCATGAAGAGCAGAGCCCAGCACAAAGTGGATGAACCAGTATCTGTCCCAGCTGTGAAGAGGTCGTAAATGACATGAACCAAGTTGGCTTCGTCAAAGGTTGATTCGGGGTCTTCCTTCTTCTGTTGTCGACAGTGAATATATTGATTTATTACACGGATATCCCATCTTTGTTCTCCAAGCAGCTCAAGGGGTGTGGTGTACATGGTTCTCCCCCACCCTCATTTAATCCCCACAACACCCCTGTGAGGTAGGCTAGGCTGTGAGGGGCAGTGGCTGGGCCATGGTCACTTGGTGAGCTGAGTGGGGATTTGAATCCTGGTCTCCTAGGCAGTAGTCCAACACTAGACAAATTCATTGACTTATTCCTTTTGTAAACTGCTTTGAGGTTTTTTGGGGTCCCCCCTTTTTTTTAACTATCAAGCAGTATATAAATCTTATGAAATAAATAAATCCACAAGCTGATGCAGAAACATGGCAAACTGGACTTGAGGCTAAGGAAGAAGAAGAGAAAACCAAAAGTGGCAGACTCATACATCCATGCTTTGGACAGAGCCAACAACCTACAGAGAATGGTGTTCCTTCGGGGCCCTGGAGGCGTCTCCCCTTGAAGAGCAAATTGTCCCCATTCCAACAGCCACTTACTTTATTTATTTCATCCAGATAGAAGTCAATGAAATCCCGTGGTTCATCTGTTTCCCTCTTCTCCTTGTGCCTTCTGATCTCACTCCTTCCAAATGAATGGATATGCTCCAAGCATGAGAAGGCCTTCTGGTGGGGTCCTGGGAGGTGGCGCATCAGCCACGGAAACAGTTCGTACAACTGGAGGGGGAGAGAGAGAACGTGAGGAGAGTCCTGGATCTTGATCAGGCCAATGGCCTGTCCAGTCCAGCGTCCTGTTCTCACAGTGGCCAACCAGATGCTTCAATGGGCATCTTTTATTCAAGGAGCTCAACGCAGTGGACATGGTTCCCTCCTCATTTACTGTATTTTTCGCTCTATAAGATGCACCCAACCATAAGACGCACCTAGTTTTTAGAGGAGGAAAACAAGAAAAAATATATTCTGAATCGAATGTTGTTGAAGAGGAAGGAGGAGGGAGGATCAGGCTAAGGCATCACAACAAGAGGCTAAGGCATCACAACAAGAGCGTTCCTCCCGCTTTGCTGAAGAGGCTTTGCGCTGCTTTCGCTGAAGCCAGCAGAGCAAGAGGAAGAGCTGCGCACCGCCTCTTGGTTTGCTGGCTTCCCAGCAAAGCAGGATGAGGGACGGAAGAGCCTCCGTAAGGGCTCCCTTTTGTTCCTCTTCCCGCTTCACTGGGAAGCCAGCAGAACAAGAGCTCTTGCTCTTGCTCTGCTGGCTTCAGGGATAGCTGCACAGCCTGCATTTGCTCCATAAGACGCACACACATTTCCCCTTACTTTCTAGGAGGAAAAAGTGTGTCTTATAGAGCGACAAATACGGTAATTCCTACAATAGCCCTGTGAGATAGGTTAGGCTGAGAGGCAGTGACTGGCCCTTGGTCACCCAAGGAGCTCCATGGCCCAGTGGGGATTTGAACCTAGGTCTCCCCAGTCTTAGTCTGACACTCTAAGCACAGCTCCACATTGGCTCAGGTGTCCCACTGCTCATGTCTCTTCATTGGATTGCTGACACCAAGGAGGCCTGAGGTGTCCCATCAAGCTTTCACAAATGGAATCAACTTTTCGCCAGCACATTCTCCCTGGTGGCTGGTATCTCCCTCAAATGGAAGAAGGATCAGGCCAGGCAAGAGGTGGCATGAAAGCGCCTTGCAAAACTGGTAAGATTGTGTGTGTGGTGTGCGCGTGCGCGCACACACACACACACACACACACACACATGCATATACAAATACTCAGAGACTAATAATAATAATAATATTTATACCCTGTCCATCTGTCTGGATTCCCCCAGCCATTCTGGGTGGCTCCCAACAGATTAAAAGCAGAATAAAACATCAAACATTAAAAACTTCCGTAAACAGGGCTGCCTACAGATGTCTTCTAAAAGTCAGATAGTTGCTTAGTGCCTTGACATCTTATGGGAGGGCATTCCACAGGGCAGGTGCCACCACCAAGAAGGCCCTCTGCCTGGTTTCCTGTAACCTCACATCTTGCAGTGTGGGAACCGCCAGAAGGCCCTCAGCGCTGGACCTCAGTGTCCAGGCTGAACGATGGGGGAGGAGACGTTCCTTCGGGTATAAATACACACCAGGGGCTGCTAGTCAAAATGACATTTTGTCTTGCAATAATATAATATAGCAAAATAGCAAAGTCGCTCACCAAATGAAATGTGGAGAGGAAAAAATGTGCTTCGTACTCAATGCATTCTATCAGCTTCTGAAACACTTTGTCTTCAATGTCGAAAGGGTGTCCAAAAATTACGTTGGAGATCACACTACAGAAGGCATGGAAGAGGGGGGTTCTAGGGTCTACAGATTCGCCTAGAAAAATACAGGTGTCCTCTGTCACAATGAACACTCTGAGCAGTGTTGAATGCGTGTTGGAAAGGTCACATACAGTTTATCTGCATAATCGTTCAGCTCCTGCTCCCTTCTAAGGGCAACTTGTTTGTTTTGCTCTTCTTTTAACCACATTGCTCCTTTAGGCCTTCTGATCACAGGGGGAAAGGAATCCACCCCAGGGGGCCAACTTTGACAAGTGGGCAGGGCAACCTACCTGCCAATCACCTGACATCATTGTGGCACCAAGTGGACACACAGCAGATAGAAGCAGACTGCACACCCCCTGTGACCTGATTGTTTGCTTCCCATGCCGCCATTCCTGGGCCTTTATTCTGATCCAGCAAAACTGTTCGCATTCCCCTGTTAACACCAGTCCTCATGGATGCATAGCCTGATGCAGCCTTCAACCTGGTTCCCTCCAGATGTTTTGTATGACAATACCCATAAGCCCATGTCAGTGTAGACAAGAGCTGTTTGGCAGTGGAGCAGACTCCCTGGGAATCTGGTAGACTCTCCTTCACCAGAGGTTTTTACGCAGTGGTTGGATGCAGCTGGAGTCAGCAATAACTCACACGGCTCCAGCAAAGTTAACTCTTTATTCAAAAAAACACAGACAGCTCAGGAGGCCAGGCCTAGCACAGCAACGCTTCCTGGTAGGATTTGCCGCTATGAGGTAGTTTCAAGGACTAAAAGTCCCCAGTTTCCCACAGCTTCCTAAGTCTCTTCCTTCTCCGGTTCCTTCCCAAGCAATCTGAGGCTTCATCATCTTGCCTGTCTTCACTCATCCCTCTTCATGTTCTGGGAGACCAGCGGGGAGGGGAGCTGGTCACAGCAGGAAGGAGAGTCCTCCTGACTTCTGCAGCAGCCAGCCTCATCTCTGCCTCTTGCCCTCTCTCTTCGCCAGCCTCTGCTTCTGCTTCTGCCTCTGCTTCTGGATTGCTCTCTGCCTCAGCCTCTTCCTGATCACTAAACCCTGTTGCCTCTTCAGCTTCCAACACCTCCTCTTCCCAATCTTCTCCCACTGACCACTCATCACCATCCCACCACCACTCCCTGGGCTCTGAGCCTTCTTCCCTTGGGAGTTCCCCAGCTGGTGCCTCCCATCAGTCCTCTGCATCCCACCAGTCCATGACAGATGGCCATATGTCAAGGATTCTTTAGCTGTGATTCCTGCATTGCAGGGGGCTGGACTAGATGACCCTTGAGATCCCTTACAAGTCTATGATTCTGTGAATGATGGGCATTGCAGTCCAAAATCTAAATCCTTCGAAGACAAAGGTCCTCTAGCTGGGTCAGGATGATACGGGGATGAAGGACCAAATCCCTACTCTTGTGGGAGCCCAATTAGTGTCATTGCCTTCCGTTAAGAGTTTGGGTGTAATCCTTGACACCTCCCTTTCCATGGAGGCACAGGTTACAGCAACAGCCAAGGCGACATTTTTCCACCTTTGCCGCATTAAGCAGTTGGTCCCTTACCTTTCCCGCCCCGACCTGGCCACAATGACCCATGCGACAGTCACCTCCAGGCTTGACTACTGTAATTCGCTCTACGTGGGGCTGCCCTTGAAGCTGACCCAAAAACTCCAGCGGGTGCAGAATGCTGCAGCGAGGCTCCTCACGGGGTGTCTGCCATGGGAGCATATTCACCCAGTGCTTTTCCAGCTGCACTGGCTCCCGGTGGAGTACAGGGTCAGATTTAAGGTGCTGGTTTTGACCTTTAAAGCCCTTCACGGCCTAGGACCCTTGTACCTACAGGACCGCCTCTCCCGGTATGCCCCACAGAGGACCTTAAGGTCCATAAATAGCAACACCCTAGAGGTCCCGGGCTCTAAGGAAGTTACATTAGCCTCAACCAGAGCCAGGGCCTTTTCAACACTGGCTCCGGCCTGGTGGAACGCTCTATCTCATGAGACCAGGGCCCTCCAGGATCTGATTTCTTTCCGCAGGGCCTGTAAGACAGAGTTGTTCTGCCTGGCCTTTGGCTTGGAATCAATTTGATTCCTTCCCCCTCTTTCTTTTTTCCTTTCTCCTCCTGTGATGAGGCTGCATTTTAATGTTTTAATGTGGTATTTTAATCCTGTTTTTTAAGTTGTATTTCAATCAACTTGTTTTTATTATTGGTTGTTAGCCACCCTGAGCCCGGTCTTGGCTGAGGAGGGCAGGGTATAAATAAAATGTATTATTATTAAAACATCTGGAGGGCACCTGGTTGGTGGTGACTGATCTGGTTCATTCCTGGTGTTAGGAAAAGTGCCTTAGAATCAATGATATTCCTGACCTCTCTTGCTTGCGAAGAACTCCACCATGTGGCCAGCCTCCTCTTGCACACAGAACTCCATGCTTCTTCTTCCAAGGCCCAGCGATCGGAGCACAGATATCCCAAAACGCCGCTGCTCCTTCCAGGTGTGGCCACTTGAAAACAGGATACCTAAGGGCAGCAAGATATTATTGTTCAGAAATGAATTTTGCAAGCCAACCATCTGTATAAAACATGGCCAAGAGACAGCCGCTCGACTGCTGTGCTTTATTCCAATGCACCATCCGCAGCCTCTCTGCTGCCACCTGCTGGAGTTCCCTCTTGCAACGCACCCCCAGCTCTGAAATTCTAAGTCTACGAGAACCCTGCTCATTGGTTGCACCCCTGAACTGACTGTGAGTAAGGCCTAAGGGCACAAACTTCCTTTGGAATAGGTGGATATTGGGAGAAGGTGGGACATTGCATCTGGAGCGGCACAACCCGACACCTTCATCTGCCCCAGTTGCAACAAAACATGTTTCTCCCACATCGGTCTCTACAGCCACAGCAGGCATTGCAACCTTTCAACAGCTTGACAAGGCGCACTCCTCCATTGTCTCTTGAGATAGACAGATGCCAGCATTGCTCCCTGTAAGTTTACTAATATGCCAGTTTTCTGCAACAAGCTGTGTCAAAAGTGGCTTGCAGCAAACATTCAAAACACCGAAATACAAATATATGAAATACAGAGCATGTCAGTAAATTAAAAAATGACAAAAGCCAACAATTTAACAAACACAGAAGAATTCAATTTAAAAAACAACAACCAAGGTTTAAGCACATAAATACAAAGCGAAACAAAGGTTAACTAACAATAAAGTTTCTGATTCTCATGTAGTATATTGTAAGTGGACCCACTATTGCTATTGAGTGAACACCATTACTTGCACATATTTTCTTTAGGAATTATTATTATTATTATTATTATTATTATTATTATTATTATTATTTTATTTGTACCCCTCTCATCTGGCTGGGTTTCCTGAGCCTCTCTGGACAGCCTCCAGCATGTATAAAAATGTAATAAAATGTCAAACATTAAAAAAACTTCCTGATACAGGGCTGCCTTCAGGTGTCCTCTAAAAGTTGTGCAGTTCTTTATCTCCTTGACATCTGATGGGTGGATGTTCCACAGGGAGCTGTGTATCATGGGAAGGCTGCTACCTAGATATCCAAATGGGAGTCCCATGTTTCCTGGGTGGGGGCTTGACCCAGAACATAATAGAACAAGAATAATTTCTTAGACCAGTAGTTCCCAAAGTTGGAACACTAAGAGACTAGGAGGTAGCAGCTGTGCACTGGAGGTGTAAATGACTACCAGGCTTTGAGAAGTTGGCATCACTGGATCAATTTCATTGAATCAATTAAACTCGTTTTCATTGAATTTTATTGTGTTCATATCTTTCTTATTGGGTTGCGGAAAGCACTGTTCTAAGACTCCTATACTTTGGCCACCTCATGAGAAGAGAAGACTCCCTGGAAAAGACCCTGATGTTGGGAAAGATGGAGGGCACAAGGAGAAGGGGACGACAGAGGACGAGATGGTTGGACAGTGTTCTTGAAGCTACCAGCATGAGTCTGACCAAACTGCGGGAGGCAGTGGAAGACAGGACGGCCTGGCGTGCTCTGGTCCAGGGGGTCACGAAGAGTTGGACATGACTAAAGGACTAAACAACAACAACATTGAGGTGGGGGCAGTGGGAATGATTTTATGGGTTACACTTACCCTTTGCTTTCATTGTGTCTCTGACAAAGGGAGTTACTACACGACATGAGGTTTCTTCCGAGTAGTTGCTGAGCACTTGCTTCACCAAACGAAAGCCATTCACAACAATCATCGGCTTGTGCCCAACCCAGATGGTGAAGACCTTCCCGTAAACCTTGGATAGCTGTGTCATTTTAAAATTAAAAGGCCATATATGAGAACAAGAGAGGCATTCGTGGTGAGTTCCAGCAGTTCTTTTTGTAGAAAAATAGCACCAGGGACACTAGTCGTCTATATTATTTATATGTACTATCCACCAAAATGTAATTCATCATCTCTCCCCTATTCTGTTGTATTGTTTTCTACACTATGTGCAAAATTCAGTATTTTAAACAATAAAGTTAAAAAACATAACTGTATGAGCATAATTAGTGCAGGCCACTGGGTTCAAATAAACAAAGCCAACCACCTGCAATGAGTCCCTTCCAGTTGTGCACAGCTGAAAACCTTCTCTGCAACATGACCCAACTAACCCCACGCTTTAGAAAAGTCCATGACTGGTGTGATTTGAGAAAAAGGTGCAGTTAAAGCAACAAACTGCCTTTGCAGCATGCTACATTGCACTGTGGGACGCGCTTGGTGCTGTGGTCTAAACCACAGAGCCTAGGACTTGCCGATCAGAAGGTCAGCAGTTTGAATCCCTGCGACAGGGTGAGCTCCCGTTGCTCGGTCCCTGCTCCTGCCCACCTAGCAGTTTGAAAGCATGTCAAAGTGCAAGTAGATAAATAGGTACCTCTCCGGTGGGAAGATAAACGGCGTTTCCGTGTGCTGCTCTGGTTTGCCAGAAGCGGCTTAGTCATGCTGGCCACATGACCCGGAAGCTGTATACCGGTTCCCTCGGCTAATAAAGCGAGATGAGCACCGTACCTTTACCTTTACTTTGCTCTGCATGATTCACCTTGATGACCTGAGCTCAGGACCAACTCCATGAAATTCCACAGCCAAATTGCAACAAAGGGTAATTACATCTTTGTTGCAATGTCATCCAATTCTTTCCTCTTTCCCAACATTTCCTCTTTTCCAACATTTCCAAACTCCTGGGATAAGCTGATAGTTTTTATTTTATTTTATTTTATTTATTTTCTATAACACCCTTTATCTGAGGATCACAGAGCACTCTACAATATGAAAACATAAAAACACATAACATAGCAAACGAAAACAATACCCCTCCCCTCTTTTAAAGGTTATTTAATTATCCAAATCTAGGTTGTTTATTTATCCGGGGGGGGGGGGTATTGTCTAACCTACCTGCAAAAAAATCAGAGTGCATGACCTATAAACAGGGTTGTCCGGAAGTGTCCAGTCAGACATTTTTAAAAGCCATTTTAAAGTGTTGAGCTTTACACACACACACACACACACACACACACACACAAAAGGAGACATATATTGAGCAACCCAGAAACGGAGGTCCGCACACAAGACAAAGGACAGATTGTGGAGGATTCTGCAGCCCAAGGATTCCTTTGTTGTCCACATTTGATCATTATTTAGCTGTAAATTCATGTCCCCCCATTTGAATTTGGCTGAGTCCACATCCACTTGTATCTGGTGGCAGGGAGTAGGTGGGGAAAACCAGAATAGGGCAAGGCTACCTCTTATTCTGAATTCTTTCATTACACCAAACTTCACATTGTAGGGGGTTGGTTTCCAACTCAACTGCTCTATGATTCTCTGTGACCACCCAGTCAAACGGCCAATTGTTGGGTAAACATCTTCTCTACTTCATTACTAACTTATTTAGTGCATGTACTAGTGCAGCAGATCCCACCACTACCACCAATATGTAGTGGATCTCACTGCTGTATACCAATATGTAGCGGATCCCTCCCATGTACACACTCCATAATATGTATTTTTCAACCACCACAGGTTATGTTTTGGTTCTTCTGTGAGGGAAAAATTCGATACTGGGAGACTCAGGCAGAAGTTGAACAAGCAATAAAGATTTATTTAACAGAATGAAGTGGATAAAAAAAAGCATGTATCGGGAGATAATGCCTTTTCAGGAAACAGTTAACCTATTATTAATTATACTAAATCCAATGGATGTTACAGGCTTCTAATCAAGCACAGCTTCTGTTAAACTTCAGTTGTTTATGTTCCGTTATTACGCTTCAGGCAGATGTCAAAAGTTTCTAGACTAGATGGCACATGCTCATCTTATTTCCAGTTACTTCACTTCAGTTCCTTAACACAGTTGCTTCATAGGGTTTTATAGCTTAACACTTTGGCTCCTTAACCATATAATTAGGAAATCTTTATTGAGAGTTCACCACATGAAGCATTACTGCTCAAACCACTTGGAAAGAAAGGAAAGTGGCTCACATATGTTGATTTATAAAGGACCATGATGGAAAATGGAAAATAAGAGATTATGATGAGATTAAAGATCATTTTCAGAGTTGGCTGCATTATCGACAATTATATGAAACATATATGGAAGACAGCAAGAAAGGATTCAATTATACAAGGTCTAGGTTTCAAATGAATGTGATTGAAGGGAAAGTGAAACTAATGAAGGCTGCATACAGCATACTGTTAGAATGGGAGACGAAAGATGAAGAGGTAAAATCAGTCATGATCAAATGGGCACAAGATATGGGTCATAACATCATGATGGAAGATTGCAAAAGGTTATGGAAAATTGATTTTAAATTTACAGATTGTTCTTTGTTGAAAGAAAATTATATGAAGATGATGTATAGATGGTATATGACACCAGTGCAGCTAGGAAAAATGTATAAAACTAGCTCAAATATGTGTTGGAAGTGTAAGGAAAAGGAGGGGACATTTTACCATACGTGGTGGGATTGTAATGAATTAAAAAATTAGAAACTGAAACGGACAGATTGACCCATTCCCTACTATTTATTTGGTGGAGGGTGGGCGGAATTATAACATGCATTGAAACATGAGTTGGAGTGCACATGCCAGGCCACAGGAGCCAAATCCTAAGGGTAGAGGTCCCTTCAGCCTCCCCAATAAAATATTTGAGGGGGCCAGGTCGCCCCCCAAAGTTGACGGACACTGCCATTTAAATGATGTGCGTCTTGTGATTGATTATGCGGGACGTGGCTTACCTGGGCCCCCGCAATGTTTTACTCAAGTTGGCACCCCTGTGTCAGGCAGAGTGGAGAGGGAGAGAGAGAGGAGGCGGAGGTATTGGAAGGCACAGCAATAAGCAGTTTGCCTTGTGCCCCATAAGTCAGCCTGTGGCCTTCAGGGGTGGTGAAGGACCCCACCTCACATGCCACCAGTAGCCTTCAGGAAACTGGGTCGGTGTCTGGAACAACAAATAGAGGCCCTTCCTCAGTGACCCAAGGGATCCTGCATTCCCCAGTAGAGCAGATGCTGGGAAGTCCTGCTGCTACACCCTCGTATTAGGAGACAACCCTTAATATGCAAAAAAGGATACCTTGGAGAGGGTGTCTTGATGCCATCCAGAGCCAAAGCACCACAGGGTCCCCAGGAGAGGTAGCGGAAGTGGTCCAGGTGGGAAGTGGCGCCTTGCCCACTGCAGCTTCAAGAACTGCAGACTCAGGAGAGACACCGCCAGAACTGCAAGGCAGCTGCTGATCTCCATTGCCACCTTAGGTTTAAGCCTCAGCTCTGCTCTGGGATGTCTGAGGCAGGTTGGGTTGCTTTTCATATTCTTCCTGCAGAGAAGGCGTTACAGCTTTGCCTCCAGCATTTGTATATTTGTCAATAGTGACAATTACCAAACCTCAAAGGTGTTTCAGACAAGGACTGAACAACAGTGCCAGTAATTCAAGTACATTGCAGGAACATTCCAGGAACAGGTCCAAGCGCTGATGATGAAAAGGAGGACAGAAACATTACTGAATAATGACAAAGCAGATATAATACTTTTACAGCAAACGCATCAGACGAAAGAGATCGTTAATGAACTCAAACTGAGAGGTTTAAATAATTATGAGAACGCATATGGTATGTCAAAATCCAGAGGGGTAGCAACTACAGTGGAACCTCGAGTTGCGAATGTAATCTGTCCCGGAGGCACGTCCGCAACTTGAAGTGTTCTTGAAGTGAACTTACCTGCAAATGTTGAGCTGGCATGGATAGCGCTGGAATGAATTCAAGCCAGCTGTGATGGCGAGAGCAGCCTCTGAGGGCCCACCTGATGCCCTGGTTATCCAGCTGGGGGAGAATGACCTAGCGTACCGCAAAGCTATAGGCTTGAGATGGAACATTTTTGACGATTTTGCTGATCTGATGGCGGCTTATCCAAACATTACCATCTTGTGGTCGTCGTTGCTCGAGAGGAGGACATGGAGGGATAGTTTGAGCCTGGTTGGAATCAATAAAGCAAGAAAGGTCTTGGAGCGGGCTGTGGCACGTAGAGTGGCGGCTCTGGGTGGGTGCGTCATAGGCCACCCAGGCATCCAGTACAGCAACGAAGCCCTCTACAGATTGGATGGCGTGCATCTGTCAGATGCTGGAAATGATATCTGGTTGGGGGGCATCATAGCAGGGATTAGGAGTTGGTTACAGGATTGAAGGTATTGGCGGCGAGCTTTGCTCGATTGGTGGTCAGGCATTGGCAGGGGTAATTGTTATGCAAATGAGGGGGGAAGGAAGCACCATCACCTTCCCCCAAGGAAAAGGGTAGTCCGGTAGAGGACTCCGGGGGGTGTTGCCTTGTCCGAAACCTAGGGAGGTAAGGGCCTCCGGCACGCCCCCGAGCAGTGACACCCGTGGGATCCTAGTTGGCGTACTTCAACAGGACTCCCACGGCTTGTGGATAACCCTTCCTGGTCTCCATGCCGGGTAGTCGATAGGAGCCAATGCCTAAGGCCAATACCTTTCAATTCCTGTAATCAATAAAGTTGTGGCCTTTTATGCCCATTAACCTTAAATAATGTGTCCGGTGTCTTCATTTCACATGGGGGGAGGGGATTTGCCACGCAATGCATATGGTATGTCAAAATCCAGAGGGATAGCAACTACCGTGGAGCCTCGAGTTGCGGGTGTAATCTCTCCCGGAGGCATGTCCGCAACTTGAAGTGTTCGCATCACTTCCGGAGGTGGCGCCATCGGTAATGGCGGATTCCCTCTGATCTGGAGGGAACTGGCTCCATGGAAATCGGGTCTGTACCGCTACGGCGC